ATCAGGTTTTAGCTTAGAATCCATTCTAGCTTTTAATCGTTCTTCTAATGAGGGTAATTGATTAATCTCATTAGCCTTTTGGAAATAGATTGAAACTTTTTCTATTTCTTTTGTTTCTTGAATTGCTTGTAAAAAGCAATTGACTTTACAATTATCTTTAGAAAGATTTGATTCATTGAGTAAATTTTCTTTTGGCATTCGTTGAACACCAACTTCTCCTCTTTTACTCAATTCAATTGATTCTTCAGGGGTGCAGAATCTAAATAAAATTTCATTATTAACGGGTTCAGAATCAACATATTCTTGAAGGGTAATGGTTTTGAGAAAATTTTTAAAACCAATCCTGTGAGAAGTTCAATTGTATGAATGTTACATGAACTTTTACGAACTCTTGGAACTTGCTATTCGTAGTATTATGATAATAAAATGGAGTTAAAATTTCGAGAAGAAGAAAAATTTTCCCTTTGGTCTTGGATATCTTTATATATGTAGAATTTGAGAAAGATTATTATATTTTGTTTCATAAATTCGATGAGTACGTTCTCGGAATATTCAATGATGATGATGATAAGAAATAGATATGAAAATGGAGATAAAATTGTGAGAATTTGAAACTTGATACAATGTTACTGAAATTTCATGTTTTCCACTTAATGATCAGAACAATTTGTTTTATATTTTTGTCGCGTTCATCATTATCTTTTCCACCCTCTTGATTATCAACCACCTTCACCATGAATCAAACATGAAACTGAGAAAAACGTGAATTCTTTTCCATCTTAAATTCCAACTGATTTCTCATGATAGTCCGATGATAATTTCATTCAGTGGAACATTCAAACTTCAGTAAATATCATCTCTCTCTCTCTCTCTCTCTCTCTCTCTCTCTCTCTCTCTCTCTCTCTCTCTTTGTGGTCATAATAATGGGTATAATGATGGATGATAGCGGAATTAAGGTGTCAGTGGTCAGAAAGATGAAGAGATCGAAGAAAAAAATTTTCTCAAAAAACAAAAGTTCTGAGAAAAAGTTTCCCATCAAATCTCATGGGGATTTCTCCATAAAATAGATACTCATTGAATTTAGGATATATATAAATATTCAATGAAAAGTCACTCAGATGAATATGAATACATTTACAGGGTGAAATTCTGAGGGGAGTGTTCACATAAATTTCATGGATCTCAAGGAAAATCAAAGAAAAAGAATGAGAATAGAAAAAGTAAAAAAAAGTTCTCACACTTTGAACTTTTTTCGAACTAGATTTTAATTGTTCTTCTAATGAACTTTAAGGTGTATCACTTGGTGAAAATGGTTACAAATTAATTTAACACCCAAGCTCTGAATTGACACCACCCAATGGATTAATTGTCTTAGAAACAACAATTAGTTAATTGTTAGACCGTAATTAATAGTTAACCATAAAACTAACTCTCGATCCATTAATCAAGCCTTTGAACTGCAAAAAAAAAGTTCAATTGATTAAGAAAATGAAAATTTAACTTTAGTTATAAGGTAACAAGTTAATTTAGTTACTCATTAACAGTGTCATAGTGATAATTAATATAACAATTTAATGATTATCATCAGATAATTCATCACAATTAAGGGTTAATCAACAATGGTGAGAGAAAACAAAATTCTGGTGAAAACTTTTCTCCCTTCATTTTGATATATTATAATAAAAACAACAATAAACTCATTAACATGATGAATCTGAATCCCATGATTATCATGATGTTCATACAAAAGGTATTACATGTTCTGTTGATGATGAACATCCCCTGAAGATGCTAATTAAATCATAACCATACTTTTTTGGATCATTCATTCTGGTGAAAGATAATATTTGCTTATACAGAAAAAGAATTAAAAAAAAAAAAGTTCCAACATGATGATTAGAACTTATTTTTCCTTCTACATGAGCTGAAATTCAGAGAAATAATTTCTATACATCTCTCTTTCTTTTTCTCTTGAAATTCAGCTCAGAACCTACAGAATTCAAGTTGCTGTGAATAATTTAGATTGACCTGAAAATTTCATTTTCTAATTTCATCATTTCAACTCAAAATTCATGGGTTATCATGATGACGATAATATATCATGATGTTCATTTTATTCAAACTGTTTTAATGACTTTTTTTTGTTTCTTTCTATTGTTCCAAAAACTTTTTCTCTTTACCTGTCTGTTCATTATAATGAACTTTTATTATTATTTTCACCATGATAATCATAGAAATAGTAATAATAATAATAATGATAATACTCATGAAGATGAACAGATTTAAAATAATGAACATTTTCATCAATATTCAGTTAACCAATTTCACTTTTCATGAGACTCATTCAATTTCTGTTATTGTCAACATTAAATTTAATTTAGTTTAGTTAGAGGTCGCCAGTGAAAGTTGATCATGATTAACTGATCTAATTTAATGATCATCACGTGATGATTAATTGTTATCCTCATCATTAAGATATCATTAGTTGGATTGATGCTGGTTAACAGTTGATTTCAAATGTGAAAGGAAAAAGTTAAATTTGAATTTTTTTTTCTTCTACTTTTCTGTTGATTAGTTGATTGTTTTATTGTTCATCATCATCATCATCATCCTGTAATCATTCATCATGTTCACAATTATCGTTCATGATGGTGTTTCAATTTTCTTGGAAAATTTTTCAATCAAGTTTCCAATATAAATCTATGATTCGTTTACACGCTATCACTTCTGAATTTTGAAATTCGATGTCATCATGATGATAATGATGAGAGAACAAAGTGAAGAAAAAAATTTTCGAACAAAGAATTCGAGAATGAAGGAAAAAGATAATCGAACCTGAAAAGTTCTAACAAAAAATTCGATGCGTGATATCAATTCGTCTCTTCTGATTTTCGTTTTTTTTATATTTGAATTACTTTAGTTCAGTTCAGTGAAAAGTTCTGGTTCATGGGATGAACTTTTCATCTCTCTCTCTCTCATCATCATGTCTTTTGATTGTTTACTTTTTTTTTCCTTCATGTAAGTTGATTGTTTCCAATTGTTGTTTACACTTTCTCTTCACACTCAAATCATTAATCACAATTTAAATTTTAATTTCAAAATTGACAACATAACAATTGGTTTACTTTTACTCACTTAATTCAGTTTAAATTGTTAATAATGTTATCATTTGTTTCATTGTGTCGATATGATTAAACTACTTTCACAATCATTACAATTATATTTACAGGTAACATTTATTATTGATACAATCATTGATTAACTATTACTTTTGATGATAATTGTAATTGTTGTTGAGATTGTATGTAAATAACAATGAAAGTTAATTTGTTTTTCCTTGTCTCCAGCTATTAATAGCAATCAAATTTGATTGTTTCTCTATTCATAGTGAATTAGTTTTGATTGTTGTTGTTCATAGTCACCCAATTACAATAATAAACACATATACAGACTCAGTTAAATAATCAATTGAAACAATCAACCAGCCAACAATTAAACTTGATTAACTTATCATTTGATTATCTTAATATTTCATGATATTGACAATATTTGTAAAAGTTAATTAATCCAGTTAAATATTGTCATTGATTAACTTGATGATTGTAAAAAAAATTGAAATTGCAAAATCATTGATCACAATTAAAATTGAACAATTTAATTCACAATTTTGATTACATTTTTAAAAAAATTCATCATTTATTAATAGTTATCATTATAAATGAATCAGCAAATTGTAACAGTTTTGGATTTGATTGTTGAATTATTGATTTGGTAACAAAGTTAATTGCTTTTTAGTAAATTGATATTAGATTGTTGTTGTATTATTGTGTTAAACAGTTTTCACTTTTGATTGTTAATCACAATTAAGGTGTAACCTCAATTTGCTTAATCATTTCATGGTCAATGGTATTAATTTAAATTAAAATGTAATCTATTGGCTTTAACAGTTTGATTATTGTATCAACAATTTAATTCTGGTTTAATCACATAGGAAAGATAATCAATACAATGACTTGACTTTATTAACTAACGTAATTAATTTTTATGGTTTAATCATGAAAAAGTAACAATTTACTCCTCAAGAGGATTGTGAATCAATTTCACTGAAAATAAATGTCTAAATTGTTACACATGATGATTAACCATGATAATAATGATCTTTGATTATTTAAAAAGGAAAAAGGTAATTTAAAAAACTAAGAAAATGATTAAGATGATTAATCATTGAGCTCAATTGAAACTGAATTAAGATTAACTTTACCGTATTAATATCATCATTATAATTATGATTGTTGGATTGTGATCTCAAGTGAGTAATCAAATTGATTATCATTATTAACACAGATGATGATCATTATAATCAACCATTTGATTACTGGTTATCCCTTAATCATGATTATATATTAGTCCATTTGAACATATGTAATGTTAATTTCACTTATCATTTTCAATCTCAATGGATTTAATTTAATTATTCCCATGATTAATTAATTTCTCTCTGTAATTTAGATTGTCTCTCACTTTCTTAATCTTTTTCATTAACAATTTATACTTTAATCAACTACATGATCAATTGAAATAATGATGATGATTATTTAATGAGTTTTCTTACTTTGAGTTGATTTTTTCTCATCTCTTACCTTTTAATTGTTTACTGCGATTTTAAATTGTCTAATTGATTTACTTTTTGCTTTCTCTTAATTTCAACAGGTTAATTTGGTTCGTTTGGAATCCATTTCGTCTTAATTGTTTACATGTTCTGTAATGATTTGTACCGATTCATTGATAGGTTAGAAAATGATTTACTACTTTGAGTCGGTACGAATCATATCAATCATGTTTAAACCATCAAATTGTCATTCTAATTGTGATTGTCATCTTGGTTTCTCACTCTCTTGTAGTTTTGATTGTTAATAAAAACTAAATTTTTACATTATCTTACAATTAGCTAAATTGTTTCCATTATTTTCACATGAAAACTTTAAATTCATAAGGTAATGTGAGAGTTGAATTGATTGTTATTAATTATTACAATTAATTTACATTTGGTATATATCATATTACCTTATCATTACAGTTAATTGTCTAAAATATGTTGATACAATTTAAATAATAACAAAAACCAAGGTGACTTATTTTAACCTTGATTAGAGGGTTGGGAATCTGATTTGGTTTTATCGGTTGGTATTGATTCATTTGTTGGTGATTCTGAAGTTTCTTGAGTCTCCATGGTTTCATAGGGTGTTAGGTCCAGTGTCTGAATCATTTTCTTAGCTCCATGAGGTGGTGGACCGATTAACCTTTCAACATCACTGTAATTTAACACTTCCCGTGATAAAAGCTCCTCTGATAGTGTTTTCAGTTTATCCTTGTTATCGAGTAAAATTTTTTCCGTCACTTTATAGGCTTGAGTGACCATTAGGCGGGCTTGGTCGTCGATAACGTTAGCCAATCTTTTCGAGTAAGGCTTTTTTGAGAATTCAGAGTCACTTCCATCGGAGAAAGAAAGTGGACCAACTATGTCATTCATTCCGTAAACTCTTATCATCCCATAAGCCATTTTGGTGACTTTTTTAAGATCATCTTGAGCTCCGGTACTGATACGATTGAAAGTCAACGATTCGGCAACTCGACCACCTAAAGCCATGCACATCTTATCGAAAAGCTCTTCCTTTGAGTAAAGTTTTTGCTCGGTCGGAAGATATTGGGCGAATCCAAGGACATTGTTTGTTCGAGGTACAATTGTCACTTTAAGAAGAGCGTCGGTGTGTTTGAGAAGCCAACCGGTCAGTGCGTGGCCACATTCGTGATAAGCGATTACTTTTTTCTCTCCCGGAGTCATGACTGAACTTTTTTTCTCAATACCACCGATCACTCTTTCCACGGCGTATTCAAGATCATCTGGACCAACTGATTTGCGTTTGTATCGAGCAGCGTTAAGAGCGGCTTCATTGCAAACATTAGCGATATCAGCACCACTGAAGCCAGGAGTTAATGAGGCCAGACGAGATCCAACTTGTTCTGGTTTAATTGAAAGTTTGATATTTTTTAAATATTTTTCAAATGTTTCCTGTCGCTCCTCAAGAGTAGGTAAATCTATCAATATGTGACGATCAAATCGACCAGGTCGAAGTAGAGCTTTGTCTAGTACTTCAGCTCGATTTGTAGAGGCCAATAGAATAACACCTTCTCGACCCGCCATACCGTCCATTTCAACTAGAAGTTGATTCAATGTTTGCTCTTCTTCACCTGATGTTTCCACTCGAGTTCCACTTCGCTTCTTTCCGATCGCGTCAATTTCATCGATATAAACTATACATGGTGCTCGTTTTCGAGCTTCTTTAAATAAATCTCTAACCCGTGATGCACCTAATCCACCAATCATCTCAATGAATTCCGTTCCAGCCATCGCCAGGAAAGGTACATTAGCTTCAGAAGCAACGGCCTTGGCTAACATTGTTTTACCACAACCAGGAGGCCCTAAAAGTAAAACTCCTCGTGGTACTTTAGCACCTAAGGCCTGAAGAGGAAAAAAGAAAATAAAATTGAAACATTAGAATAATGTTCAAATTTATTCTTTAGATTATTCATTTCTTACCCTGAATTTTTCTGGGGCTTTCAGGTAATCGACAAACTCCATTATCTCAACTTTAGCCTCTTTTAGTCCGGCCACATCGGCAAACTTAACTCCTTTACCGGCTCCAGTTAAAGAATCGACTACCGTGAATCGAGCTCGACCAAGTTTAGTCTGGAAATTAGAGTAAATGTTGTCAAGATTAGAAGACCAATTGAACTTGGAATTTGGAGAAAAAATTAAAATGTCTTACAAACATATTATTTGGTGAGACACTCGACTTGACTTGGGTTAACGACAAAGCGTATAAGGCCAATAAAAGTAAAAGAAGTAGAGTAATGTAACTATTGTCACCACCTCGTTCGTAGATAACAGGGATACCATTTTCTGAGCTTATTCCAAGAGCTTCTTCTGCTTTTCTCAGCTTTGTTTCAAAAGATTCGACATCAACAACGTTTAAGAAAAAAGTCTTCATGTAGGGTCGTTTTCCTTGGATTATTGCTCCATCGTGAAGATGGACAATTACCATGTTACGATCAGGTCGAACAACTAATTGTTTAACTTCTCCTGTTCTTAACATAAGATGATAGAATTCATTCCAAGAAATAAATCCCATGTTCATATCGGCTTGTGGATCAGAACTCATTGCATATAATATGTAACCAACTAGAAACATGGAGAAAGCTGAATGGATGAACATGTTCACTTTTTTATCGTCTTTAATTTCCTTCTCTTTATCTTCTTCCTTATTTTTATTGTCATTATTTTCATCTTTTTTACTATCACTGGAATTAGCTCGAGATTGTCTATCCAAAGGTGATCTAAATCTAAAATTGAAAAGAAGCGAAATAAATTAGATTTTGTTTCTCTCATAATTTGTTTCATAAAGAAAATCTTACCGTTCACTTTTCTTCTTATCTTCCTTTGGTGATGTTGAATAATTCTGAATGATTAGATGATTTCCATAGGCTGTAACTCTAATAGAATTTAAATTTCTAAACAATGTTACCATAGAAGAATCTTTAATTAATCCATAATTAGAAGCTTTTGATGACATATAATTTCGAACCAATAATTGACTTAACAATGGACGACATCGTTGGCAAACAGTCAAAGGTGATGATTTAATTGGTATACAAATCAATTTACCAAATGACAATGAAGCCATTTTGATCACTTCAATCAATAAACCAGCCAACAATCTAACAATCAAAGAAGAAAAAGTAAATCAATCAAATCAAATCAGAAATAAAATTCTAAAAAAGAAAACAATTCAGATTCTCTCGATTTACATTCTTATGATAAATAACAATTTATATAAATAGATGAAAGTTCATACTTACAATAAGAAGATTGTTTCTTAATAATTTAACTAAAAGCAATTTATCAGCAATTAAATCACCGAGAATAAGCTTAACAATCAAATTGATTAAATTCAGAATCAGAATTTCATCACTTGATCAGCTGTTCTTTAAGGGGCTGTATTGATATTGCAAAGAATTTTTTTCTTCGCTTAATTTGAATTCTTGTGAATTTTAATTTGATTGTTTATTTGTTTCTTTTCAAAGTAAATTGTTGACAGTTGATTTTTTTGATAGTTAATTTTAATTCCATGGATGAACTAACCTTTGATTCACGTAAAAATAACGAACCATTGGTTGTTCGTAAGAGTAAAATTATCCAAAATTGGCCATGTTTCCATTGGAAAGACCAAGATTGGTTATCTAATTTTGGATCATCACAATTAACTTTTCGATTACATTTAAATCAATTTGGTGACATTCCTTGGGAGAATAAATCATCCGGACGGATCGTTTCAACTCTTGGCCATTTTTTAGACTGGAGAAGAAAAAGAATCAACGATTTACCGAGTGATAATCCATTCACCCAATTTGATTCTAACCTATTCTGGTCTTACAGTTCATACAATCACTTGGCTAAATTACCAATCGAGGGTTTAATCAAATCAATTAACTGGTCATCCATCGGGTTTGGCTCCAATCTTGGTGTTAATGGTGATTCAAGTACTTTCTGGATTGGGTCAAAAGGAGCAGCCACACCCTGTCATTACGACACTTATGGTTATAATTTGGTCGCTCAAATAGCTGGAAGGTAAATGGTCAGTTAATTGGATCCATTTCTTTTGATTTAATTCAGTTGTTTGAACCTCTCTTTTTGATTGTTTAAGGAAGCTTTGGATTCTTTTTCCACCAAAGGATTCGGATAATCTTTACCCAACAAGAATACCTTATGAAGAGTCCAGTGTGTTTAGTGAGGTGAATATTGAATCAGCCGATTGTGATTTACATCCCAAATTTAGAGACACTTGCCCGTTGATGGTTACCCTTGGCCCTGGTGATGTCCTTTATGTACCTTACCATTGGTGGCATTATGTCAAGTGTATAGATGACCAACCTGATGACCTTTGTATCTCAATAAACCAATGGCTACCAATGAGTGGCTCAAATTGCGACTCACTTACCGAAGGTCTAACCAGCCTTTTAGTGGCCACTTTATTCCCGTTTTATCAACCACCCACTGAAGATTGGCTTGTCGACTCAAACGCTGAGGAAACCTTGACCCATCCCTCTGATATAATTGACCTGGTTGGTCAATTAGCCACATCAATTTCTAATGAGTCGGATAATTTTATCGAAAAAGTTGATCGCTGGATTGACATTGTACCCAATGAATGTGAAAAATTAACACCAGTTAATTGTCAACAATTGAATGAATATTTTACTTCACCATCGTTACCAATTGACATTGACGGAAACGGGAAATGGAAAGGAAAAACCTCAAAGCGAAAAGATTTAAACAAAAAAATCTCAAGAGCAAATATAATCAATTCTATCCTTAAACCTGAAGTGATTCAATTAATTGCTAAAAATTTACTGGAATAAAGTGAAAGTAGATTGAAAATTAACTCGACCCGAGTTGTTAATCTACTCGAAAAAGGAAAAAGTTAAAAAGCCTTAACCAAAGATTAACTTTAGCTTGAGGCTATTCCAATGGGCACTGGTCAGTTTTGGAAAAAAAGGAGCAACAATTAACTACTGGAAATTAATCAAGAGCCAAGAAAAAAGGAAATTAAATCAATTTCAACAATCCATTGTTGTATTGATTATTGCAGTGATAATCATCAATCTATTTATTAACACTCGCTTTTACACTCATCAGATTACGATAATGGTGAATTGCTGGTTCTACTTCAGCTCTGATAAATTCAATCACTTGTCTTGGTGCTCGACCAACAAACGATTTAGCATCAGTTAATTGTCTCAATTCATCTTTGATTGGTTCAAAGTATCGGTGCTTTTCAATTCGATCCAAAAGGTCATTGTTTTTACCAAATTGTTTAACTTGAAGAGCGGCTTCATGGGACAATTGTCGAATCATTTCATGGCACTCTTGTCGATTGGCACCTTTTTTAACCATCGCAAGGATCACATTTTCGGTGGCCATAAATGGTAATTCTTGGTTAATGTTTCTTTCAATTACAGCGGGATAAACAATGAAACCTTCGCAAACATTTTGTAAAGTAATTAATACTTCATCGGCAGTGATAAAAGCTTCAGGTATGATAACCCGACGAATTGCACTGTCATCGAGTGTCCTTTCCATCCATTGAACCGAATGAGTGTTTAATGCCGAAGACATGATTCCCATGAGATGTCGGGCTAATGAACAACATCTTTCCGACCTCATTGGATTACGTTTATAAGGCATAGCACTTGAGCCGATTTGTGTCTCTTCAAATGGTTCCTCGATCTCTTTCATATGGGCCAATAAACGTAAATCGGTACAAATTTTATGAATTGTCGATCCAAGGCCTGCGATTGCACCCAAAACCTCAACATCAACTTTACGAGAATATGTTTGTCCACAAACAATTAAACTTGAATCGAATCCAGAGTAACGAGTTACCAAATCATCCAACTTTTTAACCTTTTCTTCATCGTTGTTAAACAATTGAAGGAAAGAAGCCTGAGTTCCGGTGGTTCCTTTGCACCATCGAAATCTCAATTCATTGCGAACTCGCTCGAAATTTTTCAAGTCCATAAGAAGATCGTTAATCCATAAACAGGCTCTTTTACCGACGGTGACAAGTTGCGCTGGTTGGAAATGTGTGTACCCCAAGGTTGGTAAGTCATGATATTTGCGAGCAAATTTGGTTAACCGATCAATACAACGAGCTAATCGAGGAAGCAAAATGTTAAATCCATCCTTAATTTGGATTAAATCGGTATTATCACCAACGAAACAACTTGTTGCTCCTAAATGGATTATCGGTGCAGCCTTAACACAACGGGAAGCAAATTCATGTACATGAGCCATAACATCATGACGGGTACGTTTTTCGTCCTGAGCCACAAATCCAAAGTCCATTTTATCGACATTTGCCTCCATTTCACTGATCTGTTCATCACTAATATTAATTCCCAAAGATTGTTGAGCTTTAGCCAAATTAACCCACAACAATCGCCAAGTCGAAAATTTCTTATCATCACTGAAATTTTTTCTCATTTCCAAGCTTCCATATCTTTGGGATAAAGGTGATTGATAAATCCCATGAATTTCCTCCATGATGAATAACAAAAAAACGAGAGAAAAAAAGAAAACAATTAAGTAAAAGTGAATAGAAACACAAAAAGCAAAATAATCAAAGAGAAGACGAAAAAAAGACAAAACAATCAAAATAATCTTAGTATTTTTCAAATGACCTTTCAAATAGACTCGGAACTTCAGTGGTATGAGTTTGAGCGATATTCAATTGTCATATCAAAAGATCAAAGTAGATTAAAAATTAACTCGATCCGAGTTGTTAATCTACTCGAAAAAGGAAAAAGTTAGAAAGCCTTAACCAAAGATTAACTTTAGCTTGAGGCTATTCCAATGGGCACTGGTCAGTTTTGGAAAAAAGGAACAACAATTAACTACTGGAAATTAATCAAGAGCCAAGAAAAAAGGAAATTAAACCAATTCCAACAATGCAAAGGTAAAAATTTAATTTCTCAATGAAGTTCAACCTAATTATCTAAACTTTCAACACGAAAACAATAACAATTAAATTATTACGTTTTCTTTAAACCAATAATCATGATGATCACAATTAAGCAAATAAGCAAATAAGGTATTGATTTAAAGATGAGCTCAAGCAATCAAATCTAATTCTAATTGATTGTTCGCCCAATCAATTGCTTGTTTTCATACTTTATAACCATTAACAATTAATTCCCATTTTGACAAGTTGTCATCTCGATTGTTAATTGTTTCACATGTCTCTCCTTATTTGTTAATGATTACAGGTAAATCCCGACAATTTAATCATTGACATGAAATTCTTAACCATTGAAGGTCCATTGGATTTACATTGATACACATTAATTGCAATCAGGTAAATTGATATAATAACAATTAAATTTAGTTGAGTGAACTTAACCCATGAACATTAATTGTTGAAACAAGTAAAAACCTTGAAAGTTGTTTAGGTTACCTTGTTTACTAACAATTTAAATTGTATCAAATGATTAATTTTACTCAACAATATGAGTTATGAATTAATTTGTAAAAACAATTAACCTTCAACTGAGATGTAAAACAAAAAATAACTGATAGTCTTCAACAATTACTAAATCAATTTGTTTAATCAATGAGAAAAAAAAGTTTACATTATTTAAATTACAATTAGATCATTGATTGTTATTGAACTTTGAATTACAATCAATCAGTTGAAGAGTGAAAGAGAGAGAGTAAGAGAGAGAGAGTAAAAAAATGAAGTTAATTTTGTTAATTGTGTTGAGATGATAAAAATCAGGTGACTATGATGATGGCGATTGGGATATGATTAAGTTAATTAATCTTTCTTGGGTCTAATTGTTGATTGAGGTGATGGTGTTTTCTTGAAGAAATAACTTTGAATGAAAAAGTTACAGAAAAGGATAAAGTAACTGAAGTAGATTGAGAAACTGAATAAACTTTCACCCAAGGTTATTTTACAAGGAACATCGGTCAGTTTCATGGTCAAACCATAAGAGGCCACATAAAAGCCGATCATCATTTGAGCGATTTGAAGAGTTGTAATGGAAACGGCGATCGGTTTGGGAATTCGTACTCGAAGAGCTCGAAGTGCATAATAAGAGTACATGAGAGAATGGACAAAATAATTCATCGATCCTGTCCATCGATTAATGGCCACCATACCAGGGAAATAGGTGAAAACACAGATAACGGTCATCGCATGATGGTACCAATGAAGAAATGAAAGTTTTGTTTTCGCAAAATGATGAAAGCGGTGTCACCAAATTCAAACACTTTGGACCAGACAAACAGCCAAGACCAAAAGAGAACCATTTTATCCGATTTGTAAGAATTGTCGCAAGCCGCACAGTGGAAGCCATCATTGTATAAAGTGGACACTATTTCGGGTACCATGTAATACGAACCAGCGATTGAAAATATTCCCAAAACAGCGGACCAAAGAGCCAATGGTAAACGAAGATCATAAGGTTTCCTATTGGACATGTAAATGAGTCCAAGGCGAACGGCGAAAACGTAAATTGCCGCAAACCAGAAGCAAATTGTCCAATTAGCTGAATGCCAATCAACCCATGATTTAGAATCCCAAAGGCTTGGGGTAAACCAAGTTCGAAGTACTTTAGGATTCATATTGGAACTTGTCCAATTTGAAGAGATTACAGATTCGCTTGGTAAAAGCACGTTAACACCACCACTGGTCATCTTGAGTGTCGATGTAGATTGTGACACTAATAAAGAAATGGAAGGAAAATAAATTTAGTCCAAATTAAGAACACAAAACAGTAGAAGAAAAAAAAACCGAATAATAAATCACAGAATTGGATGTTGATCAAATTTAATTGTTGTCGAATATAAAATAATATTCAGTAATCGTGTTGGTTTACTTTTAGAGGCACTAATTGTAGCTATAAATTGTGAGATTTTGTCAACTAATCAACTGATTGAGATGTAAACGTAAACTGATTGTTGATGTTTCGTTACTCTGGGTTAATATAATATCCCTTATGATGATGATGGAAAAAGCTAAATTGTAACAATTAGATTTGAAAGCGGAAACATTGGTCCTTCTTAACCTTTCATCCTGATCGACCTTCGATGTCGCACTGAATACGCACTGTAGGTGGATGAGGAAGACAAATGAGAGAGAAAGAGAGAGAGAGAGAAAAGGGAGTGACACTCGAAAAATATTCTTAAATTAGTTGAAGCGAATAAAAAAGAAAACAAAAAATTAAGAAAAACCTTGAATTCTAACAATTAACTAATTGTAAGGTAACATTTGTTGTTCTTCTCACTGTTAACGGATTTAAGGATTGATGATTGTGTCGTTGTCGTTTTTAATTGTTACCACACATCTACAGTAGTTGACAATTTATTAAATTGCTGTTAAATCGTAAATAATAAACAAAACCCACTCACTGATTCACAAGGTAAGGTGAAAGTTAGTTGAATTTGCAACAAAAAAAAAGTAACAATTAACACTGATTGTGATGAATTGTAGAGGAAATAAATCAACACAGACTCAAGATAATTTTGATTCAGTTAAGTTAATTGTTTACAATCAAATGAATGAAAAAAAAGGTCGTGTGTTTCATTGATCAGGAGACTTGAAGACAACTGATTGTAAATAGTACGAAGTTGATTAATATCCGGAGAGTGAAGAGTAACAACAATTTAACTCCCTCGACCAATCAACTAATCAACCTCCCACTTTTTGTTTTACCTTCTCTCATCTTAATCTTAGCAATTAAGTTAATTTTTTTTCTTCTTCTCCATCTTTTAAACCCTTAATCCGATTCACTGAACAATCAGATAGTTTGATTGTTATTCTGATCATTGTTGATGATTAAAAAACTGAGTAAACATACAATTTATTTGATCAACTTTTGGCTCAATGATAAACTCACTTTAATGGTGAATCATTTGATTATTTGTGAATCAATTGTAATCAACCAGCAATTAACTTGCCAACTGATTCACAATCTCTTAATCAAGGTTAATCTTAAGTCTTTTTTAAATCTCCTCTGAAAATCCTTTAATCCTCTCGCTCTTTGGGACTAATCCAATTGAAGGAAATAAGCTTTCAATGGAAATCTCAATTAATCCAATTTAAATTAATTCTTAATTGTTAATAGAAATTGTTAATTTTCTGCTTACCATCGTTAATTTTTTTTGATTTCCTTGAAACAATTAACTTCCCAATAATGATTAGCTTACTGGATACTGATTGTTGTTGTTGTAGTTAGCTGATTGTTGTGGATAATATAATTGTTATTATTTTATTATTTTGATTGCTATTAAATTGTTGTGAAAATGATTGTATGTTGGTGATGATTAGTTAAGGTGTATTAATTTTTTTCGTTGATTGTTGTATCCAAACAATAATAAATTAACACATAATTAACAAGAATCAACAATTTTGTTTCCAACTAATTGTAAGTTAAATTGTTGGCTTGTTACTTTCAACTATTTTTGGCAATTAACTTGATATTCATTCATATATAATTAAGTTAAATTGTTAGTGAACAATTTAAATTTAAACATTTAAAGGATAATAAAAAAATTTATATCTATTTCTGATCATTTTGATGATTAACTTAATCATTGAAATTGTCGTTTTTTAATTTGATTGACTTTGATTTTGTTTTCCATCCAATTGTCTTGCCATTTAATTTGATTTGGTTAATTGATTATTTACTTTGATTGTTGTTGTTGTTGTTGGTCTCCATCATCATTGTAACTTTAATTGGTCATGATTGAGTTAATTGTTTTAGGTGTTAATAATTGTTGTAATATATTTTAGCTTCTGTTTTAGGTTAATTGTTGACCTACAATTAATTGTGTTCATTTTTCAGGTTGATTATATTCACAATTAAAAATCATCCATTACTTTCACATTTACTGTTAACTAATTTAGTTTTCAAAAGTCGTTACCAATCAATCACTGATCATGATGAGTTAATAATAATCAATATAAATTTGGTAATTGAAATTGTCGATAATTAAACTTTTATGATCTAAATTAAGATGATTAAAGTTTTCGGATTAAATTGATTAGTGATTAACTTTTTTCCCCTTTGATTACATTTTTGATCTAATTTATAACAGGAAATTATAACAATTAACTTTAATTCATTTACTTTAGTTCATTTATTCAGGTTACAATCAGTTTCTCTGTAAACAGAAATCTATTTTCAATTAGTCGTTATATTTAATTGTTAACAGACAATTTCCTTGTATAAAATTAACTGATTAACTATCAATCCTAATGATTAAGTTTCTTTATTAGCTCAAATGGAGTTTTATTAACGACGAAAATAATAATTACCGATGTAAGTAAACATTGAGAACAATTTATAATCGATTGATCAATTAATTGGATTGACTCTCATTGGTTATCACTCAGTCAATTGTGACAATTAATCCATAGATTGTAACAATTAGAATGTTGACAAATTTAAGTAGTCGAACCAGTTTGACAATTTCAATTCGGTTAACCTGTTTTCTTTTCTATCAATTAATCTTAACTGATTCACGAAATTCATCTTTCCATTTCTTCATCTTTTTCTACTACTCTCATCATCTTAATCACAATCAATTCTAATCCAGTTGATTATCTTTTATTCATTTGCTAATTTAGATCGATTTGTGTATATTGGAAGAAGAGAAAATGTTATTGTCGATTTAAATTCTAATATTTCGTAATTATTTTTGATACTATTTGGATTTCCATTGATGCGAGTATTGGATAAACAGAAAACTGATTAGAATTGGATTAACTTGATCTTCGTTTATATTATATTGTGACTTAAATCATCATCGATTGTAGTTAATTTTTACTGTTACTCTCGTTCCATATTCAACCAATGTTTTGCTATTCTATTTTACGTTGGAACAGTTAATTTTCCAGATCAATCGGATGGTCGTTGGTCAACAAATGAACCAATGGATTAAGAAATCAGTTCATTTTTGAATGTTAATCTCTTGATCGATTGTGCCCTTGGAGATCTACCGATTGATTCATGGTGAAACTCAGATCACGCGGATAAAATAGTTTCCTCTTACCGCTAGAGGCGATTTTTGGACTTGATAATATTTATATGAGCAGGTCGATGTCAATTGGCCATTCGAGGATTGAATAAGTCAATCCAATGGTCCAAGTTTTATGTTTATTGTCAACTGGACTTGGACAATTACAAACCTTTGATTATAACGGTTAGTCATTCATTCAATTTCATTGGAAGTGTCCTTGATTAGAATCAGTAAAATTTGAAGGACATTCAACAATCAGTCTATTATTATCGTCCTGATGGTCAACAATGATTGATGTTCATGACTATTGATAGAAAAATCATCCAACGATCACATTATCAGTCGAGATTAATTGATCTTAATCCAATTCCATCTAACAGTAATTAAAATGTGAAATAAACTGAACACAGATCAATGTAACATTGAAATCCATAATTGCAACTTCTACCTAATTAAGGCAGAAATTCATCAAATCAAATGTTCAATCAACTAATCGAATCCCCAAAACTGGTAAATAAAAAATTGGCGCGCAAACAATTAGCTCATCCAAGAGGTCAACTGAATTCTGAACTGTGGAAATCCAAATTTGAAAAGGCAATTTATCAGGTTACTAATCAATCAAATTAAAAATCGAATCCAAGATGAACACATAACAATCAATACGAATCGAAATCGAGTTAACCAAAACTTCATTTTCTCTGCAAATAAAAGTCTATTTTCACTGAATCTTCTCTAAGTTTAGATCAACATCTGAGATTCTTTGTTATTGTTTAGAATGTAAACTTTAGACATTTAATTGTTTTCTTTTTGTTTAATTTTCGTTCATTAAATTGTCATTGATTTAATTGTCTACAAATGATTTCCTGGTTTAACACTCGAACCATAACCTTGTTCCAACAATTATAATGATTATGTTACCTTGTAAGAGGAACGGTAAGTTTACCGGTAGAGAGTAATGATCAGTTTTATGGATTAACTAATTGGATTGTTTTCCAAATTGATTCTAATTAACTGATGATTAAATCAATAGAATATCAAAAATATTAAATCATCCATGATAATCTTCACTCTTTAATCCATTGGTCTTTAAGATTATGTCTTTTTCCCTTTTGGATCCGAGACTCTGATTGTTTCAACCTTTCCGATTATCTCTCCACCTATTGATTGTTAATCTATCGTTTAATCATTGATTAAACTAATCACTTTCTCTGTGACCATGTGCTGGTTAACTAATCCAGTTAAATATTCACATTGCTCTTGGAGATCATCACATTTAACTTACTCTTCAATCAGGTAAATATTTAAATTGTAATCTCTTTTCTCAGTTTTGAGTGTTTTCGATTTTTTTTCCTCTCACTCTTAATTATCATATGAGAATTCACCTTCACTACCCACTAATTAACCGTCCAATTAATTTCTAATAATCTTCTCAAGTGTCACAATTAGAATGTTGACAAATTTAAGTAGTCGAACCAGTTTGACAATTTCAATTCGGTTAACCTGTTTTCTTTTCTATCAATTAATCTTAACTGATTCACGAAATTCATCTTTCCATTTCTTCATCTTTTTCTACTACTCTCATCATCTTAATCACAATCAATTCTAATCCAGTTGATTATCTTTTATTCATTTGCTAATTTAGATCGATTTGTGTATATTGGAAGAAGAGAAAATGTTATTGTCGATTTAAATTCTAATATTTCGTAATTATTTTTGATACTATTTGGATTTCCATTGATGCGAGTATTGGATAAACAGTAAACTGATTAGAATTGGATTAACTTGATCTTCGTTTATATTATATTGTGACTTAAATCATCATCGATTGTAGTTAATTTTTACTGTTACTCTCGTTCCATATAACATAACTTGAACCACTTTAAAACACTCTGAGCCCTAAGAGTCAACAATCACTCGAGTCTCAAACTATTGATTAGATTGTTGGTGATTAATGATCAAAAGAATCATTTAATTTATTAATACAATCACAATATCCTCTTATATCCTAACAGTTTACCCCAATAATCTTAATTGCTAATTTATCTCGTGCCTTCTTAATTGTTTCTAAACTTTCTCACTCTTAACATTTATTGCTAATTGTTACCCGTTTACTAATTTCCTATTTCTAATGTTATTTTTGTTTTGGTATCAGAACAATTTACGGACAATCAATGGACTCCAAGAACAGTGTTGTTGCTGTTAATCAAGCAAAGGAACAATTAACCAATGGTGATATGAATGGATTAAAGATTCCCAATGGATTAAGAAAGTCTCATAAATCTTATTCGGAAACTTTGATTAGACTCATGGAGTTTGATAATAACACCAGTGTTTTAAAGCGAGTTAATCCAAAGAATATCAAAGAATCAAGTAATAAGCTTAACCTGTTAATCCAGTTATTGGATAAGATTAACATTAAATTGGATCATCTAAATAAACTTAATGTAATTCATATCGCTGGTACCAAAGGTAAAGGGTCAACTTGTGCTTACGTTGAAAGGATATTAAGGGAAAGAGGTTATAAAACTGGACTTTACACTTCACCTCATCTTGTTTCGGTTCGTGATCGTATCAGAATATCTGGTCAGCCGATTTCAATGGAATCATTTGTGGACTATTTCTGGTCAGTTGAACCAAAGATCGCTGGACATGACGAGAAACCCGGTTTCTTTATGTTCCTAACCTTGTTGAGTTTTCACATTTTCCTGGAGGAAAAAGTTGATGTAACCATTTTGGAAACTGGTATTGGTGGGGAATTTGATTGTACCAATATTGTTCCCGCTCCGATTGTTACTGGAATCACATCTCTTGGTATTGACCACACAACCGTTCTTGGTGATACATTGGAATCTATTGCTTGGCATAAAGCGGGTATTCTTAAGCCCAATGTTACATGTTTCTCATCACCCCAACCCGAATCAGCGATAAAAGTTATCCAAGATCGAGCGAGGGAAAAAAATTGTCCACTTTTTGTTTGTCCGACACTAGATGAGTACCAGAAATTGACCCCAGGCCAAATTTCACTTGGAATTGATGGTCAAGCTCAGAAAACAAATGCATCTCTTGCGTTAAAATTGTCTCGATATTGGCATGATAACCATAAGGTCAAATTTTCTCCGTCCAATGGCTTATGTGAAGTTTCATCAAATGATGGAAATAGTTTCCCGTTGACCTCAGAGGAGATTCATGGGCTCGAAGATACTACTTGGCCTGGTCGATGTCAATTGGTCACTCGAGGATCGATTAAATATTTTCTCGATGGCGCTCATACTGTCGAGAGTTTAGACAATTGTCTTGAATGGTACAATCGAAAATCTCGAGAAATAAGACAATCCGATGGTCCAATAGTTCGAGTTTTATGCTTCTTCTCAGCTGGACTTCGACAATTTGAACCTTTAATTCAACGAGTGGCTCATGAGAAATTTGATTTTGCACTTTTTCCCTCCAATCATATTGATCAACCTGAAAAATATCCCGAAATCATGACTGATTCAAGATACGGAATCGAAGACATAACTGATCGTATAACTAAAACTCGACTCCTTTGGCAATCAATTCAACGGGAAAATGGACGAGATTCAGTTAATTGTAAACAATTTACAAGTTTATCAAAAACTTTAAACTATTTGGAAACCACATTATCATCACAATTATCTGATAAACAATTAACTGATTCACTTGATGATTGTAAACTTCACGTTCTAGTCACTGGAAGTTTAGTTTTCGTTGGCAATGTTTTAACCTTAATTGATGATTCTAACAAATCATATTTAAATGGTTAACAAAAGCAACAATTTAATCAACCCTTTATCATTTATCGTTTAATTGTTAATCGTTAAAACTAATCAGACACAAAAATGGATCCATTTGCATCAACACAATTTCCTCATCAACATTTACAAAAAGAGACAATTTTTTTTTGTTCATCAATCAAATTAATCTGATTCATGGTAATCAATGAGCAAATTGATTGTGATGAATTAATATGATGTAAATTGTCATCTAATCACTGGCTCATGATCAAAGATCACCATTGATGATCAGTTAATTATCTAATGGTACAAAATTACAGCAAAACTGAAACACCCAATTGATTGGCAAATTAATTTAAATTAATTTAATTCTGTTTCATATTCAAATGTTAACTTGTTGATTCTCATGGATTCCATGAAATTAATTTCCTTAAGTTTATTTAATTATATTTCTGCTTTAATTAGACATCTTTTTGAGAAGACAATTAACCATTATGGTGGATCAACAATCAACCGCAACAATTTAACTTCAATTGGACCATTAATTATACCAACCATTGATTCCTGTCCAATTGTTGGCTACCATTTGGATAATTGTTTCAATTATGGTTACAATTTATGGACCTCAAGTGATTCCCTAATTAAAAAGATTGTTGCTCATCAATTATACTTTTTAATTGTTTATTACCAATAATTGAATCAAATTGTGATGAAAATGTTTACTCTAGATTCTTGATTACATCTACTAATTACTCCGATCATGTTAAACAATTAACTCCATGTCCAGAGATTTATCCCTTAAATTGTGAAATTACTTTACCCTTTTATTGGATTTTAGCGATTGGTTTATTAATTGTTACACTAATTGTAATCATCATCGTAATTACTTGTTGCCTTATTGGTGCCAAAAGGAAACAATCAGAATCTAATCAACAATCAGTACGAAATTCATTTCACGAAAGATCAAACTCTTTCTACATATTAACATTTGTTTAAACACAATATCCAAATGATTTGTAAATCTAATTGTTAATTGTGTTTACTTGAACAATTAATATTGAAACAATTCAACTTGAACATATTTCCAGATACTTGGTATCAAGTATCAATATCGTTTCCACTGTAAATATAACATTGTAATAGCGATACCGATATAGAGTCTCAAGTATCTTTTTGTAAACTTTCATTGAGACAATTTAACAATTGTTCAACTCAATTCATTATTGATTATGTGACAATTAATTAATCTATTTATTGTTGATGACATTTTCACTTATGAAGAGTTGTTTGTTCACCTTTGTTTAGTTAAGAATTACAAAAAAAAATTAGATCACAATAAATTGGAATCAATTGTTTATCAACAATTAATTGTCTCTCTCTCTCTATTTTAATTCAAATTTATTAATAGAAAAAGAGGAAATTAATTTAATTGTTGAGGTAAATTGTGAGAATTAAATTTTCTAATCAACCGCTGATGTCTATGTTTACGCTGAGTGATTAGTTGATTACGATAATTGTCAATAGAAACAAGATAATCGTTCATCTGTTGATCTAATTAATTGTGTTTATTATGAAGGAAAAATTTTTCTTTCCAATGGAAAATTAAATTGTAACAATTAAATTATAATCTTCTTTTATATGTTTCAATTTTTCCTTGGATCAACAATCAAATATGTTAATTGTTCACTTTATCTGGTTATCATTATTATCACCTTGGAGTTTAATTGTTGCCCAGCAGATTGATTTCTATGAATGGTCCCAGTTAATTGATGAAAATTTGATCGATGATTTTTATCATTATATTAACAAATTTCGCGTTGAAATGACCCCCGCTTGTGCCTCGAAAATGTTACAACGACACGAGTACGCTAATTGTTACTATTCAGCGGTTGACCGATGGCGATCCAAGAGTAACTTGGACAAACTGGCCTGTTGTTTTATCCTCGATTATGAATATTGTATGTTAAATCTGATTCGCTCTGAGTGTGGCCGTTACGAGGAGACCAAGTACCGAACCTCGGACGGTTATGTTGCCGCTAAGCGACACATAATGTCCATTTTTAATTGTCTCCGTCGGTACGATGACATCGACGATTGTCGATTACCAACTTGGGCCATTATATTGATCTCAATTTCGTCGATAATTGTTTTCGTAATTATCTTAATCATCTTAAAGTGTCGCTACAATATGAGACAACGAAAAGCATTGAAACAATTAAACTACCGTAATGTTGCCTTACAATTACAGCGACAACAATTAAAATAATAATATGTAACAATTTAAATTGTCAAATTGTCTTTGCCAATTTTAACATTCATGACAATTGAATTAATCATTTTCGATAATTGTAAATAATAAACAACATTTTCTATTATTATAACTATTGATTTGTTTGTTTGATTTATACAATTTGATCAACAATTAAAACCAAATTCAACTAAGGTTGGTGGTTAATCTTGATCGTGATTAAAATAATAGTTTAAACTCATCACAATTAATTAACTTTCAAGCAAAAACAAAACGTTGTTACTTTTATTTGGTTAACAGAAAAAAAAATTTACCGTTAACTTTTAATTGTTAACTTTGAACGTGCTCATGTTGTAACTGAATTAATTTTGTTACCATCATATTCGTGTTTTAATTGTAACGAAACACGATGATAAACATAGTGATTAAGATAATCAAGATTAATCAAATGGTTCATTGATAAATAGATTCACCGTTAACTATTTTCTTGGCTTTGATTGTTGATTAAAACATGATTCGTCTTTGAGATTATCCTTTAGCACGTTGCGACAATTAATCTATGTTTAACTTAACAGTTGAATTGATTTAGGAAACTCCAATAAGCTCATCTTCATGATGATGATGATGATGATCATCATCATCATCAGGCTGACTGATTCTAAGAGCTCACTTTAAGTTGACAATTTGTTGATTGTTGTTGTCTTTCAATCCTCTTCATTGTCTTACATTTAGTTGAAACTTTTCATTGTTTTGTTTTGATTTTTGTGTTTACTTTTCAATCACTAATCAATCATTAATTGTTATGTTTGTATCACTTTGATTCTAATTGTTGCGACAATATTTCAATGGTTTACTTTAATTTGGTTAACCTTTTGTTCAATCTTAATTGCTGGACATTGGTATTACCCTCAATTGGATTTTATTAAATTTATTCTTGTGTTTTTTATATTAACTAATTTTCAATCATCGTCATTTAATTTAGTCTTTTTCTTGTCTTAATTGTATCTCATATTTGCTCTTGTTAATTGTGAACAATTAATTCTGTTACCTAATGAGCTCAATCCAGGAAAATCGGGTTAATCCAAAAGCGACTGTTGTTAAAATAAGTGATGGAAAAATAATCGATCAAAGTAAAGTAAGTAAATCAACAATTAACCAACAATTAGTCTGCCAACAAATTAATTCAAATACAAAAGTTAATCTAAAACAATTAACTAATCTAAGAATATGGGATTCTCAGGATTGAAGTGAAAAGTGATTGAGGAAATTTGTGAAACCAAAATCATCATTGATCATTTTTGAATCCCTTTAATTATCAACTAATCAACTAATTCATTAATTGATTACCAATTGATTATATGTTTAAGTTGAATACCTTGATTAGGTCACATTGGGAGTGTTTATTTTTCCGCCGGGTTAAGGTTAAGGTTTCAAGGTGGTAATTGACTCTTAGTCTTTTGTTTTAATCACTGTTAACATGGTTCCTTGAATTTCAATCTTAATTGTTCAGGTAAATTGCTCATGATGATTATAAACACATAAAGGAAGCTAAATACAAATAATAATGGTGCTTTTGAATGTTAATATGCTAAGAGATTAAGATTTGTTAAGCTGATGGAGGATTATGATGATGACAATGATGACCGAGCTTCAGTCAACTGGATAATGAGCCTTAGGGTTTTAAGGTGACAATAATAATGATAATCAATTGATTATAATATAAACCAGTATTCATATAACTGCTAAGGTGTATTATTAACATTAAATTGTCAACAATTTACTGTAACAAAAAGTTTACACATATATATAAAACCATCAATACATTAGCAATCAGTGAACCATTAATTGTTCACAATTTACGGAAGCTAAAGTTTTTAAATAATCAACAATCAAGATGCTATGTGTTAACTAGCTAGTTAATTGTTTCTACCTTAATCAACCTTTTAAATGTTGCAACAATTTACCATTAATAATAATTGTTAATTGTTCATCTTTTTTTTTCACAAATTGCTATTGAATTTTGATAGTTTTATTATTTGGACAATTCCGTAAATTTCCTGTTAAGTTTGTTAATTGTTGTACATTAAGGTTGAATTATTATTATTAGTTAAAAGCTTAATTGTTTGTATCAAGTTGATTGTTATTTGTTGTTATTTTGATTTGATTTAGTTTCCGAAAGTGTTACAAGTTTTGAGGAAAAAAAAAAGTTTATAAATGAAATTGATCATTTGATTTCTAATTCAAATGGTAGATTAATTTTTGGTGATCAACAATTAACAGGCAAACAATTAGATCAGTTTCTCTTTGATTGTCTTTTTGAAAATCTCAATTTCAAGGTTAATCAATAGATTGAATCATGAAAGTGATCATCATGTTCAAAAATCAGTTAATGATTAGGTTAATCATTTGCTCTTGATTTTTTTTAATGTTTTACAATTTGAACAAAAAAAAGTCAACTACAACAATCAACAAGTTTAAGCTAATAGTTAATTGTTGTTTGTTTGATTATAATCAATGGTGCAAGTAAATTGATGTTTTTGAAAGGTAATAATTATCCTAATCATTATTGAAAAGGTTGATTAAACTTCATCAATCAAGATGATCTTCACTAATCAAACCAATTGAATATCAAGAAAGAGTCAAAAATAATCAGATTGACATTATTTGCTTTTCTTGTGATTGATTGTTGATCAACAATTAATCTAATTTTATCCGAAAAATTGAATTCCAATAGTCAATTGTGAGTTAATTATTTGATTTTTGTTTCTTTTTAATTACTGTCAATAGTTTGGTAAAAAGCTTTACAATTATCCAATTAATCAAATAATTGAAAGTTCACCTTCATCATCAACCTCATCATCTACCGCTTGTGTCATCAGCTCTTTGCCGATCGCCGTGGCCTCTTCAGCGGGATACTTTAATTCGGCCTCAATGTTGGACTGTAAAGATGGTTCCTCGTCTATAGCATCTTCCGGTCGATCTTCGGGTCGACCTGAGGTCAATCAAATTCTCTCTGGAAAAGGTTTAACAGCGACAACCATCCAGGTGACCACACCGAGTAGCAACACCACGACCTCATTTAAATATCCAATTTCATCATCTAATCATCCTCATCATCAACAACAACAACAACATAGTAATGGTGGAGGTGGACGTAGATCCTCACCTACATCTTTACCCCCTGAAGGTAATACAAGTACCAAAATGGTTATTGGTCCACCTTCAAAACCATCGGCCACTGGTCAGCCAACAATTATCAATGGAATTGATGTAGTTCGAGATGATTTTTGGAATCGATGTCGAGTTTACAAGAAAAGGCCAAAAAATATCTTCTTCTCTCAATTGTATTCAATTTTTCATCTCGCCTGTACCATAACCTTACTTCGTATCTCAGGTAACACAATTAGTTAATTGTTGAATGATAAAGATTAGAATGATTAACTGATTCTTGTTAACCTTTTCTCCAGGTAATTCAATTCCAAATCGTCATTGGTTCACATTGACAGTTTACTATTACCATGGTTATCTCTTGGGAACTTCAATATTATTCATCATTTTGATCCGCTGCTGGACAACCAAAGACTATTATGGGCCCGAAGAAGGTCACCCAGGTCAGTTCGAGTCTTTAGCAAAGTTTGGGGAAAAAATTTCGAGTTCAATGTTTTGTATTTACATTTTTCTTTCTTTCGTTTTATAGAAAACACTTCGATTCTGTTTGGTTCGATTGCCTTGGGTCTTGTCCAGTTGATCGCAATTGGCCTGAACTTGACCCAATGTTTACATGATCAATTCCTTTTCTTTCCAGTTCTCCAGTTTCTTTTCGTCTTCCTTTTGATGCACTTTATTTTCACCCGCGCTCAACGAGGACCAAAGTACAGTTTGAAAAACATTGCGGTCGCTCATCTCTTTGCGTGTCAATTGTCCCTTTGGCTGATCAATTTTGACCCAAATCATGGTTCATGTGTTCACAGATCATCAATAAATGGACGATCATCATCATCATCATCACTTTTACAACCATCGGCACCATTTTTATCATCATCCTCATTGGCAACCTCTTCTTTTGCCTCTCTTTCAACTTCACTTATTTCATCGCGTCCAAACATTTTACCGACCTCATTTTCCGATCTACTTTTACCAATCTTACACAATTATCAACTATTAACGGCCTTCATTTTGGGCTACATGTGGATTCAAAATAATCGCTGTAATTATAACACGTTGAAACCTCGATTATCTGACCTGGACGATAACACTTCTTTCAGTTTCGCCAAGAAACCCTCATCAATCAAAGGCTTTTTCATGGGAATATTAATAATCTCAACGGCACTAATTGTCTTATTACTTGGTAATCCAGAGATCACATTAATAACTCACACATCGATTCAGGTAAAAATCTCGAAAACAAGTCCCAATCAACTCTCTCAGGTCACTAATCTAATTAATTTTCTATAACTAATATTAGGGTTTATCGGCAACCGCTGCGCTCATTGGATTGATACTTCGAGGTCGTAAGCGTAAAGGTTTACACAAAATTGCCGATCCTTGTCTCGATCCCAATGATAATCATATCATGTCCATTATAACGGTCGCTGGTGCCTATACTTTGGCCATTTATGATGTCGTCATGTCGGCACTTGAGAATTCACTATCTTCCCATAAGATGGTCAATCATGGTGCTCTTATTATTCAGATCACTTTACAAACTTTTCTCCTTCGCTCCGATGGACGGAAACTCCACCGGTCAAGAGATGTCTTCGCTTACCTTATACTGTCCAATTTTAGCCTATGGATTCTAGAGATAACCTCAATGGCCACTCATATGACCTCCGCTCAGACACTTTCACTTCATCATCTTCCCCAACTACTGGTCACTTTGAATCGTTTCTATTCCGGTTTGGTTTTCATTCATTTTTGGAAAATTAAATAACAATTAGTTAATTAACCACACAAAACAAGAGTAATAACAATTAAATGACTCGTTATTTATGTATCCAAATGAGAAGATTAATTTTCGCTTTGTAATTAACTTTTTTCATCCCCTTTCAATTAATTAATCATCACATAAATTGTTTCTTGATTGTTTTCATTGATCTTTTAATTGTTTTCAATTAATAATAAGTATTAATAATAATAATATATAATTTTTGACAATTACCAATTGATTGTATAAAAGAAAAGCTTTTTTTTTTGTTTTGTATTAGCATCAATTACATTATTAAATTAACTTACAATTTGTTGATTAAAGTTAATTGTCCATTGGTCAGATTTGATTAGTATCAATAAAATATTCATTTAGATAAATATAATTTATGATATAATTTGTTGTTCAAATGTATTGGAACCATTGAGAACCGTAATTGTGATGGTGATGATTGTGATAAGTGTTGAGTAGTGTTGTGGCCGCGGCGGCGGGGATGAACGCTTGACCAGTGTATCCAAGGGCAGCGGCTAATGGAATGGGCATTGAGGGTGGACACGAGTATTTGGTCTCATGGGTTTTAACGTGTTTTTTCAGATGATCTTTACGACCGAACCTTTTTGAACATATCGAACATGAGAAAGGTCGAAGGCCAGAATGGATTCGCTTGTGTCGGGTTAACTCCTCATTTCGAGTGAAAGTTTTACCACAATTTTCGTGGTCACAGATAAACGGACGTTCACCTAAACGGAATGACGATGAGATGAAGACCAAAAATTAATAAAATCAGATCACAAATTCATTGAGGTGACAATTTGATTTGAATAAATTATGGATAAATTATATTAGGTAAACAACTAAGTAATGGCCAAAATTTTTTCGAGCTTACATTTCGCTTGATTGTTAGAAAACTTATCATTTTTGATTAATAAATTTAGTATAATTAGAGTTAGATAATAAGCTTTAACATGATACATAAATGATCATTTTATGATGATTAGTTTAATTACAATTAAATTATATCTAAAGTGATAGAATTTTTGTTTTTCAATCTTTTTTATTTGGAGGTCATTTTTTCGATGAATATTGAACTTTCGAAAATTAAAATTAAAACAAAATATTCTTTGGATTTTTGAGCTACTATTGAATAAATTTGAACAATTAAAACGATCAAGCTCAAAATTTATTTAAATTTAATCAAAAAATCATTTACCATTGAAGAGACATTGTCTATGGAGATTTTTACATGAAAATTGAATCATTTTAAATCAAGAACTTCATGAATCATCTCTTTATGGAAAATCAATGGTAAATGATTGATGATTGTGGTCAAAAAGCTCAGTTAAAATTAATAAAATTTCACACGAGTCTTCATGAAGTAATGAAAAATGATAATCATGATTTTCACGAAATTAACACAAGAAGTTTTCTAAATATTTAAATTAAAACAAAAAGTCTCAAAATTTACCCCCACAGGTTATATTGATAGGAATAATTTAATTTCTTTCAAATGATTGGACAATTAACTTACCTGTGTGTATCCTGATGTGACCTTTGAGTTGACCGTTATTAGAAAATGAGACCTGACAATGTGGACATTTAAACTTTTTCGGTCGCTGTTTCTTATTCACTGAGGGTGATATTGATGAGGATGAAGAGGTTGATGAAGATGAAGACAACGGATTATGATGATAATGATTAGCTGATGATTTAATTGGTGATGAGACACTTAAGTAATCATGATAAATTTGATTAAGTGATGGATAAAGTGTTGATATAGTTGAAGGTAGAGATGTTGTTGACAAAGACAATGAGGTTAATGAGGAAGATAATGATGATGAAGGTGATGAAGATGCAGATGATGAGGATGAGGATGAAGATGATGATTGATCCCAAGGCCTAAAGATACTATTAAACATGGACATGATTTAGCTTTTCGTATATAAAAAAAATTACCTTTAATTCACATTAATTTAGAAAAATAAATGAAATATAATTTGTTTAGTAAAAAATATAATTGACATTCAAGTGGATTCGAGAGGTTTGAACAAAAATGGTTCACATAAATGAGTAACTCGAACCTACGAGTTAGTTTATTGACTGATCCACGCAAAAGCAAAGTCAACAATGTCCTAGGACAAAGTACTTAGGAGGAGTCAATTCGATAACAAGCCCTATAAATATACAGATACATAGAGAACACGAATAAATAAATTGTATCATAATCGTACGGTTGAAAAGCGATGTGGTATTAACGTGCTTGACCATCACTTCAAAAAGGTAAACTCCTTGAAAAAAGAAGAAGAAAAAAGTTCTACTTCGAAATCAATGAAGAAGAAAACTCCAAAGATTTCGAATATAATTCCATCCATCCCTCCCACCTCCACATCTCTCTCTCTCTCTCTCCCTCTCCCTTTTTTCTCTCTCATTGTAACACTTTTCTTCCTGAGATTTACCTTTGACACCGTTGGACAACTTTTTTTATTGTGTATATGTGACACTTTTGTTGTGTCCTCAGTGTGATAATAAATGCTACTTACATTCACTTCTGGCACGGTCGCACTCACTTACTCTCTCTCTCTCTCTCTCTCTCTTCTCACTCTTCCTCCCAGGTAAGTAATTTGAAAAGGTTTACACACATTGTAATACAACCAACGATAAATATATTTCTCACCTTTGAAGAGGAAGAAGACAAAAGATGATGATAATATAATAACAATCAATGACCAACACTTAACCTCCGCTAACAATGAGGTCGCTTTTTTTACCTTGAGTATTTTTTTCATCTTCCTCTGGACGTTTACAAAGGAGGCATTGAAAAGGCGCTGATATTATCCTTTTCAAATTGGTCTTAAGATGATGATGATGACGAGAATGATAATCTGTCTATTTTACCTTTGACTCTCATTTTTCTCTTTCTTTTTTTCTCTTTTCTTTTCTTTTCATCATCATCATCCTCCCTCCTTCCTCCCTCCCACTGCCTTCATCTTCATCTTCTTGGCTTCTTGTGGCTTAAAGTTCATTATACATCTTATCATCTTTCACACCTAGTTATCATCATTATCTTCATCATCTTCATCATCTTTTAACTGTCACCACAATTAATTATCTCCTAATCCTTTTTGTTTGTTTTTCTTGTTTCACAATTAACAGTTAATTTGATTGTAACACAATTTTCATTGATTTTTTTTACTCTCACATGAAAAAAAAAGTTGACAATTTTTTTAACTCCTCTTAATCCGGTCAAGTCAATAGACTTTTACTCGCTGGCCAATGGTCAAAGTCATCATCTATTGATATTGTAATTATTATGAAAAATACAATAACAAACTTATTACTTCAAGTGGTCATCTTAATACTTACACTTGAAATGGATTATATTTCATTCACAACAATCAAATAGTATTATTATCATTATTATTATTAATATAAACCCTATTGATTGACCATCATCATAATTATCATAATCATCATCATTATGATTATGTTAATAATTTGACTTTCAAATGGTCACAACAACAATAATCTTGACCATTACATTGATAATAATCATTCAGAATCTTTTTATTTTACTTCTGGTCAATTGATTGAGAAATTATTTTTCTTTTCCCAGATTTCCTAGTGGTCAGTTTTTTTATGAATGAATTTCAGGAAATTTCTTCCATCATGATAAGTGTGTGTGTCCATCATGAAACTATTAGAATTTGAAATTTCTGGTCACTTTTATCAAAAAAGAAAAGAGAATTTTTTTTTCTATAACATTTGATTCTCATTGGTTATCCTCTTTTTCATCATCACTGGATTAATAGTGATTATTATGAAACACTGACCATTGTTATCATCATTGATCTTGTGATTGTACAACTAAATGGATTTATATCTAAATCAGTTATTATAATTATCCTCATCCCTTGTTATTAATCCTCTTCGCCATTTTTATCCTCTTCCTCATCCCATTATCATCATCATCCTAACCTCTTACACTTTATGGTCTAGTTGATTTACATTTGATATTGATGATTTAAAAACATCAATGTGATTCATTCATTGTGACTTTGGCACACTCACTTTTATCATCCTCATCCTCATCCTCATCTTCATCTTCATCCTCATCATCCTCATCCTTATCCTCCTCCTCCTCTCTTAGCCCCTTTGTTATCATCACTTGATTTTGTCATTAAATTGGTTATAGAAAAATTTTTCTTCTCAATGAAAATTTCGAGAAAAAAAATTCTGGTTAGTTAATCAACTGATTCAGTTAATTATCAGTGATTATAATTAACTTGTCGTCTCTGGTGTCATCGTCACAACTAATACTTGACCTTTGATAACAATGTCTTGATATGGTTATCATTACAATTAGAAACTGATTTTTCCCTTACTAAATCATCACAATTTATTATCCCATTTAATCAAGTGACAGTTGATTGTTGGACAAAAAAAAATCAACTAATAATTGTCATTGAATCTTGACTGAGTTCAATTTGATTTGGTTTACTTTAATTGTCACAATTGGTATTTTAATTGATGATAATACACTAGGAATTAGGTTTCTTATCAATAGTTTACATTATTAACCATTGATAATTGTGATCATCAATTGTAACAATTTAGTCTTTCGTTATGGTTATCAAAATTGATTGTACTTAATTGTAAGTTAACAAGGATCCATAAGGTGAGATATATCATTAATGTATCAAAACAGTTGATTAGTTAATCAAACTGGATAAGGTTAATAAGTTAATCCCTAACAAGATTTGATTGTTAGATTATTTAATCTTGAAACTTTATTTGATTTGATTTGATTTGTGAGGATATGAAAAAAAAGTCAAAGTCAACAATCAAATATTGTAACCACTTGAAAGGTGACAATCAAAGTTACAAATGATTATGATCAATGATTACATGTTAATTTTGTTTAATACACAAAATAATCAAAATGAGAAACTGGATTAACTGTATTAATAACTTGATAATCCTGTTTATTAATAGTTATTTATCAAGATAATCCTAAATGTTGACAAACATGCACACAAGGGATAAGCAAACAAATGGTAACAATCAAATTTGATTATCCAAGAAAAGTAGAGAATCGGAAAGGAAAAAGTTTTTTTTTCTTTTTCAGGTAAATTTTTCATCTTCATCACTATAAACAAGGATAATAGACTATAAGCCACAAGTAGTTTAAGATGAAGATAAAGACGAAAAGAGAGAGTGAGGAAGATAAAGAAAGAGGAGGAGAAAGAGAGAGAGAGAGAGAGAGAGAGAGAAAAGCGGAAAGAAAAGGATGAATTGAGCACGTTAGCACTTTGGCGAAGTAACTTTTCCACTCCCATTGTGTCCGCACCAAGAAGTATCAACTTTGTCAAGAGGTCGTCATCTCACCTTTTGTCAGAAAAGTGATAACCATAAGCTACCGTTTTTATTATCATCATCTTTCATCATCATCATTATACCTTTCAAGGTATAAATTTCCAATGTGTATATTGGATGATAATGATAAATATCACCTTTTATCTCTCATTCATGTATAATAATAGTTTCTTCTGGTTTTTCTCACTTTACCTGTGATATTGATAACAAAAGGTTTCAACCTCTTGACAAAAAGCATAAGAAACACAATAGAGGCGAAAAAGTTACTTCGCCAAAGCGCTAACGTGCTCATTCAAATTCATTCTTTTCTTTTACTTCGATACATCGTTTTCCTCTCTCTCTCTCTCTCTCTTCATCTTCATCTTCATCCTCATCTTAAACTACTTGTGGCTTAAAGTCTATTATCTCTCGTACATGTGATCAAGATGAACAATTTACCTGGAAAAGAAAAGACAAACTTTTTTCTTTTCTTCGAATTCTTTATCGAATTTGTTTGTGTTAAATTGTTTGTCAACATTAAGATTCTCTTGAAGATTTACTATGATGATCAAGTAGTGGATTAATTGTCATAAATCCATCATAGACTCACACGTTCATGTTTAATCTCAATTAAATTTTCCATTTCAATTGTTATCCAATCAAAATTGATAATCTCAAAGTTCGTGTTCAAATTTTGCCATTTTCGAACCAAATTATCTATTGGTCATCTCAATTGCCGATTCTAGTACATTTAGAGCTTGAAAAGGATTCGAATATATATTTCTCCTTCACTCATCTGATCTTTTTTTGTCTTCCACCTTTGACCTGACCCCACATTCCCACCCGAATCTTCATCATGTTACTTGCTTTGGACTTTTCAATTGTCCGTCAATTGATCAACTCCTATTTTTGGGTTAGATTTTACTTTCTTATTACTATTACCCTGTAGAAATGGACATAGTATAGAGTTTGGATGAAAGGTCTACAGGGTCATCAATTAGATTTTGACTGTTGTTGGTTTTTGTCAATCAAAATTAAATGACAGATGATTACGATTAGTTGATCACTTAATTGCTCTCAGATTTTTTGGTTATGGTTAATTGTTGATAAAAGATTAAGATGATTTATAAATTGGTTATAACTTTAAATTGTTGTTTAACAATGTTGATCAACTACTAACCATGACTAAAGACTTGATTGTGTGATGACCTTTAGTAAAATTGATTGTCACAATTAGCAATGGTTATCATGATGAGAGTAAGTTTTTTATTCTTGTATCATTATTATAAATTGTTACCTTAACAAAGCGAATCAAATTTTCATCAATTGCTAATTCATCAGTTGTTAATTATATTGTTAAATGGTTAACAATTAATGGTTGACATAAATTGTATCTCATGATAATAATTGTCAACCAGATTGTCCAATAAAACTTAATTTAAATTGACATTGACCGAATCAAATTTTAATTGTCAATTGAAAATGTGATTGATCAAAATTTAAAAAAAACCAAACAGATAAAACTAATTGTTACTATTATCATATATTTGATTAGTTGACTTAATTGTCCATTTAGTTTGACATTTTCAGTTCTATGGTAACAATCAGGCCAACGATCAACTAATAGACTGATACAGCTGATTGGGTGTTCGAGATGAAACTTTGATCTTGATTGAGGCTGAGAAGAAAATCGAAAATTATTTGTTCTTTTTTTCGAATTTTCGAAAAGTAGAACTTTTTTTTTAATAATATCGAAGTTGTTGTGTGGATATTATATAGAAAGGCAGAAAAAAAGGAAAGTGAAAAGGGCAAAGAGGAGGCAGAGAAGAGGGTGGAAAACGAGGAGGAGAAAAAAAAGTGATGAGGATAAAAGAGTGAAAATGAAAGATGAAGATGGTGAAGATGAAGAAGAAGAAGAAGAAGATGATGATGATGATGCATCTTCTTAGGCGTAAAAGCATAAGCAAAGTTGAATGATGAGTGTTGATCGTAAATGAAATTAAAGTGAAAAGGGCTGAATATGGGAGCGACAATGGTGATGATAATGATGGTGAAAGTAAACAGGGAGATGATGAGTGATGATGAAAATCATGATGATGATGTGAGTGTGCAGTGGGAGAGGGAAATGATCAGAGTTATCATTGAATGAATCATATTATTAGCCGAGAATCAAAATGTATCCATATAATACCAATATCAATGTATATCAACTAGACCATAAAGTGTAAGAGGTTAGGATGATGATGAGGAAGAGGGTGAATAGAAGATACAAAAGGGGCGATGAGGAGGATGGAGAGGAGGAGGAAGAGGAGGAGGTGGTGGATAAAAATACCGAGGAGGGAAAAGATTATAATGAAATCCATTTATTACAATAACAATGATAACAAACAATACGTAATAACAATGGACAATATTTGAATCCATTTAAATTGATAGCCAATGGGAAGTCAATATGATGATGATGATGATGATGATCTAGAAGAGGAGGAGGATGATGAGAGGTGTCTCCAGCAACTGATTCTTGTTAAAATCAATCTCTAACCAGAAAATACCCACTCTCTATCCTCCATCTTCCTCCTCGTCAAACCAAAACAAAGATACACAAGTAAACCAGAATATCCATTGAATCCAATCAATGGTTATATTGTTTTCTGTCATCTTTTCAAAACTAATCAACAATTAAACCAAACACAAAGTTATCAATGTCATGTTAATAACGGTAAATATAATTGTGGTGTTTAAAGTGAATTTTTGTTGTATAGGATTGGCTTTGGCTCGAATCGGCATCGAGAAACTTTTTTTTTTGACCTGAAAAGTTTTTCTCTTCACTTTTTTGATGCTCTGATCCTTGAGAACGACAAAAATCAAATGAAATGATTAATTCAATGCTAATTTACTTTGAAGATGCTCCTTTGGGTGCCCATTGTTAAATTGTTGCCATTAATGATCACGTTAATTGTCAATAATGATAATGATAATTTATTTGATTCAATTGTAAATTTTTACTTTAAAAATGGTTCACGAACTCATGTTGAGACAATTTATCAATCCATTATTAGTGAGTGATGACCAGAAGTAAAATAAAAAGATGCTGAATGATTATTATCAATGTAATGGTCAAGATTATTGTTGTTGTGACCATTTGAAAGTCAAATTATTAACATAATCATAATGATGATGATTATGATAATTATGATGATGGTCAATCAATAGGGTTTATATTAATAATAATAATGATAATAATACTATTTGATTGTTGTGAATGAAATATAATCCATTTCAAGTGTAAGTATTAAGATGACCACTTGAAGTAATAAGTTTGTTATTGTATTTTTGATAATAATTACAATATCAATAGATGATAATCTCACCTTGTGGTCAAGTTCAAGTTGACCAATGGAAATGATATTGAAAATTATGAATATTATTATTTTGGAAACTTTTTTTTCAATTCGAAATCAATTTATACTAAACAAGGTAAAAATTACATAAAATATTAAGCAGATTAATTGAAAGTTGAACAGTTTGACCACCAACTGACCATGATGGTGATGATTATTTGTAAAAATGAATCGCCAATCAAGATGATTATCAAAGTGATGATTAAAGAGGTGTGAAAATGATGAGGATACTTGATACTATTATAATTGACAAACCTTAAGCCACAAAATTGTTGAAAGATGATGATGATGGAGATGATGTGAAAAGAAGATGCGAAGATGCGAAAGAGGAAAAGAAAGAGGAAAAAAAATTAGATGGGAGGGATGAAGGAGGGAAAAAAGGAAAGGTAAGAAAGCGTCAAAGGTATAACATAGACATATTATCATCCTTATCATCCTTATCATCATAATCATCATCAACATAATGATTTAAAATCAGCACGTCAGCGCCTTTTGAATGCCTCTTTTGTTAATCTTTGTCCTTGCTAATCCATTGTTATCCCAATAATAAATATATGGACGGTTTTAAGTGGGAACCAGAAGCAAATGTAACAAAATAAAATGTTACATTGATATTTATATGGATATTCAATGTTATCATATCGACATTGGCACTTTGGCCTTTAGCCCCGTCAAAGGTAAGGTGAGAAATGGATACTTACTTATATATATGTGTGTGTGTGTCCGCTTGTTATACTTATTATTACCTTTTTAGTACCAAAGTAGCACGGCGAACGCGCCAAATGATAATAATAATAATTTCGTGCCAATAGTTTTGTATATAAGTGTAGATATTATTACCGATCACATTTTTAAAGTGTCACTTGAAAACTAACACTCAAAACGTTTTTTGTTGTTGTTGTAATAGGAGTAGTATTGAGTTCGTGATACCAATTGGATAGGGCCAAATATTACAATAGCTTTTGCCCCTCTCCCACTCAAACAATCAACTTTGTTAAATTGTTACAATTTGAACAATAAAATGAAGCAAAAAAAAAAAAAAGTCACACAACGTTAAACATAAATAATCATAATCAATATTATCGTTTTCCCTTCTAACAGATTATCAACCAATCCTTAATCCAATTCAATTGTAATTCATTATCCATTGTCTGTCCATTGTGTCAACTTGTATATCTATCAAGTGTGTGTTGTTCATCAGGCCTTAAGGCCTTTGCAATTGATAAATTTGATTGTTGGAGAAAATTTTCAATGATGATTAAATTAAATTGTTGGCCGATTGTGTTGTTCAACTTTTCTCACTTCTTCCTTTTAGCTAAATGTACTTTTGAGATTCTGTTTTTTTTTTCATCTCCTTGATTGTTTGCTAATTGTTGTTATTGATACTCGTTGATTATGGTCATTATTTTATTGGATTAGGATTAAGTTAAGTGTTGTGTAATTTTGATGCTGATTAGTGAGAGGAGATTAAGTTTATATTATTAAAGTTATTATTTAGTTAGTTGAATACAAAATGTTTTCGCTATTTTTTTTCTTTGTTGATTATTAGTTGATTGTGATCGCTTGCGATTGTTTTAATTAGGCGAATGTTAAATAATTAAGAGATGAATCAAGATATGAACCAACTTGTTCACAATATTCACTGAGAAATGATTTGTGATTTCCTTGGACTCGATAAGTTTGGACCTTTCCATTGACGTACTATTTGTATTGGGAGAGAATTAGAGTAAATTGATTAGTTTAATTCTAATTGTTGTTGATTAGCTAGAGAACTTACTTTTGATAATGAATAGTCGGCAATTGTATATTCTTCAGCATCTTCTTCTTCCGGTTCGGTACAACGGATTAGAACCATATCTCCGGTGAACTTTTTCTCGACTTTGTAAAAATAGGCCAATTTAATTTTATGGAAATAAGCGTCCGCTGCTTGGGACAACTTTTCTCCGTCACAGTCAACGGAGGTCAATTTACTGATCAGTTCGGACATTTTTTGGCATCTTTCTTGTTTACTTTTCATTGCTAAAAGAGTTCGCTTTAAAGTGTCCATTGATTCAAGTTTAACAAATAGTGAGGTGAAACCGACCAACCAGTTGACATGAGCTTCGTCCTCGTCGACAACTTGTTCCCGTTTAATCAGTGATCGAGCTCGAGCTGAAAGAAGGTCAGGTGAAGAGTCCAAGAGTATCAATCGATTGGCGCTTTGAGTACCAAACTTTTGCTGTAGTTGCATGGCCACTTCCAGTGCCAATAGACCACCAAATGAATAGCCAACCAGGTCAAATTGAGCCTCATTCGGGTATTTTTCACGAATTGCGTCAACATAAAACTCGGCCACTTTTTGTATCGTATCGTATTTGATACAATCGGATACCCAATTAACACCCGTTACTGGCCTCATAATATACTCAAGAACGGGCTTAATGGAAAGGAAATTGCCCTCAATGGGTGGAAAGTAGAGTACCGCTGACCCATTTCGAACCATTAAAGGTGCAAATATCGTCGATGATATTGTGAGTGGATCAATGGACAAAGAATTTGCTATATCGTTGGAAACACCATCAGTCGAACCTGATTCGCCGCCGCTTTTATCACCAGCTGTATTTTTTTTCTTTCTCTCCTCGATTCCGGGAATATCTTTGATCTTTATGCCTCGAATCTCTTGAGTCGATAAAACCAAATTGTAATCTCGTTCCAGTCCTTGTTTAATTTCAACGGCCATAAGTGAATCAAGACCAAGATCGGATAAGGTTGATTCAGGGTCGAGTTTAGAGTGATCTTTAACACCCAAAATGTGACAAATAACTCGAAGAAGAGATTCTTTACCAGTGGCTGCTGACCTTCGTTTATCGGCCAGTACAATTGAAGATACAACGGGATAAGGTGTCAATAGAAATTTGTCAAGAGTGTCAAAAATTGATGGAAGTCGCTGCGGGATAGTGCCCGCGATGTTAATGTCATTACCACCCATCAGCTCGGCGACCACACCTACATCTCCAAGTGCACCCCATTGAATGGCCAGTCCATGAAGTCCATCAGCTCGTCGTTTTTCACAGATACGCTCGAGCGTTGAATTGGCTAAACCGTAATTAGATTGACCTGGGTTACCTTTACCTGAAGATATCGATGAGAAACAAACAAAATAGTCCAGATCTGTGAGGTTCATTTTACGGCTCACTTGGTCCAAGTAGAGCCCAGAAGTGGCCTTTGGAGCCATGACCTCTTCAAAAGTGGCCGGGGTTTGATTCTCGAGGAGGGAATCTTTAAGCACCATTGCCAGATGAAAGATACCACCAATGGGGCCGAGTTTAGATGATGAGGTTAATAAGCGTTCAACTGATTCGGCACTTTGACAGTTTTCATTTGAAACGATAATCGAAGTGTTGAAAAATTGATCTGATCGAAGTCGATCCAACATTAAATGTTGATATGGTTCTCGAGGACCTTGACGGGAAGTTAAAACCAATTTGGCTGCACATCTTTTAACCATCCAATGTGCCAATTCAAGGCCCAGGCCACCAAGACCTCCAGTGATTATGTAAACTTTATCGGGACGGAAAAAGGTCTGACCAATGGCTGGATATATTTTAGCCTGGGGAACGGGTTCACTGGACTCATCTCGAAGTTTAATTAAAACTTTACCCAAGTGTTTACCACTGGCCATGAAACGGAAGGCCTCTTCAACTCGGCTTGATTCAAAAATGGTCAACGGAAGTGGGACAACTTCACCGGTTTTGATTCCGTTTTCAATCATACATTGAATCGCATCCCAAATGACCTTCCCTCTGACCGGGTTTTTGGTCAGGACATCTTCCTGGAGATGGGCCAAACAGCACGCATGATAGGACTTGTTGTTGTCTAAAATTGTCGCATCTTTTGAAGAGAAGATGAAATAAAATGAGAACTAAAATTTTTCGATAATTTAACTTTTCCACTTACCGATTTTCGTGTTCTGAACCAGATCGTATTTTCCAATTTCAATGAAACGACCGCAATCGGCTAAACATCGGATCGAAGCTTTGAATTTATCTTCAGCAAGAGAGTTGAGGACTAGATCGACACCTCGGCCATTGGTTACTTTAAGAACTTGATCTTCGAATGAGGTTGATCGTGAGTCGGCGATATGAGCATCGTCGATCACCGGGAATCGCGATTTAATGTACTCTCGTTTAGCTTGAGTTCCAACGGTGGTGAAAACCTCACAACCCATTGAGAGACAAATTGAAATCGCCGCTTGACCAACTCCTCCTGTACCAGCATGAATAAGTACCGATTCTCCTCGCTTAAGGTTACCACGGATAAAGAGTCCATAATAGGCTGTAAAATAGACAACGGGGATACTTGCGGCCTGAGCAAGAGTCCAATTGTCCGGGACTTTCATCCGATAAAATCGAGAGTCGATCATAATTGATGTACCGATTGAACCTCCAACACAAATGCCCATAACCCGTTGACCTTCACTATCGATTCCAGAATATTCCATACCAACATGAGATTCAACTAACTGGTAATGATTTTCAGGATAAGCGTTGACCGGAATACGACCAGTGGCCACCATGACGTCCTTAAAGTTTAACGAACCATAATAAACGCTAATCATGTCAACTTTGTTTATCAAAGTCTCAGTTGGCAGTGGAAGAGGCCAAGAGTCAAATTGAGCTTGGAACCATCGAAAAGAGGAAAGGTCACCTTTCGTTTTCACATCTACGTAACAATCTTTGGCATTGACGGTTATCTCATCGACATCGTCCAACAATTGGGCTGATAAAGTACCGACCACACTTGATTCGTCCTCACTAGAACTTTGGATTATATTGTAAGCTAAATCTTTTTCCAGAATATCATCAGGAATCGATAGGTCACTTTTATCGTCGATACTTTTATTTGGATAGTAAAGACAACGAACCAAATTTCCTCGAGGCTCTTTACGGAGGCAAGTGGTCAGTCCGATTATTCCGTTGGTTGGTCCAGAGCCAACGAGCCAAACCTTGTTACCTTTTCCAATCAACGAATCTTTCAACGATTCAATCCAATCAAAATTTTCGTTGGTCACTCTTATTGTTGAAATAGGCGATTGGTCATTTGGCCCAGAACATTTTCGAACCAAAATCGATGACCAACCCTCATTGAGTAAAGTTTTCGTTGAGATCAACGTGAAACCAACTTTAATCAAAGCCGATTTGATTGTTTCTAAATCATAGAAGTCCAATTTGTCGTTTGAATTAATTGATTGTTCTGATGATAAAAGTGAACTTAATTGTTGCTCAATTGATGTCAATTTGTTTCGAGTGATAAGTAACATGAATCCGCCCTCTTTTAAGCACTCAAAGGTCATTTCAAGAGTTTCGGTCAACTCGAAGAAATTGTTCATCTCGGAAAGAATTGAATTATCGCCAATATTTAAGTTAATTCTCGAATCTCTTAGAACAATTAAATCGGATGAATGAATGTCTCCCATTCTTTTGAATTCGTGGTAAAATCGGGTTACCTTTGCTGATGAACTTTCAACAAAGGCCAATAAATTTTCGGGAATTACCAAGTTAGTTGTTGGCCTGATGCCGATGAAAGTGAAATAATCACTAATTGTATCGGACAATGAGTCGATTGAAAAGTTAATGTCCGCCACGGAAATTTGTTTTACGCAAATATTTTCACCAATAATCGATAACTGAGATTCGAGACAGGCCGATAATGGACCTTTATATAGTAAATCTCGAACCAATGACTTCCTTTGAGTCTCGAGAAGTGACTTTAATTCAGTGATTCCGTCTACATCTTTAACCGATTCAATTTGATTCTGATTGATATCGGTTTCGGCCGATGATGAAATTGACCTGGAATGTGCATTGTAAAGTAAATTTAACAGAGAATGTGATTCATCCTTGATCGCTAATAATCGTTGAATTGATTCCGAATCAGTTAGCGAACTTGCTGATCCAGTTCGCAGTGAGTCGATACATTGGAGACAATATTTCGAGTATGAATCAATGTGACCCGATAATTTGCTTGGTAGCGATATTGTTTGATCGTAAGGTGAAAAAGCCGTTGTCTCCAAGCGCGCTAGTTGAGTGTCTTGACGACGACCAACAGCCGCTGCTTTAGCCCCTTTAATGAGCAGACCTGGAGCAGCACCAATGTTGGCATTACGATCGAAATAGATGTCAATGGTTCCCTGAGTTCCCTGAGGTGCTGATCGTCGGGAAATCTCAAGCGTTTCCAAAGTGACCTTTTGATTGATGAAAACATATTCCATGTAATTAGGAAGGTACAATTTTCGATCAGCTGAGCCAAGAAGTGATATTTGAAGCGCCGAATCGGCCATACTGATCCAATGTGACGTTTTCTTGATTCTACCCCACGAACCATCGGACAGAACTTCGGTAAGACCTTGGAAAGTTTCACCGTAATCATAGCCACGAACTCTGAACTCTTTGTAAATATCTTTCGGTCCAAGGGTAATGGCATCAGGTCGAACTGGACGATGAACAAGTGAATCTTTGGCGAGACTTAAACCATCAGGATTATTTGGAATTCGCCAACGTCCAGTAGCACAAATTGTGTCACTTTCCTTTATCGTAAAGTGATCACCTTTTTCGTTCACGTAGACGGTAAATTTGGCCGGAGAATTGACACTGATTATTGTCGCTCGATATAATTTAACGTCAAAAAATTCGATTGGTAAATTATCGGGAGTATATTCGCCCAATTTATATGCAATATTACACCAAACAATGTACAGATATCCAGTGGCCGGAAATAAAATTCGTCCGTCGATACAATGACCTCGAATAAATTTCCACTCAGGATTAAGTAGATCAACAATCGTTTCCAAATCTTTCTGTTGTAAAGTAAAGTACTGAGGGAATCGAGCAACTAACCACTCAGCGGAATGGTCCCAGTCCAAAAGATGGCCAAGTGATGGTGTTTCTCGAGCCACGGGATAGGTCACTTTGGGATAGAGCACTTCGATTGAAGGATTATGTCCATTGAGATAAATTGACCCAATGGTTTTCAGAAGTGATAACATTCCGGGTTCATAAGAATGGCCTGGATTAACGGGCGATAAATCACTCGATCGGGTTAACATTGACATTCGTACCGCTGATGAGCCCAGTTTGTCGGGAAGTAGATCCAATATCCATTCGGGTGATGAGCCCATTTCGATGAAAAGTCCGTTAGCGGGTAAACAATTTGACGCTTGGTAAAAGTAACTTGGTGACCTTAACAATCGAGTGAAATAATTAGCGCTCACAAATTGGCAATCGTGATCATCCCAACGTTTAGGATGAGCGGAGGTGATTAACCAAGTGTCTGACCTTTGATTATCATTGGTCAGTATTGATTTTAGTGATTTTTCAACCAGATCAACAATTGGTGCCATCAAAGAGGATGAACCAAAAGGTATACCAAATGAATTAATTGGTTGACAATTAATTTCATCTCCATCATTTGCTACTAAATTGTTACAATTAGTGGTCAGTTGATGGACAAATGATTTCATCACCTCAACTGGACCAGTGATGATTGTTGAATTTTTAGATTCTTGTGATGATAATTGAATGTCTGATGATTTAAATGAAAGTGATTCAATTGTCTCCCAATTTAGATTGACCTTTACCATTGAATAATTAACTGATTGTTTCGATGTGTGTTGCAAACAATTAACTCCAATCCAATAAGCAATTAGTAAAACTTGTTCACCAGTTAAACATTGATCAGCATAAGCGGCGACAATTTCACCCAGCGAGTGACCAATTATCCCATCAGGTTTTAATTGTAGCAATTTAATCAACTCATAAGTTGCCATTTGAATTGTTACCATTGATATAAGAGAGTTGATTAAATTGTTACCTGATTGTTTATTATTCTCATTGGTTAACAAAGTGATTAAATTAATTCCATAAGGAAGTAGAACATGATTTAGTGAACTAATCCAATTGGCGATTTCTGGAATTGAAATTAATTGTCGAGCATAATTAGCGTTCATGGTGTGGGTATATAATGGTGAGAATACAACCCAAAGTGGCCTCCGTCGATCGCCCAGTTCACTTTGGTCGGACATGATGATGGTTTGATCGTTGTCCAGCATTAGGTAACCTCGATGTTTGAGTCCAGTTTCTGGTTCGATTTTACTTAGATCATTGATTAGCGATAAAGTGTCGCAAGTTAATGATCCCTTTTGGCTTTCGATAAATGATACGATTCTGGATAAACCGGAAGTGGTTCGATTATTGATATGAATTAATCGAGGGAATGATTTTGAATGGGTCAAGATCTTGTCTCCTTCTGAACGGCGCTTTAGGTTAGCTTCAAGTACCGAGTGGACGTTGACACCACCAAATCCAAATGAGTTAACGGCAATCAAGGGACTTTCATAAGGTGTGACCTGAAGAACGGGTTTAATTACACCCTTGATTAGTGACTCGATAAACGGATTAGGTTCATTAAAGTTAATGTTTGGTGGAATGCAACCATTTTGAAATATCTTGACCACTTTGGTGATGGCACAAAGGGCTGAAGCTCCTTCTGAGTGACCCATGTTGGACTTGAGGCAACCAACAAGTAAAGTTTTATCTGAATCGGGTCGAAGGGCATGAACCAAGGCTGCCGATTCAACAGGATCACCCGCTTTGGTACCAGTAACATGAGCTTCAACATAGTCAATGGTCAACGGGTCAAGATCAAGGGACTTGTAGATTGATCTCATTAATGCTAATTGAGCCTCGTATTTAGGGAATGTGATACCTTCCGGCTTGTAGCCGTCACAATTGGTCTGACAATCCAAGATTCGAGCGTAGATTCGCTTTGAGGCGGATTCTTTCTGAACCAACATGGCGACCACAGCTTCCGATCGACAGTAACCATCAGCGGAAGAATCAAGACACTTTGACTTTCCATCATCAGACAACATGTTCAATTGATGAAAAGCCGCTGATGTATTAGGCCAAAGTTGAATTCCAACACCAGCAACGATCGCCTGGTCACAATCACCCGAAACGATGGATAAAAGGGCTTGATTGAGCGCAGAAAATGAGGAAGCACAAGCGGTATCGATCAGAATGGCCGGTCCATGCCAATCGAATGCATATGAAATTCGAGCAACTCCTAATTCCAAGAAATCGGGTGGATTAGATTCTTCCTCTCGAAGAGCAATCAAAGTGTCATCGTAACAATAGCCAACGAAAAATCCCGTTTTACTTCCTCGTAGTGAAAGTGGACTTAATCCTAATGTGAGAGAGAGAAAAAAACAAAGTTCGATAAAAGGTCACAATCAACAAGAATAACAGCTGACCAATCAATCGGTCAAAGTTAATTACCTGCGTCCCAAATGGCCTCATAAATGGTCTCATGAAGTATTCGTATTTGTGGATCCATGAAGTTTGCGTCTTTAGGACTGACCCCGAAAAAGTCGGCATCGAGTCGAGAAATGTCCTTTAGCTTTCCGGTAAATCGAGGTAAATTCATACAACCTTTAAAATTAAAATCAACAATTAGCGAAAACAATTAACGGTAATAAAATTAACTTCAATTTGTTTTTATGATTGTTATTTATTATTGATTCGGATTAAGGTTAATCACTTGTTGTTGACCATTAGGATGGACAGTGTCCAGTTTATTAAAGTTAATTCAATTCAAATGTCAGAAAGTTTGGAGTTTATTGTTTTAAACTTAATCATTATCATCACCTAACAATTAACTATCAATTGTAATTAACAATACTAACGATTGATTTTTTTTGTTTTCTTTTAAATTTTCGTGATTTTTGTTCCTGTGATTATCTGATGATTTATTGGTTGATTGTGTTTTCATGTTAATTGTTTCCACTTACCAATTAACATGTTGATCATCAATTGTGTTAACCATGATTAAGTCTGGTGTGGAAATTAATTTGCTAATTGTTGAAGCTTTAATCACGCAATTAGCAATTTCTGTCGCGCTAGATTTAATTGATTTTCATGTTGAATTGAATTAGTATTGTTTAAATTGGATTACATTTCAAACTAATCAGCGGAAAAGTTTTACTTTAAATTGTTGGTTAATTAATTGGTGATCGCAATCAATCAATTAAAACAAATTTAATCTCTTGTTGGAACAATTAAATGTTCAACTAATCATCAACATCTCTATTAATAATTGTCGTCGATAGAAAAGTTAATTGTTCAGATTCTGAGTCAATCTATTTGAAGAAATTGTTAAAATTAAGTTAATCAACAATCATTGGATCAATTAAATTGTAAATTGCTTGATATTTAATTCTGATCATCATATTGAACCTTAATCACTATTAGGTGATTAAATAATAAACTTTACAAGGTTACAATTAAATTGATATAAAAAAAAGTATAATTAAAATCACCTTAGACTACAACAATCAACCATAATTAGAAACTAATTAGAAACAACAATTAAATTATCATAGTGATAAAATTTTGACACTAGAAGTTAAAATTAAAGTTCAACAACAAGTTATAACAATCAAAAGTTATATAAGAAAAACAATTAAAAGTAAATTTAGGTTTTCAACACGAGAAAAATGATTCCAACAATTAGTTAATTGTGATTAACTTACCCAAAGGCCATCGTCTATCATCAGCGGTGTAAAGTTCAGTTCCTTGTAACAATTTACTCCAAAATTCATCGATATTATCAGATTCGGGATATCGACCAGAAATACCAGAGATGACAGTCTTTTCCTTGAATTTCATGATTAACAATTAAAGTTGCAAACAATTAACTAATCACAGAGAGAGAACAAGTAATCAAAACAATTTAATTGCACAAAAAGTTTTTTCCGTTGATCAAAATGCTAAAGAAAAAGTGATCTGTTAAATCGTTTGGAAAGACTATTGAGATGAGAAAGTTATTAGAATTGAAATCGAATTTTTTTTTTGTTCTGATCACTTTCGATTCTTACAGATCACTAGTTAGAATTGGTGATATTCATGATGGAATATTAATAGTTGAGAGTTTCGATTATCATGGTGGTGGGAAAATAACACGAAGAGGAATGAAGGAGGTGGAGGATAAGGAAGAGAAGGAGGAAGATGAAGATGAAGATGAAGATGGAAGAGAAAATCTTTTTTCTCTTCTTCTAATTATATTGTCGAAATTACTTTTGATTGTCATTACATTTGATTAGCTTTTTTTATTAGAATTTTTTCCGTTAATAGTTATCACCTGATAACTAATTGTTATAACAATTAACTTAACAACTTGATTCCAATTCATTTTAATGGTCAATCATTTGTTTACCTGTAAAACTGTCCAATTGATAAATTGACCAGTTAACTTTATCATAACAATTTTCATCGTTAATTGTTGTCATTTATACGTTTCATATCCGTATTGATAAACAAATTAGTTGATTATAATAGTTTTATCAATCATGACAATATGATTATATGTTTATCTTAATTGTTCATCAGCTGATCGCATAATTACATCGGATTAAGTTGAGGTCAATGGTAATCTATTGATTTGATTGTTAACCTTTTTTGTTGCTTCTCAAGTGATTTAATTTGATTGTAATGATGATTTTGCAGAAAAAAACTGATTAAGTTGCAAATTGTTGCTGATTATTGATGACCATCAATCGCTGGTCATTTATTTGAACTGAAAAATGAAGATATTAATAAATCTCTAGGTAACCTTAAATGATTACCTTTCAATCATTTTACAATTAAATTGCGATTTTATTAATACAATTTAAAATTAATCGTTTCAATTACAATTCAATATCTTAATTTTTATTTTTATTAATATTAATTAGTCCTTCGTCCAAGTCAACTGTCCAATTTGCTTTGATACCTTGTTGTCAATCATGAGATTTGATTCATTAGGTCCACTCCATATTGTTAATTGTCAATTAATCAATTGATTGCTTGGTGATGTATTGATTGTTAATATATAAAACAGAGGTGTGCAAAAACGTGGTAATTAAATATCCAAAATTGACTTACCCTTGACCATCAATATCTTAAAGGCAATCAGAAGACTAAATTGACCATTTAAACAGTTAATTGTATCTAAACTTTGATCAATTTACAATCATAAAGCAAAAATGTTAATAGTTAAATAGATTTAATTTAATTAATATCAATAGTTGTTCACATTTTATATAAATTAACTTGATGATCATCATGAAACTTGATCAGTTTTGATGTTCACACTTGCAGGTAATTTAATTGTTAGATTGACTTCCTACGAGGTTAAATTAACTTGTGTCATCTTTCAAATCAATCAATCGATCAGTTAATCATTGGTAAGGGAAAAGTTAATTCATTCAATGTGGACAAATATTTGTGATCAACAATTAACTTAATTATTGAGAAAATGTTTTAAGTGAAAAATTAACATTGAAGGTTAAATTGTTTTCAAGAGGTTCCTTGAGTAGTAAATTAAATTACAGTTTAAAATAGTGACACAAGTAACAATTTAGTAATTGTAACCAGTAAAACATGTTAATCCATCAATTGTTTTTAGATTACAACCTTGTAATCATAATTTATTAGCGTTGATTGTTGATCAATTTTAATTCCAACTAATAAACAATCAATATAGAAAGTAAATCAACAAGATTAAATATGAAAGGAAAATAAAATGATTAAGAAAATTAAACCAACGTCAATGTTGTTGACGTTTCAATCATATGGTTTGTCCAATTAATTTCACTTTATTTGATCAACTCTTTTCACCATCAGTTTATCATTAAACTGAATTAAGAATTGATTTATCTTCCTCTCCGATTGATGATGATTATGATATTAATTGGAAACAATAAGGTCGCTAATGGGAATTTTTCTCACTTCATCAAGTCACGAAGGTAAAGGAAAAGTTTAGAATGAATTTCATGATAAGTTCTTGTTTTCTTATATACGAAGTAATCATTGAAATTGAACAGAGAGATACAATCTTTTTATACAAGGTTTTCATCGTAATCTTTTCACCTGATTAATTGTTTCGCTTTGTTGACATTTAATTGTTACAATTTGCTTTTTGGTTCAAGTGTCATGTCCAGTGGGTGGGTGATGGTCAAGTGGAACAGGTCAAGAGGCAATAATTGTGAGAGTTGTGAAAATTGTAAAGGAAAAAACTGAAAATACTAAATTAAATGAAAAAAAAACACTAATTTCCAAAATTTGGAATGTTATAAATAATAGTAATCGTAATTGTAATCATGATGATGATCATCTTGCTAATTGTAATCAACAAAAAAAGATAATCAACAGAGAGAGAGAGAGAGAGGAAGAGAGGAAGAGATAATCAAAGTGGAGATGATTTTAATTGTTGTAATTGTGGTTCTAATCAGTGATACTAATTGGTTTGCATGGTTCATTCAGATTCTTAGAGTTGTTTTTTGTTTTCACCTTTTCGCGTTGATTGTTGTTGATTAGTTTTGCTTTTATTGTAATTAAAATCACTCCAATGTTGATTTCGTTTGTTATGTTCAATTTGATCAATCAAATGATCTAAATGTGATATATATTAGTTTGTGAACCTTTTTCTGTTTTGATTAGTTTGATTTAATTTGGACAATTTGTTATAACTAAATTAATTGATTTTTGTTCAATATAAGTGTAAGTAATATTTTTTTTTATGGGCGAGATCAAAATATATAATTGTCATTCTAAAACTAGCTGATTAGTTAATTGTTTTACTTTACACGGAAGGGAAATAAAATTATTAAGAATAAAACTAATATAAGAATAATTGTTGGGTTAATTGTTACAATTGAGAGGGTAGGATAAGGGAATTGATGTAAATCAAGTAAAGAAAAGAAAGAAAAAAAAACTTAAATTTAAGTAATTTATTAATTACTTAGATTTAGTAATTCTGATTCTCGGTGTTGATGAAATTCAAATTGAAATCTTAATCAATTCAATAACAATTTATTGTAGGAAGCGTATAGGGAAAGATTAAAGGTTAACTAAGTTAATTGTTTCCAATTAATTTTTGATTGATCAAATTGAAACAGATCTTTGAAATCATCTTCGTTTAAGAGATAGAGAGAGAGAGAGATTTAAAGGCAATCAGAAAGTAAACAAAAGAGGAAGAGGGTGAATTGGAAGTGGTGATTGGAGAGTGGGGTGGGTAAGTATAAAGGCTGTGGCAAAGATTAAGACATTGTAGTGGTCAGTTTAAAATGAATCCTTCTTGACTGGTATCACTTTTTTACCAGCCCACAGAGTATTATGAATGGTAAAGGCATCAATTGTAACCGATAGATGTTTAGTCTGAACTTCGTTGAAAACTTTTCCTCCACAATTATATCTAAATTAAGAGAAATTAGAAAAAAAATAAGAATTAATTAATCAACTAGATTTAAATTCAAATTAAGACAATAATAATAACACATAATATTGATTTTTTTTTGCTTCGTTCTTTAAATATAACTCATGTTTTTGAATTGTTTTTCAAGCTAAAATAAAGCTTAATGGTTTATAATTATGTCAATTTATATAATTGTTATAAAAAAAATGAGCCAATTAATTAATTGGCAACAATTTAATTGTGAACTCTTTATAAAACTGTCAAGTTTTAATGGTGATCAATTAAAGGTGATCTTGATTTGATCGATTGATAGTTTTAACCTCGAGCTACTGATACTATAATAAGACAAAATTGTAAGGTCACTTTTTCAAAGGTAATCGACAAAAAAGGCTAACGGAAGAGAGAGAGAGAGATTAAATGATAAAGTGGGTGGAAAGTGAGCGTGGGGGTCAACCCTGTAGACGAAATAAAGAGAAAGACAAAAAGGGAGCTAAAGGTAAGAAGTGGGTCTCTAGAAGGAAGAGAGTGGGTGGTGACAATTTCGACCATGATGATAATCATTAACATTAAATTCAGTGTTAGAATTAGTAAATTAGCCGCAAGGTTAAATGAGGAAATATCTAAGTAACAAACAATTACCATCCAACTAATTGGATAATGTTTGTTTAAAAACAGTTAATTTCCACTCTCAGTGTGGGTTAATAAAACTTTACTAATCAATGACAATTAATAAGCTTAATTGAAGGTCTTAATGATTATGGGAAAAAAGAGCAGAAAAAAAGACAAATTCATTGTTATTATTATTACATTGATATAACAATAGATGGCGGATTAAGTGATTAAATTGTTGGTGAAAAATCAATATCTCTCAACGTGTTAAAAAAGTTAATTGTGTTCAAGTGTGGAAAAGATTATTCTGCAAATTGTCAATATTGTTATTGAGATAATCAAACTATTCAATTATCAGGTTGCGATAATTGTTGAATGATGATTGATATTGTTTATCGGTTGAAAGTTAAACTTTTTCGTAACTGGACCAAACTTTTAAGTTGAACAATGGTCAACAAACTCAAAACAAATATCCAATAGTTACGATTGTTAACTTAATTATATTCACACTCACACGCCTTTTGGTTAATTGTTACGATTGTTATTGGTAAAGGTTCCAGTCTAAAGGTTTTTCCTAATTTCATTTATATAACGTGCCAATAAATATATTCCGTTAATTTAAACTAATTTAACTTTCAAGTGATCAACTAATTGCTAAATAATTATTAACGATCAATAATTGATGAATGATGATGATCTCATTTACTCATGAAAATATTAGTATTATGTAAATTGTTACTGACAAAAAAAAAGAGTAACAATTAATCACAATCAGAATTATTTAAAATGATTAAATAATCCTTTTCTTAAAGCTAATCAAATGTTTGTTGATTAAAAATTGATTGAAATTACAAGATGATTTGTTTCATATATACAATTGATCAATCAATTGAAATGTTATTTGGTAGTTTCAATGATCAATCAACTTTTGGTTTCAATCATAATAATCATAATTGTTTACAATTAATAATAATAATAATGTTATTAATTTCACCTTCTTCGCCTGCACACTTAAATATCTCAAAATCATAATAATAAATTAACTTTGGTAATTGGTGATGGCAATGTTAATTGTGGGTGGAAAATCAATATCATATGTTCATAGTTAACCTTAATTGTAGAAATAAACAATTAACGCTAGAATTAAAGTGAGAATTGAGACTCACTTATAAAATTTATCCATCATATCATCGGTAACCATTTTAGGTCCATTTCCGTGAAGTTTAAAAACTTCTAGTTGATCTTCACGATCGGGATTATATGAATAAATGGCTCGAAATTGCATACCCGCTCCTCGGAAGAGTATTAAAAAGTGTTTACTGTCACTATTGTTGATCTCCTGTGGAAAAAAAAAGTTAATTAGAAAAAGAGAAGAAAAAAATTCATTACTCAAAACGGAAATTAGACAAGTGAGTTAATGCAAATCATCATTAACTTGATTGTCAATTAAAGTGAGATGATGAAGAAAACAGTTTCGCCTACTCAATCACATTGAATAATATCATGATGATTAGCTCTCTCTCTCTCTCTCAACTTTGTCTGTTTGGGATGAAAACGCAATTTTCACAAAACATTGACAATCACCTTTTTTTTAAACAACAACAATCAAGAAACCGGAAAACAAGCGATCAATTGACTCTCTCTTTCAATTACTCCAACTATTTTGAAATCGCTACAATTACTAATTGAATATAAACAACAACGGAACAAATAAGTTGATTGGGTTCACTAGTTAATGTCCCAATTTGATCGGGGTTTTTATCACCACATCAATCAATTTTCATCACTTTCTCGATGATCAAATTGTTTAAAAACAATTAGCCAACAATTAACCAACAATTTACTCTTTTCCATTGGGTTTTCTTTTTCATTACTTGATTTTGTTTGTTTTGTTGCTCATTATCTTTTCATCTGTCTACTTTTACTATCACTTTTACACATCAATTACTTTTTCTTTCATTAAATCATTAACAGTAATTGGTTAATTGAATAATCCAACTAAAAATCAACAAAAATATTAGATAATCATTGACTATGGTTTAACTATTACCTTTGGCTAAGTATTAATATGTATTGATTTGTATTTTTTGTTGATTAATTTGTAAAGTATAAAGGTTTAGTCTTAATCATTTCGTTAATCATCTCGCTTCCAATGAAAGCAAATAGTGCATAACAAAACCATAAAGAGACTCTAATTATCATATTAAGATAACAACAATTAAATGTAATTTAGTCATGTTTACCTCTAAAACTTTCTTCTTAAGATTGTTGTTAACTGCACCAGCCAGGACTACGTTAATTGCGTTAACAATAATCCCTCTATTTGATTTAGATGTTGGTTTAACGTATAATTTGGGTCCAGTGTATTCAGAAAACGTTGACCCTGCATCAGAGGCTCCATCGGATGAAGGGCCTCCTTTGTATCGACCAAGTATACAAGATGCTGGTAATTGTGGTAAACGGCAAGTTGGTGATGGTAACCTTTTATTATTAGGATTAGTTGTTGACATAGATGATCCTGGACGTGAACCATTATTAGTTGATCTATTTCCAGAGGTTGGGTGATTAAGTATGGAAGAGCTATAATTTGAATAATTTCCATCCATATCATCGTTTATACGTGATGATTTTGGATCATATGAGGTGTAATCTTGATTATTTGAGACACTAACGTGAAGTGATTTAGGCCGTGGTTTGGTTCCCGATGATGGTCGTGACCGTGATGGACGATACAGGTAAAGGGTTGAACCACTACGACTTGAATCTTTTGGAGAGAAATTTGAAAAATTGGAGCTATTACCATCTTTATCAGAATCTTCTTGAGCTTTTCTCAGACGATATTGTTCAAGAATCATTGTTCGTCTCATTTTTTCTTCTTCCTTTTTTCTCTCTTGAACTTCCTTTTTTTGTCTGTAGATAGAAAAAAAAATAAGAATGAAAAAATAAATGATTAGATAAAAAGTCTGAATATATAATCTGAATTATTAAAAGAAAATTCATTCATTTAATATTAAGGAAAACAAAATTGGTGAAAAAAAAATAATAATAATTTGATAGGGGAAAAGATTATTGGTTATCGAATTGGTAATTACCTTTCTAATTCACGTTGTCGTGCTAATTCAGTTTCTTTTTGGGATCTTTTCTCTTCCTGCATCGCCCGACGTTTCAATGATTGTAACATTATGATCTCTTTTTTCTTGGCCATTTCAAGTTCTGAGACAGGGTCAAGTGCTTGTGCATCAGAACCAATAATAAAACCAACTCCGGGAGTTAATGATCGTGGTTGATCAGATTGATTGTTATTGTTACTGTTGTTGTTGTTGTTGGGCATAATATCGGAATTATTTTCTTTATTAGAATCACCATCATTGGAGCCACTTTTTTGTGATGAAGGGTAACTATTTGTGGTACCGTTACTTTTAAACATTGTATTCACAATATTCTCATTAAGATTAGTGTTATTGTTAACAACGGAACTGTTTAAACTTGTATTTGAATGATTGGAGAGACGCTGATTAAGTCTGAAAGGAACATTGGTTTCACTTCTTGATCTCTCTGAGGTGTTTTCTGAACTGGCCAGTGAACGGATTGAAGGTGCTCGACCCATTGATAAACGATCAGAATTATTATTATCATGATTTAACTCATTTAAACTGTTTCGACGATCACGAGAAACGGTCACTGCACGGAAACACTTTGGTCGTAAAGGAGGTGGTTTCACTTGGGGTAATTTTTCATCGGCAAAAGAGATGAAAAAACCTTTATCCGTGGCGAAATTGGGTATCTCATCTTCTTCTTCAACCGATAAGGTATCAGATGATTCCTTCTCAGAAGAGACAACTAAACTACCTTCTTTTTCATAAACATCATCTTGCGAACCGGAATCACTTTTCTTTGATTGACTAATTACTCTTAAGAAGGCCTCTTTTCCGATGTCTTGTCTTTTAGCTCTCCACATATCTTCAGCTGATTTTCTTTCCTGTTCAATCAGCCTTCTCTTTTCTTCCAGTTTCAACTTAACATTATGATACACCTGTTGTTGAATTTGCTGTTCATCTTGATGATCTTGTTGATGATGATGATGATTTTGTTGTTGTAGGGGTTGTGATGGTGGTGGTGGTGATGGTTGTTGCTGTTGAAGATATTGTTGTTGTTGTTGTTGCTGCTGTTGATGTTGTTGTCGTTGTAGTTGACGAAGATGAAGTTGAGACATTGTTGATGTTGGTGGTGAGGTACTTTGGGTTGCTGGTTCCTCTCCGATTCGGCAAAAATAATCAACAAGTGAACCAGAATCACTTTTTAAGGGTTTAGGTGTTATAGATGGTATCTCTTCGTATTGTGAACAATAGACTTCATCACTACTGCTTTCACTACGACAATCGATGGATGATAGATTGTTTTCAATTCCTCTCCATTCACTTTCGTAAGTGGCTTCAATATCTATAATAATATTGATGAACAAACGACGATAGAAAAGATGATCAGGATGTTGTTCACCAGGGGCAGGTTTAAAAAGATAACGGATCCTAGAAAATTAAAAGAGTAGAGAGAATATTTTAGAATTTAAAAAGAAAGAGAAAGAGATAGGTAATATGTATAAAAGGAAACATTAATATTAAGAGTGAAATCTATTAAAAGAAACACAATGAGCAATGTAACTAAATAAATTTGCAAACACTCTGGGCACAATATGTAGATTCGTAATAGAGTTCGGTAAGATGAATGGAAAGCATATATATAGTGAAATCGAGAAAGTGAGAGAAAATATAAAACTCAAGATGGAAAATGATCAAATCCATTTTTTAAGTAGGTGGCAGAATAAGCGATGGACAAATGTTAATGTTTTCTTTTTTAGTTTGGTGGATGGTGACACATACCATCCTCTTCGTCGAGCTAGGCCTCGCCATAAGGGATCTGTTTCGACCTTATATACAATTAATCTTCTCCATAGCATTCCCTCGGCTATAATACGATACCAATCACGGCAAACTAATTCAGCACAACATAAAGAATCAGGATCCAGATAGGATAAAATATTCTCAGCAACATGATCAAGACCTTTCTCTATGAATGGTAAAAGGGAAGAGAGAGAGAGAGATAAAGATAGAGAGAGAGAAAAAAAAAGTGTTAACATTTTGGTTTACAGAGATAAATGAGAATATATACAATTTATATATAATAGAATAAGGTGGACAATTGATTTACTTACGTGGTAAAAGAGAAATTATATCTTTTTTCAACATTGGTTTAAGATAAGTGTCGATTTGACTTTGTTGATGATGAGACATTTTGGATAAAAGAGATTGAATATAAACTGTTTGTTCTGGGTCAGTCCAATTCTCAAAGAATTTACTATCCTCTTTAAGCTGATGGAAAAATGGTTGAGGGTTATCTTCTTCTTCACCCTTTTCAGCACCAAAATCTGTCATATTTTCTTTAATCACCAATCAAATTAAAAAGAAAAAAAATAACCAAATTAACAAGAGAAAAAAAATCACATAGAAAAGTACAGAAGATTCAGTTGTAAACATTAAGAGAATTTGAGAAAATAAATGAAATCAAAATAGAAAATTTTTTCTTCGAAACTAACGCCATCTGATGAGTGTTTCGATTAACCTCCAAGAGCATTCTGAAGAGTCACGTTTTTTTATCTCTCCTGAAATTTATATTATTTTCATTGTTTTTTGTGATTTATTTGATCAAATTCTTGTGAAATTATTAATCAACAAGTGCCTACTCACCCTGGGAGCCCTTGGAACAAAAAAATGGACTTGAATAAACTGAGTAAGTCGTTAAATTATTTAATACAGAACATACACAAATCATACCATACAAAGAGACACTATACATTCAATCACTACCATACAACATCTAATATACAACTTAAATCTTTTTATCTTACATATTACCTGCTAATAGATGACAATAGGACCTCTTATAAAGAAAATATGAGATAGTGAAGAGCTATTTTGACAAAAATAATGACGTTAACCTCAACAAAGAAACTACACTTGCAGAAATCACCGCCTACCCCATCATCAAATACTTGCAACTTGCTATCAAAGACAATTCTTTCACCAACAAACTCAAGGATGATGAAGTTCTCATGATGATAAAATTCACCGAAAGACTCCTGGATATTAAAGAATCGGAAAAACAACCCGAGGAAGAAAACTCTGAAATTCAAATTCAAGATCTTTCCAACAATCAAATTAAAAACTTGTTATCCGTCCAATTTGACATCAAACATGATCGACCAAAGACATGGTTCAACGTTGAGCACCTCACTATTCATCATACAATCATTGTACGAATACCTGGTACAAAAAATACGCATGATAAGAGAATTGGAGACATTGTCACAGAAACAGTGGAAAATCTACTCGAGGAAACTGATGAAGATATTGGATCAGTCGAAGAGGTGGTACCGGGTTTCGATTCGGCAAAAATTAAATGCTCAAATGTAGCTGAAAGGAAAAAAATCTTCTCCTTCATAACAAAAAACAACCTCAATGGGAAATAAAAATTCACCAATAAGTGACCCACAATCAAAATCCTAAATGTAAATTTGATCCTGAAACTCAAATCAATGGGTTGAAAATCATCATCAAGAACAAATGGAGGAAATGTTGGAAGTTTCAGATAAAACACTTCTATCGCTCTGGCAAATTTTGATCTAATTGCGGAAATCGATCCTGCTCTAAGAGAATGGTTTGAAAAGACAAATGGCCAATTATCTGTCGGCTACAAAAGCTAATGTCATTGACTACTTTGATATACGCCAATGTCACCGCTGTACCAAATATGGTCACCTAGCAAATCGATGCACACAACTCGGAATCTGCCCCTACTGTAGCGAGAAAAATCACATTCATGAAGAATGTCAACTAAAGAACCAAAGCAACAAATGGAAATGTTCAAACTGCAAGAAAAATGGGCACTGTGCCTGGGACACATCTTGCTCAATCTTTCAAGAAAGGCTACTCTATGAGCTCGAAAGAAAAAATTACCAATACAAAGTCATCATGGCCTGAATAATACGATCATTAACCTTCTCTGATTTTCATCTTCTTATTACACTCATTTTATTTTTCTTTTTCTTTTTAAAATAACGAACAACTGAAACTACTTATACGAACGCTAATTAGCAAGTCTCTTAATTAGACCAAAACCTTCCTCATACTCGTTTACCCACAAACCTCTGCCCCGAAGCTACATACTTATACATCTCACGAGTCTTTGCTTCTTTCTCTTTTATTTAATCTCATTAACTCTTTAAAACCTGAGATGGTTTTTAACTCATCTTCTCATATCGTCTTCCTGTTTACTCCTAACAACTTAACCTCAGGCCAAACCCTCCAGAGTAAATTCAACCCTCGTACCAACTCAATTCTCATTGTATTCTCACGCTGACACTTAAGTAAAATAAATAAACTAATTGACAAGAAAATTAAAATCAATCAGAACTAATTTTCATCTATTGAGAAAAAGAAAACTCAACAATTTAAACGACAAACAAGTTAACAACTAACCAGAATTCAAACTGAAGTTATTAGTGAACAAATCAAACCCTATTCTAATTAAATCTCATATAATTTATAATTTCAGTGCCTATTAATGGACATTAAAAGAGTACAAAGAGAGTTACAAGCAAATCGCTTAGGATGGATAAAAGCAACACCGAAAATCAACAAGAATGACTTTTTTCAAGTTGACCCGGGAAATAGTGAACCATCAACTATAGTGGACACAATCTTCACCCAAATTGAAAACTCATCGAGAAAGATACAAAGTTGTCGATTAAGGAAAAATGGCCGATTAGAAATTGGTGTTTTCTCATCAGCCTTAAAATCAGAACTAACAGAGTTCATATGTAAAAAATTCCAACATGCTGTGATCTATGACTATCAACCGACCCCCTCATCGATCTACTTCAAAGTTAAAAACAAAATCTCAGCATTTAATATCGCCTACAACAACTTAATCATCTCTAATGAACTAGATGAGGATAGTGAAACTTTCATCCAAGATATTAACTGTGATGAAGAAACAATCATCAGACTGAATTTGAGTCAAATTAACAGAGAGAAACTACTAGATAAAGATGGTATGATTTCTTACTTTGGAAAACTCTATCCGTTCTATGACTACTTTGGAAAATCTCAGTGTAAATGTCTCACGTACGATCATCAATCTGATTTAAACTGTGTCCCTCGTTGTCCTGAATGTGGTGAAATACACGGAGACCAATGTAAAACTGAAAAAAAGTGTTATCTGTGTAATGGTGCTCACTCTGCGTGTTCAAACAAATGTCCAAAAAATAAATTGATGGTAAACAAGTGGGCAAAAAATCACTCGATTGATTACGATTGGATAATCAGAGATGAAAATATCACTCAATTACCTGAATGCCAGGAAAGGCAGTGAAATTACACGTGAATTCATAGAGAGAACTTTAAAAGCCAAGAAAACAATTCTTGTCTTGGTAGAAGCCAATAGGAAAACCTCATTAAATTTTCTTCTAAAAAAAATTATTATCAATGACCAGACAATTGCAATTTCATCACCAGATATCGACCTACATCTCGTTGAGACAACTCTAAATAATGTCATAATCGCATTAGTCACAATTCAAAACAAACAAATCTTCATCGTGGGCGCTTACATCAGCCACATTAACCAGACTGAAAATATTCAAAATTTTGTCGACTTGGTAGCTATGGTAGCTAATTATCCTGTTGTGATCGTCATGGACGCGAATTGTGAGTCTCCACTCTGGTCATTCAGAGATTGCCACTCGAGGAATTCCAGCATCTTGGAGAGCTTCATCAAGGAAAAAAACTTGATGGTAATCAATGGGCCAACAGCCGACAACTTCACCTTCAGATCAACACTCCACTCGACCTGGATTGACTTGCTCCTCTCCAATGTTAGAACAGTTGAATGTAAGTATGGAGACATTGTCACCGACCATAGAGAGTTCATGTTAGAAGTTCAACTACAAGACAAATTTCTAGAACTAAAGAGAAATTTTAGAATAGATTACATGACGAAATACAAAATAGATTTTAGCCTTAGGAACGAACCCGAACTTTTCTTCAAATCCATGTATGACTTTCAATCAAAATATAGCAGAACAAAAAAATGTCAAGTAAAATCAAATAAGAGAATCAGTAAGATTAGAAACAAAATTAGAAAATTAAAAAGACAGAATGGAGATAGAAGTCTAATCTCTGAACTTGAGAAAAAGTGCATCGAACTTAGAGAAAATAAGAGATTAGGTACTTTTAGATACTTGTACAAGGTCAGAAATAATTCGAAACTGATGTGGAGACAGATAAATGAAGTTATAAAGCAGAAAAGATCAATTAGTCTAAATCTATGGGATAAACCCATGGACCCTGATCTCAGTAGTTTCAATCACCTAAGACCGAAAGTCAATCCAGAGGTTGGAGTGTCATCTGAGCTGGACAGTCTGGAGGAAAAAATGATAAACAACCTAAACTTCAAAAAAGGCTCCGGAAACGCTGACAATTTCTCCCTGCCGATGTGGAAAAAATTTTGGGACATCAACAAAAAGGAGATAATATCAGCGGTAAAACTCTCTTTTCAAATGGGCATAGTACCAGCGACGATAAAAACATTTGGAGCTCACTTCATCCCGAAGCCGAATCGATCACTCAGGCTGATAAAAATCTCATCTTTTCCCCTTAAAATATTCGACAAAATCTTAACAAAACGTTTACAAAGCAAATTACCTGAAATTCTCATACCTCAGACTCAATTCGCTTATCAAAGTGAAACAAATTCAACCGATCTACACGTACGATTGTGTGAACACCTGGATCGAGGTCTAGTATTATCCATCGACGCAACAAAAGCATTCGACTTTATCTCTCTGGATGCGGTTTACAAGGAACTCGAAGAGAGGATTGACCAGGGTACAATGTCATTAATCAAATCTTTTCACACGAATCGAGTGTTGAGATTTAAAAAAGATGGAAACTACCTCTATAAACAGGACGACATGGGAACCGCTGCTGGCTCATCTCTGGGCCCGATCCTTTTTATCATTGGCCTCAATCACGCAATTAAAAAGATCAAAGAGAAAAACGTACAAATTATGGCCTTCGCAGACGACATCATGATTCTCACCACCGAGGAGAACGCTGAAAGAGATCTTAAGATAGTAACCGACGAATTGGCTGAGATTAATCTTCAAATCAATCTTGAAAAAACCATGACCACAAGTAGATTGGTATTAGATAAAAAATTAATAGGAAAATTTGTCTCTTTCTCTTTACACGAATCTCAGTTGGAGAGATTAGTAAGTCGATTTACACCCAAAGTCACTCAACAGATCAAAGTTGTTAATTGCCTACCCATACACTATCAACGAGTAATAATAACAGCCTTTTACTCACCAATGTTATACTCTATTGGACCTCACGCCTTATATAAGAACAAGAACTATCGATTACTTATCAACAATCTACAAACAATAGTTAACCGGCGTCTAAAAGCAGCCCTTGGTCTAAACAAAACCATCTCCAACTGGCTTCCATTAATCGTCTTCAGGATAAAGAACCCGTTGAGCATTTGGCTTGAAAACTTGATTGAATCGATAAACCGTATGGCTAATAACAAGGAAAACTGGCCAATTAGTGAAATGTTCGTGGAAAAAATAACCTTTAGCTACCCGAATAATCAGAGCGTTGAGTCATTTTGGAAACGTCAATGTAAATATTCACCTTTAAATCGAGTCTACATCAACATCAAAAACAACGAGTTCTCTTTGGACAATGAATTAATATTATATGAAGTCAACTCGAAGGAAATAAAAACTTTTCTCCTTGCTCTCTTTATGCTAATAAACAAACATAAAGACTCCAGAGTAAATTATGTTCTTCCTGAAAACGTAATCAAATATAAAGTGTCGATCACAACAAGGACCATCATCAGGATGTTGGAATCACAGATTGGACTTTACACATGGACCACGGAAAAAATCAGTAGACAAATACCAGAAAATCCCATCAGGAGAGTGAAATTGAACAACATGATCAAGAATGAGAACGATATCAAGGAAAAGATCAAGGAGAAAATAGAAGAAATAATCATGGTTAATCGACAACCGTCAATTTATTACTACCTATTTCCGAACTACCTGGACAAGATATACAACAACTTCCATGGCTATAACCTGAGAAAAATCATTAGAATGATCGAGTCAATCAACCTGAACACACATCTAATAAATCGAAAGAAAAATAAACAAAGAAGCTACAATCACTACCTATGTCAATGCTCAAGCACGAGACAATACTGGAGAGAGGACTGGAATCTCACAAATAACCTAGAAATTAAAGAAAAAACAATTTGTCTGATTGAAATATATAATATTCTTGTTGTAAAAACTGAGCGTCTAGCTCGGTAGTACTGCCTCGGCGGGAAAATGCGTGAGGCATTTGTCCTTTTTTGGATTATATCAATAAAAGCATCAATTGAAAATCGAAATCGATTTGGTCGAAAGAATTTCGATTACTTTGAAATCGAATCGAACTTTTAAAGTGCAAAATGTAAGAGAAAAAGAAAGACAATTGGAATATGAATGATCTTCGATTTATTTTCGCTCTTTAAACAATCGATTTGTTTGTTTGATTGAGAAAAATTTTTCGATTTTAATTTGGATCCGTAATCGGATCGGTTGGAAATCTTTTCTCATTTTCTGTTTTAATTGTAAATTTGTTTCTCTCTTGAATTAATTGTTTTTTTGTCTTCTAACGATATTTAATTTTGTTCTCTTTTAAATTGTTTGCTTTTCTTTGTTCAACAGTTTAAAGGTAATTTTGTTTTAATTCTTAGATGACGGACATTGTGGATGATACAGTTAAGGGTGAGGATGGAGGTGATAAAAAGGAAAACACAATTGATTCTAAATCAGATCAAGAATTCATCTTTATTCACGACACGTGTTTCAATGTTACAATTTCATCGCCCGGCAAGAAATCTTTCGATATTCAGGTAAATTATATATATAAAATATTTCTCCAAATGCAAAGTGTAGAATTAGAAATCTACATTGGAAAAGAATTGGTGTTTTTCTTCATATTGGAAAGAATTTTTTTTTGTTCTTTTCTCCATTCTCAATTTTTCAGGTTAGTCCAATGGAAATGGTTCAAGAGATTCATCATCTTCTGATGGATAGAGAGGATACATGCCATCGGACATGTTTTTCGTTGCAATTAGAGGGCAATACATTAGATAATTTTGCAGAATTGAAAAATGTTGATGGTTTAAAGGAAGGATCTGTCCTTGAGGTGGTTAAACAGCCATACACCGTTCGTGAGGCACGAATTCACATAAGACACATTCGAGATCTTCTTAAATCTCTTGATACTGCAGATGCCTACAATGGTCTAGATTGTAATTCTCTGTCTTTCCTTAATATTATAGCTCAAGGAGATATATTCGGTATGACAATTTATCTCATCAATGCTTTCTCCATCTTGTTACTCGCTCTCTCTTTTCTCTATCTCTGTTCAAACTTCAATTTCTCTCCTGCCCTTTTCTTTCTTTGCTCTTTTCCACCATTCTCGTTCCCCACTCTCTCTCTCTCTCTTTCTATTCCTCTTCTTCTCTCCTGGTCTCTTCTCTTTTTTTTTCATCTTTTTCCTCCTTGTATCTTTATCTTTCTTTTTCTATCTCTCTTTTTCTCTTTCTTTCTTAAAATCAAGAGGGAGAGAAAGATTTTTCTCTTCTCTCTCCACTACGCAAATTTTTGCCCCCTAACGAAAAGTTGATTTCTCATTATGATTACCTGTATACTTTTCGTTTCTCTCTTTTAATTTCCTTTTTACTCACCTTGCCCTCTTTAATCTTTTTCCTCGTACTCATTTACTGTTATTACAGAGAAGAAAAAAGGTGCTAGGCCTGATTCTGTCGATTGTACTCCCCCTGATTATATATTACCGGGTAGTAAAGACCGGCCCTTGTTGGCCCTTCAACCTCAGGCAAAGGAGCAAAAAGTATGTTTGATCTTGCAAACATTATGACCTAGACCATGCCTTCGCCATGTGTCTTATTGTTTTTCATCATCATCATCCTCATCTCTCTCTCTCTCTTTCTCTCCTTCTCTCTTTTCTACTTCCTTTCATTTGTTCATCTCTTTTTTCCTTTCCTACTTAACTCACTTCTCAATTCAAGGGTCCTCAAGCACTAAAGGTTATGACCACAAGTGGATGGAATCCACCACCAGGATGGAGAAAACTTCAAGGAGATATTCTTTATCTTTACGTAGTCACCCTTGAAGATAAACGTTACCATATAACCGCATCAACTCATGGATTTTTTGTTAACCAATCAAATGAGGAAATTTTCAATCCACAGCCCGTTTCACCAAAAGTTATCTATCATTCATTAATAGATTTATTAGATCATCTTAGTCCACTATTCAAGAAAAATTTCATCCAAATACAAAAAAAGAAACATCAAAAACATTTATTTGAACGGGTAGCAACTCCATACCAAATGTATACCTGGACAGCTCCGTTCTTAGAGCATACCGTTGACTATATTAGAGCTGAAGATGCATTTTCATCTAAACTTGGATATGAGGAGCACATACCTGGACAAACACGAGATTGGAATGAAGAATTACAAACAACAAGAGAACTTGCCAGAAAAACACTGCCCGAAAGATTATTACGTGAACGAGCCATATTTAAAGTTCACAGTGATTTTGTTGCCGCTGCTACTCGAGGTGCCATGGCAGTAATTGATGGTAATGTGATGGCAATAAATCCTGGTGAAGATCCAAAGATGCAAATGTTTATCTGGAATAATATTTTCTTCTCACTTGGTTTTGATGTTCGTGATCATTATAAGGAGCTTGGCGGTGATGCGGCTGCTTATGTTGCTCCAAATAATGATCTGCAAGGAGTTAAGGCTTACAGTGCGGTTGATATTGAAGGTTTACACACCTTAGGTACCGTTGTGATAGATTATAGAGGCCATAGAGTTACTGCTCAAAGTATAATACCTGGAATTTTGGAGAGAGAACAAGAGCAATCGGTTGTTTATGGTTCCGTCGATTTTGGTAAAACCGTTGTTACCCATCCCAAATATTTAGAATTACTAGGAAAGGCTGGACAGGTACTCAAAATTGTACCACACAAAGTATTGAATGAAAAAGAAGAAGAAATCGAAATTTGTTCCTCGGTTGAATGTAAGGGAATCATTGGTAATGATGGTCGACATTACATTCTAGATCTTCTTAGAACTTTTCCACCTGATGTTAACTTTTCTCCAATGCCATTGGATGAATATAGTGAGGAAGTTAAAAGTATGGGATATCCTCGAATTCATCGACATAAATTGTGTTGCCTGAGGCAAGAGTTGGTTGATGCTTTTGTTGAGGCAAAATACATGATGTTTATTAAACTGGCGGCTTATCATCTTCAACAATCAGGACTTAAAAAGTTAAAGGAAAATGTAACAACTACGAACACAAATGGTGATTTAACTGATCACTCAATTGATAATAATAATGATGACGAGAGTGTTAATCACTTGAAAACAATTGAAGGCAAAGGTGAATCAATTGAATTACTGAATGGTGAAGCTCATGTTGAATCAGATGAGAATAATAAGAAAAATTCTGATTCTATTAGTTCCAATGAAGCAAAAGTTAACGATTGTAAAAAATTGGATATTTTTGATAAAAGTGATGCTCTTCCGTCATCACAGGTCAACAATAATTCTCCATGTGACCATGATAATCACTCTCTTCCGTCCACTTTGAGTGAGCGTGAGAACAATAATTCAACAACTTCCGGTGCCAATAAAGACGCTGATCAAAAACAACTACCCGAAGAAAATAACAACAACAACAAGACTGAATCAACGATAACAACAACAGCAAATAATGAAGAAGTAACCAAAATTTTGGAAAATATTACATCGGGTGGTGAAAAGAATGGTGAAGAAACTACTCACGAAATTGTTCGTAAAGCGGCTAAAGCTGTTAAATCTTTGAAAGAAAATGAATTCGATATCAGATTCAATCCGGATGTTTATTCATCGACAGTAAGACATGCCAACGAATCAAGTGATGAATTAAAGAATCAAAGGCAACTAGTCAAAGATGCTGCCGAGTTTTTGCTCACTGTTCAGATCTCAACTTTCGTAAGTTTTAAACTGATTCTAGACTTGGAACAATTTAAACTTAATTTCTATTTTCCATGTTGGTTGTTTTCGATTAGATTCGAGATTGCTTGGAAAACACAACTGCGCCATTTGATGGAGTTACGCTCGCTGAAGCTTTACACGCAAGGGGAATCAACATTAGATATTTAGGAACCATATGCAAGAAATTAGAGAAATATAATCAACTCAAGTATCTCCAGGTAATTAGACATGTATTTTCTATTAGAATATGTTTGTTTGTTTTCTAATCATCATTCTAATGGTTGATTTTTTCATCTTTTCTTTATTTTTTTTGTTAGAGTATCGTTGTGACTGATCTGCTGTGTAGATCAGCTAAGCATATTTACACCAGTTACCTTCAGGAAGTTGAAACTTTGAGTGCAGCCTCTGCCATAAGTCATTTCTTAAATTGTCTTCTCTCATCATGCCAATCATATTCAATAAAAGAGGACAAACCTGCCAAAAGAAAGGGAAAGAAAAAAGGTAATGGTCGACATCATTCACTTCTCAACCAGTATTCAAATGAATGGTCAACACTTTCACCTAAATCACTATTTGAAAGTTTACTAAATGAACTTGAAACATATTATGGCTGGGAAACTGATGCCAATTCAATAGATCAATTAGTCAACATGTACAATTTACAGAAGATTTCAATTTTACGATCGTTTTGCATGAAAACTGGAATACAAATTCTTATCCGTGAATATAACATGGACTCTCGAAGTAAAACATTTAACGAAGATGATATTCTAAATGTTTTCCCGGTGGTTAAACATATTAATCCTCGTGCAAGTGATGCATACAATTTTTACACCACCGGTCAAACCAAAATTCAACAAGGTTACCTTAAAGAGGGCTATGAGCTGATCAGTGAGGCTTTAAACCTATTGAATAACGTTTATGGTGCTATGCATCCGGAAATTGCACAATGTCTTCGTATGTTGGCTCGATTAAATTACATCATGGGCGATCACAGTGAAGCAATGGCTTGTCAACAAAAGGCTGTATTAATGAGCGAAAAAGTTAATGGAATTGATCATCCGTCGACAATTACTGAATATGTAAGTTTATTCAGCTTGAATGTTTTTTTTTGCTGTTAATTATAAGAATAGAATTGATTCTAATTAATTTGCTTTCTCTTTCTCTACAGTCTAACTTAGCTCTTTATTGTTTTGCCAACTCTCAAGTTACAATTGCTCTTAAGCTTTTGTATCGAGCTCGTTACCTTTGTCTTCTTGTCTGTGGAGAGGATCATCCAGAAATAGCCATTTTAGATGTAAGTAAATTCAATAGATTTGATTAGTTAAATTGGTATTAATTTTGATTGACGGATTTTGATTCTTTTCTTTATTTTTTTTTCTAATCTCTTCTTCTTGATTCTATTTTAGAGCAATATTGGACTAATATTACATTCAGTGGGAGAATATGAATTGTCGCTACGATTCTTAACTAATGCATTGGATCTAAATATCCGATTCTCTGGTAAAAAGAGTTTAAAAGTTGCTTTGAGTTATCATCTTGTGGCTCGAACTCAATCATGTATTGGTGATTTCAGAGGAGCTCTTTCAAATGAGAGAGAAACTTGGGCAATTTATAAACTTCAATTGGGCGATAGTCATGAGAAAACCAAGGAAAGTTCAGAGTGTCTTCGACATTTAACTCAACAAGCAGTTTTATGGCAAAAGAGGATGAATGAAATTTACAAGGGCGATTCTCCTCCCATGATACCTCCCATTCAGATTCAACCTCCATTCATTAGCTCAGTCTTAGAGACTCTTAACATTATCAACGGGATCATCATATTTGGAACTGTTAAACCACAAACTTCATATTTTGACCAGGAAACTGATTAATTTGAAAAACTTAAGACAACGAAATTGACGAACTGAAAGTGAAAAACAAATTAAAAAAAAACAACCGTAGCAAGAGATTAATCAATTAATAATATAATCAACCAACAAGAACCAGTTCAAAACTTTTTTGCTCACCAAACGTGCTCCTAGTTAATTTAATAAATATTTGTATCTAGTTGAATTTAGTGATTGTTAAATAAAATTAGTATTTTGTTCATTAATCATTTTGGTTTTGTTTTTCAGTATTAACTCAATTAGTTAATATTGTTTTGAAAAAGGTTAACAGTTGATTGGTCGAGTCTTTCGATTTGGCTTTTTCTTTTGTTCTCATTTCGAGAATAATGAAATTATTTTCAGTTCTCTTGATTGTCAACGAACAATGAAGTAAATATAATTCTTCTTCTTTAACAATTGACTTAAATTGCCGCTGGTCTCGAATCTTTTTCGTCTCTTCGTGACAATTTTCTTCCTCTTCAATTGTATCTTGAGCTTTTCTCTTCCCTGGATTGCTGATTTCTTTCAATTCATTTGAATCATTCGTAAATGATTCATCACTTTGGGTGGAAATTATTGTTCCTGAAGGACTTGCAACGTTACAATCATCATCCATTTCCATTTCATTGATTTCATCTTTCAGATCAATTGGATTAATCTCTTGATTGTTATTACTTTCATCGGTTGGTGATCGAGCTGCCATTCGTTTGCGTCTTCGTTGGTGACTCCAAGAATTGACTTGACTTCGAATTATCATCTCAATGGATTGATTGCTTTCTCGAATTATATCAACAGTAGAAATTTCCAATTCATCTCTTAAAAGATGCCTAATCCACCGGTAGATACTTTGTAGACTGTAGTTAATTGATGTTATATTTTTTGGAATGGAATAAGTTAATGGGGGATTTTTCTTCTTGTGTTGTTTTTTCATCTCTGCGAATTTAATTGATTCGGATAGTTTAATATCTTCCAGGAAAGTCCAAGCTAATCCCCATCTTAATGTTCGTCCTTGATAGAATTGATTCACTGTGACATCTTTCACTTCGTTAATTGTTTTCAAATGTTCTCGTAAAGTGATTGAGCTTCTCTTGTGACCCAACATTACGGTGTAGATTTTAATTGATTCTTTGAGAATTAAACTTTCACCGATTATTTTCTTTACGAATTCAACTTCACCACCAAGAGTGACACTTTCTATTGGTATAGTTAAATTACTTGGCGATGGTCGTCCACTTTTACGATGCGAAGATGATTTTTTTCCTGTCATTGGCTCATCACAAGATTCGCTGTCCTCACAATTATAATCAAAGGAACGGTCATTAAAAAATGGCGGATTACACATCAAAAAATGAGCCTCCAGTCGGTTGATATTTGGTAAATTGAGTGCAAACATTTCTGGTGTCACTTTGATTACTAAAAATGAGAAAAGAAAAAAAATATTCATCAATTATGATGGACCATTGAAATGAATTAAATTGTGTTACCTTTGATTCGATGTGACAATTGGTTGTTGTTAACATTTTCCACAGCAAATTGATAGGCTAATTCATCAGCTTCAGTGGCAATAAATGACCACAATCTATTGATTGTACATCCAAGAAGAGGGAAAATACAACAAGCACCAGTCCCAATATCTAAACCAGAGACAGTCTCATGAGGAGGTAAATCAAGTAGATTCAGTAAATCTTCAATCCAAAGAATATAATTTAATCTCTGTGGAACAGCGGGAATTAATCTATCCAATGGTAGGTCAACTTTTAAATTAAAGTCATTATCAAGAAGAGTAATTGTCAATATCTTTAAGGCTTGAGGATCATTGAAATTTAATTTTGCTTTTCCATTCTTATAAAACATGAGAATATCTTTGAATGTTGAATATTTTTCACCTAATTGTACATAATCAGGTTTAATACGATAAATATTTCTAGGATGCATCAACTGATTGAATGACATTTTCCAAATAAACGCAAAAAAACCACAAACAATTAAACAAAATGAAGACAAAAATCACAATCAGAATGATTGATGAAAACAAACCGATAAAAATTCACACAAAGAAAATTATGTAATTAAAACAAAAGAAAATATATTCAACTGTGAACAAGATTAGAATTATTCTTTCAAAAATCACTTGTTCATCCAAATAATTAAAAATAAATGACAATTAAAGGTCACATAACATTGATTAATTAGTTGAAAATCTAATTGATTTTGTTTGTTTATCTTTTTCTAAAAAAAGGTAAATCAGGTGATAGAATTTCTTGGATTTGAAAATTGCGCCAAAAGAAAAGAAAAAACATTTTCTGTTTCCTTGGAGTTCTCACCGTAAGGAAGTAGGTGGCGTTCGAGTTTCTATTCCATTGAATTGATTGTATTAGTTTTCTGTTAATTTTTACAATTAATCTTTTGTAAATTTAATTTGATTCTTTCTTTTTATTGTAATTTACTGATTTATCATGGGTCGAGTTATTCGTGCTCAACGTAAGGGAGCAGGGTCTGTGTTCAAAAGTCACACTAAACACCGAAAAGGAGCTCCAAAATTGAGGTCCATTGATTTTTCCGAGAGACGTGGTTACATTAAAGGAGTTGTTAAGGTAAGTTTAATTTTCTCTTAATTGTTTCCTTTTTCGTCTTGATTGGATGTTTATTGGTTCATTTGACTGACCTTTTTGTCCTCTTTGGGGTTGTTTGTGTTTTTTTTTCTTTAGGAAATTATCCATGACCCTGGTCGTGGTGCTCCTCTCGCTGTTGTAGATTTCAAAGATCCCTACAAATACAAGCGTCGAAAGGAATTATTCATTGCTGTTGAAGGTATGCACACTGGTCAATATGTTTACTGTGGTCGACGAGCTGTTCTTCAAATTGGTAATGTTTTACCTGTTGGTGAAATGCCTGAAGGTACCGTAATCTGTAACGTTGAAGAGAAACTTGGTGACCGAGGTAAATTAGCTCGAGCCTCTGGTAACTATGCTACCGTTATCGCTCAAAACGCTGATTCAAAAAAGACCAGAATTAAGCTTCCATCTGGAGCAAAGAAAGTTATTCCAGCTACCAATCGAGCCATGGTTGGTATTATTGCCGGTGGTGGTAGAATTGATAAACCCATCTTGAAAGCCGGTCGTGCCTACCACAAATATAAGGTTAAACGTAACTGCTGGCCCAAGGTTCGTGGTGTTGCTATGAATCCAGTTGAACATCCTCATGGTGGTGGTAACCATCAACACATTGGTAAAGCATCCACAGTTAGACGAGACGCTTCAGCTGGTCGTAAAGTTGGTCTTATTGCTGCCAGACGAACTGGTAGAATCAGAGGAGGAAAGAAGAATGTTGGAAAGGAAGACAAGTAAACTCGTTAACATCTTGTAGGACAAATTAATACCCTAAATTAATTCAAATAAACTTGATTGTTTATGAATAATTTTCCAATGAAATTCTCAATTTAAATTTAATTGAAAGTTAGAAAACCAAATTATCAATGGTTATTTGTACTCGGAGGAAAATCTAATCGATTAACTTTATACACGCGATGATCATTAAGTCAACTTAAAATTAGATTGAGTTAATTTGGTTACACGAAAAATGAAACAATTTATCTTAATGGATCAGTATCAATATTTTGATAATTTATTATTTTTGTATTGATCAGGTTTATACGTTGATTGTAACTGTACAAAATTTTACATTGTTTACTAATAATCAACGTTGTGGCCATTCAGTTGGATTTTGGATTTGAGAGTCTAAGTGTTGGCGTTTTAGTTTTTATGACACGATCATTAAAGTTGAACTTGTTCATGTAATAAATAACACAGATCAGCTTGATCAGTTGAAATTGTAACAACCAAATTGATCAAGAAAACGGATGTTAATCAAACAGATCAAAATGTTGAGAGCGAGAATTGTCTTCAACTGTTGTGCTTTGAGATTCCAAAGTGAATTGGAAAATTGGTTTAAAAATATAACGCCTTTGATTGTACAATTGAGAGTGAATTTTTGTCGCAGGGAATCGGTGAGAAATTGACACATCAAAAATGATGAGAATTGAGAAAGTTATTGATGATGATGAGAGAGAAAACATTTAACTTGATAGTTGCCGTAAAAACAAGGTTAAAAAAAAGAAAAACCTTTTTGAGGAATAAAATTGGAATATCAATAAAGACAGATAGAGACACTTAAAGGCCACTCTTTTGTTGTCGCTTCTTGATAGCAGATGACTAGTTGTCTTAATCGACAAGGTTTTGGAAAACCTTTCGATTGAGTTTCAATTGGTAGTATTGTCCAGACTATCCGATTTGGTGGGAACACGAATCTTGTGGTAATTACGCAGTTTGAGTAATTACAATTGTTTCCTTTCACAGCCTTTTGTGTGTTTATCCTTTACAGTCAAATTATCTTTATCAACAAATTAAGATAATGACTTATTGCTTATTATTAGATCGAGTGGTCAGGTAATTAGATGAGGAAGTTGTAATCAACCAGGATGGTGAAAATTAATCAGTAAATCAAGTAATCCTTTTCACATTAAGATGTAGTTTCTAAAGGTAATATTACCTTAGGTAAAAGTTAAAAGTAACTTGATGATTTACGATTTTTTTTTCTTTGAGAGTTGGCCAATGTTCACTGATTAACAGGAACAGTACAAATGTAAGCCTTGAGAACACAATATCCTTTGATTACTCCTCCATCTCTTTTCCAAAGTGTTCATTTGGATTATTCAGTTGATAAAATAGTAAATTACAAAATTTGAGTGAATCTTATTAACAATACTCCGATAGGAAGGCTGAGCATTAATTGGTTGATATGAAAATTACTTGAGCCATGTGCTGTTGCATAGCATAATCCTAGAAACAAAGTATAAGATAAAAATTGATTAATTGTCCGAGCGAGATAAATTAATGAGTATTTCAGTTTAATTGTGGGATTGTAATAACTTACCTTTACTTGACAGATCAAAATGAATGGATTCGCTATGGTGATGATTTCTTGAGAGCTCATGGTTGTTAGAGGGACCACTTTTGTGGTAATCATAATCATTAATACTATAAGAATTGCTTAATTGTTGAGCTTTTCTACTTGGACGACAGTTTGTATTACTAAACGTTGCCTTTATAATACGAGATTCTGTCTCCTTGTAGTTTAAACAATATTGAATATCATCGTCCGCCGAATAAAGTAATAAATAATTAGTTCCATTTTCGTGCCAAAGGCCATTACATTGGAAATCTATTATTAATTGGTAACATGAAGAAAAAAGAAAGATAATTAATCGTCAATTATCATCAAAATTAAAGTTAATCAAAACTTACATTTGAAAGTGGGCTCAGTTGATCCACATGATAGTTCAAAACGCATTCGATTAGGTACAATACATTGAGAGAAAAGGATTGATCGACCAAAGCAAATGGTAATTAACGGGAATCCGGTCGCAGATCTTAACGATGCCTCATTACCTTGAACATTGACATTGTAAATTCCGTCGAGAGGACATTGAGTAAATGATTCATCACCTTCGGTGGGTCTTAATCCTAAAAGAAGAAAAAAATTGAAGTTAATTGAATGGTAAAGGATAACTAAATTAAATTATATTTACCTGTTAATGTGATGTATTCATATTTATTAAAGTTGAGACAAGCATCTCCAATGGATTTAACCAAGTCTCCTTGAAGTATTTCAATTATATTATCACTTCGTTTGACTATCTTCATACAAACATAGCCAATATCGCTGTAGGAATACAATTGAATGAAGTTATTAAATAAACAATTGATTAGATACAATTGGTTAACAATTAGTTATAACATAATCAAATGTCTATGATCAGTGATACAAATCAGTAAAGTTACATGAAAAGATAACCTGAAAAAATTAAGTAATTTGAACTTAAATTGTTATTTTCTTATTAAAAGTTATCAAATCAAGTTTTTGTTCGTCTATTGAATTAATGATGATGAATTTTCATCTTATTACACTTAATCAATGTAACCATTGTTTGACTTGAGGGTAAAACTTAATAATTAGTCAAGTTTTTGCTCACTTTTCACTTTGGAGACTCAATTTTCTCCTTTGAAAGTCATGAGAAAATTTTCTCAATTAATTCTTACCATTTAGCGGTGGAATAGACCACGAAGGCATCAGAAGTAGGATCATGTTGAGTACAATTAACAAATCTGAGCAAAGTTCCTTCCTGCTTAGAATAGACACTGAATGAGTTTTCATGACCAAAATCATAAACATGAGATCCATCCAGAGTTTGCCAATAGCGACCTGTAATTGCTAAATCCGGAAATGAGCATTGGTTTTCTAATCTTTCGGTTCGAGCTAATTTCATTGTAGCTGAGCCTTCCAGAGTTTGTTCCAAACCATCACAGGAAGCGTCAGCTGACTGAGCTAAATGATATGTATTATCGGGCCTTTGTTCAAATACGAAACAATGGAAACGATCATCTTCATCTTTTGCAGATGGATGAAGAAATTTGCCTACAAGATATTTTACAGACCCTCCTTTCCAAGTAGCATAACATTCAAGTGTAACAACTAGAGGATGCAAGAGTAGAGAGAGAGAGAGAGAGAGAGAGAGAGAGAGAGAGAGAGAGGAGGAGGAGGAGGGAGGAAAAGAGGAGAGTTTGAATAGTGAAAGTGGAGAGAATAAGAAAAACAATAGAATTGAGAATCACGTTCATCAAATGAGAAACAAGAGAAATTAATTTACTTCTCTTGTTTTGAAAATTAATTTTTGACTAATTTCATCTACTAATAGCATGTCAAAATTTGATTACAGAATAAATAAGTTGATTACCTTTACTCTCAGATCCTTGAACGTCGGTACAAGCTTGGAAGCGGAACAAAAGATGATTCTCATCTGTACACGAGTCAATTGTTGATGGTGGATCACCACATTCTCCTCGTCCACGGTTGTAGGAGAATTTAAAATAACCACTAAAAGGACAGGGAACTGGTGGAGTATCAAGTCGAAATAAAGAGAAAAGCGGTGCATCTCCATTTATTTCATCGCAAAGATCATTTAACTTGCGAGGAACAGTTGAACAGAGAGTCTCTTTGTACTGTAACACATTATGATGTTTCTCATAAATTACCATACATCGGGCACAATTTTCCGATTTATTGTAAATAAGAAATTTTGCTTTATCATTTTCAGTACAATTACCCTTATCAGAAATAGAATTAGAAGTAATTCTTATCCTATCATGAACTCCTTTCTGAAACCAAATTCCAGACCAATGGGATGGAAATTGACAGATACAATTGGTCAACAAAAGATCTGATTGGAATAGGGTAACAACAAGAAAATAAAAGGTAATCATATCCATTGAAGAATCACATTAATTTAGAATAATTCATGGAACAATTGATGTAACACTTTCAAAGTAACACTTTAACAATCAAATTAATTATAGAAAACACACCAAAATCCAAAGTTAATCAAGAGAAAGAATTAATTAAAAATGATTCATCAATTGGAAAAACATTCATCAGAATTTCACTCTTCTCCACCAGCGACACCTACAGTTTCCAAAAAACTTCTTTTTAGTTCTTCTGAAAGTCGACAGGTGGCGCTGTTCGGGCCTTCGATGTTGTTGTTTGTTGTCAGCTGAACATTTTAATAGGACTCAACAATTAATGAGCTTTTATTATCTTGATTTAATTGTTTTTCATATTTGATTGTGATCGAATTTAATTTCACCTTCTAATTATTATTGTTTTGTTTTCCTTCTGTGTTATTCCTTTGGCTTGGAATTCTATGGGTGAATTGTTTAGATGATTTTGTTGATATTCTAATAATTTACCTTTTTGATTCATTTCATTTTTGTTGAAAATAATTGATAATCAGGTGAACATTTATTGTTTTGTTTTGTTTTGTTTGATTTGTATTAATTTAATTGTTTTTTTATCCATTTTGTTACTGATTTTAGTGATATACTTGATATGTTGAGACTTGGTCGACTCGTGATACTTCAACGTCAAGGTTTAGAAACTACTGTTGCTTGTGCTTACCTTCATAATGGACGATCATCTAATAGCTCAAAGAAATCAAAGAGACGTGATAAAGGTTCATCAGAGGAAAAGATTACCAATAGGGAGATTAATTTGTTTGATCGACCTGATGCTCGAACACCATTACCTGGATCAGTTGGTTTAGTTCCACCAATTCGAGATGAGCCAAGAATGATTGTTAATAAAAAGACGATCACCATCAGAGAGATTATCGAGGAAGAACAAATTTTAGGATATCTAAAGGAAACTGTGAGCTTACAATCACCTTCTGAAATACCAGCCGATGAATTACCAAACAATATAAGGTTAGACATGATTGTCCAAAAGTGTCCCCAGTTAATTGAAAATGATTTACAAAAAGTGTTTCCTTACAATGTTTTCGGACGCGATTTAACCTTAATAACATTTAACCGACGTTCATTAATCAACAATGTTGATGGTGATGATGAAAAAATAGAGATGAGGAAAACTTCAACTGAAACAATTGACGGTGCAGATAATTTAAACCTAGTCGATGATTTTGTTAATCTTGCCGATTTAATTTGTCAACGGTTGAAAAAGGCTGGTTATTGGGCTGATTTTATCGATCCATCAGTTGATTGGTCGCAATTAAGGAAACCAAATAATTCAATGTTAATTGAAGTAACTGTTCGCTATCATCAATTAGGTTTCACCCTGGAAACAAATGGTAAATGTAAAGTCATTTCTCACCATAAGTTAGGAACTAATCTTTATGTTGGATCTTTGTTGACAAATGCATCTCATGATTCACCTCAACTCTTAAGAATCCTAGAATTGTTCAGAAAATAATAGGATAATTTACTAAATCTATAAACAAAAATGAACAGAGTTGAACTTGTTGTATGTAAATATTATCAAATGAAAAACTATTCACAAGTTAATTACCAACTAAAGATGATAAACAAAATTCATCTTCTTGGCAAGTAAACATTAACTCGTGAGTATCTTATGAACTTATATATTTTCAGCTGATTGAACTTAATAAATTTGTTAGGTTGACTTGTGAAACAATTATCACCCTTGAGTAAAATATATACATATAATTTATAATAGAATAAAATTTTTATTCCTATTAAAATTAGAATATAAATTAATATTTATCGGACATAATTAGTAAAACCAATGCTGACCATCCAGTGAAAGGATGGACACCAGAACCTTGCCCAGTGGTATCATTATAATTTTCCCAGATGAAAGAAGTTGATTGAAATTGATTGAAAACATTGTTAACTAAATTATCTCGTAATTTATCATGTAACAATTTGGCTCTTTCTCTATATGGTCCATCTAATTGGGAATAATTTTTAAGTGATTTTAACACTAGAAAATTAATATTAATCCAAATTGGTCCTCGCCAATAAGGTGGATCTGTAAATGTATTCCACCTTAGATAGTAACGACTTTGTCGGGAAATTGACCTTAAACCATAAGGTGTCCATAGATGATCAGGATTTTCAATTGTATCAAGAATTGAATTAAGTCGAGGATTGTCGGGATCAAGAAGATTTAATAACATTGGAAATAAACTGATGTAACCAAGTTCAGAGACACATTGGTAAGAGGGTTTTTCTTTGACCACTCGCTTGACCTTTTCCTCGGAACGAATCAGTTCAATTGAATTTGAGTGGACACCGAAATCACAATACATTTGATTCTCTTCTGACCAATGGGTTAAATCAAGAAGTTTATTATCTCGAAGATAATTAAATGTCTCTTGATATTTAATCGCTGAAGGAGATTCAATGTGTTTACCAATCTTGAATAATATTCGAGCGGCAAGGGTCATCCAACAACGAAGGTCAAGATGAATCTCTGAATCACTTGGATGTGAAGCTCTTGGATAATCATCAAGTCCAGAGGTTAAAGTTAACGGATTTAACTTATCAATGGATTTTGGGTCACGACCTCTCCAACGATATGTACCAGTTTTGGATCCAACTTGAGTTGTATTGAACCAATTGTACCATTTTTCAAGAAGAGGAAAAATTGACTTTAAATAATTAATATCTAATTGATTAGAATCAAATAGGAATTCAATGGGTAATAATAGACTAGGTGGATTGGCATTCGAAATGTCTTGGACGATAAATTCCTTAGGAACTCGGGAAGTGGCCTCAAAACCGAGAATCACCTCTCTTGGTATCCAACCGTTTCCGTCCATTAGGTAAAGCCAGTTTTTGATTATCTCTTGACTCAATTGTGGCTTAATTTTAGCGATTAGTAGCTGATGAAACCCTTCATCCCATAGGAAACCTCTGGGAAAATAAGATCGCGATGGAACCGCTGAGGTCAATTCCAAGGGACCATAGCGTTCAGGCTTAGTTGTAGATCCATTTTTAATCCATGAGTGACCATAAAAGTAACCAATTGATCCTAACATGTTACTCAACACTGATTGTGCGAAGTTAATTTGATCGAGATTGTAATTTCTTTCTGAAAGTGCGAATACATTATCAAAATTGGTATCGAATTGGAAAATTTTCTCCATCAGATCGGCATCGAATCGATTCTTCCAAGAGTCAATGTATGGATCAATTGATTCTCTTAAATAGAAAAACAATTCAATCGGTTTATTGATGATTAATTGGATCGCTACGAAATTTGGTTTTCCTTTTGTATCATCAGATTGTTCATTAAGTACGAACAAAGGTTTACCATTTCCAGGGGTTCTCATGATTCCAAGATTTTGCATAATTCGTTCATTGAAAAACATTAAAGGAGGATTCATGTTCATCTTGAAATCGGTTATGTAAATTATTGCACTTGGATCGGAAAAATCGACTCGAGATAAAAATTGTCGCGATCCCGACGAAAGGCTACCTTCAAGTCCAATTTTAGAACCTCTAAGAAATTCTGACTTTGGTGTGGACACCGAAATAGAATCATCTTCATTTTCGGTGGCAAGATAAAGAATCAACGAAACTGGTGTAGTAAATTTCTCCAACGAATCAGTTGAATTTACTGTTATTCGGGTTATCCAACCATCTTCTCGGAAAAGTACTTGTTGTTTAATGGAAAGATCACCTTCGGTAACTTGTTGAATTCCAAATGAATCGAAATCATGTTTATTCCAAATATATTGAACTGGATCAAATTTCTCACATAAATGTCTGATTGGAACTGAATTATCGTCATTGAGGACATTTTTAAACCACATTAACCCTGAGACCATAGATGAAGGGTCATTACGCTTTAATCCGAAATAAACACCACTTCGAAAGGTTCCCCATCTTTTATCAAAATTAAGTCCATCTAATCGACTATTCAACGAACTAGAAGATCTAGTGAAATAATAAATTGCCCCGAGAGAAAAAGTTGCCACTAGGAAAAAGAGAAACAATTTATAAATCAAGTTGCCATTCGTTTTATCACTTCTCTTTGATTCGTCACCAGAAGACGGCGGCCATTTTGGCTTGTCCTTTTTCCTCTGTGTAACTTTACTTGTCATCTAAGAATTGAATCAACAAAAAAATATAAAAGAATAACAATTAATAACAATTAAGAGCAGCAATTGAAGGAATCAAAGTTAAGAACAATCAAAAATAAATGTAAACATAAGTGACAACGTAACGATTGTCAAGTGATTGAATCATTGAGGAAAATTATTTGCAACAATTTACCTTGCAAGAAAAGACTCTAATAGTTAATCAAAAGTAAAAGAATAGTTGATTAATCACAATTAATCATGACAATGGAAATGCAATTAGATAAACATTCAAAAAAGACAACACATCAATCAGCTGATTAAACATTAATCTTTTACCAATCTCTTCATCTAGATGGCAGTTGAGTCTTTCCAAGTGAATTAAAGTTAATCATGATGATTAATTGATTGTTGATAAAGTAATTTAAAGGTTCAATGTAAACAGCAAATAAATTATAAAGTAAACATAAACTTTCAAATCAAATTAATCAATGATTGTGTTGAGTTTGTTATGGTTGATTGTCTGTCTCTTTTTCGAGTAACTTAAACTTTTAAAATGTTTTAATTGTGATTAAAAGTGAATCTAATTGTGATAAATTTATCATTTTCTCTAATCATCTCTATTGTTAACAACTTCCTGGAATTATTTCAATCTTGATTTATATGAACAATTTGTTCAAATTAACTAAAAGGATGTTCTGTTTCCTTCTAATGTGATTAAAAGCAAAAATTTTTGACACAATTTAGTTTAATTGCAAACAATTTAGTGATTTATTGTTTAATAAAAAAAATTTTCTTCTTAAACATTTTATCAGATTATTGGGTTGAAATTTTCACGATTTACTCAGGTTCAAGACTTAAGTAAATGTTTAAGTTGAAAATCTAATGTTCATATCAAATTAATTGTTTTGAGCTAAAAAGGTTAATTTTAAATTAAATTATCACCTAAATTGATTTGATAGAGAAAGAGAGAGATAGAGAAACTTAATGTTTCTATGAATATGATACAATATGAATCCAATTGTAATTGTAAAATAATTGATATGATTTGATTTAAGGTTATTTATATAAGTTGAAAAATTGGTGTCTTTAGTTTCCGGAAGTTAATGGTTTCCTTTTTGTTTAATTGTGTGCATGTTTTGGATGAAATGATGAAACAATTAAGATCAATGGGATAAGTTAAACTTAAATTCAAACAAGAATACCTTGTTCTTCAATCTCTTTAAGTTGAATGTATCTTGTTAATTCTGATCTTAAGCAATCATATTTTAACCTAAGTTGATTGAGATGTTCCTGTTCCTCTCTATCTAACATGATTAAGAAATTGTTAAGTTCCGGTGATAAGAAAGCGTCCCAGACAATATCAGCTGTGTCATTTTCTTGAAGGACAACTTGTCTTTCCTGCCAATCACACCAATCAAGAGCAATTTGAAGAGGATAATCATTGTCACCAATCCTTTTTAAAATTGATTCACCAAATTCATCGGGATAACGACGGTAAAGTGCAAACTTTTGCGGATTATCAACAACCTTAAATTTTTTCAACATCGCTTTAATCACGTCTATACTTGTATATTCACTGGTAATGTGAATATTTTTCACTGTATTTCGAGGCATATAAAATGAAGTTAAAGTACGTCGGCAGGTTTGTTCGTCTTCATTGATTATATCATAGATTGAGGGGGGACGAGTTCCAGCAACTACGTTAATGGGTCGGGTAAGGTTAAGGTGAACTCGGAGAAAACCTCTGAAAGATTTACCATCTAACATGGTTAATCCAAGACCGGAACCTAATCGTTTTAATCGTTCATTGTATTCGATTATTTTTTCTTTTAATTCTTGGGTTTCAAGTTGTCGTAAGTCTTTGCCTAAAGTTTCTTCGTTTGTTTCAATATTTTCGAAACATTTTTCTTCTTTGTCGTCCTTTTCTCTTCTGGTTTTCCTTCCTCTTCTTCTTTTTGTTTTTCTTCTGTGGCATTTAATTCAATCGATTGTTTACTTTCTTCATTATTATTATCACCAATTGCATCAGGATTAACTGATTTGTTTTCTTCCTCTTCTTCATTATCAGGAACTTCCTCATTATCCTCAGCCTCTAAATCATCATTATTGTTTTCTTTACTTTCAGCTAGTATTTCACTTTGAGTTAATGGTTCGGACGAGTCGCTTTTCAGATCATCACAGTTATTACTTTTACTTTCATCAGAGGGACTGGAAGCGGTTGAGATATCGGTCGATTTAGATTCAACGTTCCCCTTACAGTCAATCCTAACTAAAGGTCGGCATCTGATGTGACATGTATATTTACAATTAGAACATTGTATAGTCTTCGAAAAGGGCGAAACGATCCGTATTGATGTATTTTTAGAATCGTAAACAACAGGAGTCCAAATAAACTGAGAACAGCTGTCACACCAGGTAGGAGCTTTTAGCTCATAAAGCTGAAAGAAAAAAGAGAAAAGAACAAATATTTAAGAATAGAATTTACTTTCTGAGTGATGGTTGTTGATATAACTGAGACAAAGAAACTTAGATAGCAGAAAATTAGCGGCAAATAATAATAATTAATAAGCAATTACCTCAAATTTATGACCTACTCCTAATTCTAGATTTTCAACTTCAACAACTCCAAAATTATCTAATTCAATTATCTCTTTGGTTTTCAGGGTTGGAATTAGAGTTCCATTTAAAAACTGAGCTGGTGTTCGGCCAACAAATCCATCAACTTCAGATCCAGATGACCAGCCCATATATGGAGTAATATCTTGATTTCGGTTAAGGGTAGTTGATGTTGTATCAGCTGATGATGAAATTCTGGTTGTTGAGGTAGCAGAGGCTGAATATGATGCTGATCGAGCAAAAAAAGGTGATAAAGTTGATGATGTTGAAGTTGAACCAGTTGCTGATCCACGAGATCCTCGTCGACGGAAATTAAGAAAACTTAATCCCTGGAAAAGAGCACCTGAACTGAGATCATTAATCCAATTATTTAAATTACCCATAACAGATTGACGACCAAATGATTGATTAGCAGAATTGAGAGAAGGAGATTTTTCCAATTTTTCCTCCTTCATCTCATTTCCACCGACACCATTACCACCACCAAGATTGCAAGAAGATGCATCTTCTTTACAACCACCATTATTATTACCGGTTGACATTATTTATCAGGAATAGATGATGATATAGATGATGAGGCTTTTCTCCAACAAAAAAAGAGAGAACCAAACAATTAACTTGAATCCTTTGGAAGACAATCCAATAAAAATGGTTCCTTGGAATGACTATTTTCAGGTTAACTCAGGTGGAACAACAGTAGATGAGATCACTAAAGAAAAATCAACCGATTAACTGATCGATACACACAAAGGAAATGAACATAACTGGAAGGTGATAAAGTAATGAAATTAAGATAATAAATACATTCACTAAATCAAATAGTCACCGATCCAAGGCCAACTATTTTTCTCCATCAACACTTAACATACACAGAGAAAGAGAGAGAGTAAGAGGGGATAAAAAAATTATATTCTTTCAAGGGTTTCCAGTAAGTTGAGCAATGTTCAGCTTACATGATAGAAGAGATTGAAAAAGACAAGAGAAAAACAGAATGAAATAGAAAAAAGAAGATTTTTTCTTCTATTTCAATTTCTTTGTTGTTGAGAATTTGTTTTCTCCATCAACACATCAAAAACACTTGGAGAGAATATCAAATGAATCAAAGACTCAAGTTAATTATTATCATGTAAAAACAGTGAGATGATTAAAGTTGTGATTAAATGTTAACATTCACGAGAAAACAAAGTGGTAATGATGATGATGATTTATAAAAAAAGGAAGAGACAATTTAATCTCTCAACCTAATTACAATTCAACTTATATGAAAGAAAGAGTAACAAACCAGGTAAACCATGTCTAAAGTGAATATAAAGGTAGGTAGAAGAGAGAATTAACTAAACAAGCTGAAAGGAGGAGTTAATTTAGAATATTAACTGTTAACGGTTAATTGTTCATGTAAATCACTCGATTAACCGATTAGTTGAATAATTAATTAAAGAAATAAATAACAAACACACAGAGAGAGAGAGAGAGAGAGAGAGAGAGAGAGAGAGAGTGAAAACATAAACAGTCAAAATGATAAGAGATGAAAACATCTCCTGGTAGAGGAAAAGACAAAGTGAAAAGAGAGAAAGAGACAAAGAAAGAGAAGTTCATTCAAACAATAGAATAGAATTTTAAAAAATTCGATTTTCTTTTTTTACCAAACAAAAACAACCAACATTCTCATCAACATTAACCATCTAAAAGTTCAAGGAATTAATTTAATTTGGATCAACTTAATTGTTAATTTTTCTCTTTCTGTTGTTTCTTCGCATTTTGGTTAATTGTTTATTTTGTTTTCTAATTGTTTTTGTGTCAAATTTTGTTTCTTTTTTTTAGTAAAAACAACAAGGAGAAAATTAATTAATCGTAATTGTATCAACGAGAACCGATCAAGATTAATTAACCTTATCACACATTGATCGTAATTGATTTTAATTGAAATTTTCAATTGTATAATTTGATTGAGTGATTTGAATGTGTGTATATATATTTGAACTTAATAATTACATTGGATCCACTTTTAATCCCGTAGAACAGGTTATTGGACAGGTTTACAATTAAAGGTACATTACCTTAGATATTATCGTGGGAAGGGAGGAGGAGGTGAAGGGTGAAAGGTGAATAAGATAAAGACAAAAGTGGTTATAGTAAAGGTATTTGATTATTGTTTCTGTACACGAAAAGATAGGTAAAGATTAGAGAGAAAGAATGAGACACAATTAAATCAAAATTGATTTGATTGGTAAAGTGTGAGTGTTGTTGTTGTTGTGTGTGTTTTGTTTATGAATGGATTTTATGTATGCGAATGTGGCGATTCCTTTCAAGATGAAAATCGGGCGCAGTGAATTGGTGATTTCTTATTTTTCTTTGCAAAAGGAATTGATAGTCACTAGATTATCATCTGTCAAAATAATTAACAAATTGTGTTTGTGTGCTTTTGTTGATTGGATAAACTTACATGCATTTCTAAAAATTATGACACTAGAGAGAGAGAGAGAGAGAGAGAGATATTAACTAGGATTGAACTGTGGTTTACACAAAAAAAACTGAACAAAAACTTCAGTGATCCAAAAAAAAAGAGAGAAAGAGAGAGAGCTAAAGATAATAGTAATTATAAAAAAATTAAGAAGTCACAATCAATACAACAATATTATTCTATGTTGAAGCTCAAAACTATTTGAATTATTGGTTGTCCTTGGAATTGCCATCTTTGTAATTTAAATAAGTCATCCAGATAGAAAGAGGAAGATGGTGATGAGAGAGAGAGAGAGAGAGAGAGAGAGAGAAGAAGAAGAAGGAGAAGAAGATACAAGAAATAGGAGCAGATTATCCGAACCGAAAAGGACACGAGAAAAGAGATACTTTGTATCCAAAGGTTGTAAAGATTTCAGGTTCGGATTATTGGTGCTGATGGAAAACAAGACGAAAGAAAAAACAACACGATAGGTAATATTAGTTCACTGTTCATCTTGTGGTGAGAATCCACAATTAATTGAGTTTACAGGTCTTGAAGATGGACACATTGAGATAGATCTTGAAGGCGATAAACGAGACATAGATGGGGAAATTAATGAATTGTAAAATGAACGAGATGGTGACGATTGAGATGGATTATTGGTAGATGCAGAGACGTCTGGATAAATGCATGATCTAGATGATGATAACGATGAGTTTTGAGGGGTTGGATGATTAATTGGAACTTCAGGACCAAGGAAATCCCAGATGAGAATTGTATCATCGTGAGAGCTGCTCACTATTTGGAATTCATCAAACTGTAGACGGAATACTCGACCAGTGTGTTTGACAAGAGTCTGTAAGCAAAGGGATGTACTTGGGGTTCGAGGATCCAAGGCAGCAGCCAAATCCCATACTTTAATTTTACTATTAGAAAAAAAAAGAGAAACAATCAGATAAATGATGAGTAGAACTTTAAAGAAGAAGAGTAAAAAATGATAACTTACCCATCATAAGCTCCACTAACTATTCTTTTATTGTCAAATCGAATGCATCTTACAAGTTCTTCGTGACCTTCTAAGACTCGTAATGATGTTCCCGATTCGATGTCCCATAAGCTAAACAAATAAACAATTAGGAAAGAGAAATTGATAAGTCATAGTCAGAGAAAAACGAGCATGATAAAGAGAGAGAGAGAGAAAATATTCACCGTATAGTATTATCAGAACTACCAGAAACAACTAAATTTTCTCTGTATTGTAGACACGCTATTCCTCTTTTGTGACCACTAAGGGTTCTAACAAATTCACAATTAGACGTATTCCAAATTTTAATAGTTCTATCTCCAGAAGCGGAAACAATGTATTTCTCATCAAAGTCAACGACATTAACAGCTGCTCTATGGCCAACTAGGACTCTTTTTAATGTTATATCACTGGGAGAGACCATTTCCCAGACGGCAATGGATCGATCCTTTGAACAAGTGACCATAAGTCCATTGTTGAAACGTAAATGAAGAACTGCTTCACAATGATGGATCAAAGTGTTCACAGGTTGACCTCCTTCAACATTCCACACCCGAACTGTAGCATCACTAGAGCCACTGACAATTACTTTATCATCAAATTGCAAACAAAGAACTGAACCTGTATGACCAGTTAGAACCTAAGTCATGAAAAAAAATGAAAGAAAATAGGATTAAAGAAAATATATATAAAACTAAATGTGAGTGAGTGAGTTAACATTTAGAATAAAAATCGTGAGCTAATTAAATTGTTAACCAAATGATCTGGAAAACAAAAAAACAAAAGGGATACGTACATGTGAACACTCAAGTGTATTTCGGTCCCATATTTTAATTGTATTATCACGAAGGCCAGAGACAATCTTCTGGTCATCATATTGTAAACAATAAACTCCTTTGCTGCTCTCGCTGCGGCAGTTAATGCGTTGTAGGTTATGTCTACCACCTCTCCAATTACTTTCGGTATTTTCGATGTCTCTAATTATATTAGGAAACAAACGACGATAGAAAAGATGATTTGGATGTTGTTCACCAGGAGCTGGCTTGAAAAGGTACCGGATCCTATTAAAAAAAGAGTGAAATAGGGGAGAGAGAGAGATAGAGTGAGTGAGAGAGAGAGAGAGAGAAGGAAAAGAAATGAAGAGAAAGATAAAAAATTATTAGTGTAATTAAGCCAAGCGTTAAAAGAGACACGATGTGGTATAAATATAATATAAATCTATATAGTGTCCATCACTTAAGGCGCACACATAGTCGGTAGACTTAAGATATGTTTTAAAAGATGGAATTAAAAAGAAAAGAGTATTAAGTTTAGACTAAGTCGAAATGAAAACAAAGAGAAAAAAAGAAAAAAAGAAAAAGGCAAAATAGTGATGAATTTTGCCAATTCATTTTTAAGTAGGTGGCAGAATAAGCGATGGACAAATTTAGTGTTTCTTTTTGTGTTTGGTAAAAGTGACACATACCATCCTCTTCGTCGAGCTAGGCCTCTCCATGAGGGATCTGTTTTAACTTTATTCTCTATCAATTTTCTCCATAACATTCCCTCTGATATAACACGATACCATTCGCGGCACACTAACTCAGCACAACGTAGAGAGTCAGCATCCAAATAGGATAAAATAGTCTCAGCAACATGATCAAGACCTTTCTCTAAAAGAAAAATGGAAGAAGAAAAAAAGGAAAACAAGGTTAGAATAGAGTGGAAACATCTTCAACGTATTACAAGTGATGTAATGACGATTTAGGGTGAACAAAATGAAACAACATGGGAATAACCTACTTGGTAGAAGAGAGATAAAGTCTCTTTTTAACATTGGTCTCAGGTAAGTGTTGATTTGACTATGTTGATGATGAGACATTTTGGCTAATAGAGATTGAATGAAATCTGTTTGTTCTGGGTCAGCCCAATTTTCGAAGAATTTACAACAATCTTCTTTCTGCTGGTGGAAAAATGGACGAACTTTCCCATCCTCACCCTTTTCTTCACTAATATCCGTCATCTTTTGAATCTAAATCAAGTTAAAAAATAGGAACAACAATCATAGAGAGAGAGAGAGAGAAAGAGAAAAAACAGAAGAAGAAGAAGAAGAAGATGAATTTAAGAAGAGTATGAAGAATGAGAAAACAACAAAAAAAAACAAGAACAAAATTGAAAGATGATGTAGTTGTAGTAGAAGTAGAAGTAAAAGAAAATGAAGAAGAAAGAGAATGAAGAAAGAGGAAGACAATCAAAAAAGAAAGAGAAAGACACAAGAAAAAAAATGGAAAGAAAGGAAAGAAAGAGAAGGAGAAAGAGAAAGATAGAAATGGTTACAGCAAAGTAGAAAAGGTTGATGTCAGAGTCACATTTGTTTACAATGGAAAAAGAGAAAAACAATTCGATTAAACTAAACTTACCTTTCCCAAGTAAATCAATGTTCACCTTATTTATCCCTTTGATTACCTTAACTACGGAGGAAATTAAATACTACCAAATAATTAACAAAAAAACAGGACGATGATCAAAAAAGTTAATTACTCCAAATAAAACTAAACTCAACTGAACCAAAAGCTCAAATATCAACAAAAATCTCGAGCGCCACCTGATGGACTTTTTGTGGAACGTTAAAGTTGATTAAATTACGAAGTTAATTTGGAATCAGTAATCATGATTATCGTTCATTGGGGTAATTTTAATCTACGTTGTTTCAATCAAATCAATTATCATCTTTGGATCAATGACTCTTTCAATGAGAATAGATTGTTCATCTAATCGCGATTACGGTGAATGTGATTAAATTGATTTAGTTTATTTATGGAAGAGAAAAATTAATTGTTGATTAAATAGAAGAACAAAAAATTAATACTAATTGTTTACTTCGGTTTAGTCAAAATGGTTTAGGTGTTTGTGTAACTTTAATTAGCTTTTGTTTGTTTTTGATACTTTGTCTTTAATAATAAACATTGATTCTAATATTGAATACTTTTATATATTGTATATATGATCATTATTATTAATTGTTTCACTTGTTTCATTTTTTTTGGGTTGAATTAATAATAATAATTAACATTATTTAGATGGTGATGATAATCAAGAATTATCTGAAGCCATTGGAAACAATTAATTTGTTTGTTTTTTTCTTTCTTTCATTTGATTGATCCAGTTGGTAGATTGATTGTTTGTGTGTAAATTGGGAAAAAAAGGTGATGATTAATTGTGAAGAAATGGTCCAAATATATTTAATGTAGAGGTAACAATTAATTTGGTTGTGTGTTCATTAATTAACGGTGGTGTTTGATTGTTGATTGAATCCACAGGTTGAGTTGTTCAAATTGTTTTCTTTTGCTAACTTTTTTTTCTCGTCGTAATCGCAATTTTTGTTAATCAGATTGATTGATAAATCCATCTAATAGTAATTAGTTAGGAGAGTTACAGTTGCACATATACAATTAATATATATGTGTGAATATATAATTAACTTGAACCATTAATGTAATTTGTTAATTGTCCAAAATAACCTTGATTAACCTCCCACACGGGACAAGAACGTAAATGATTACAAAGTGAACCATCCAGTGATATACTTAATTATGAGCTTGATTGCAACATTGTTGGAGAGAGAAAGAGTGAGAGAGGAGAGATAATTTTATTTTGTTTCTCTCAATTAATATATTAGAAAAAAAGAAAACAATTAAATAATTGTGTCTTTGTTTGAGTGGCCCTAAACTCATCTGATAAAAGTATCAACGAATCTCTGCCTAATATCCAGGCGGATGAATATGAGGATGAGAGAGAGAGAGAAAAAAAAAGAAAAAGGTGAAAGGGCGAGAGAAAAGAGTAAAGAATACAAGTGAGAGAGAAAGAAAGGGAGGGAGGGAGAATAAAATGATACGGTGGTGATATTGTGACGGTGGATGGAAGAGAAAGCGAAAATGATTACAAACAAGTTACGACATTTAAACTGAGATGCTGAGTTGGTGTATAGAGAGAGAGAAAGATAGAAAGATAGAAAGAGAGAGAGAGAGAGAGAGAGCGAGTGGATTTAAACCACAGGTAAAGAGGGAAAGTTTCAAAAGGGGTAATAGGGTGGGGATTTTCTCATTCACTTTCACTTTCTTTCGTGCTCAGATAATTTAAAATGATGTAGATCTTTTGTTTATCATGGTTTGAGACAATAAAGATGATATTAGCAATTTAAAGCAAATATGTTGTTGGTGGTTGTTGTTTCTTTTGTGTAGATGTGATTGTGATGGTGTAAATTTGTTAGGTTGGTTGTGAACGTGATGGTGTTCAGAGATAAACCTCAATAATGATGACTGAGCTCAAATTTGAAATTCACAATTAACACAAAAAGAAAAAATAGTAAATTGGAGAAAAAGTAAGGTGTAAGGGAAAGAAGGAGAGAGTAAGCAAAATGAAGAGAAAAGAGAGAGAGAGAGAAGGAAAAAAAGGGGAGAGAATCATTATTATTTTGGTGACTAAGAATAGTCTCTGGGTTTGTTTGTAAACGTTGTTGTTGGTTGATTGGTTTGTATTGTTTTAGGTAACTGATTTTTTTCTCATGGGTTTCTTGTTGTTTTAATTGTTTGTTTATTTCTTTTTAGCCGGTCCTCGAGGAGGTGTCACAGGTCTACCCGTAGTTAATCCGCCATATTGGTATTTTGCTTTCTTTTCAGATGGTTTCAATATCTATTGATAGGAAAATGAAGGATGAATTAATGTTTGGTGCGGTGTCAATTGGAACGATGATGATGATGATGATGAAGATATTGATCAAAGAGAAAAAGGTTAGTTAGTTAGTAGTATTAGAGATGAGGGAAAGGTAATCAAATTATCGAGTGACCGAAAATGAGAAATCAAAACATAAAAACTAATACAATTTGCGTTCAATGATTGGTAAAGATTAGTTTCTCTTTTTTAAGGTTACCCGATAATTCAGCTGATTTTTGATGGAACAAATAAAACATTGTAATGTAATACGAACCTGAAAAGAGCACATGAGCGTTTCATCGACTGACATCATTCCACCAGCATTATCAAATTCACCACAATAATTTGGAGCAGAAAATAATGTGACAAGTTGTCGTTTAGCGAAAAACTCGTAACCATCTTCAACTACTTGATGAGCTCGACATATCAAATCTAAATCATGTCTATTCAAAAATTTGCTAACCACATCAGATCCAAAGGTAAATGAAACACCTCTGTCATTTTCACCCCAACCAGAAACATCTTTATCAGGATCAGACCAAAGAAGATCACATAGCAATCCAGTATCGGGAACATCAGTTGGCCTCATAATTCGCCGTATTTGCTCCATTGATTGTAAATCTGGGGATAAACCTAATCAATGACCAAATAGAGAGCAATAGATAGAGAGAGAGAGAGAAAGAGAGAAAGAGAAAACATTGAAGTTGGTAATATAAAACATACAGAATCAAGTTTATTTTTTTTAATGTATAATCATTTTCTCATGAGTATTGAATTGCTTTTTCACTACCTTGTTTTTTTTTTGCAATTTTTCAATCATCAGCTCAATTCAACCAAATACACTCACTCACACATACACAGACTTATAGTTTAATGAAAACCCTAAATAAGGGGTGACAGAAAGAAGAGAGAAAGAGAGAGAGAGAGAGAGAGAGAGGAGATGAAGAGATAGACTACACAAAAAGAAACCAAAAAAAATAAAGGAAAGAATTTACTTACCTCCATGACAGCAGAAGATTTTCTCGTCAATGATGGCGGCAATGGGTAAACAATTGAAACAATCGGTAAATGTTTTCCATAATTTGATATTGTACCTTCTTTTACATTCATCGTAAAATCCATAGATTCGGTTGATACTAGCACATTCATGATTACCACGTAAGAGGAAAAAATTTTCCGGGTATTTAATTTTGTACGCCAATAGGAGACAGATGGTTTCCAATGATTGTTTACCTCTGTCAACGTAATCTCCCAAGAATAGATAATTCGCCTCAGGGGGAAAACCACCATATTCAAATAGACGTAAAAGATCAGTATACTGGCCATGAATGTCACCACATATTTTCAGTGGAGCTTCCAATTCCAATAGAATGGGTTGAGATAAGAAAATCTCCCGAGACTTGAGACATAAACCTCGTACCTCTGCCTCGGCAAGTTGAACCGTTTTTCCAGGTCTACAACCTCTAACCTCTAATAAACGATGAATTATACTGTCAACATTTAATTCAGCTTCCGCCATAACAGAATACAATTTATTATAATATAATATAATATACTATATATATATAATATAAATACTACTTTTATCTTATGTTTATAAAAAATAAAACACAAAAATCAACCAAATCAAACAACCAACACAATAAACACAAAACAAAATAGAATCAAAAAATTGAGAAAAATTTTATTTCTAATGAAACAGAAAAATAAAAGAAAAATTTGAGTAACATGGCAACTGCGCATGCGCAGTTTGAAAAAGAAAATTAGTTAATCTCATTCACCGCTTGGGTTCGCTACTCATCTCGTTAATTGTTATTCCAAATTAATTGATTATTATTAAATTCTAATTGTTTATAAGTTAATTTAGTTTGTTATATGGTTGAAAATTTTTCCTCTAACCTAAATCAGTACCAATTGTGGATTGTTGGAAATAAATATTGGAATTTATTCCAATTTCTTTAGTTTTTTTTGTTGTTGTTCTTTCGTTGGTTTAGTTTAATTGTCAAAATAATTAAGAAAATAATTGAAATGTTTAATTGTTTTATTGTTGGTAATTAAGGGTAGGAAAAGGGGGTTGGGAAATAATTTTATATTCTAATTGTTAATTTGAATTTTAAGGTTACATTTGGATTTTTAATCTTAATTGTCGATTTAAATTGTTTATGATTAGTTAATTGTTTCGCTGTCAAGTTAATCTGGTTTATTATCTTTAGGAAATTGATTAATTGTTAACCTTGTAGTTTGTTAGCTATCAAATGTGATAAACTTTGAATCAATTAAGGTGACAATCTAATTTAATCAATGTTTAACTTATTAATCTATGGGAACAATTAACCAACAGGTCTTATAATTGGTTAATAAAAATGGATAATATTTAATTGTTCACAATTAACCAAAGTTATTAGTGTTGATCAGGTAATTGTTGTTACAATTCAAGGACTAATTGTATATTAATTATTAATAACTATTTACTTTTAACCATAACCAATGTTAATCAATTAATTAGTTAATTATTGATAAATTTTTTTTTCTCAATCTCCTTATCAGCTTAATAGATTCAATCACAGCTAATAATATTTAACAATTAACTTTTGCTATTTAATCATCAAATGATTTATTGAAAACAAATGATTTCATTTTCTAATGATTCATCAACTTTCAATGGTAACAATTAACTTTTCATTTAACTCTGGTTATTATTTAATTTCGTTCAAATCAAAACCTTGAAATTTTTTCAACAAATTTAATTTAATTTGATTGTAAAAGAAAATCAAAAATAAACTAAACTTTAAATGTTAATCGAATCAAAAGTAATTCAATTGTTTCTAAATGTGTTTTATTTTTCCTTTTCTCTTAATTTAATTTGATTCTAATTCTTTCGAAACTTTAATAACAATTAATTTTCGAAAATAATTTTCCATTAATTTCGAAACAATTTTCGAAATTTGAATTTAGAGGTTAATCGAGTTTTAGTTTTCTCTTTTCTCACCAGATGTCAATAGAGTTTCGGTTATGCGCTGAGAAAATTTTTCTCTCTGATAGTTGATCGGTTTTCTTTGAACTTTTTGATTGTGAATTTAATTTGATTTAATTGTTTTCTTTTCTAATTAACTGGTTATCTTTTTTAATCATGGTAAGTAGTTTATGGTTCATTCTATGGGTTAACGGTTATGACAATTGTCTTTTCTCTTTTAATAGGCTCGTCGTTATGATACCAGAACAACTATTTTCTCACCTGAAGGTAAGGGTTTTCTCTTTATCCATAAATTGCTGCATCATGTCAGTGTTTATATAACTATGATTTACTTTGAATCTTTTTCTTTTTCCAATGTTTGTTTGTATTAATTTTTCTCATTTTTACCGTTTATTTTACACCAACAGGGAGACTTTACCAGGTTGAATATGCAATGGAAGCTATTGGTCATGCTGGTACCTGTCTTGGTATCTTGGCTTCAGATGGAATAGTTTTAGCTGCTGAAAGGAGAAATACTAATAAATTGCTTGATGAAGCTTTTTCTGCTGAGAAAATTTACAAGCTTCATGAGTATGTTGATTTAGTTGTTGTCAAGTTAATGATTTGTGTGTCAAATCAAAAGGAAAATGTCATGGGTTTACTGGACATCATTTTCTTTTTGTCTTGTCTATTCTTATTTTTAGAAAACAATTTAGTTTTTCTTTCTATTTAATCTTTTCCTCTTGTAATTTTTCCTTTATCCTTTAGTGATATGGCTTGTAGTGTTGCCGGTATTACTTCTGATGCTAACGTTCTTACCAATGAACTTCGTCAGATTGCTCAGCGATATCTTTTACAATTCGGAGAAAGCATACCCTGTGAGAGATTAGTTAGTCATCTTTGTGATATCAAACAAGCGTACACTCAGTATGGTGGTAAACGACCATTTGGTGTTTCTATCCTTTACATGGGATGGGATCGTCATCATGGATTCCAATTATACCAATCTGATCCAAGTGGAAATTATGGCGGATGGAAAGCTACATGCATTGGTAATAACAGTGCCGCTGCAGTGTCCATGTTGAAACAAGATTATAAAGAAGGACAAACCAATCTTGATCAAGCCTTAGCTCTTGCTGTTAAAGTTCTTAGCAAAACTCTAGATATGAACAAGTTAACTACAGATAAATGTAAGTAAAAAAACATGACAACAAACAATTATACCAATGGCTCTTTAAATTGAATCTGATTTATTGCTATAATTGACCGAAAACAAGAAAAACAATTCATATCGATGACCAAATGGACAATCGAATCGTATTACCTGTTTTACAATTTATCCTCAATTATCTTGGTACTTTGACAATTAACTAATGTATTTCTTTTTTTTTCCTCTTCCATTCGAACTACTTTTCTAACAGTGGAAATTGCTACTTTAACCCGTGTCAACAATGGAACTAAAATTCGTGTTCTAACACACGCAGAAGTGGAAAAATTAATCAAGGCATTCGAAGTGGAGGAAGAAGCTCGAATTAAAAAAGAGAAAGAAGAAAAAGAGAGAAAACAACATGCTGAAAAAGAAAAATCCAAGTGATGATTTTTTATTTCTACCGATAAACATTACAAAAATTCAATACACAAAAAAATAAATACTCTTCCAGAGTAATTACTTTATAACAATTAAAAGAGGATGAAACTTTTGTTATAAATTAAAGGAGAAACAAAAAGTTCTAACGACTATTTCGGATTCTATAACATCAACTATCAAATCAATTGTTCCAATATCGGGAATATGTTCACTCTAATGGTTTACCCTTAACAAAAAGGACAACATACACACTTATGTTAAAAATCATAAATCGTTTTCATCAAATTCACAAATATGGAAATAATTGATTCTCTCTAACAATTTAAATGATGGATCATTAGTAACCACTTTAAAGTTGAGAGATTCAGTAAATTCAGTAAGTGTAATTACATGATGGTTAAGTGTCGATCAAAAACTTTTATCATTTATTTTCTCTCTCTCTCTCCTTCCTATCAAACTGATTTCTTACTTTTTTTAAAAAAAAGAGAAAAAAAAGTTTAAATTGTCGAGAAAAAGAAAAATATCAAAAGCGAGTAGCATAAACTACTCAAGAATTATTATCAACAAATATGTTTAAATCTACCCGAGAAAAAAAATTCAGTTAATGCTTTTTGACTTAAACTTTTTGCTTCTCTTCTCCTATAAGTAATATAATAATAGAAAAATGTATTAAAAAAGACACGAAAAAGTGGCTTCTTTTCTCGAAAAAGAAGAGAAAAAGTTCTACTCGATGTTTTCGCAATCGAATAAAATTGTTATTTGTTCCTCTTGATATAGAGAAATAAAAAACATCTCAAGAAAAAGAGGAAGACACAAATAAAGAAAAGAGGTGATATCTTGAAGATGAACTGAAAAAAAGATTAACGGTAAATGGGACGAAAACTGAACAGAGTTAAAAGGTTATAAACCTAATTGTTGTCTTGGGATGTTACTCAAAACAATCTTGTCTCTCTCTCTCTCTCTCTCTGTGTCTTTGTCTTTTATTCATCTTCCCAAGTATCATCAATATCATCTTTGGCTCCTTCATGAAAGGGAAGTAACATTTCCACACCATTGAAGAGTAAATCAAGCGATTTCATTTGGATGAAATATAGATAATGACAGGCAAATGAAAAGATTATGATGGTGTCGGTGGTGGAAAAGGTGCTCACTGGGCCTTTGATAGATTCGCCATCATGTTCCATTTTGCTTGCGAATTGAGAATAAAATGGTTCACCAATAGTTGCAAGAAAAAGAGACAAGGAAAAATGATGATGAGAGAATGTGAAGATGAAGATGTTGGAATGATGATTGTTTTAGATGATATAGTTTCTGTTGTTTCCTTTTCCTTTACCAAAGAGATGGTGTTAACTAGCTCGTGAGACCATAATGGATGGTAAAGTGTTCCTACGAATACGGTTGTCTTCACATATTATCAATTCGATTCTAAACAAGTTGATCTGATTTGTTTTACATTCTAAAGGGATGGATAAGTTATCATCTCCTTCACCAATTTGATATGAATCTTTGTCTCATTTCCATTGTTTCTCCAATTTAGTCCTTCATTGTTTTTCTATTCTTCACTTTGGCCTCTTTTTCTGACTTCTCTTCTCCATCCAGTTAGATGATTCAGTCCATGGTAATGAAAGAACAAGATTCTTCAAGAAATTTCCTTTTCTCTCTCTCCAAGTCCAATCCACTTTTCCTTCTAATTCCATTTGCATTAACTCTCGACAGCTATTAATTGCTTGAAAGAGTAAATTAGTTGTTTCACTGATGGAAAATAAGCAGCTTAGTATGATGATAATGATGATGTTAATGATAATACAAATGATGATGGTTCATTAGGTGCAAGGCCAACTCGTTAATTGAACCCCATTACCAAATTATTTTTTCTCTTCTTTTAGTCAGGGAGACAAAGGAAAACGATAATAATATTCACCAATATCACTCTTAGTAGCATTCTAATTGTGTGTGTTACAATTAATCATTAGAATAATAATATTCCAGCAAATTGTTGATTATCGGCGAGATTATTTGTCTCTGGGTTGATTTAATTTAATCTTAAAACTGTTTCCTCTTCAATTGGTGTTCAACTGGTTCATCTTAATTTCCAACAAAATGTCAACCAGTTGAGGAGAGAAAAATTAACAACAATTAACAAGGAAGGAGAAAGAAAAGGAAAAACAGTTAAGTCAACAAGAATTTTCTAAATTAGGGAAGAGAGGACACAATTTAAAAACACTTTCATGTGTGTGAAAATCACATAATTAATTAATTAATCAAAGTTAATCCATCAACTGGAAAGACTTTGTAAATGTTTCAAAATGAATTTATCAAAACAGAAACGAAGGGAAAATAAAAAGAAAGACAAAAAGAAAGAACAATCGATTGGCGCTCAATTTAAAGAAAAGAAATTAATTTAATTTAATTATCATTTACATTGGAATCTCTTAATTATTAGCAAATTAATGAATAAACAATAAATTGATTGGGATTCAGAAATAGAAACATAATCAATCTGATAGAAGGGGTTGAATAGGATAACCAAATTAACTTATCAACTTTCAGTCGGAATCATTAATTATCACTCAGATTAATCAATTAATTGTAATCACAATTATCTCAACTAATCAATAGATCAGCAAATATATTATTTATTCACATTGATAAGATTAACAATTAACATTGAATTAGGATATAGTAGATGATGAGATAATCATATGTTGTTGTTGTTGTTGTTGTATTATTTGCATTGGGAGGAAAGTTAATTGTAAACATCAAGTTAATTGTTATTAATTACGTATGAAAATAGTTAAGGACAATTAAGATAATCAATTTAGGTTTTATCTGTATTTAGTTTATTTTATTATATTATATAGAGATAAAGATTGTAACATTTTCAATATCAGCATTTATTGATCCAGTTAATCAATCAGTTAATTGAAATCAATCAAAAAGGGGAAACATGTTAATCACAATTGAAGATTGGATGATTAATTTAATTCAATTGCAAACTGATTCCAATTAAACTAATTTCATTGTTCAACTATTTCTATTCCATATCATCATCATGATCAAAGTTAATTCAGTTAGTCTTTTGTTAATCATAATAATGATAATATAAGAAAACAGAATTAACTTAATTCATGTAACAATCAACATCTTTCATCAATCTTATCATATAAAAGGATAAGATTTTTTTTCATCATCTTTTTTTTATCATCTTCATCATCCAGGGTAAATTTAATCTCTATAATGATGAAGATGAAGATGAAGATGAGGATGAGGATGAAAAAGAAAAAAGAATTTTTTTTCATCTTTTCTTTGGTTCTTTTCATTGAAAACTTTTGTTTCCATTACAATTGTTGTTGTCATCAAACCAATTAATTAATTAACTTGGCAAACTTATGATACAATTAACTTGATTATTACATTCGCTATGTGTGATTAGTTAATTGTTAGTCTCTCAAGTTTATTTGATTGATTAGATTGATTTGAAATGTCTCTTGGTTCATTTTGTTTATTTAATTTAATCAATTTGTTTTAATCAATTGTTTATGTTACCAATTTGATTGTCAACAATTTAATTTGTTCACCCTCAGGGTAATGTTTACTTTTTTATTATTTTGATTACGATTAAATTGGATCAATACAATTAGTTGATTATTAATTATCCTCATATTAGTTTAAGTATATAACCTTTGAAACTTAATCAACAACAATCAGTGGAAATGTTATTTACAATTTAATTCAATTGGTTAATTTAGTTGTATATCTAATAGACAACAATTATATTTTTACAATCTAATTTAGCCACTTGATTAGTATTATTGGAAAGGTAAATATAAAGTTAATTATGATCAGTTAGTTAACCAGAATCGTAATAACTTTCATCATGATTAGTTGATTTGATTCAATTTATGAACAATGATCAATAGAATCACTTACAGAAAAAAATAGATCATCGAACTTGTATTAGAACTTTTTTCTCTCGATTTTTTCAACAATCGAAGAAATAATTTTTTAAATTGTTACAATTTTCATCCCTCTAAAATCAAGTAGTTTAAAAAATGATCATCGTTAAATTGTTGTTAAATCATTTAACTGCGAGTGAAACAATTTAAAAGCTTTTAGATTCACTTTTCAAAGCTTTTAAATGTCTATTGGAAACCATTAGTAGTTCAATTGTTATAACAATTTAAATTGTAAACCGGCCAATATAATCAGCAAACCTTGTAAACAATTAAGTATCATGATTTGAATAAATTAATTGTCCACAGAAAATATTATTCTCAAACTGAATTAACTTTGAAAATAACATTCAACTTTTACTCCAGCAACAAACAAAATTTAAATTGTTTGTTCAACTAATTGTAAACAATTAATTGTAATTATATTCACAGGGAGTGAGTTAGTATTTTTTCCTGGTTATTTACATGGTTAACTAATTGTTAGTTAAAAAAATGACAAATACAAACACAATCAGCATGATAGTTAGTTAAATGATTCGTGAATGAATATACAACATGATGAATTTTTTTTCACTCAACATTTAGCTCAGAATTTTGAGAAAAAAAAATCCCATTCATTATAATGATAATCAAGACAACAATTAAGTTAATGATGATACTCACTATCATGGGAGGTTAAACTGATTACATTTAGTTAACCATAATTGTTTAATAATGTTATCTAATCATAAGTAAATTGTGATCACATTGTTTTCACCTAGAAAATGTCAACAATCAAGGAAACTCATCTCATCCATAAAAATTAAAACAATTAAGATAATAAGCCAACCATAATTATCTTAATCACGACAATTAAGTTTCTAGAAAAAAAAGTTTTCCAATAAAAAAAAGTTAAAACTTGAAACTCCATTGAAATTGATTGATTGTTGATAGCAAATATTATTTTCCAATGCAAGTGAATCAACAATAAACAAGTTGAATATTAAATTAAACTAAATTAAGTAACAATTGAGTGAGACAATTTAATGATTATCATCAATGTAATATGATTAAAATCGTTTAATCAAATCAAGTTGATTTTTTTTTCGAAAGAAAAATTTTTTTTAAAGTTTCATTGAAAAAATAACATTAGAACTCGAGATTGATGAGGCTTATCATCATCTTCCCACTCCCAACATTGTCATCATATCCTGATGATGATAATGATGATGATGATGATGATGATAATCTGAATAGTTACTTTAAAAAATGGCGTAAAAAATTGAATTCAAATTGGCGTTGAAAAAGCAATTAAATTAAACTAAGTATTAGTAAAGTAATTACGAGACAAATTTAATTTGCTTCCATTGATGAAAACAATCAGTTAGATTTTGTTAACAATTTAAACGCTAAATTGACATAGTCATGATGATCAGTTGGGAAAACAATTTAATTTAATCAACATCATTGATTTTATTTATCAGCCTTAGTCACAATTACCCAGGGACTTTAATTGTTGTCTCTCAATTACATTATAATATATGATGAGAGTTTCTTAATTGTGGTTGATAATTGTTGCAAAGAAAAAAGTTTTTTTTTTCCTTAACGATAATCATTCATTAATTAGTATTAATTGTCTCTTTTTATTTACTCTCTAATTAAGTTAATTTTTTCTCCTTTCTCTCTCTATCATTAAAATAATTAAGGTAAATCAATGAACATTCATCTAATAACAATCAATACGATTGATTGATTGAATGAAACAATAAGAGTAAAAGTTAAAATTGATTACTGAAAGTGTTTCAATTTAAATCTTATGAGAATTGGAAATGATTTTGATTAAATTGTGAATTTGTATGATTATTAATATTATTGGTTGGAAAAGTGATACAATACTATTGATGATGATAAATTGATTTGTTGTTTTTACAATCAAATCAATTGATTGTAACAACTAACACCAATCTAGCTTATGGTTATAATCAATCAACTAACAAGTTACACTCTCGTTATCCAATTGACAATCAAATGCTAAGTCTTTTTCAATATAATAAACATTTGATTGCTCATTTAATGATAATCATCATGATCAAGTAAAAAGGGTAAGTAAAGATGATGAAAGAAGATAAATTTATCCTCCTTTTCATCCTCATCCTCATCTTCATCCCTCTAATTGACATTACTCTTTTTTCCCTAAATTGTTACAATCAATCTTATTACTCGATTACTGTTAAAACTATTGTCTCTCATTCATTTCATATTAATATTGATTTAGTTGTAACATTTAAGATTGTTAATGGAAATCATCATCATCGTCATCCAATTGATGATTTCAATTCTAATTGTTTAACATGATTAAATTAACTTGTCATTTGGATGTTACAATCATTTTCTTAGCATTTTATTGATCCAATTAATTTCTAATCATTATGATTATTACAATCACAGAAATAATTGAAAACATTGACCATGAAAAGAAAAGTAAACAACAACAATCAATGGAGAAATGATTAGTATTTGTAATTAACAAATTGAAATGAAATGATTGAGAATAAGAGTAAAGAAAAAAAGTTGATCAAATTCGTGAGTTGATCTGATCAATTGAATATTGAATAACAATCATGGAACTTTAAAAAGAAAGAGAAAAAGAAAGAGGAATAAAATTCTCTGGGAGTGATTATATTGATCTATGATTGGCTGAGACTCTTTTCTGTGGGAGGGAAAAAGGTGGAGTTTATTGTTGTTCTATAATTTGATTAGAACAATTGAGACTCGAACTATAATCCACTCGAAATGATCTAAGATCTAAACGAGAGGACGAAAAAATCGAGATCATTTTTCAAGGAGAAAACAAATTATTTCCAAGTGAATCAGTTTCTCTTTGATTACTGATAATGTAACATTGAGATAGAAAAACAAGTTGATAACAATCAGGAAGAAGAAAAAAATAATAAACAGTAACAATTAACTTTCGATTTATTTTAATCATCGATTTGTAATCGTGATTTGTGATAAGTGTTTATCATTTTTTTTCTGTGGTTTTTAATTGTTTCTTTGTTGATTTGATTCGCAATGGAACAATTAACCGAATTTGTTAACAAATCAATGACATGTGAAAGGTTATCACAATTATCAACAACAACGATAAATGGTAACAACAATCAGGGATTATCTTTATCATCAACTGCATCTTTATCTTCATCATCTTCCTCATCTTCATCCTCATCATCTTCCTCTTCATCCTCTTCCTGTTTCACTTCATTAACATCATTTCCAATTGTTAATTTAAGTTCAAACAATAATGCAAATGGATTAACAAATGGTTCTGGATTAACGGGTTTATCTTCATCATCATCTCCATCAGCAAACACAACAACAACAACAACAACAGCAACAACACCATCAACATCAACAGCGGTGGCAGCGGCTGCGGCTGCGGCTGCTGCGTTTATCAAGTCAAGCTCATCTCTTAATCCATTTAATCATCTCTTTAATCCGGCCTTTCATCATTCACGATTATCATCAACTGGATCTACAAGAAATAAATTCAATCGTCCACCCGGTCTACCAAGCCCTCCACCCTCTCCACTTGCCCCGCCGCCGCCATCATTCAAGCTGCAATGTGCAATCGGATTAAATTCATCACCATCATCATCTAATCACTTTAATAACAATAACAATCAACGTCCAGAAACATCAGATTCAATTGAAAGCGACAATGATGATAACAGTAAAGACTCAAGAGGTAAATGAAAATGAAATTAAAATTTAATTCTTTTCCTTAATCACAATTAACTTATTTCAGGAACTTGTTTATCGCCCGGAAATTACTCTCCAGGTAAAATGAAAGCCGATATTAGTGTTGATGATATCGGCGAAAATAAATGTCCCTCTCCTGGTGAGTTTAATCGCGTTAATTACCCATAACAATCAACTAATTATCTTAATAATTTTGTACAGATAAAAAATCAACACTCCAGGTAACAACAACAACAATTAATCAAAGTACAATTAAAAACAAGATTAAAAAAGATGAAGATGAAACAAAGGACAGAAATGACGAGAAATTGTTCGAGAAATTAACTAATGGTTCCAATATTGATTCTAATTATAATGGTTCATCTATACAACAATTAACTTGTCGAACTGCTCAAAATATTCACCATCATCATTCCCAGCAATCAATTAACAACAATCAACAATCTCAGGGGAAAGTTAAACAGCGTCGATCTCGAACTAATTTTACTTTAGATCAATTGAATGAACTCGAACGTCTTTTCGATGAGACTCATTATCCTGATGCTTTTATGAGAGAGGAATTAAGTCAACGACTTGGATTATCCGAGGCTCGAGTTCAGGTAAATCAACAATTAATCTCTAATCAACCTAATCACTTTCCCTTTTCCAACAATCAAAGTCTCTAATTTGATTATCATTTGTGGTTACATCAAAATCCTCCACTCGTCAAACTTAATCTTAATATTTGATTGATGGATTGGATTTGATTGTAATCGTAATTGGTTGGATATTAATTGATTAGCTTGTCAACAACCAGTAATTTAATTATCATCAAAATTGATGATAATTATTTATCATTTATAATTAGTCTCAATATTGATTATTATTATTGTAAAGAGATATTTTTTTTAATCATTTATAATTTAGCCTTTCAAGTTAATTAATAAGTGATGAAATTATTATCATATAATGGTTACAATTAATATCTTTAATGTTATCTGAGATAATTAATTAATCAGTTATGATAATAGTTGATTAAATTGTAGATGATGATGATCAATTGAATTGATTTTTAGGTTTAATTGATTGGATGAATATAAAGTAAATCAATTAAATCAACTGATGATATAAATTATTTATCCTTTTCATTGGATTTTGATGATTATCATGATAATGATTAACAAGTGATAATAGTTAACGATAGTTAATTTAATCAAAACCAATTAAGTTGATTGGAAATTAAATCTCGATAAAAAGGAAAATGTAATCTACTAGAAATTTACTTTTGCCAATCAACTAATAGATTAACACGTAAAAGTAAATTAATCCAACAATTAATCCTTTCTAAATGTTTTCCAATGCAAAATTGACAATTAAATTGGGAAACAATGACAACAGTTAAATCAACAATTTAATATCATATTCAAAAGTGCAAGTGATAATTATCACAAGGAAATTAAATTAAAATGTGATTATATGATGATGATGACCGCTAATTTGGTTAATAGCAATTGTTAATGTTAGCCAATTATCCGATTGCAATATAAACTGGCGACTGTGATTATCTTGATTATTAGAAACAATTTAGTTGATTTAATGATAATGGTCCAGTTTCTGTTGACAGTAATCTTTTTAATCAGTTTAATGGACCACAGAGGATATAATCTTCATCTTGAATCCCACCTCATCCTCATCCTCATCACCACCCACTCACCCTCCATCCTCATCCTCATCCTCATCCTTATCTCCATCCTCATCTTCATCCCTCATCCTAATCATTACCACATTTTGATAGTACAATCAAAGTCCATAATAAATTGTTGTTATCATCATTTATATGATTATCTTTTCCTTTCACTCCAACACTTGCAACTTAATCCAATTGGGAGTTAATAGTAATCATCATGATACTAATCATAATATGAAAATCTACTTTGATGATTATAATTGAATTAACTTATTAACGATTATAGTGATAACAATGAGTGTAATTTATTTATTTACCAATTTAATCATTGATTCATTTTAATTTAAACCCTTAAATTGTTACCTTCTTTATTTTAATCGTAACAGTTTCTTACCTGAACAAAACTTTTTCACCAACAATTGTAATAAAAACATTAAATTAGTTTAATTGTTTTCTTTCACATCATCATCATTATCATTCATATTGTCATTCTGATGATGATTGTTTATAATCAATTGATTATATTTATATACATTTCTCTTCATACTATTAATCAATTAGATACCAAGAGGTAATTAAATTAACTATTATTTATCATGACAATAGTTTCCATCTTTACTCTCGACCCTTTTAATCATATTATCATGATTATCGTTAATTTGATTGTTAACAATTTACCCTGAAGGGGTTTCCTAGTAGATTTATATACTTTTTTTTCATTGATGATAAACAACAATAAATGATTAAGATGATTATAAATGTTTATCTAACAACAATCAAATTGTGAATGAATAAGTTGCTCTCTCTTTTTTAATGTTGATATATGATTAGCATGATGATGATTAAGAAACTGCAACTGAAACCATGATTAGAGTAAACAACAATCAGGTTTCATCACAATTTATCACAATCATCTAACTAGAAATCAATATTAACATGTTTTCTGATATACTGATTGTTTCCATTGATTGTAATCAATGTTAATTCAGTAATAAATCAATCAATCAAACTAAATAAACAAAGAAACAAAACAACATCGGAAAACAAAACAACCGACACGTAGATTCAAATTGCGCCTCAAGGCAATTAATTCAATTTTTACAATCAAATCAATAGACAATCAATAAGATAAACAATTGAATTCAGGAATTACCGTTATTAATTATAATCAACTGATCAATTGAACATGTTAATTGTCAATATCTCTTTAGGTTTGGTTTCAAAATCGTCGAGCCAAATGTCGTAAGCACGAGAGTCAATTACAAAAGAGTAAGAAAACTTTTAATTGTTTGTTTTTCTCCGTCTACAATCAGCTAATTGTTGTTCTGATTTTAATTTTAATTAGCTGGTTTAATTATGTCATCTTCAGCCACTTCTACGACAATTGAATCATCAAGAATCGCTCCTTATATTAATGTTAATTCATCACCAACTCCACCGAGATTATTATCTGGACAATCAACACCCACTCCGACTGACTCATCAAGGTTTCCCACCGCCATGTTACCCACCTCAGGTAAAATAATTGATTAAATAAGGATAATTATGTTCTAGATTAACTAATTGTTTACTTTCCTTGTTAATTGTTTCCCTTTGATCAGGAGTTGCCTCTCATTATTTACAATTTGCAACTGATCCAGCCTTAATCGCGGCGGCTCATCATTATGCTGCCGCTGCTGCTGTCTCAGCTAATGCAGCCTCTGCCACCGGCGGGTTTTTATTTTACCATCCCACTCATCCTGCTCATCCCTTCAGCTTATCCGCTTTATTAGCCGCTGAAAGATTTACTAATAAAAACTCATCAATAGCTGAGCTAAGGATGAAGGCTCAAAAACACACCGCTGCTCTTGGATTATGATTTAACCACTTTTATCATCGACAATTAATTTAGTTTAACAATTAACTAATCATGATTAACTTCAAACTCTCTCAAGTCTTTTATTATTATTATTATTGATAAAAAAATCTCCAAATGTTGATCTCAAATCAATTTTTTCCCTTCTTTGTTAATATAAATTATTATTAGAAAAATTAATCACAATTAAAACTTAGAATTACAATGTTAAACTGATTTACTAAATTAAGATGGTTACAATTACTGTATAATTAGTGTAATCATGAAAAAAATCTCATTATTTAGATTTGATTGGCAACAATCAAGTGACAATTAAAACAAAACTATTCCTTTGAATCATAATCAATACATGATCAATATCATTTAAATTACTTACAACAATCAAGGTAAGTTTTGAACAATTAAACTAATCATTTGATTTACTTAATATAAGTTTGCTTGATTTTATTTGATTTAACTGTTAAATAATTAATTGTGAACTAATTTGATTACAATGTTTTCCTTTTTGTTGTTGTTATGATTTATGATCAATTATTATTAATAAACAATTTACTCAATGATAATATTAATCATAAACAATTTAGAAAATTGTAAACTAAATCAAATCAAATAGAAAGTTAAAATCGACGTGATTCAATGTTATAGATTTAATTTTGTTTTATTCTAAATTGTTTTGTAATAATTTAGTAGCAAATGACCAACAATCAAATGATCAATAATTCAATTGTAAATCATAATCATGAACAATAACCAATGTTGATAATCATCATGATTGTTTTTACCAAATGATTTATGATTTAAATTGTTAAAAGATAATCAAGTTTTTTATATTGAATCACGTTCCAAATCAATTGGTCAATTGTTTACTCTTATTAAATTATTAGGATCATCATGATTTATTATCATTTGATTGTAAACTTTGTTATTTTATTAAATAACAATCACAATTAGATAAATAATATTTATAATTTCATTTATTTTCTTCACTTTAACCCTTAATTTTATTTTCTAATTCATTAAATTGAAGTTGATTTCATTTCTTTCTTACTGAATTAATCCCTCCCTTCATCTTGGATTAACAATTAACAATAATCCTCGTTGATTATATTGATCTTTTCTTCATTAAATAATCAACTTTTCAATATTTTCTCATGTTAATCTTCATTCTCTATCAATTGCTGATTGATTTTGTGCAAGAAATTTATCCATTAAGATTCATCGGTTGTGGAATATGATTAATTGGTGAGAATAGTATTTTCCATGGTAAAAGTAATGGTGCTAAGCTGATGCTGTTGTGATAGCGAAGTGATAGTGTTCATGACTCTTTGTGAATGGATGAATCAATGGAAAAATTTCAATTCGAGATCAGAACTCACGGACCGATCAATGTTCATCATTTAGGTTTCCGAGGAGATGAAAATTGTTCGATTTTTGTGTTAGCAATGAACGTACATAAGCCTAATTTGAGTCTGAAGTCTTTAGACATAAGAGTTATAATTTTCTCAGATCTGTGGAGTATGGAAGTGAACATATTAACTAGATTTTCTTACCAAATAATAAGATTATTCCATAGGCTGGAAGATTTAGTTTCATGTGACAACAGTAAATCGGAATCATGGATAAAACAATTCTAAATAAGTTCGAGTCTTTTAGTGATGAATCGAACCTCAGTCAATGTTTCGATTCGAGAGATTTCATTTTCTCATAAAGTTTTCAGTGGATTTTTGTAATAAACATCCAGAAGATTAATAGACAATTTCATTAACACTTTTATCTTTATTAGTCTCTGAATGTCATCATCATCATCATCATCATCTCTCTCTCTCTCTCTCTCTAATCAATTGATTCCAGTTCTAAACTCCGACCTGTTTGTTTACCTGTAGTTTTTGAACTTTAGTGAAAAGTTTCAAGCTGATTCTAATAGTACAGCAATTGATTATATTATCGATATTTGATCATCTAATCAAAGACGATAATCATCAGTTAATTGTTAGTTTTTTGTCCAATCAATCTACTAGTAATATCTAATAGATTGATACGTTAACTGATGATTTGAGCAGCAATTTTGAATAGACTGATAACCGATGCTCGTTAATTAAGTTAAATAAAATATGCACATGAAGCCATTAGTGAGTTAATTGATTCTTAATAAGTTAATCAAACTGTAAGGAGCATAAATTTTTTTTTGCTTCTCCGATGTTACTTAACCTTTCACCTCAATGATAGTTTATCATAATTCTGACGGTTATTAAATTGCTGTTAATGACAAGAAAAAAAGTTATCACAATAATCATTAGAAGATGATGATGATTAACAACCATTATCATCTTTGGTCAAATAAAATTGATAATTTTATATGAAAAACGGACTAAGTGGTAATCAAATGATGAGTAAAGATATCGCTTTGATTAGATTGATCGAAATGGGAATAAGATTGATGAGTTGATGGTTATAAAGGATGATGAGGATGATAAAAAGAGGATGAGGATGCGGATGAGGATGAGGAGGAGAAAAGAGGAGGAGGAAATGGATGAGGAACATTTTCTTTTTTTATCTTTTCCGTTTCCCCTTTTAACATGGTCCATGTATTATTACACTTTGATTCATTCACAACTTTCAACCGATGGAAACAATTTATTGATTGTTGTCATAATCAAGATGATAATCTTCATCGTGTTAACTATAATAATAATATTATGATTACTTGATTAGCTTTAGTTGTTATATTTATTAGAGAGACAATCAAATGATTAAGGTTAATGGACTTTCATTGTTGTTATTTTTGATAAATGTTACATTAGATTACAATTAATTTGCATAATTTTTTCAATGGTTAATTGATTGATTGTTACAATTAAGTGAAACATTGAAATGATTTTGTTTTTTCTTGTCACACTCTTGAGTAATTTATTTAATTGTTGATAATAAATATTAATGCATGCGGTTAACAAGGTTATTGTTAATCATCTTGGTGATGACGATGCAATGATAATTGATTTGATTGTGAAAATTAATTGGAAAAAAAATCTTATTTGAAACAATTAACATGGTTTTTCCAATAGGAACTAGATTATTGACCTATCAATAGTGTCAGTAAACTAAATTGTTGATATTTAAAGGCCTGGATAATTTATGAATTGGTGATTTAGATGCAATTAAATCCAGGAAATGAATTACTTTCTTTTCCCAACTAAACCAATTGTCCAAGTTTTCATATTAAACAATCAGGAAATTAACTTTGTTTCTTGATTGTGTTTTGGTTTCATCTTCATTATTAATAAAATAAATAATAACAAAGTCACTCTGAATTGATTAACTTGTTGATTCCTCGTTAATTGTTTACTGGTAATGTAATGACCTGACTTTCCAATGCTCATGAACCAAACTCATGATGATTATGATGATCAACAATCAACCATTCAATTTGTAAATTAGATTGATCAATTTTCTGTGTTTTCCATCATCTTATTAAACCAATTATATTCAATAATTAGATCATCGAGTGAGAATAAGAGTAGATGAGAGAGAGAGAGAGAATCAGGAAGAAATCATATATAAATAACAAGCAATCAAACTGAGTATTTGATAATCATTCTCATCGTCTTTAAATTAGTGATATTAAATTAGTGTTTAGTTAAATTGTTTCAAATTGCAAGAAGGTTTAAGAGAAACCAAAAAAGAAGAAGAAAATGTTTCTGTGGATCAATTTAATCGTTCTAATTTGTTATTGTAATTCCGTTTTCGCCGTTAATCATGTTGATTCCAATTCGTTGTCATCGGAGGCAAAGTTAACCACTGATTTAGTTATGGACGCGTTTGAAACTCTTCGTCGTTTGATTATTGAATCAACTCATTCACAGGAAAAAGATTCAGCTAAGGAAATCGCTCCACAGGCTCAACATTATTCACCATTACAACGAATGGATCCTTTGTTTTTACCCAAATCGGTTATCCATGAAAGTCGAGACCCTCAAACTCCCGTTATGGGTAAATTAGTTGTTAAACTTGATAATATGCAATTCACTGGATTGTCAACATTTAAGGTTGAACAAGTTGCCGATTCGGGTCCTTGTATGACTTTCCAACACACAATACCCAAATTAGAAGCTTGTGCTGATTATAGTCTTGAGTATCATCTTTTCAATGAGATTCCATTGCGATTATCTGAAGGACAGTTAAAGGCCACTCTTCCCAAGGCTCGTGTTAATGGTGGTTTCTTATCGTTCACTGGTTCTCTTGCCGATTGGTCGGTTAAATCTAAATTCAATGTGACCACAACTGTTGACGATGATATTTCACTGGCCGTTTACCCGAAACACACGATCTCCGAAAGGTTTGTACTTCAAAAGAGTATGGATAAGCTTCAGGCCGCTGTTAAATCAAGTTTACCACAAATATCGGAGATGTTGAAAGGAGCCTACACCAGAGTTATCGAAATGAAATTAATCAAGTGAAAATTAGTCATGATATTATGACACCTTTATAATCAACAATCAATATGTTTCATCTTTTATCACTGTTAATAAATTAAAGTTGAATGTTCCGTTGTTCAAGTAAATTATTGTTTCCATCCGAAAACAAAATCGTCTCCAATTCTTATAATTATTACAATTGTTTTTTCTTCTTCTCTAATTTTACTTTAATTTTTTGCCCTTTTTCAAAAATTTCTCGAATTCAGCTTCATCTGTTAACAGATATTCATCACTGGTAAGATCATTTTTCGGTTCATTAGATGAATCTTGTTTACGATTTGCAGGTTCATCATCAGGTTCATCTTCGGGTTGATCGGTTGGAGATGAATCTTTCATCGGCTTTTTGTCGACGATCATTTTTATATTGTTGCCTTTTTGTTTATTCACCAAGAATCGGACATCTTTTGAAAACATGGGGGAAATTCGAGAGGAAAATGTGTCCAGTGGTACACTACGAGACCCAGCGATTGTTATGTGAATCTCTTTGCCCTTGTCAATCCAACGGTTAATTTGATCCATTTTTATCTTAAGATCATTGGAGGCGATTGAAGTTTCAAAGGTTATCCTTTTAATATCTTTACTTGTATTTGGTGTTTTCTTTGACTCTTTAGCGTTCTGATTATCGGTTGATTTGATTGTTGTATCATCTTTCGTCTCATCTTCCATTGAAAACGCTTTATGTCGGGGTTTCAGCTGATATTCGGGAAATTTGGGTTTTCCTAGAATTTCCATAGCCACCAAGGCAAATCCATTCTTTTTAGCGATTGTTTCGGCTTCTTGTTTAGTCTTATGTCCAATCACTTTACCATTTTCATCATATAATCGGATAGTTTCTGATGATTGAGTTTTACTATTTTGAGCAAATAACAAACTTTGAGACGATTGGAAGAATCGCAATTGAGGTGAGATAATTGTCTTGATAATCGATTCATTTTTTAAGACAGTTTGAAACGTTAATTTAATGAAATTCATAATCTAAGTTGAACCAAAAATCAAATCTAAAAGATAAACAAAAACAAAAACAAAGTCAATTTTTCATTCAAAATTTCATCAGATGAAAAATTCATCGGAAACAAATGGACAAATCTTATCATTGAATTGAGATGAACATTAATTACTTACTAATTAAATCAAATTCTTATGTTACATATAAACAAATAAACATTTAAGGCACATTTAAACAACAATTTACTAATTACGATGTGAGTCCAGAGACACAAACAGATGATCAACAATGTGAATTTTTCAATGGAAAAGAAAAGCGGTAAATTTGGTTTCCACCAATTCACATTTAATTTAATTGTTGTGTTTAGAATTTGAAATATTACAAACGATTAACTTTTCCAAAACTCAATACAACTAATAATTGACTCATCTTCAATTAGTTTAACATGTTACAGGCAGAAAAGTACAAATTATGACAATTAATCAATTGGTAATTGCAAGAAAATTTGATAAACTTTTAAATTCAACAATTAGCTAATAAAAGGTAATATATTTTTTCCTGAACGCTAATTTAGTAATCATGAGTTAATTATTGAGTTACTGTTATGATAAAAATACAATATGAACAGTGATATGATAATTGAACAATTAACTAACTGGTAAACTTATGATTTACCTTGGAATTGTTATTTTAATCAATTGAAATATCTAAAAATTGATTGGAAATTGTTGATTTCTGGCAAAATATAATAACGATTAATCTAATTGTTACAACATTATCTTTTATTACAAATTGTACGGAAAGTGAAAAGAGTAACAATTAATCTGATCAGGAGGCGAAATTTTCTTGATTATAAATGAAAAGCGAATCATATAAATACTAAATTGTTACAGAGTTTTTATTATTTGAGTAAACTGTTATTATCTAAAGTAAAACGAGCAATTTAATTTAGTAAAAATGGTTAAACTAATTGTTGCTGTTCTGTTGATTTCTTGTTACTTGGGCTTATCTTTGGCCGATTCACCGAGACGAGGACGAATCCTGTCCCACAACAAGACGATCGTTAATTGTGCTAAATTTGGTCGAGCGGCTAATCAACATACTTGCGTTTTAGCCCCATTCGCGGAAGAAGGTCCTTTCTATGTACCCGATAATCCACTTCGATCGGACACTATCGATGGTGAACCAGGAATTCCACTCGAACTGACCATCCAATTGACCGATTCTCGAGACTGTTCCCCTTTATCTGGTCTCTATGTTCACATTTGGTCAGCTAATGCCACCGGTAACTATTCTGGTGTTAATGAGTCCGATTTTGACACACCCGGTGAGCTTAGAGTCAAAACTGTCTATGCATCCCGATCACTTCGAGGTCACCAAATAACCGATAAAAACGGTATTGTGACCTTTAAAACGATCATCCCTGGTTGGTATCCTGGTCGTACGATGCACACCCACATTGAAGTTTATCCAGAAAACGAGACTGATGTTGATCGAGTTACTTTCATTGGTCAATTTTATTTCCCTCGCGATTATGCCCTAAGGCTAAAGAAACAATATCCTTACTCATTGAATAAAAATCCAATCACAGTTAATAACGACGATGATGATTATGTTAACGCCGGTGGTAAAGATACAATTCTTAACATTGTTCCCGACGAAAAGGGTTGGAGGACTTTCTTCACAATGGCCATTGATCCAACAGTCATTATCCATGCCTTTTAATTGCAATTAATTGTCTTGATTATAAATAAATTTGATTCCAACTGAAAGTTTGATTTCTCTTGATTCTTTTATTATTTCGGTTTCATTGAATTAACATTGAATCTTTCGCGATGAACTGAAAATCAATTGTGTGTATTTCCAAACTGATATTATTGAAATATTGTCATAACAATTAACAATTTACTTCGGTTCTAATTGTAATCAATCAACTTTTCTCAAGATTAACTAGAGAAAAGAGAGAATATTTTAAATTGAAAAGACTTTGATTTCATTAAACAAATTTACTAATAATAACTAGAACAAGATAATGTTGAGTAATTAAGAGCGATAATTAATAAAAATCAATGAGATTTAAATTAAAAGAGATCAATTTGTTAATTGTTAAAATCTAAAAATTATTGTTACTCATTTTTTATGTTTGAACTTTGAAATTAATGAAATTGATTTTGATTACTTTCAATCAGGAAATTTATCGATTTCTGGTAAGATAATTTGGATTATATTGACCAATTTGAACAATTAACTTTTAAACGATTAGTTTAATGTATTAAATTACTAACTATTAATAATAAAAATAATCTAAAATTTAAATCGAGAACTTTGATCTTGTAGCAACTAATTTTGAGTACAAGAAAGGATTATTAAATTTAATCAGTGACTTTAATCAATTCCATACAAAAACAATCAGTCACAAATTTTGTGAATTAAATTTAGCAACAATTAAAAACGATGGACCGATAAATTGTATTGGTTTGTAACCTTTCACAAACACTGAGCAATGGTCTGAGAGAAATTTGCATCTCGATTAACTGATTGCTGGAAACAAAGGGCTAGTCTCCACTCGAAATGGCCAATTAGTTAATTGTTATTCTCAAAACTTGATGAAACATTTGAATAACAGAAAATTAAAAAGTTTTCTAAATTTCAAACGACATAAAAAACAATTTGAGCCTCGAAGTCAATTATTAATAAAATGTGATCAATTTGATCCCATTTGCACCCACGATTTGATTGTGATCAGTTGGAAACAATAGATGAAGAAATACAACCATAATTGATTAGTTAATCATGTTAAACTGACTCTTAGGACAAATTGAACAATTAAAACAGTTAATTTTATAACAATTAATCTGATTGTTGAGGGAGAAGCAGAGATAATATTGTGTAAGGACTTGGAACAAAATTAGTATATAAGCTAAATGTAACAAAGAGTTTGTATCTAAATAAATTGTAATAATCAAAGTGAAACCAATTAAAGTAATTAAAATGGTGAAATTAATTGTTTCTGTTTTGTTGATTTCGTGTTATTTGGGTTTATCTTTGGCCGATTCACCAAGACGAGGAAGTAGATTGGCTCACAACAAGACGATCGTTAATTGTGCTAAATTTGGTCGAGCGGCTAATCAGCATACTTGTATTTTAGCCCCGTTCTCAGACGAAGGACCTTTCTATGTACCCGATAATCCACTTCGATCTGATCTTGTTGATGGTCAGCCTGGAATTCCTCTTGAATTAACTGTTCAATTAACCGATTCTCGAGACTGTTCACCTTTATCTGGTCTCTATGTTCACATTTGGTCAGCTAATGCCACCGGTAACTATTCTGGAATCAATGAATCCGATTACAATACCCATGGTGAGCTCAGAATTAAAACTATTGATTCATCTCGATCACTTCGAGGTCACCAAATAACCGATAAAAACGGTATTGTGACCTTTAAAACGATCATCCTGGTTGGTATCCTGGTCGTACGATGCACACCCACATTGAAGTTTATCCAGAAAATGAGACTGATGTTGATCGAGTTACTTTCATTGGTCAATTTTATTTCCCTCGCGATTATGCCCTAAGGCTAAAGAAACGATACCCTTACTCATTGAACAAAAATCCAATCACCTACAATGACGATGACGATGATTACATTGATTATGAGGGTAAAGACGCAATTCTCAACATTATTCCCGACGAAAAGGGTTGGAGAACTGTCGTGAAAATGGCCATTGATCCTACAGTCGTTATCCATGCTTATTAAATTACAATTGTTTCGTCGATTTCTTGATTGACTAAAAATTTCTTATTAAAATATGAAAGATTAAAAAAATTGTCGCTCATTTTATTGAATCTTTATCATGACCAACACTCATATTGAATTTTTCGAGTCGATTCGAGTTTACTAATGAACTTTTCCACTTCTTCTTTGGTCAATTGATCGTTTCCATTGAGGATAATTTGTTTGATACAATTACGAACATCATCAGGCATTTGATTTGAACTTCCAGCAATTAGGATTGTACATTTTTTTTCAAACATAAATTCAATTAGTGTTGATTGATTAGCGATCATTTCATCTTGAACGTAGTACTTTTTATCAGGATTATCTCGGGAAAATGCAGTGAACACTTTTAAATGACCAGAGGCCTGATAGTTAATCCATTCGTCTTTGAAATAGTAATCAAATTTACTAAATCTACAGCCAAAGAATAAAATATTATCGAAAATATTATCAACCACTCTCTGTTGGATTATCGATCGGAACGGAGCGATCCAGTTCCAGGTCCAATCATAATCAACGGATCGATTGAAGGTATTTTAAAATCTCCAGACCTAATAGTTAAATTGATTGCATCTCCTTTACCAATTCGAGCCAAATAATTTGAACATAGTCCAAGCCTTGGTTTACGAAGTTTGGTTCGATATTGAACAACAGCCACTAGAAGGTGAAGCTCATTTGGGTACATTGACAATGAAGAAGCAATAGAAAAGGCTCGAGGTCGAATACACGGAATAAGATCAAGAAGATTGTCCAAGGGAATCTTCGAACAGGTATGAGGAAAATCGGATAAAACCTCAAGGATATTTCGCTTCGGTTTGTGACAATAATTGTAAAGATCTTGTTGACCCTCAGTGGAAGCGAATTCTTTAAGTTTTTGTCTCTCCGTCTCATCGGGACTAAATTTCCAAATAAGATCGAAAAATGATCTTTTAGGAACCGAATGAATGTCTAAATATTTTGATACCAAAGTTCTAACATGTAATTGTCTAGGTAGATAATTGTAACCATCAGATTCAATGAAATCTTCATCAACTCGTTGACATTGAATTAGTAAATTTCCATCCAAATTAAGTAATTGCAAGAAAGAATCAACTTCATCGGGAAAGTTTTCTCCTTGAATCAAGGCCACATCTCCAGGAGAGTAGTTTAATTTTTCCTGACCATTAAGGTCAATTCGTATGAAACGAACTTCTTGGAAATGGTCAGTTGAAGTAACTCTTTCATTTGAGATAATTGATCCAATTTGCTCTTCCAATGGATCCAAGTTAAATTGTCCATCGTCAACAATTGACACTTGGAAGCTTGATTTAAATGGAACTCGATTATTTTCAACATTTCCCTTGATTTCTATCGGTACTGTCATTAGGTTTCCAATTAGGTTCCAAAAATTGGTCAACCAAGGGTCAATCGAGGCCCATAAACCTAAATCATGTTGATCATCACCTAAAACTAAATCAGTAATCATATTTGCTCCAAGTGATTGTAACCTTTTGTACAGCTTTTTACCAACCACATTGTATTTAATGTAAGATGAATCACCTAAACCAATTACTGTTGTTGATAGATGATTAAGATAATTAGAGGGCAAACTACGTCTCATAATAAATGACCAAAAGGACTTTAAAGGTGTTGGCTCGTTCCCTTGACCAGTAGTTGAACAAATAAACAGGACAAACGGCTCATTGATTAGATTATCACTCTGGTAATCAGAAATGCTCATCACCGCAACGGTTAACCCACGATCCTTTGATTGTCGGTAAATTATCTTGGCTACATCTTCACAATTACCAGTTTCACCAGCGTATAAAATTAACAAACGATTAGCGACCATCGTAACACAGCAATTTAAATCAATTCCAAATTGTAAACAATCAATTTTTCACAAGATTAAAGGGCAACTAGGAAAAGGAGAAAATTAGAAACACTTTGATTTCTATTAACAAATTTGCTAATAACAATCGAAGTAAAATAATGTTGAGTAATTATGGAAGACAATTAAAAGAAATCAATGAGATTTAAATTTGAAGAGATCAATTTGTTAATTGTTAAAATCTAACAATTAATGTTACTCATCTTTTTTTTGTTTACACTTTGTCTCAAATGAATCGATCAGCTGGTTAACCGATTTTCTCATTTTTTTTTTGTTCTTTCATCTGATTAGTTAATTTCTTTTTTCTTGTTTTAATTGTCGTGAATTTTGTTAATTAATGGATTACAAATCTTTGATTAACTTATCTTTCCAGAAAAATATAATTACTTTTAATTTAGCTGATTGGGAATCTTTAATTTTCCAATGTTTTGTTTTGTTAATTGTTTTGATTGTGACAATATTTTGTTTCCATTTTATTAAATGTTTAGATTGTGATTTAAGTTTACGATTTAATGAGATTTATTTTGATTACTTTCAATCAGGAAATTTATCAATTCCTGGTAAGATAATTTGGATTACTGGAGCTTCGAGCGGAATTGGTGAGGCTTTGGCCTACCAATTGGCCCAATTTGGAGTTAAATTGATCATCTCTGGACGGAATGACAATCGACTTGAAAGAGTCAAGAAAAACCTACAATTAAAAGGTAATTTCAATTCTTAATTGTAATTAGATTCTTAAATTGTATTCTCTTTTTCTCGTTAAGGTTGCCACGAGAATGATATTCTCGTGGTTAAATTTGATCTGAGGGATCGAGAAGCTCATCAGCCCGCTTTAAATTTAATATTGGAAAAATTTGGAAATGTAGGTTGTTACCTTTGTACTTTTGTTTGATTTGATCATTGATTACCGAAGTAATTGATTGTTAATTGTTATCCAATTTTCCTTCAGGTCGATATATTTGTTAACAATGCCGGTACTAGTCAGCGATCTCGATTCGAGTTAATTGAATCAAGGGTTGATCAAGATCTATTTGAAAACAATGTCTTCGGTGGGGTCAGTTTAACACGATTACTTGTTAAACATTGGTACTCGAAAAATTTGGCCGGACATGTAGTAGTGACCAGTAGTATCGTCGGTAAAGCTGCCCTACCCGAATGTGCCTCATACACCGCATCTAAACACGCTTTACATGTAAATGACAGCCTTAATTGTTGATAAATAGCGATTCAATTTGTAAAATTTTTCCACCTTCTCCTTATTTTTTTTGTCCCTTTCATTAGGGTTACTATGAATGTCTTAGGTACGAAGCGGCATCTAAAGGAATCAAGGTAACAATGATCTGTAGTGGTCCAGTTAAAACGGAAATATCGACTGTCTCTTACACAGGAGTTTACGGTCAACCTTTGGGAATAATTTTACCAGAAAATTCAAGCCGAATGGATCCAAATCGACACGGGAAATTAATGTTAATCGCAATAGAATTACAACTTGAAGAAAGCTGGATAACAATACAACCATTTCTTTGGTACTGTTATGCTCACCAATATTTTCCCACTTTAAGTAAACGTTGGTTAATACCAATGGCAAATAAATTATCACAATCTCGTGACAATTAACCAAACAAACCAACAAAACTCAAACCCAAATCCAAACCCCTAAACAATAAACAATAAACACCAACAAAAACAAAACCAATTTGAAACAAAAACCAAACAAACCAAACGAACCAACGAACCAACAAAAACAAGTCCATCCAAATGGTGACCGATGAAAGAGACACAAAAACCAAACCGAAACCCAAAGAAATCACCAATCAATCTCTAATTACAATCAAACAAAAGTAACAATTAAAACCCTTTCCCCAGAAAGGATTATCATCAAATGAACCGCTAGAGTAAATGAGTAAATAGAAGGCGCTGTTCCTCAGCTGTTGTCAGAAGCATAAGCTCAGCTTTGAGCAATTGGAGTCATTTGATTCACTTTGTTTCTAATTAAATTTAGTTGATTTTCTCTTTTTTTTTGTTAATAAAAATAATAAAACATTTAATTCACCACTTACCATGTTGATTAGTTATTCTTAATGGTTTAATCTTTGGATGATTTTCACCTTTTCAATGATGACTTCAACGCTGAAAACAATTGTGAGCAAGAAAAAAAAGCGTTACCAGGCAAATGGATTTGACTTGGATCTTTCATGTAATTATTTATTTACTATTTACCTTTCTCTTTCTTTCCTTTCTTTTTGTTTCTTCTATTCTTTTTTTCCCATTGTTATAATAGTCTGTCTTTCATTCGCCTCTTTTTCTTAAAATACTCTGGTAATTCATTAATTTTCCATTACTTTTACTCTATCGCCAATACAAATTGTTCTCTCTTGACGTTCAATTCCCATTAACACTCAATGGAATATGCATGCTTGGCCTACCTGTTCAATTTTTCTTTTCTTCCAATTTTTTTATCCTTTTTTTTTCTTGCCGATCTTGTTTTCTTTTTCTCTTGTAACCTTCCTTTTCTGCTGAATGTGTTTATTAACCAATTTTTTTAGCACCTTTTCAAATTCTCTCTTGTATTCGCTTTTTCCCGTGTATACATTTGCTTTAATCTCTCTCTCTCTCTCTCTCTCTCTTTGTTGCTTGTTCTCTCTCCTTCTCCTAATCAACCCTCTTGTTTCATCTATTCCTCATGTTTCTTAATTTTCTCTCTTTTTTTCTTTCCCTCTCTTCATCTCATATACTTGGTCTCTCTCTCTCTTGTGTCTCTTTCTTTATCTTTAGATATCCTACCTAATTTAATTGCAATGGGATTTCCAGCCGAAAGGCTTGAACGTGTTTTTCGTAATAACATTGAAGATGTAGTTAAATTTATGGAAGCCAAACACAAGGATCATTATTTTATCTACAACCTTTGCTCCGAGAGGAGTTACGATCATTCAAAGTTTCACAATCGAGTTTCTGTTTTTCCAATTGATGATCATAATCCACCTCCTTTTGAATTAATTAAACCATTTTGCCAAGATGTTTACCGTTGGTTAAAACAAGATTCTCGTAATGTGGCCGCCATCCATTGTAAAGCAGGAAAAGGTCGCACCGGTGTAATGGTTTGTGCTTACATCCTTCACACCAATAAAGATATGGATGCCGATTCAGCGTTAAACCTTTATGCTGAAAAGCGAACTCATAATAGGCGAGGTGTTACAATACCAAGTCAACGTCGGTATGTTCACTATTATGAAAGGCTAGTCAAAAGTGGTCTTGACTATATGAAGATTCCACTTTACATTCGTTGTATTCGTATGGATCCTATGCCACTTTCCCTTAAAACAAATTTAGTCCCATCGGTTGTAATTTGGGAAGGTAAAGAAATCGTTTTCAAAGGATGTTTAGTATGGAGACGATGGCAAGATACTGGAATTTATACTGAATTTCATTCTCCCGTAAGATTAAATGGTGACATTAAAGTGGAAGTTTACAATGGTAAAATTGATTTTAGTGCAAATCATAACAAAGTGAAAGGAGATAGAATGTTTACTTTTTGGTTCAATACTTTTTTTGTTAAATTAGAATCATCATCTTCTACTTCATCCACATTACCATCATCAATCTCATCATCAACTCTATTATCACCAACATCCAACAATCTTACTACCACTACTTTAACACAACACCAACACCAACAATCCCCACCATCAGCACCATTAGTAAATCAGACACAACAACAACAACAACAACCATTGGCAACAACTACAATCCTAGATAATATTAAATCAACCTTTAATCCACTTAACCACTTTATGTCTAAACCTGTACCCATCCCGTTGTCAACCGATTCTAGTAACACTTTTGGCAATCCAGGAGTTGTAACATCAGTATCTTCACTTGTAGTTGTAACCAATAATAATAATGGTAAAATTCCAGGTAAATTTAAGGTAACATCTTCATCACCCTCTTCGCCATCTTCTTCTTCAACCAATACCACCTCTTCCCATAGATTGAGGTCTCGATCAACCACAAATTCATACGTAATGATGCTTAATAATTCTGAGAACTCAACACCTCACGATGAGAACAATAAATCATCAAGTGCTTCCTCTCATCATCACCATAATCATCATATTCTCCATCATCACATCAATAGTAATGGTACAATTTGCATATCACCTTCATCAAATCTTACTTCCAATTATAACTGTGTTACAACAATACCCAAAGTGAATGGGATCTCATTCAAATCGATTTCAGATCAATCCTCTTCACTACCATTACAACAATCACAAAATCACCAACAGCAAAACCAACACCAGAACCAACTACAATTACCAACCCAAACACAAGCCCAACAATCCCAACAACAAATCCAACAACAACAACAACAACAACAACCAACAGCAAACAAAGGAAAACCATTGATTTATAATAACTCATCTTCATCATTCAACTCATCTTCTATTATCGACCCCAGGAAAAACTCACTCTCTGGTTCAAATAAAAGTGAATTAACTCTTCAAGAAGAGTTTACTTTAAATCTTAAGAAAGAAGACTTGGATAAATTAAGTAAAAGTACCAATCCTGATTTCCAAGTTAGTATCAAATTCTCGATGTAAATGTCAAAATATTAATTAAAAATAAGTTTTGCATAAAATTACATCAGTGGAGATCATCATCATCATCCCACCGAGAGAAAGAAAATGCAGAAAAGTTAATTGTGAAACAATTTATTTAGTTTCCTTTTTGTGCAAAACAACAAACAAAACAAAACCTTTTAAATTGTGAGATTTTTTTTTTTTTTTCTCAATAATAATAATATTATTATTATATTAACTCAATTTTTGACAATTAAGAGATACATAAGAAATTGACTTAATTACTTTTTGTTCTTTAACCAAAAAAAAAAAGTTTATTATCACAGTTAATTTGGTAAAATTTAAAATTCTTGCCTGTGAAAGCGTTTCCTTATCCAAAGAGGAAAACCTCATGACAACAAAATTATGACAGGAAGAGAATTGTGATTAATTTTGTTTGTCGAAATAATTATTTTACTCTATTGTCCCGGATATTCACGTTCAACAAATTGGATCAAATTATCTAATATATCATAAGAATGATAATCTATATTCATATTCATGCCCAAATCAAGTTTTCTATTAAATCAATTGAATGTAAGGTAAGTACCTAGAAGAGAGAGAGAGAGAGAAACTTTAATTAGAAGCCTTGAATTAGCCGATTTGCATCATTAATTCAGCTTCGTTAGTCGATTTGGTGAGGGGATCTTTCGACTGGCTCTGGTTGTTAGAGAGAAAAAGAGAGGGAAAGGAAAGAGAAAATCGCAAGAGAGAAATGAACGAAGGCGTGGAAATGGAAAGCCAGTTGGAAGAACAAGTGACTGAGCCGTTCTAATGAAATGGCTCAATAACACATGAGAACACATGGTAAAAGTATGAGAAATTTTTCTTTAGAATTGATATAAATTCTAATTTTCAATTGGTTTTACAGAATTTAAATATAATATTTATAGACTAAAATTTAAAGCATCTTAATATAATAGATTGGAAGTTTGATCTTCCTCAATGGATTCTGATTCTTTTTATTAATTATCCATATCTCTTGTCTTTTCGTGTTAATTACATGCAGAATTGTTTTTCCTTATCCAAAAAGGATAAATAATTCTGTGATCGTTGACTCCGGAAACAAAAGGAGTAAAAACTTTTCCTCCTTTTCTAGAAACAATTGTCAATGAGGGAGCGTCAATATAAATTGACCCTTAATTGATGATTTTATGACAATTTCAAAGATAAGGTCAAAATAAGATCTTGACGATGAAGAAGCTTTTTTTTTGAAAATGTTTTTTTGTTTTCATCACAAATAAAGATAAGATTTAATCATATTTTGTTTCATTTTTGTTTTGCTTTTGTCTTCATGGCATCAAGTTGCTTTTTAAACCTAATTGTCCTTTCGTTTTACGATTGGATGAATTAATTTGTTTACGTTCACGTTCCCTGTCTCTATCTCTGTCCTGATCACGATCTTTTAAATTATTAACATCAGAACGATCTCTATCTCTACCTCGATCTCGTTCTCGATCACCTCCCCTGTCTCCTCGATCACCTCGGTCTCTACGTATTCCTGATTGATTTCGAGAACCAGATGAATTTGAATTATTCATTGATCGTCCTTGATTAGCTCCCTGAACACCACTAGAACCACTTCTATTGGTATTGTTGTTATTGTTATTATTATTATTATTGTTATTATTATTGTTGTTGTTGTTGTTGTTCCCAGTTCCTCGATTAGCTTGTGACCTTTTCTCTTCCACGTTGAAGCGATGGTCGTCAAAATATATTGGCTGAAAAGGAGAGAAGAATTAAGATTAATATTGAGTAGAAAAAAAGTTTAACCTTTGGGAAATAAATGAGGACTTACTTTCATAGAAAGAATTTTCTTTACAATAGACGGATCATCGAAAGTGACGAATCCGTAGTTTGGAGTTCGTCCTTGCTTTTGGTTTGTTCTATTTATCCTTACGTCGATAATGTTACCATACTTCGAGAAGAAATTACGAAGTTGATCTTCCGTAATATCTTGAAGAAGATTACCCACAAACACTTGCTGCTCATCTGAGAACTGTTGCTTACGTACACTGAAATCACCACTTGAATCTCCTCCTTGGGTCGTATCATTTTCCGCTCCTGAAGGAGTTATTTCCCTATTCTCATTACGAGCTTTCCTTCCTTGCTCACCTCGAGACCCACGATTTTTAGACTCTCTTTGATTATTTGAAGTGAGAGGCTTACTAGCATTAGAAATATTGCTAACTTGATGATTAGTTGTAGGCAGAGGTGTCACGGAGGGACCAGTTGATTGGGTATTGTCTACATTCTTATCGTTAGAAGACCTACTGAAAGAGAAATATAAAGAAAAAACAATTTTTAATCACATGTAAAACACCATTTACTCATCTCATTTTTGGACTCAATGAGATCATCAGATTTATATATTAAAGGAGGTATCGCTCATAATAATTCAGATAGGGCAAGTCTGAATTTTTAATAGTTCATCATGTTAGATCATTGGGGTTGTTTGTTAATTGAAAAAGATCAATGGATTTATGAGACACTTACGAATGCTTATTCTTGTTAAAAGTTGGAACATTAACTGCGACATTATTTCCATCGATAGGCTTAACCACCGTATTATTAGTTGATGAAAAAGGTGGTGAATGGAGGATACTGGTCGTACTTCCAGGATTCTTACTGACCATATTTGCATAGGTCTTAGGCTCGTTTGAGTTTCCACTCTCTTCTTGAGTAGCTTCATAATTTTGCTCCTCTGAGCCATGTGACCCGGAGCTATCATTAGCAAGACGATCTTCTCCTTCATTATAACCTTCATCAATGTTATTACCAACTGGTGAATCGATTTTAGTCTTTTCCACTACGATAGTTTCTACAACAGGTATTTCAACAGTCTCTTCGATATGGGTTACTTCATTAATATTACCATTGATATTAAGTTCAGGATACTTGGGTACTTCATTAGTCGGACAACTGCTAGTCACGTTATCGGCGATGACCGCACTGTTAAAGTGCTCAGTAACAACAGCGGGGGCAGCTGGAGTAGCCAATTGAGGTTGATGTTGAAGAATTGGTTGTGGTGTTGGTTGTTGTTGTTGTTGTTGTTGTTGTTGTTGTGGTGGTGGTGGTGGTAGTTGTTGTGGTAATTGTTGTGGTAGTTGTTGTGGTTGTAGCTGTGGTTGAGGTTGAGGTTGAGGTTGGGGTTGTACCTGTTGATTGACTGGCGAGGGTTGGACTTCTGTCCTTTCAATGCTTACTTCATCGACCATTTCCGCCTCGCACATTTCATCATCATCTTGATCTTGGTAACGAAATATGTCTGTTCTTACATAGTAATTGGTTTGTGATCTAGGAACCAATACAAAAGTCTGAATAAATCTCCTCATCGGCTGTGAATCATTGGAGAGCTCCCCGATAACCTAATTCGAAGAAAACAAAAAATAGAAACAAGGACAAGATGAGGAAAAGTATTGATTAAAAAAATGGAAAACATAAAATTTATAGCAAATTAAAGAAAATAAATCGGTAGATTAACATGAGAAACGAATTAACAGTTCCCTATGTTAGATTATCTAATTTCTATCTTCCTGAGAGCAGGAGAGATAAGATGATATAGTTATCTATTCTATATGAATAGATGAGGAAGAAAAAAAACGTGGAGCACTCAAAATAAAGAGAGAATATACAAATGAAATGTACCTGAATGACTACACCATTACCAACAGTCTCAAGACTATCAACATGGATAATTTTAGTGTGACAATTCTTGAAATTGAGCGACATTATTTTCTTATATATATTTTCTTGACCATAGACAGCGCTTGGTGGGTCTTCAGACGAATTGGAACCAGCATGTAACAATGCGGATTCATCACTGTAAAACCTGTAGGAGACAAGAAAAATATGGTTAGCAACAGAGATACAACACGAGGTAACGCCATCATTTTTGCCAATGAAAAAAAGATAGGAAAAAACGACGACGAGAAAAGAGGTAAAAAATCAAATGGGTGCGATAGAAAATGTAAAACAAAAAAGAGAAAAAAAAAGATTAAAATAACAGAAAGAGCTTAATGAGATAGAATCAGCATTTAACCCGAAAGAGAAGAGAAAAAAATGCTGAGAGTAAATTTGCCAGGTTAGAAGAGTCGAGCTACCCATTTCCTTTCCTAGAGTTAGTGCGTGAACTGAGCAAGAGAGAAAAGAAGACAGAGTATGGAAAGAGAGTAAAAGAGAGAAAAAGATGTTCTCTGAATCTGTTTCTTTTCTCTCTCTCTTTCATTCTATTCTCTATTCACTGTCAGATTCTCTCTCTTCTAATAAACCACCCCCTTTCTCTCTCTTACCATTTCTCTTTCTATTTCTCAAACATTTGCCGGATTTCTCAACAAAAATATATATAAATATTCAGAATACAAGTAGCAGTTTCCTCCAACATGGAATTAAAAATATATTTTCTTCTTCTTCTCTTTTAAAAGCGAACTTTCTCGAACAGCAAAAACGGAGTAAAACAACAACAAAAAAACAACAAAAGAAGGAACAAGAAAAGTAAAAAAACCAACCTTAAAGAGAAGCAAAGAAAAACGATGAGAAATACATGAGTAAAATGAAAGCAATACAAACCTATGTAAGATGTGCGGGCCGGAGTTCAACATGGTATAATATTGTCTAACAAAGGCTCTACCAATGGCTTGGGGATTAATATCTGGTGTGGAAGTCGTTTTCGTATCAACATTATTAGTATTATTATTATTATTAGAAAGAGTAGACAATGTTGTTGAGGGAGGTGAGAAAGTAGAAGAAGTGATATTTGGAGTTACACCAGGAGACACATTGGTTACTGGTATGGCCGCTGATGAGGCGTAAGAGGCGCTTGAGGACACAGTGGATACTTTAGTATTCATTTTGTGAAACATACAGAGAGAGAGAGAGAAGAGAAGGTGAGAGAAGAAGAAGATAGAAACACGATTATTTTTGTTAGGATTAAATTAAAGGGGAAAAGGAAGGTGAAAAGAAAAGGAGGATGTTACAAGGGTCAAGAACTATTAACAAAGAGAGAGAGAGAAAAAAAACAAGATAAAGAGTAACAATTTAATTAATTAATTACAAATCAAATTTTTAAAAAAAATTAGATGAATTCAGTTTTACTTCACTCTTACTCTCTCTCTCTCTCACTCTCCCTCTTCATTTCATCTCTTTCTTTAGCTCTGCTATTCTAACGCCATCTCCATGTGAGAGAACAATTTTCGTTTGGCTGGCGCGTTTTTCGAAAATTAGTTTTCCAAAAGTTTATTAATCATTTGGATGGAAATTAAAGAAAACAATTTTCATTTTAATTGTATCAATTTGATTTTTTCATCTTTTCTAATTTTCTTAATTTTGTTTATTGTTAATTTTGCTAATTATTAGAGTTTTTTTTGTTTAATTTTTCTCTTCCATTCTAAATGGTTACAATTTATTTCTTTCATTTGAAGCCAAGAGATGACGACACTGATTCGTTAATTGTGATTACAATTTATTTCCTCAATGAATACAATTGAATTTACTAAACGATATTCTTGCGATTTTTTTTTTGTTGATTGTAAATCATTTTAATGAGTATAATTAATTAATCCGATTTTGATTTTGATTTGTAAACTTGCTGTCAAAATTTTTCTTATTCAAAAATAAACATTGAAATTAATGATGAAATTAACTGACAATCAAATTAATCATTTTTAATAATGATAAACAAAAACAATTTGTCAAGTATCATATCTCATTCTTTAATTACTTTATAATTGATAACAATCAATGACCGATTAGTGTACAAATAGATTAGTAATGATAATCAATATTTAAAAATGAAATTAGATTCAAGAAGTTTAAAATTAATCAGTAATTATGTTAACCAATTATAGTGAAATTAAATTCATTTGGATTCAAATTTAAATTACCAAGAATCTTGCCTTTAAATTATCAACATGATCCCGATCATATTTCAATAAAATTCAAACAAGACAATCAACTAATCATTTGATAAAAGATAAATGAATCATGGACAAAGTCTTAATTTTTTAATCACAATCTAAATCACAATTGAATCCTGGATTGAGCCCCAAACAGAGAATTAGTAAAAAATGAAATCAAGAAAACAAAAATCTCAACAAATATCAATTACCATCAAAGTTTCATAATAATTAATGAAACAAACTGAACAATTTATTTCTAGATAAATGATTGAAATGTTCAGTGAATACATGATATTAACTAACTGAGAATCTGTAAAAATGACAGAATTGGAATTGAAAATAACCAAGACAATTTGACGAAAAGGTTGACCATTAATGATTTTCAGATTGTTCAAGACGATTGGCAACAATTAGATAATCAATTTGGAAAATGAGTTAAACTGTAAAAGTGAAAAGTTTCTAATTATCAAGTGGAAAAAAAGTAAAAGGGGAAAAAGATAAATATAAATAAGGAAAGAAAAAACTGATTTCTATCTGGGCCATGAGACCAGTGGAAAGATGATAATAAATGAAGATGATGATGAAGAGAAGACATAAAGTAATTGTGAAAAAAGATGAAGATGAAAAAAAAAGTTCTGAAGGAAGAGGAAAGAAAGAGTAGAAAAAAAGTAAGGTAAGAGATGAGAAGAAGATAAACAAAAAGGAAGAGAGAGAGAGAGAGAGAGAGAGAGAGAGAGAAATCGTTCACAATTTATATTCTATGGTGGAAAGGCCATGCTGCAATAACAATGATGAAGATGAGGAAGATGATGAGGAAGAAAACCTTAACCTGGAAATGAGTTCCTCCTCTGATTCTGCATTGACGTCAGTAGAAATCAGCTGAGCTCGTTGACCTAGATTCCGATTTCATTGAAATAAGCCAATATGGAGCAACTGGGAGTGAGAAGTGAGAGGGAGTGATGAGGGATTGATAGGAGAAAGAGGAAAGAAAGAGAAGATTATCAAGGGGGTGGGAGAAAATGAGAGAGATACACAACATGTATATATAAACACACACACACACACACACTACACACACAAAGGATTCTCAATGGAGTTCACTCAACGAAACTTTCGCTTAGGTTATAAGAAAACTAAGAATGATGATTAACCCAGAAAAAAAAGTAATAGAAGAATGGAAAGAGTGTAAATAGATTGACAAAGAGAAGTAAGAGAAAAGAAAGAGATATGAAAATGTAGAGCAAAATTCAGAGCAACTTTCCAAAAATAGATTCACCATTGAATCGATGAAGATTCAGAGCAAGTTTCCTAAAATAGTTTCCATTGAATCGATAACCAGACCTAAAAATACTCTTACATAGACTTTTCTCCATCTCTACTCTCTCCCCAACTGGTTAACTTTAGGTTCGTTCAGTGGAAACAAAGGAGAAAAAAAAATCACCATGAACTCAGAAAAATAGAAAACGAATACGATGATAAGTTTTCAATTTTCTTCTTTCGAAATGAAAACAAAAATTTCACAATCAAATCTCATTGCGAATGCAAATCAAAAGAATCAAATGAATCTCACATGAAATAGAATACAAATCTACAGAAAAAAAAAGATCCATAATCATCGAAAATAATAAAATTCTATCCAATAATAACATTCGAAAAATTAATTCCAATCAGAATTGTAATTAATTTCCCTTTTCTATTAACCCGCTTCAAGTGTTTTCTTATGGGAATTTCGGTTAACCAATAGATGGCAGAGTTTTCACCCGTTGGTGTTTCTATTAATTGTTTATTGTTCACTCTCTTTCCCCCTTAATAGTTAACCTGATTTAATGTTTTTTAATTGTTTTACTGATTAGTTTTATTCCGCAATTTGATTGTCTTACCTTCAACTTAATTATTTGCATCGTGATTTCGTCAAAATTTGTACCTCATGTCACTTAAATGATATGATTTGTATTGGGCGATTTCTTTGCCGGTAGTTTTTCCTCTCTGGTTGGTTTTCAGTTTTTTTCTTTTCTTTTTTTTTTGTTTTTTTTTTTTTTTTTCTCTCGCTCTCTTGCTGGTAAGAGTTGGAGAGAGAAAAAGGACTCATTGGATTGCCTTTGGAAATTAATCCTTATTGCCTTTAATTGTGAATGTTTGGTAACAAGCAATTGATGTAATTACACTGAGATGTAATTTAACTGCTGATGTATTCGGTGCCTTTTTGATCATCGTCTTCTGACTTTGGTTTGATTGTTTTCCTTTTTTTTTCCTTCTCTTCTCTCTCTGGATTAATCGTTTTAATTTTTTTCTCTGGTGTAGATTTGTTATTATTAGTATATTATCTCCATCGTCATTTTCTACAGTAAGTAATATTAATATTTGTGTTGGGTTAAGGTTGACGTTGGGAAAAGATGATGGTGAAGATGAAGATGAGGTTTGGAAAAAGAAAGAGAGTAGAGAAAGAGAGAAAAATATAAGAATGAAACTCTGAAAATTTATGAATGAGTTCAGAATGAATAACAGAGAGACTGAGCAGAATATGAGAAAGATTTTATGAATGAAGAGATAGAAAGAGAGAAGGTCGTGAGGTCATAAGGTCGCAGGTCGAAATAGTTTCTCTCTCTCTCTCTCTCTCTCTCTATCTTTTCTCCTTTACTTTTTCATCACCATCATCATCATCATCTTTTTCTCCATCTCTCAATCTCTTTACTCTTTCTCTCTCTCTCTCTCTCTCTCTTTCCACATCCCCTTTATACTCTCTTTCTCTTTTGCTTCTATCTTTTTCTCTATCTTCTTGCTCTCTTTTTTCAATCTTCTCTGCTCTTCTGTCTCTCTCTATTTCTCTTTCTCTCTCTTCTCATTTCCCACCACCAACTTCTATACTAGTTTTTTCTCGTCTCCATTTAGTTTTGGAACCCAAGCCAAAGTTAACACAGAACTTCTTCTTCTTCTCAAACTTTGCTGTTAACTAGTTGTTTTAACTGCTTTTCTTTTTTTGCTTCTTTCTTTCTTTTTTTTCTTCATCGTCACCAATAGCATCATCATCATCATTTCTGGCTCTCTTTCTCTAACTCACTATCTGTTCTCTCTCTCTCTCTCTCTCTCCTCTTAAAGCGCTTGTTTTTACCTCGGCTGTGTTGTGTTGTCTGCTGATTACTGGTGTTACTGTGGTGTCTGTTTGTGCTGCTTTGCCACGTTGGATATTAAACATCACATCGTAACAAGGGCCCAACAAGGCTTACCAGGCCATTGTGATCACGTCCTTTCTTTTTTTTTCTTTTTTTCTCTATCTCATTACAATTACTCTTCAGGTATTCGTCATTCTTGAAACTTGAAAGACCAACTTGATCACCATCCATTTATATTTAACTACAACAAAAACCTCCAATCAACTTGAAGCAAAGTGCAAAAGAGAAAGAAAAAAAGTATTATATATAACATACACACAAACTTATATATAAATATATAATATATATAAATTTAACTTTGTGAACCAACAAGTGAATTATAATATATATATATCAACAAATAAGACTTAATCATTCAACTTATAACTATGCCTGGATCCGGTGGCCACCGTAATATTGGTAATAATCCAAGTGGTGGTGGTGGCAGAGGTGGTGGGGATGGTAGTGGCAGTGGTACCAGTGGAAGTGGTGGTGTTAGTGGTAGTGGTGGTGCTCGTCGCTCTGATTTCCCGTTACGTATACTTGTTTTATCAGATATGGTTGGAGCGATTATTGGACGATCGGGAAATACAATTCGTTATATTACAGAGGAAACTAGAGCTCGAGTTGATGTACACAGAAAAGAAAATTCCGGTTCAATGGAAAAAGTTATTACAATTTATGGTAGCCCAGAAAATTGTTCAAAGGCCTGTGAAAAAATTATGGAGGTGATGCAACTAGAATCTGATAACACCAATAGAGGAGAGATACCGCTTAAAATACTTGCTCATAATAGTCTAATTGGTCGAGTGATTGGTAAAAATGGAGCTACAATCAAACGTATTATGGAACAGACCAATACAAAAATTACTGTTTCAAACAATTTACATGATGTAAACTCTTTCAACATGGAGCGAGTTATTGAAATACGTGGTCGTTTATCAGAGATTTGTGCGGCTGAACAGATGATCAGTAACAAATTGAGATTAAGTTATGAGAGTGATTTAGCTGCCATGGCACCGACAATGCCAATGTATCCGGGACTTCATCCAATGGCAATAATGTCAACTTATGGATCAGCCGCTGCGGCTGCTGCACATGGTTATCATCCTGCTGGTCCCACTGGTCCACCACCGCCTCATGGAAGAGGTTCTGGCCCTGGTTCTGGTCCTGGTGGAGGTGGTGGTGGTGGAACTGGACATCATCATAACACTGGTGGTCCAGGTCATCATCATCATCATCATCCATTAGGTCCTCATCATCCAGCAACTGCTCCAACCGGACCTGGGCCCTCATCATACGGTCTCTATGGTAGCCCATCTTACATACCTCCCGTTATGCCTTATGGTACACCACCTCCTCCTCAATTGCCATTAGCCCCAGGTCCCGGTGGATCACCTTTATCAACTTTGACATCAGAGCAAACCAAGGAAACTGTATACTTGTATATACCTAATGCCGCTGTCGGTGCCATAATTGGTACTGGAGGTAGTACCATTCGAGATATGATAAACTCTTCAGGTGCAAGTATTAAGGTTGCTCAGCCTCCTAAAGATGAAAAATCAAGACAAACACCTCCCAATGATCAACAATTGTCTTCAAGCCAAGAGCCACAGGCTCAATCTGAACAGAACCAGCAACAGTCCTCAGAGACGCAATCACAGACGCAACAAACAGCTCAACAACAATCACAATCACCTTCGTCTGTACAATCGTCCTCTTCCTCTCCCTCCCAAATTTCCTCTCAACTGCCATCACCATTATCGCAAACATCAGATAATAGAACGAACGAGAGAAAAGTAACCATAATAGGTACGCCTGAGGCGCAATGGAAAGCTCAGTTCATGATATTTAGGAAAGTTGGTTACGAGGGACTTTCTGGTCCTCAAGAGGCCGCATTGAAGGTGGAAATTATGGTTCCTTCGAACCAAGTGGGTCGTATTATCGGTAAAGGAGGTGTGACCGTTCGCGAGCTTCAAAATTATACTCATGCAATCATCAAGTTACCCGAAGAGGGACAAAATAGTTCTTCAGACGAGACACCAGTCCACATTATTGGCGATTTTCTTGCCACACAAGCCGCTCAAAGGCAAATACGAGCTTTGGTTAATAGAGGAAAATATACCAATAGTAGAAAAGAAACTGGTGGAGATCGAAATGACAAGAATGACCGAATAGGTCGAACAGTTGAACGAACGGACAAAAACGCAACTACTGGTGGTGATAGTGGACCTGCCGTTACCGCTGGAGGTGGTGACGGTGGTAACATTACAGAGAAGAATAATTCAAGTCATCAAGTGTGAAAATTAAAAACACTAATTGAACAACATTCAACTACATTGACGGAGACATAGAAAGAAAAAAAATTTAAATATTGTTTCTTAATTTTTCTCATATGTCTATCTCTCTTTTTCCTCTTTCCTCTCTCTCTCTCTCTCTCTCTCTCTCTCTCTCTCTCTCTCTCTTCTCCTTCCTCCATTTTTTGCTCTCTTTTTTTGAGTTTTTTCCTCTTCCTCTTCCTCTCTCCCTCTCTCTCTTTCTCTCTAATCGTCAATGGTCAAGCAAAAACAAAACAAAAAAGTGTTGATCAAAAATCGTTGGAGAATCTTTTGGGAGTGTCACCTCTATAAGGTATTCGGGGCAAGGCGTGGTCCAGAGTTTATATTGTGTGAAAACATGTATAACTCTTGACCAAGTTTGTCTTTCGGTTATCTTTCCCTTCTCTCTCCTTCTCTCTCTCTCTATCTTCTTCTCTATCTCTCTCTGTATGTACCTCTTTAGAGGAAGTTAATCTAATTGCACGGACACCTTATAAAACTAAAAGATGCTTTTGATACCATTTAAAACATAATCTAAAATTTTCTAATAATTTTTATTTCAATTACCGCGATTTAAACACCAACATCTAAATTGTTATTATTTAATTATCAATAGTTTAAGTTGATCTTCATCAATCATCTTTAAATCATCATCATCTACCACAAACCAACATCATCTTCATCACCAATACACACCAAACATCAACATCTCTGAAAGAAAAACAAAACTTATTATATTGTTAACTCTTAATCAATCTATCATTCTGATTATACAATTAGATGCAAGACTTACACTAACTACAATTAATTGACTTCAAAGCTGTTCGTTCATCCAATTTTAGTCTGTTATCCATAAAAGGCAAACAATTAACCAACTAAACACAGTCAACAATTACAATCAACAAGATAATTGAAACAAAGCAAAAAAAAAGAGATTAATCAAATTATCCAGGTTAACCGTTATGTATCGTTGTTAATTTATTATCAATCCTATTAATTAATTAAAACCGCAACAATTAAACTCTAACCTCTAACTGGTAAACTAAAACCAAACAATTAAGACAAAATTATCAATTGTAATCAAAAAGGCAAAAAGAGTTAAAATTTTGTTTTCTACTCTGTAATTAAAACTTTTTCCCCTTGATTTTCCTGTTAATCAGGTTGAATGATTCTAATCAATTGTGATTAATAATCTCAGTTAATGTAATTATTTTGTCTGGATCACAAAAAAAAGGAATCAAATTGTTTAATCAATTAAATTGCTACAATTTGTGACACATATGTAATTTTGTTAACCAGATATTGACTGAGATTTGTTTTAATCACTTTGATAATTAACAAAAATTAGATTGTTTTCTTTTTGTATCAAATTGAAATTGTTAACAAATGTTTATTTTAAATTCCGTAGGATAAATCACTGGTTTAATTGTTACTATTTATAAACATTGCTGTGAGGGTTAATCATCATCGTCATCTTCATCGTCTAAATTAATATAGTCCTTTCATTAATTTAATTAATGAATCTTTTTTGTTCTTCCTTGATCATTTTCTTGTAAAATTAATTTAATCCTCTAAATATGTTGACTCTGTTTGTATTTGAATTATATTTTTTATGTATATATAATGATATATATTAAATTAAATTATGATAAAAATTAATTTCTTTCCATTTTTGCTTTTTTCTTTTAGCAATAATCCCTAACTGAAAGGGATAGAATCTCATCTGGAACTGAATTAAATTTAGTATTGCAATATTGAATGACCATCGGAAGTAAAGTGTCCAGAACAAAATTAGCATTGACCACAATTAACTTTCTTTGATTACGAAAGGCATCATCACGTAAACATTTATCAATATGCCTCATGTGAGCTTTAAACGGAGTGACCAGAGCGCTGACCATTAATTTATGGGTGAATAGAGTTGATAATTTAACCAGATCACGAAGAAAGTGAAGATATGATTTAGCAAATGATGTTGTATTACTGGTAAGTGAAAGTCGACATTCATCGTAAACGTAACTGTTTAAATTAAGGCTACACTCTTTCATTTCCTCCAAAAATTTGGACATCGCTGGTTTATTGCCAAAATTTTGTGGTAACCATTTATCGTTGGTACATCGGTGTTTAATTGCTTCCAATAGTTTATCTCGAGATTCATTGATTATCTTCTCTATTCCCGGACGTAGGCGTTGATCACAGTAAAATACAAGGTCTAAGTGTACATTGGATCGTAATTTTTTACACTGATGATTAACTATGGCGATACATTCGGAGGCAATTGATGGTGGTACTTGAGTGGTGAAAACGTGGCCACAAAAAGAGTCCAAATAATGTTGAAGTTTCTTTTTAACCCAAGAAACAAGACAAGCCATTGCCAGGGAGAGAGAGAAACCTGTCATTTTATCGTTCATATTGTGTAATGAAATACTATCCGCGGATGATAATGTTCCAATCGCTGATGTGGTACTGGAAAGGCCAAAAGCTCTACGAAATTCTCGGCAACTTTCTTGAATATTCGTGAAGAAAACGGTGCTCATCCGTTCGATATAAGGTAAAGTTGCACCTTCTTTCTTTTGCTGCATTAAACAGTATCTTAGAATAGCACTTCTTTGAGCGAGGAAAAGTTCTGCGGCCATTGATGATCGACCTAAACGAATTAATAGATTAACTGCTCGTCTAGCAGCTCGAGGTCCACTTTGCATTGGTCTATCGGGTACAATTTCAAGCTCTTTGGCAACTGCTTTGATTAGATCTTCAATTTGTCCGTTAATCTTATTCTTAAGATCAGCTTGTGATGGATCTTCGCAAAATTTTGGGTAAAGGGCAAAATGGTCATTGAATTTGTGTACTAGATTTACTGCATCTTCAAAATTTCTCTGAGCGATGCAAACATCAAGATCTTCCGATAATTCAATTAACCATGTAGGTGCCATTTCAGAATCAGCTTGACACTCCTCCTCAAGTAGCTCAGATTCACCAAAAGGAACGCCAATCGGTGACATACCCTGTTCCATTTTCTCACCAAATGTCACCGAATTATCACTCGTAGTGGAACTTCCCATTCGTCCTGGTGTACCTGGTTTACCACCGGTAATTGAAAGTCTCCGATCATCCAAACTTCCAACAGTTCGATCACCACAAATTGACATCTCTTGAAGTGAACATATTAAATTTTGCTCCTCACTGATTAACTGTGACAATGAAGACATTTCACTTTTAAGGAATGATATTTCTTTCGAGGTTTCAATGAACAATTGATAATTTTTGTAAACATTTTTCTTAAGAAGGGCATTTGTCTCTTCGCATAAATTTTTCACTTTAATTCTTGCCTGTTGAAGAGCCTCAACACCAACACTCGGCTTATTAAGAGGTAATTCTGATAAACTATCGAACATTTTCACTCCAATTAAACTGAACCAGTTAACAAAAAGAAAATTTCAAATTCTCAAAACTCAATCAGCAATCGAATAATCATAAAAGTAGTGAATTAAAATCAATCATAATTAAGAAACAAAAGTAAAAACAATTGTCTTTATTTTCGTGACTGAAAAAAGAATCAGCTGATTGGTTAAAGGGAGAAAAGAACAAAAAAACGCGCCAAATATGAAAAAGAATAAAATTAAATTCGTATCACAATTAACTAACAATTAAAGGGAAACTTTCAATTTCTAACAAGTAAAATTTATGGAAGATCGTTTAAACGAGGAGAACTAATCGATCAATTAAACTGAAATGAAAACGACCTTATGATTTGCTAATTGATTGGTTGTTAATTGTGCTGATAATTGTTAATCATCAAAATGAGTCAAATGGATAATTAAAGTTAAGAAAAAGGAAACAATTAAAATTTTCTCATATTCATTTTATGTTTATAGTCTTAATTAAATGTTTACTAATAAAAGACAATAATTTTGATTTGGTTAATTGTTGTTTGTTGTCAATTTATATATATAATTTTGTATACAGAGTTAATTGTTTTGTATTTTAACAACTCATGATAATTTGTCTTATTAATTAACCGGACACACAGTGAAATTAACCAGAGAGATATTAAAAATTATCAAGAGAAATTCAATTCTGATAAATTGAATAATTGATACAATTAAATTTGTTTTTGGCTCACAATTAAAAAGAGGAAGAAGGAAAAAAAAGAAAGAGAAAGTGAGAAATAGATCAAGTCAATGAACCAATTTTAAATCACTAATTGGATGACAATTAGTGATTCTGTCATTTGTTGTGTTGTTTTACTTTCTTTTCATGATGCCAATGTTTATGAAGATGAAGATGAAGATGAAGATGATGATGATGATGATGATCTGGTGTGATGTCTTTTACACTTTTGTTTTTGCGCAACAAGTTTGAGCCAATTTAAAAGGTTTCCAGCTCAAAATGGATAAATATGTTAGCTTAAATATTGTATATGACATTTAAATATATTAAGATTATTGATTAAAATTGATTGTGATGGTGGTGATGATGACGATGAGATTTGTATGCATGCGGTAAAAAAAGATGCTGTAAATTAATTGATGATTAATTAACAATAATGGCTGGTGGTTAAGGGGAAAGGGTTAATCTTTTTGCATCGAATTGTTTGTTTTGTTTGTCAGTTGTTGAGTTTCGGCTGTTGGTCAATTGGAAAATTTGTTTTTCTCTTGCCATAATTGTTCATAATTCCAATTAAATCTTGTGAATTAGAGTTGGTGAGTTTAAATCATGTAGATAAAACTGAGACCAACAATTGGAAATTAAATTAAATTTCCTGGTTCTTTTTACACAATGATGATTTAGATTAAAATTGTCATTCAAAAATTTGAAACTTTGTCTCAATTGATAATTGATTGAGCTACTCTCGTTTCATTGGTAATCATAATAACAAATGTGATCAAATTTTTGAATCAACGACAATCATTATATTACATAGGACCTTCTTAAATTAATAATTGGTAATATAATTATCATCACAATTTTTTTTTACGTTCAAGATCAAAATCTTTGTTGTCTAAGCTGCATCATTGGATTCATAAGGCAAGGACCAGAAGATGGATCATCAAATGGAGGTCTTAATAGTCCACCCGCACCAGGATGCATCATCTCAGGTCTAGGAATTAAACCCGATCTTGGCCCACCAGGATATGCATTTGGAGGCAGCAATGAATGACCAGAGTGAAGGGATCCATCAGCTCTACAAGTTATGAATAAAATAATAATAATAATTAAGTAAATTAATAAATATGAATGGAAATGCATCCGTGCGAGAAAATAGTTAATCTTCACTTTCTCACCTTATCAATGGATCCAAAGGTCCTTGAGACATTGCAGCCGCTGCAGCCGCTGCAATTGAGTCTGTAGGGTGTAAATGTAAGTGAGTATGAGCATGAGCATGATTATGTGCATGAGTATGAGCATGAGAGTGTAACTCGGAAGCTGAAAGACCCGACAATTGGAAACGCATCATTGGATCCAATAAACCTAATCTTTCAGCTTGATATCGTTCGGCAGCCGCAAGAGCTTCGTTATTATTAGCTGGTGGTAACAATGATCTATGGGGAAAAAAGAATAGAAAAAATTTGATTAATATTGGTCAAGATTAAATGACACAAAGAAGAGGGAAAAATTCATTATCAGAATCAATTTTCACGCTTTGATTTTAGATAATTGATAATATGTCTTGATGGGTGAACAAAAGGATTACCTCATTTCATTTCTTTCTCTTTCATTTGGATTATAAAGTGAAAAAGGTGATCCGATTGATCCAGGAGGAGCCGGAGTTCCTGGTGGATTATGTCCCATTTGAGCTCCTGTTGCTGCGGCCGAATGAGCAACAAGTCGTCTTTGCATTTCAAGCCATGGAAGATCAAATAATGCATGTGGTGGAAGATTCGGTGGTTGACCTGAAACCAGAGAAGCCATTCGACTTTTCATTTCTAATTCTTTCAGCTGTTCTCTTTTTTCGAATTCAATTCTATCTCGTTTTTCTCTCTCCTCATTTTCCATCCTTTGTCTGGCCATTGCTGGTCCACCGAAAAGGTTCATTTGATAGAGCATATTAACAGAATCCATTACATGAGATGCTTCAGAGATTGGAACAGTAAATGGATTTGGACCACCGACCATTGGACCAGCCATGGTGGGTCGAGGGAAATTTGGTGAGAAAGCTCCATGTGGTCGACTATATTCACTTAGATGCCTCAAAGCTGGAGAGTCCGCGAAATTAGCCGATCTTGGAGTATGACGATCAAATGGACTTAGATGATGATTTGGATCACTTCCGTGACCAAATTGACTTTTTTCAGCAGCCAATTTCTATTTATAAAAATGAAATAGAAATTAATAAAATGTAACAATAGGATTACCATAAATAATTTATCGCTACTAACTAAACATAATAGAGAAAGGTGAAAGCCTTGTAATAAGAATATAAAAAGATATTAAAATGAATTGCGAGAAGTTGAAAGTGAGCTATTAAATTTTTCTACTTTCACCAAAGAATGTTAAATGTTTTATTAACAAGCTAAATTACTTGAAGATGTTAAACAACAAAAATTAGTTACTTTTAAAGAGAGAAAAGAGCAAGGGAGAGATTAAAACCTCTTCTTTAACAACACCATTAGTCAACCAATGGTGACACGAAGGCTCAAAATCATGATGGATGAGGTTTTCAATGCGATAAGGTGGTGAGACTGATCCCTGAAAATAATGAATGATTACTATTCTCGCTAAACATCATTTACTATTAAAAAGTTCTCAAGACCAGTGTACCTCATAAATGGTGATCATAAACTGACAAGATTAGAGAAAGGCGAGAGAGTGAGAGAGAGAGAGAAAGAGAGAGATGAACAGAAAGATATAGAGTAAAACAGGAAAAAAGGTAGAGGGATGAGAGATGAGAGAGAAAGGAAGAAAAGGAAGGGGAGAGGGATGAAAGAGGGAACTGAACCTTGTTAAAAGTAATTGATTTGTTTTTGTATTGTAAATGTTTTTCAGGAGGAGTTAAGGATAAGTAAGAGAGAGAGAGAGAGAGAGAGAGAGAGAGAGAGAGTATTTATCGATTAGAAAGAAACATCAACAATTCGATTATATGGTGACATTCTATTAACTTCAGATAAAATGAAGATCAAGACCATAATCGACCTCATCAACAAGATTTTTCAAACTCAATAATTACTGTATTAAGATGATAATTTCAAGTATGAAGTGGTGATAATTATAATTTCAATGGTAATTAGAAGCAATAAAACCGGACGATATTTTTTTTACTCTGAAAAGGTGAGAAAAGAAGCCTTACCTTTTGCTCTTCTCTTTCTTTCTCAGCAGCTTTGCGAGCCCTTTCCTCACGTTTTCTGGCTAATTGAGAATCAGGTACTGGTTTAAATGTTAAATCAGTTCTTGCACAGGAATTGAAGTCACCGCGATTCCAATGACGAAGAAATCTAAATAGATTATCAAAGAAAATTATTATATCAATAATTGATTAAAGAAAAAAACATCACAATATAAAAGAGAGGAAAGAAGGAGAGAAACTTGTATGAAATTTCTATGAATTAAATCGAAGAATTAAAATAAAAAAAAAGGAACTCACATTGCAGATTGACTACGATGACATTCGCTATCATCAATTTTGAGCTCTGGACTTGGACCTCGTGCGATATGAGGTGAGGGTCGTTCTTCTTCAACTTCTATCACTTGAAGATCTAATGAACCATGTTTACCGGACAATGGTCCTTGTCCAAATAAAGAGGAAGATAAATTGGAAACTGATTGTGGTGGTAAACCATGAAATATCGAGGGTTGTGATGCAGGACTACTGTTTGGTATGCGACTTGAATGTGAGGTGACGGGTGATTTAGGTTTAGAAGATGAAAAACTTGATGAATGTGGAGGTGGAGGAGGATGTGAATGAGAATGTGGATGAGAATGAGAATGAGAGTGAGAATGAGGTGATGGAGGCGGAGGGTGAGGATGAGGTGACGGAGTCGGTATTCCATGGGAAGGGAATCCCATGTGTCCAGGTTGAAGTCCTCTGGGTCCTGCATACCAATGAGGTGAAGGAGGTGGACCAGTTGGGGCAGTGAAATAAGGAGGTAACATTGGATGATAGGCAAATCCATGAGAAGGGGTAAGAAGTGTGTCTCCTCTTTTTGACATCAATAAAGGTGAGCAACTCTGAAAAGAAAAGATAAATAGACATAAATATTTAATATGATCCGTACACTTATTCCAATAGTGTAAAATTGAACATTGAATATTGAGAAATATTAATTAAGTTGTGATTATTAATGAAAACTTACAGGATTAGAAGTGAAAGAAGTCGGAGATGGCTCTGATTTTTTAACTTTACTCTCTTTGTCCACTTGACTCTCGATCTCCCATAAACTTTTTGATGCTTGAATATTTGTCTGACTATGAATTTTGGGAGGAGGTGGAATTTCATGTTGTGCTAACCCAGGATGTAACATATGAGAAAAGAAAGGATGAGTTGGTGGGAGTTGATGATGTTGGGGTGATGCATGTTGTTGATGATGCTGCTGTTGGTGTTGATGTTGTTGTTGTTGCTGCTGCTGCTGCTGTAGCTGTTGCTGTTGCTGTAGCTGTTGTTGCTGTTGTTGCTGCAACTGCTGGTGTTGGTGCTGAAGTTGCTGTTGGTGTTGGAGTTGGTGCTGTAAGTGTTGTTGATGTTGTTGCTGTTGCTGTTGCTGTTGCTGTTGCTGTTGCTGTTGATGTTGATGATGTGATTGTTGTAATTGTGGTTCTCGTTTTGGAATCAACAAAGGTGAAGAATTCTGAAAGGAATACGAATAATAGAATAAATTATGTTAATACTAATTTCAAGTTTATCAATAATCCAATGATTTGATTTATTAGCTTCACTCTAATCTTACAATAATCACTGTTTTTTTTCTGAATTTGAAAGATATTAGTGCAACGTTAAGACTAAGAGGATTGTCAATCTAAGAAGTGATTAGTCAATTAAACTAATTGATTCAACTAACACTTTATCCTATCCGAATTAAGTAAATGTTAAAGACAAACAATTTTACAGGAAAGATAACTGATTCTGTTTCACCTAAGTAAATATAAGTTCATAATGAATCAACAAGCATATAAAATCAATTATCTTGGAAACAATAAAAAAACTAAAAAAGCTATCAAAATTGACTATAACACGGATATGAAAATTCAACCATGAAATTTAAAGAGCTAAAAATGAATAATAATCAGTTGATTGTAAATCATTTAAAATAATAAAAAAGCAAGTGAGAAGAAAAGTGAACACATCAAATCGTGATGAGTTTTATCCAAGCTTTTTTCTATATCTTCAATGGATTAATAGGCAGATTCTGATTGGATCTTAAATAACTAATTTTGTGTTGAGTTGAACAGATCGATAATATTGTAACTCAATATCTCTCTCACTTCACCTTTGAAAGAGGAAGAGAGATGGAGAAAGAGGAGGAGGAGAGAGGGAGAGAGATTTCAATAAAATAAAGATTGATGAGTAAATCATTACTTACGGGATTAGATGAAAAGGAAGTAAGGAAAGGGAGGTTTGGATCTGATTTCTTAATCTTAACCTCTTTGTCTACTTGACTCTCAATATCCCACATATTTTTTGATGGTGGACGTGGTGGTGCTTGAGAAGGAGGTGGTGGTGGTTGGGGTTGGGGTTGAGATGCTGATTGGATACTTGTTTGACTATTCATTTTTGGAAGATGAGGAATATCATGTTGCGGTAAGATAGGGTGTAACATATGATGTGGAAAAGTAAACGGATGAGATGGTGGATGTTGTTGTGGTTCTCGCTTCGGAATCAGCAAGGGAGTACATGTCTGTGAAAACGAAAGTGTAATTTAAACAATTAATTAAGTAATAAGAGATCCGAGGGAGAGAGAGAGAGAGAGAAGAAAAAACAATTAAATAGAGATACAAATTACTATTGATAATGGATAACATTGAAATTGTTAAATTACTTACAACGGGATTAGACGAGTTGGAGGTTGGAGATGGTTCTGATTTTCTAATCTTAATTTCTTTGTCTATTTGATTATCAATATCCCACATGCTTTTAAGTGGAATCGGTGCTGAAGTAGGTGTTGGTACTTTTGTCGGTACCGGGATTGGTCCTGGTGTTGGTTGAATTGTTGTTTGACAGTTGGCTTTTGAAAGGGTTTCGGATTGTTGGGGTTGAGATGATGGTGGTGGTGATGATGATGATGGTGGAGATGATGGTCGAGAAATTGAATGGGTTTGTGAAATTTCTGGTTTATCTTCTTCAGGTTCGTTCTTTTCCTCCTCAGGTGGACTCTTTTCATCTTCAGAGGGACTTTTCTCTCCTTCGGAAAGATTCTTCTCTTCGTCCGATATTTCTTTCTCTTCTTCGGTGGCAATATCTTCATCAATTGGAACATTCTTTTCTTCTTCGTCTTCAGGTGAACTTTGCTCTTCTTCTTTAGGTATTAAAATTGTTGGTTGATTATTAACAACACCATTGATTGAATCTTCTTCAGCGGCATCTTCATTCTTTTCAGATGATTCACTGGTACTTGGTTCATCATTAATTGGACTTAATGGTTTAACGCTAGTAACAGGTTTCATTTCCTCTTCTTCGGTTGCATTTGATTCCTCTTCGTGTGCTAATACAGTTGAATTGTTGCTGTTAATTGTCACAGTAGAAGGAATGTCATCAATTTTATCTTCACTTTTCTCAGAGGTTTCACTTATAATTGGTTCATCATTATTTGGACTTGAGGCGGCTAATTGAGATGGAGAAACTGGTGATTGTAGATCACTTATGTTCTCACTTTGGTCTTCACAGTTATCCGTAATACTAGAACCTTTGTTATTGCTCGGGCTTGCGGCATTCGCTGCTCTGATTCTCTTTAAAACATTTTGTCGACGATGCCTTCTATGTGGTCTATTCGCTGAGGTAAAATCCTTTCAATGAGAAAGAATAAAAAAAAAGAGGGAAGAAAAGGGAAAAGAAAAATTAAGTACCGGATAGAACGATATTCAATGTAACAAATTGTATAAATAGTAAATAAAGTAAACATAAATTGATATAAAAATAAACTTACAGTTGAAGCTGCTCTTGGTGTTTTTTTCCATAAATAATAATATTCAACCAAGTCTGATGTTTCTTTCGATGGTAACAATTCCTTTCGAATTTTGAAAAAGTTTTTACCATATTGACGGATCCCTTTAAAAAATTTTTGCTGCTCTTCTTCAGACCATTTTTTATCCGTTCCTTTAGGTATGGGATTTTTAACTAAAGCTTGTAAAGCTTTACCAGTGTCATAACCATTATCATGTAACTAATAACAAAATTAACAAAAAAAACAAAAATTTTGAGAGTTAAAGATGAGAAGGAGAAAAAAGTAAACACAATTTGTATTCATACAAAATTCGTACCAAAACATATACAAAGACACACTCAGTAGATAAAAAGTTTAACACATCTATCAAAATGATAATCGGAAAGAAAAAAACCCCAAGAAAATGATAGAAAAAAAAGGAAAAGACAAAAACCGAGAAACAATTTTAAAGAACAGGAAGAAAGAAAATAATGTAACTGTGAACAAGGAAAAAAACAAAAGTGATGAGAGTTCTTACCAATTCAAGAGCATTAATTGTGATATCATCTCTCGAAGCTGCATAACAACCGTCATCAGCTGAACCACCGTCACACATACCCGCAAAAGCAGCCATACTTCGTGCTGCTCTAAGGTACATAATTAAATCACAATCTGGTAGTCCGGGGGTCCATCGAAGCTCCTCCAATGCCTCACAAGCTTCAGGCATATCAGCGGGTAAAATGTTACCCACATAATCAGGAAGGCGAGCCTGGTGGCAGGGGCCAACCAGGATCTTCTCTTCACCACTAGCCAGAGTGAGAGATAGAATGTGAACAATTTAATTATTTTACTATAAAAAGAGAAGAAACAAACAAAAAAGAACAATTAAATTTAATTATTTAATTGTAAGAGAATAACAATAAAAAGTCATCACTCAACATTCAAGAAAAAAAGAGACAAAAAAAACAGAATTCAAGGTGTGGACATAAGTGACAACTCTCAGAGTTAGAAAAGCGCAACATTTAAACTTAGTCTTCTCTTTAATTCTTCGAAACTGGTGACATCTAACGTCTTTTGTTGGAACTTTTTCGGTATTCGATCTTTGGATCTTCTCTTCATTTGGTATCGAGTCTTTTGGTTAAGGTCATTTTGGTTTTCACTTTGATTTTTTGATTGTTTTGTTTTTCTCAATTCTAGTTAATTGAGTTAATTTGGTTTATTTGGAATTTTTTTCTTGAGTATCGTTGGTGTTTCTTCATCATGGGTGGACATCGAGTTGCTGGAAATCTTTACTACATGAAGAATATTGTTTACTTCAAGTTAGCGAATCTTGAGTTGAATCCATTCAAAGATTTCTGGAGTAAAAGCTTTCGTCATATTAAAGGTGATTTCTTGAGGTTTGGTGGTTTAGCTATTACTGGTGAGTTAATTTAATTGTAATTCCATTCATTATATTTCAATTTATATTGATTCTTTCTTCTTTGTCTTCATTTCTAGCTTACGTTACGGCTCACACGGTTATTCACATTGCCGATGTGATTAACGAAAGAGAATCAAGAAAGAAACCTGGTCAATTTGATCATGAAACCTAATTAATGATTCACACATCACAATCATCATATTAATGATTAAATTAATAAGATAGATCTACGAACATTGTAGTTAATCTTATGCTTATATTGATAGAAACACAGAAATTTGTGAAAAATAATATTAGAGATATAAATTGTCAATGATTATGATGATGTGATAAATAAAATTTTATTTCGTTTGTTGATAATTAATTGAATTTATTGATTCATTTTTTTTGTAAATTATCGAATGATCAAGTCAAATACTTGGTATAATGACATTTATGATGAGTTTTATGTAAACTGTCATAGGAAATAATCATACATGAGGTTTTGTTTGTGATTAGGAATTTGAATGGATAAAAATGTGAAAATGAACAAATCAGATTGATAGGATTTTGTATCAATGGAAGTGTGAAAAGATTGTGAATGAGTAGATTTGACAAAGAATCAGTTAACTATAATCATCAATAATAATGACCAATTAACATGCAGTTAATATTATTTTCTTTAGTTTAGAATTAAGTTGATTAATAATAATAATAATCTTTTCAGATTGATTTTCATTTCATTCATTATTATTATTATTCTTAAGGTTGTTGTTGTTTTTGTTGTTGTTGTTATTTTTAGTGTTACTATTGTTACTATTGTTATTGTTGATGTTGATCTCCACCACCGGAATTGATAAAAATTTGAGGTTGTTGTTGTAGTTGTTGTGGTTGTTGTAATTGTTGGGGTTGTCCAGTTAATCGGGATAAAATGCCTCGCTCGGACATTTGAAGTCTCTGTGCTACAGGAGGTATTCGAGCAATTGTTGCAGGTAAACGAGAAACATCCGATTTCATATCACTTAAAAGTTCCTCCAGTTGATTAAGGACTTTATGTAGAACTGCATTCGCTGGTTTATTACCAGAATGAGATTCTTTGGAAAGATGTGAATGCGATTCAGCCAAACACTCCATCTCGGCGAATCGAGAATTCAATGCCATCACTGGGTGGGTTGGATCTTGAATTAAATTCAGATAAGCAGCTCGTCGTAATTGCTCCTCAATTACCAGCGCTTGTTCAAGTAACTTGAATCGTCGAGCAAGAAACTTGTTCTTAATTTCTAAAAAGTTTCCTTTACCAACATCCATTTTAAAAGGTTCATTGATTATCATGAAATTTGGATCATTTTGAATGTCTTGCCAACGTCCATAACCATGTTTAACGATACCAGATAGAAGCCAATAATCATGTCGACGATGCCAAATTTCATATTCTCTACCCTGAGCTGCCCTTTCTTCATTCGTCCACAGTGTATGTAATTCGGTGAATCCGCCGTCGGCGATATTAAACATAAATCGACGTTTTTCTGGTTCATTTTCCTTCTCCATTTCCATTTCCAGTTCATTCTCTTTTTCTTTTTCTTTTTCCTTCTCTTTCTTTGGTTGTTGTGATTGTGATTGTTGTTTTTGTTTCTGCAATTGTAGTGCGACTTGTTGATCACCGTTTTCAGTTACTAATTCACTGTCTTCTTTGGGTTCAACTTTGATTTCTTGCTTAATTGTCTCTTCATTTGCCGATGTTGTTGTTGTAGTTGTAGTTGTTTCACTTGATTCTTTGTTCTTGTTTGTTTTTGTTGTCAATTCTTCAGGTTCATTAGATTCTATCGACTCTTTACTTTTGTCGTTTTCGTCTTTTTCATCGAGTTTTTCCAAATTTTCGCTTTCATCTTCATCTTTCTTTTCTTCATCAACTTCCATTTTCTCTTCATCGCCTTCGCCATCATTATCTTTCATTATTTTATCTTCTTTTTTCATTTCTTCACTTTCGTCTAGGTCTTTTTCTTCTTCAGCACTTTTGTCTTCTTCTTCTTTTGAGTCTTCTTTTTCTTTTTCTTTTTCTTTTTCTTCTCCGTCTTTGTCTTTAACTCCTTCTTCGATTTGAGCTTCACATTCAATTTGTTCAACTTCTTCTTCTTCATCATTTTCTAACTTTTCTTTGACTTTTTCTCCATCAATTTCTTCCACTTCTTCTCCTTCTTCTTCCTCCTCTTCTCCTTCTTTAATTTCTTCATCTTCATCACCAATCTTTTCCGTTTCCTCGTCTTTGTTTTTTCCTTTTTCCAATTTTTCTTCACTTTCAGAGTCTTTTTCTTTCTCTTCACCTCCTTCTCCCTCGGTTTCCTTCATTGTAATGTCATCACCTTCTTCCTTTGCCAACCCTTCCTTTACACTTTCCTTTTCCACCTCTTTCCCATCGACAATATTTCCTTTCATATCAACATCTTTCTCATTCTGTCCAATCTCTTCTTTAGCTTCTCCCGATATTGGTTGAGGTGTAGCAGCTTTACTATCATTTGGTGTCGATAATAATGATGGAGTAGATGAGTTTTCTTTTGTACCATTTGTCTCTTTTGGAATCTCAGTAACCACAGCTTCTGGTATGGGCATACTTCGTGCACCATTAATATGTTCAAACTCTTGAACTTTCTTTCGTATCAAAGACATGATACCAATTCGTGTGAGAACAAGTTGTCTGGATAATCCTTCACGAGGAACACCATCAGCAAATGTCTCCAAATTGTCAGCACCCGGTTCACAAAGATGCCATAAATAGTGACACATATGCTCGAAATTTCTCTCCGATTTACACCGAAGATCACGAACCAACCACTGAGAATTGAATGAATCTTGAGGTGGCATTCCGTACCTCATGATAGCATTGAGAAAAGCTTTTCTTTGACGATGATTGAAACCCAAAACCTAAATGAATGAACAATTTCATCAAATTATTAATATTGATATTTTCAGTTTACATATTGATCAAGTCAAATAATTGTCATGTATCGCCTTTGAGATGATACTTTGTTATTAAGCTAATAACTAAGCCAATCAAACATATCAACCCCTAAAGATACATCATTTTACTATTGCATTAAATTATTAATATTAAAATCAAATATTCTTAGTTTGATCATAGATTATTGTTGTTTTTAATGCCTCATTATTAATCATTGATTATCAATCTTATGATAATTACCTCGATAATACCACCAACTTTTGCCAAGAGAGGTGGTAATGGTTTGTCCTTTTCGGTCTTTTCGTTTTTCCCTCTTCGTCGACCAGTTTTTTCTTCCGTCTTTTCTTCAAAGTCATCATCATCTAGAATAATAGAACAATCAACAAATCAACATTAAAATCATTTCCATCGAATTTTAAAAATAATAAATAATAAACAAATAAACAAGTAAAAAAATAAAAAAATAAACAAATAAACAAATAAAATGGAAAAAGGAAAAATACTCACCGGTTGGAACAGAAAAGTCGGAATTATATTCAGACCCATTATCTTGCCAATTCTGCTCTTCTTGACCTCCTGCAGCATCGTTATAATTAACTTGTTTTCGTACTCGTTTACCTTTACCCAAGGTTCGAGCCAAATCTTCTTGTTGCTGCTCATAATGATGTCGTAAAAGTTTCTCCCAATAAGCAGGATCAGCAGATTCAACATCTTGCTTGAGAATCTCCGTTTCTGGTTCTTCCTCTTCCGCTTCTTTCGTCGCATATGCGGCCACTTTAAACGAACTAAGATACTCGTTCGCCCAAAGCTCCTTCTGTTCTATTCCTTCCTGCGATCTATCCAATAATCCTCGAATTGCTTCTTCATCATAATGAATTGCCGACTCTTCTTTCCCTTCCTCTTCTTTAAACAATTCTTCCGTACCAAACTTGAGAATGTCGTCCAGTTCTTGCTTCGACATTGTATTCTTAGCTCCCATTCCTGGTCGCACCACCAAATGGGTCAACATCATCTTCTTCTTGGCTACCTGGGTAATCCTCTCCTCTACAGATGCTCGGGTCACAAATCGGTAAATCATCACTTTATTTGACTGACCAATACGATGGGCTCGAGAAAATGCCTGAATATCATTGTGAGGATTCCAATCGGAATCATAGATCACCACAGTATCTGCAGTCGCCAAATTAATACCCAGACCTCCAGCTCGAGTTGATAAAAGGAAACAAAATTGTGCTGCTCCTGGAGCATTGAACCTGTCAATTGCTTCTTGTCTCTGGGATCCGGTGATTCCACCATCAATCCTTTCATACTTGTAACCTTCCGCTTCCAGGAAATCTTCCAGTATATCCAACATTTTGGTCATTTGTGAGAAAACAAGAACTCGATGTCCAGTATCTTTAAGTATTCTCAACATTTTCTGCAACACAATCAACTTTCCTGCCGCTTTGGTCAATGCGGTCCCCTCATAAGCTCCATTCACTGTTAACGGTGCTTCTTGAGCAGCAACCGGGAAAAGATAAGGATGATTACAGCATTTCTTTAGATCCATCATAATATTGATCAGGGAAACTTGTTGACCTCCTCCTTTCGTATTGAGAGCCTCGAAATTACGAGTCAAAATGTATTTATAAAATTTCTTTTGCATTGGACTCAAATCCACTCGAACAATGAATTCACTTTTAGTTGGCATTCCTTTTAATACATCGGCTTTCAATCGACGCAAAAGATGAGGACCAAGCATATCATGAAGTTTCTTTACTTGTTCTTCTTTAGCAATATCAGCGAATTCATTAAGAAAACCTTGCAAGTCACTGAAGAAAAGGAATGGAAAATGAAGCAAGAGAAAGAAAAGAAAAGAAAAGAAAGAAAAGAAAGAAAAGAAAAGTTAATCATCAATACAATATCCATATAATACAATGTAATTAAATAAATTACTCGTAAAACGAGATGGACTCAGGAAATTTAGTAAATGAAACAATTCTTCCAGGTTATTTTGTAAAGGTGTTCCAGTCAGTAAAAGTTTATATGCAATCTTATATTGATTAAGGATTCGGAAAAATTTAGATTGATTGTTTTTCAGTCGATGAGCTTCATCCACAACCAACACTTGCCAATCAACCGAACCAAGAGTCGCATTGTCAATACAAATCAACTCGTATGATGTTAAAAGTACATGAAATTTAATTGGACACTCTTTCCGTATTCGAGGCCTTGAAACCTCCTCGAACGGCTCCTTCTTCGAAACTCAGTTCGTGCTCCCGAATCACTGCTCGAGAGTCTTTATCTCCGATGTATGTTACACAATAGAAATCCGGTGCCCAAACTTCAAATTCTCTCTCCCAATTGATGATTGTCGACAAAGGAGCAGACACCAGGAAAGGACCTTTACAGTGACCCTCTTTGTAAAGAGAGTAAAGAAACACTATCGTTTGGATTGTCTTCCCCAAACCCATTTCATCGGCCAGAATAGTGTCCGTTCCATGTGCCCAAGAATATCGAAGCCAGTTAATACCTTCCAATTGGTATGGGTGCAGTTCCATTCCGGTCACATCAATATAAGCCGGTTGTTTCTCGTGCTTCTTTTTAGGATCAACTGTCGGTTTATCCGGCGGCGGAGCATAAAACCTTTCAACACTACTATCGGTGTCTCTGTTTTTTGACTTTTTGTTTGACTTTTTACTTGACTTTTTACTGCTTCCACCTCCATGCAAAATCTCAACCGATGAACGCAGATCCCAATATGCTTGGATTGCTCTCTTCATCTCTGGTATTTCAAAGTCTTCCTGTTCCTCGTACTCCCAAGATGCCTGATCGTAACCAAGGTCTCGCCATTTAACAAGATACAAGTAACTCCCGTCTCTCATTTGTTTATGGTTAATAACGCGATGCACTTGCAACCATTCAGGTCGAATACCATATCGATAATATCTCCTCCAGAGCAGCATCAACATAAACTTTTCTCTCCACTCGTTTCTTCCCGGTTCCAGCATTAATTTCACCTTCACCATCCAACTCTTCTGCCTCCTCCTCTTGCTTGGCTCGCGACCTTTTCCTCGCTTCCAGTGTGTCCATGTCGATTATCGGTGGTTCATCCATATCGTTTTTACGACAATAAATACGGAACATGGATGTATGGAATACGTCTAATTGTAACTCAGAGATCCACTGGCAATGCCAATAAGACATGTCGTGAAATTTAACGAAAAATTCACGTAAAGGCTTCGGTTGGTGTTTCTTACTGGTCGATGGTTGAGCTGCTGGAATGTTTGATTCATCGCTTTTCTTTTCTACTCCACCTTCGCCCTCTTCTTTCCCTTCATTTTCGTCTTCATCCATTTCAGGCATAACCCATTTCCATGTTAATATTTTAGCTACTTTGCCTTTCAATGGTTCAACCTAAATTTCATCATGACAACAATGAAAACAAAGAATGAGAGGAAAACAAATTAGAAGGAAACAAGTTGGAACAAATGAAAACAAATGAAAACAAATCAAAACAAATGACAAATTAAAACAAATCAAAACAAATTAAAACAAACCAAATGTTGATTAGTTTGCTATCATCTTGGTTGATCTTTTGATTGTTTATTATCAATCAAAAGGTCAACTCTATTATTCTAATATTTACTTACCGAACAACGTGGACATGTCCATTCACCGTCAGGGACAACTCGTAGAGGTGGATTGAGACAGAAAGTGTGATAAGCAGACGGACACAGATCACAACATAATAATTCACCACCATCTCTACACACTCGACAAAACTCCATATGATGATCATCTTTCGCCGGTGGCTCTTCAATCTCGGCTTCTTGGGCACCCTCTCCTTCACAATGTGGACAACTCCATTTTCCCTCGGGTGCCTCCTCCAATTCCGGCTCCAGACACACCAAATGGTAGGCTCGAGGACAAGTATCACAAAGAATTATTTCACCTCCTTGTTGACAAACATCACAATAGTCCTGATGATCCGTCTCATACCCTTCACTGTCAGAACCGGCAGCTGAATCAAAACTTGCCGTGGTTTTTGTTTTCTTTTTCTTCTTTGACTGTTTACTCTTCTTTTTCTTTTTATCACTGACTGGCGGTGGTGAGGCAGCTTCAGCCTCTTGCAGGGCTGCCTCAAATTCAACATCACTTTTGTTGGGTTCACTTAAAGTTTCATCTTCATCTGAACTAGCGGTCTTTTTCCTCTTGTTACTTGTACTAATTGAACCAAGTTTGATTTTTATCGAAGGAACTGATTTCGTTTTGCTCGACTTTTTCTTCTTCTTTTCGCTCACACCCCCACTCCCACTGCCACTGCCCCCGGCAACAGCATTGCCTCCGCCGTCAGGGTCACACTTTGAACCACGGGTTCTTTTAGTCTCTTGTACTTTCTCAACCACATATTCCTCATCAATCTCGTCTTCCATGACAGCTATTATTCTAGTCCAATCAAACTTTTACTTCGATGTCCGTAGTATCAATCAACTCCTGGTTAACTCTTGAAACTAATTATATACACAAAATTAAGATTTAAATAAGTTAATTAACTCTAATTACACAAATAATCACAGAGAATAAAAATTAACCGTGGACATTGACACAATACAATAGATCTTCAATTTCTCTCTCTCTTCTCAATTAATACAAACGCCATCTTGAGATCGTTTAGGTAACAACGCGCGCATTTCAAATTCTTTTCTTTTACTTCCAATTTGTTGAAATCGTTGATCACAATTAACGAATTATTTTTACTGATTCTCACCTTTAGTATTCAAGCAATTATGAAATTTATATTTTATAATTAAAATTATTATTTAAAAAATGTATTGAGCAAAAGATTAGAGATGAAAAATAAACTTACAACAGAAAAAATCAAGAAAAAACTTTCATTCTTTTATTAAAATCTTCAACCTTATGAACCAAGTAAGTAACATTCATTAGAAAACAATTTAACTGCAATACTAATGATTACAAATTCTGATGTAATTATTGTGAATTTATTAACATCAATTAATTCATTTAATTCTCTCTCTCTCATTCACTTACATTTCCAAGCTACAGTTGACGCAATTTCTGATTTTCTTTTGGTCGAAGCGATTCTCAGAGCTAAAGATTGGGATCCTAAAAACTGGGACGTTGTTTACACTAATTATCCTTCGAGATTGATGAAACTGAAAGTTCCCGGTCGTAACTTCATCAAGACAAACGATATCGCAACAATCATCTATGAGCCCGAATCGTTGCAACAAGATATTAGTAAATTGATTGAGACTTTCGTTTAGGGAGTTGAACGATTGTCCGAGCTTCTGGAACTGAAGATTGTGTCAGAATTTACACCGAATCAACTACTCAGGATAATGCTGATCAATTGGCTGAACAAATTTTCTTGTTGTTTAGTAAATATTCTGGACTGAAACAACAAAGATCAGAAAACTCGATTTAAATTAGTAAAATTGAAGGAAAATTTTAAATCATCGGGGCTCAAGTGATCATCTATTTATTAACAAAATATTTACATCTCTTGATTGAATAAATTTATACTTTTCATATTTATTGATTAGAAATACCGATTCGGACGTACGGATCTCGAAAATCGAGTGACCGAAAAGCGAATGTTTGACTTTTGACTTAAAATTTTTGGTCAAATGTTATTCTTTTGACCTATTATTTCATATACCTAAGCTCATCATCATTTGAAGTAAGGTTATTGAGATCCAACAAGACCAAAATTAAATCGCTATCTAACTTTCACATCATAGATTTCTTATAGATCATAAAATCGCGATTTTGGCCTTTAAATAGAGACCATAGTCGAATTTGAGCTTCGAAAACTATTCTACCTTTTTTCTACTATTCTTGAGATGCTCACTCGTTTTCGGTCCCCCGATAATTCACTATCCTCATAATTTTAAAAAGTTGGTAAACCGAATCGTTCAAAAATTGAATCGATGAATAAATATAAGACAATTTGCCTGAAAAAATGATTTGATCATATTGATAACCATTATGTATGAATTAAATGCGATTTTCTAGGTTAATCAAATTTTGGTCAGCTTTTTGATACGAGCCACAATAAATCAAACGATGCTGATTTCCACAGAAAGGACAATCATGGATGCGGTAACATTTATTAATAGTTTTGTCAAAGTATTGATTTAAGAAATGAAAGGTATAACAATAATTTTGATCTGAACGGAAACATCCATAATTTTCATAATATTTTAACGAAGTTCGACAAATAATCATTTCCGCTGCCCAATCAACTCGAAATCCATTTTTAGTTGAAATGACCTGAACGTAAATAGTTCCATCATTCAATGTATAACATCGTCTAATATAAACAAAAATATTCGCTGCAGAATCTAATTCTTTCATAACAAAATATGCATTCGTAACATTTCCTCTTAGAAATGTAAATTTACTGATTGGCTTAATCCCCATCAACCGCGCATTGAAAAGCGTAGGTGGAATTGAAATCAGATCTTCACCAATTTTGTGAATGCACCTCAATTCAACTGGAATTTTTATACCAAAATCCAATGTATAAATACAATATGTGCCATTGTTTGATGATGGTAGTCTTTTAATGATTCCTCTTTTAATTGGATGCCCATCTGGATGAATTCTTCGATCTTTGATAAGAACATGGCGTCCAACGAAGCAATGCGATGCCTCCATATTGATAAACTTAGAAACATTCGAAATTCTATTCAAAATGTCATGGTGAAAACCTTCTTTTCCTGGAACAATAAACGGCATCCAAAATGGATCCCGATAATAGACCAATTTCGCTTGAATAGGATTTGAATCAGAAAATTCACGTATAATTCCAGGTGGAAAGACCTGAAAATTATAAACATAAAAGTTAAATGAACCGAATCGTTCAAAAACTGAATCGATAAATAAATATAAGATAAGGATGAGGACCTAAACTAGGAAAACTATGTTAGTCAGTCATAAGACAAAAATGAACTTCGGGGCTTGATAGAGCATCGAAAATTGAGTAGGAAAAGTAAGTTTCTATTCATGTTCACCAATATCTTGTAGGACTATTTCCGTTCCGTAAAAATCGGCCTGTGAAAAAAACTATCTTAATTAATCATTAGACTAAAATCAATTTCATCATATTGTAGAACATCAAAAACTGAGTGGGGCAAATGTACTCTTTGCCGTGTTCGCGAATAGGTAAGTGGCCCTCAATATTTCGGTAGTTATTAGTTGTAGTTGTAACACGGTTTTTCGACGATATTACAAAATATCATTTTTTGAGAAATAAAAAGTAAAAATTCAGAATCACCATAACGCTCAGCATCAAAATAGTTAAGTTTTAAGCAGTTTGATTTTGCAGGCCTTTTTGGTACTTGTCCTTACCTGAAAGAAATGATTTGATCATATTTATTCATCGATTCAATTTTTGAACGATTCGGTTTACCAACTTTTTAAAATTATGAGGATAGTGAATTATCGGGGGACCGAAAACGAGTGAGCATCTCAAGAATAGTAGAAAAAAGGTAGAATAGTTTTCGAAGCTCAAATTCGACTATGGTCTCTATTTAAAGGCCAAAATCGCGATTTTATGATCTATAAGAAATCTATGATGTGAAAGTTAGATAGCGATTTAATTTTGGTCTTGTTGGATCTCAATAACCTTACTTCAAATGATGATGAGCTTAGGTATATGAAATAATAGGTCAAAAGAATAACATTTGACCAAAAATTTTAAGTCAAAAGTCAAACATTCGCTTTTCGGTCACTCGATTTTTCGAGATCCGTACGTCCGAATCGGTATTTCTAATCAATAAATATGAAAAGTATAAATTTATTCAATCAAGAGATGTAAATATTTTGTTAATAAATAGATGATCACTTGAGCCCCGATGATTTAAAATTTTTCCTTCAATTTTACTAATTTAAATCGAGTTTTTCTGATCTTTGTTGTTTCAGTCCAGAATATTTACTAAACAACAAGAAAATTTGTTCAGCCAATTGATCAGCATTATCCTGAGTAGTTGATTCGGTGTAAATTCTGACACAATCTTCAGTTCCAGAAGCTCGGACAATCGTTCAACTCCCTAAACGAAAGTCTCAATCAATTTACTAATATCTTGTTGCAACGATTCGGGCTCATAGATGATTGTTGCGATATCGTTTGTCTTGATGAAGTTACGACCGGGAACTTTCAGTTTCATCAATCTCGAAGGATAATTAGTGTAAACAACGTCCCAGTTTTTAGGATCCCAATCTTTAGCTCTGAGAATCGCTTCGACCAAAAGAAAATCAGAAATTGCGTCAACTGTAGCTTGGAAATGTAAGTGAATGAGAGAGAATTAAATGAATTAATTGATGTTAATAAATTCACAATAATTACATCAGAATTTGTAATCATTAGTATTGCAGTTAAATTGTTTTCTAATGAATGTTACTTACTTGGTTCATAAGGTTGAAGATTTTAATAAAAGAATGAAAGTTTTTTCTTGATTTTTTCTGTTGTAAGTTTATTTTTCATCTCTAATCTTTTGCTCAATACATTTTTTAAATAATAATTTTAATTATAAAATATAAATTTCATAATTGCTTGAATACTAAAGGTGAGAATCAGTAAAAATAATTCGTTAATTGTGATCAACGATTTCAACAAATTGGAAGTAAAAGAAAAGAATTTGAAATGCGCGCGTTGTTACCTAAACGATCTCAAGATGGCGTTTGTATTAATTGAGAAGAGAGAGAGAAATTGAAGATCTATTGTATTGTGTCAATGTCCACGGTTAATTTTTATTCTCTGTGATTATTTGTGTAATTAGAGTTAATTAACTTATTTAAATCTTAATTTTGTGTATATAATTAGTTTCAAGAGTTAACCAGGAGTTGATTGATACTACGGACATCGAAGTAAAAGTTTGATTGGACTAGAATAATAGCCGCTGTCATGGAAGACGAGATTGATGAGGAATATGTGGTTGAGAAAGTACAAGAGACTAAAAGAACCCGTGGTTCAAAGTGTGACCCTGACGGCGGAGGCAATGCTGTTGCCGGGGGCAGTGGCAGTGGGAGTGGGGGTGTGAGCGAAAAGAAGAAGAAAAAGTCGAGCAAAACGAAATCAGTTCCTTCGATAAAAATCAAACTTGGTTCAATTAGTACAAGTAACAAGAGGAAAAAGACCGCTAGTTCAGATGAAGATGAAACTTTAAGTGAACCCAACAAAAGTGATGTTGAATTTGAGGCAGCCCTGCAAGAGGCTGAAGCTGCCTCACCACCGCCAGTCAGTGATAAAAAGAAAAAGAAGAGTAAACAGTCAAAGAAGAAAAAGAAAACAAAAACCACGGCAAGTTTTGATTCAGCTGCCGGTTCTGACAGTGAAGGGTATGAGACGGATCATCAGGACTATTGTGATGTTTGTCAACAAGGAGGTGAAATAATTCTTTGTGATACTTGTCCTCGAGCCTACCATTTGGTGTGTCTGGAGCCGGAATTGGAGGAGGCACCCGAGGGAAAATGGAGTTGTCCACATTGTGAAGGAGAGGGTGCCCAAGAAGCCGAGATTGAAGAACCACCGGCGAAAGATGATCATCATATGGAGTTTTGTCGAGTGTGTAGAGATGGTGGTGAATTATTATGTTGTGATCTGTGTCCGTCTGCTTATCACACTTTCTGTCTCAATCCACCTCTACGAGTTGTCCCTGACGGTGAATGGACATGTCCACGTTGTTCGGTAAGTAAATATTAGAATAATAGAGTTGACCTTTTGATTGATAATAAACAATCAAAAGATCAACCAAGATGATAGCAAACTAATCAACATTTGGTTTGTTTTAATTTGTTTTGATTTGTTTTAATTTGTCATTTGTTTTGATTTGTTTTCATTTGTTCCAACTTGTTTCCTTCTAATTTGTTTTCCTCTCATTCTTTGTTTTCATTGTTGTCATGATGAAATTTAGGTTGAACCATTGAAAGGCAAAGTAGCTAAAATATTAACATGGAAATGGGTTATGCCTGAAATGGATGAAGACGAAAATGAAGGAAAGAAGAGGCGAAGGTGGAGAAAAGAAAAGCGATGAATCAAACATTCCAGCAGCTCAACCATCGACCAGTAAGAAACACCAACCGAAGCCTTTACGTGAATTTTTCGTTAAATTTCACGACATGTCTTATTGGCATTGCCAGTGGATCTCTGAGTTACAATTAGACGTATTCCATACATCCATGTTCCGTATTTATTGTCGTAAAAACGATATGGATGAACCACCGATAATCGACATGGACACACTGGAAGCGAGGAAAAGGTCGCGAGCCAAGCAAGAGGAGGAGGCAGAAGAGTTGGATGGTGAAGGTGAAATTAATGCTGGAACCGGGAAGAAACGAGTGGAGAGAAAAGTTTATGTTGATGCTGCTCTGGAGGAGAGATATTATCGATATGGTATTCGACCTGAATGGTTGCAAGTGCATCGCGTTATTAACCATAAACAAATGAGAGACGGGAGTTACTTGTATCTTGTTAAATGGCGAGACCTTGGTTACGATCAGGCATCTTGGGAGTACGAGGAACAGGAAGACTTTGAAATACCAGAGATGAAGAGAGCAATCCAAGCATATTGGGATCTGCGTTCATCGGTTGAGATTTTGCATGGAGGTGGAAGCAGTAAAAAGTCAAGTAAAAAGTCAAACAAAAAGTCAAAAAACAGAGACACCGATAGTAGTGTTGAAAGGTTTTATGCTCCGCCGCCGGATAAACCGACAGTTGATCCTAAAAAGAAGCACGAGAAACAACCGGCTTATATTGATGTGACCGGAATGGAACTGCACCCATACCAATTGGAAGGTATTAACTGGCTTCGATATTCTTGGGCACATGGAACGGACACTATTCTGGCCGATGAAATGGGTTTGGGGAAGACAATCCAAACGATAGTGTTTCTTTACTCTCTTTACAAAGAGGGTCACTGTAAAGGTCCTTTCCTGGTGTCTGCTCCTTTGTCGACAATCATCAATTGGGAGAGAGAATTTGAAGTTTGGGCACCGGATTTCTATTGTGTAACATACATCGGAGATAAAGACTCTCGAGCAGTGATTCGGGAGCACGAACTGAGTTTCGAAGAAGGAGCCGTTCGAGGAGGTTTCAAGGCCTCTCGAATACGGAAAGAGTGTCCAATTAAATTTCATGTACTTTTAACATCATACGAGTTGATTTGTATTGACAATGCGACTCTTGGTTCGGTTGATTGGCAAGTGTTGGTTGTGGATGAAGCTCATCGACTGAAAAACAATCAATCTAAATTTTTCCGAATCCTTAATCAATATAAGATTGCATATAAACTTTTACTGACTGGAACACCTTTACAAAATAACCTGGAAGAATTGTTTCATTTACTAAATTTCCTGAGTCCATCTCGTTTTACGTGAGTAATTTATTTAATTACATTGTATTATATGGATATTGTATTGATGATTAACTTTTCTTTTTCTTTCTTTTTCTTTCTTTTTCTTTCTCTTGCTTCATTTTCCATTCCTTTTCTTCAGTGACTTGCAAGGTTTTCTTAATGAATTCGCTGATATTGCTAAAGAAGAACAAGTAAAGAAACTTCATGATATGCTTGGTCCTCATCTTTTGCGTCGATTGAAAGCCGATGTATTAAAAGGAATGCCAACTAAAAGTGAATTCATTGTTCGAGTGGATTTGAGTCCAATGCAAAAGAAATTTTATAAATACATTTTGACTCGTAATTTCGAGGCTCTCAATACGAAAGGAGGAGGTCAACAAGTTTCCCTGATCAATATTATGATGGATCTAAAGAAATGCTGTAATCATCCTTATCTTTTCCCGGTTGCTGCTCAAGAAGCACCGTTAACAGTGAATGGAGCTTATGAGGGGACCGCATTGACCAAAGCGGCAGGAAAGTTGATTGTGTTGCAGAAAATGTTGAGAATACTTAAAGATACTGGACATCGAGTTCTTGTTTTCTCACAAATGACCAAAATGTTGGATATACTGGAAGATTTCCTGGAAGCGGAAGGTTACAAGTATGAAAGGATTGATGGTGGAATCACCGGATCCCAGAGACAAGAAGCAATTGACAGGTTCAATGCTCCAGGAGCAGCACAATTTTGTTTCCTTTATCAACTCGAGCTGGAGGTCTGGGTATTAATTTGGCGACTGCAGATACTGTGGTGATCTATGATTCCGATTGGAATCCTCACAATGATATTCAGGCATTTTCTCGAGCCCATCGTATTGGTCAGTCAAATAAAGTGATGATTTACCGATTTGTGACCCGAGCATCTGTAGAGGAGAGGATTACCCAGGTAGCCAAGAAGAAGATGATGTTGACCCATTTGGTGGTGCGACCAGGAATGGGAGCTAAGAATACAATGTCGAAGCAAGAACTGGACGACATTCTCAAGTTTGGTACGGAAGAATTGTTTAAAGAAGAGGAAGGGAAAGAAGAGTCGGCAATTCATTATGATGAAGAAGCAATTCGAGGATTATTGGATAGATCGCAGGAAGGAATAGAACAGAAGGAGCTTTGGGCGAACGAGTATCTTAGTTCGTTTAAAGTGGCCGCATATGCGACGAAAGAAGCGGAAGAGGAAGAACCAGAAACGGAGATTCTCAAGCAAGATGTTGAATCTGCTGATCCTGCTTATTGGGAGAAACTTTTACGACATCATTATGAGCAGCAACAAGAAGATTTGGCTCGAACCTTGGGTAAAGGTAAACGAGTACGAAAACAAGTTAATTATAACGATGCTGCAGGAGGTCAAGAAGAGCAGAATTGGCAAGATAATGGCTCTGAATATAATTCCGACTTTTCTGTTCCAACCGGTGAGTGTTTTTCCTTTTCCTTTTTTATTTGTTTATTTGTTTATTTATTATTTTTGAAATTCGATGGAAATGATTTTAATGTTGATTTGTTGATTGTTGTATTGTTCTAGATGATGATGACTTTGAAGAAAAGACGGAAGAAAAAACTGGTCGACGAAGAGGGAAAAACGAAAAGACCGAAAAGGACAAACCATTACCACCTCTCTTGGCAAAAGTTGGTGGTATTATCGAGGTAATTATCATAAGATTGATAATCAATGATTAATAATGAGGCATTAAAAACAACAATAATCTATGATCAAACTAAGAATATTTGATTTTATTATTAATAATTTAATGCAATAGTAAAATGATGTATCTTTAGGGGTTGATATGTTTGATTGGCTTAGTTATTAGCTTAATAACAAAGTATCATCTCAAAGGCGATACATGACAATTTATTGACTTGATCAATATGTAAACTGAAAATATTAATATTAATAATTTGATGAAATTGTTCATTCATTTAGGTTTTGGGTTTCAATCATCGTCAAAGAAAAGCTTTTCTCAATGCTATCATGAGGTACGGAATGCCACCTCAAGATTCATTCAATTCTCAGTGGTTGGTTCGTGATCTTCGGTGTAAATCGGAGAGAAATTTCCGAGCATATGTGTCACTATTTATGCGGCATCTTTGTGAACCGGGTGCTGACAATTTGGAGACATTTGCTGATGGTGTTCCTCGTGAAGGATTATCCAGACAACTTGTTCTCACACGAATTGGTATCATGTCTTTGATACGAAAGAAAGTTCAAGAGTTTGAACATATTAATGGTGCACGAAGTATGCCCATACCAGAAGCTGTGGTTACTGAGATTCCAAAAGAGACAAATGGTACAAAAGAAAACTCATCTACTCCATCATTATTATCGACACCAAATGATAGTAAAGCTGCTACACCTCAACCAATATCGGGAGAAGCTAAAGAAGAGATTGGACAGAATGAGAAAGATGTTGATATGAAAGGAAATATTGTCGATGGGAAAGAGGTGGAAAAGGAAAGTGTAAAGGAAGGGTTGGCAAAAGAAGAAGGTGATGATATTACAATGAAGGAAACCGAAGGAGAAGGAGGTGAAGAGAAAGAAAAAGAAAAAGACTCTGAAAGTGAAGAAAAATTGGAAAAAGGAAAAAACAAAGACGAGGAAACGGAAAAGATTGGCGATGAAGATGAAGAAATTAAAGAAGGAGAAGAGGAGGAAGAAGAAGGAGAAGAAGTGGAAGAAATTGATGGAGAAAAAGTCAAAGAAAAGTTAGAAAATGATGAAGAAGAAGAAGTTGAACAAATTGAATGTGAAGCTCAAATCGAAGAAGGAGTTAAAGACAAAGACGGAGAAGAAAAAGAAAAAGAAAAAGAAGACTCAAAAGAAGAAGAAGACAAAAGTGCTGAAGAAGAAAAAGACCTAGACGAAAGTGAAGAAATGAAAAAAGAAGATAAAATAATGAAAGATAATGATGGCGAAGGCGATGAAGAGAAAATGGAAATTGATGAAGAAAAGAAAGATGAAGATGAAAGCGAAAATTTGGAAAAACTCGATGAAAAAGACGAAAACGACAAAAGTAAAGAGTCGATAGAATCTAATGAACCTGAAGAACTGACAACAAAAACAAACAAGAACAAAGAATCAAGTGAAACAACAACAACAACAACATCGGCAAATGAAGAGACAATTAAGCAAGAAATCAAAGTTGAACCCAAAGAAGACAGTGAATTAGTAACTGAAAATGGTGATCAACAAGTCGCACTACAATTGCAGAAACAAAAACAACAATCACAATCACAATCACAACAACCAAAGAAAGAGAAGGAAAAAGAAAAAGAAAAAGAGAATGAACTGGAAATGGAAATGGAGAAGGAAAATGAACCAGAAAAACGTCGATTTATGTTTAATATCGCCGACGGCGGATTCACCGAATTACATACACTGTGGACGAATGAAGAAAGGGCAGCTCAGGGTAGAGAATATGAAATTTGGCATCGTCGACATGATTATTGGCTTCTATCTGGTATCGTTAAACATGGTTATGGACGTTGGCAAGACATTCAAAATGATCCAAATTTCATGATAATCAATGAACCTTTTAAAATGGATGTTGGTAAAGGAAACTTTTTAGAAATTAAGAACAAGTTTCTTGCTCGACGATTCAAGTTACTTGAACAAGCGCTGGTAATTGAGGAGCAATTGCGACGAGCTGCTTATCTGAATTTAATTCAAGATCCAACCCACCCAGTGATGGCATTGAATTCCCGATTCGCCGAGATGGAGTGTTTGGCTGAATCGCATTCACATCTTTCCAAAGAATCTCATTCTGGTAATAAACCAGCGAATGCAGTTCTACATAAAGTCCTTAATCAACTGGAGGAACTTTTAAGTGATATGAAATCGGATGTTTCTCGTTTACCTGCAACAATTGCTCGAATACCTCCTGTAGCACAGAGACTTCAAATGTCCGAGCGAGGCATTTTATCCCGATTAACTGGACAACCCCAACAATTACAACAACCACAACAACTACAACAACAACCTCAAATTTTTATCAATTCCGGTGGTGGAGATCAACATCAACAATAACAATAGTAACAATAGTAACACTAAAAATAACAACAACAACAACCTTAAGAATAATAATAATAATGAATGAAATGAAAATCAATCTGAAAAGATTATTATTATTAATCAACTTAATTCTAAACTAAAGAAAATAATATTAACTGCATGTTAATTGGTCATTATTATTGATGATTATAGTTAACTGATTCTTTGTCAAATCTACTCATTCACAATCTTTTCACACTTCCATTGATACAAAATCCTATCAATCTGATTTGTTCATTTTCACATTTTTATCCATTCAAATTCCTAATCACAAACAAAACCTCATGTATGATTATTTCCTATGACAGTTTACATAAAACTCATCATAAATGTCATTATACCAAGTATTTGACTTGATCATTCGATAATTTACAAAAAAAAAATGAATCAATAAATTCAATTAATTATCAACAACAAAAATTGAAATTTTATTTTCATGAAAAAGTTTTTAATTACACGTTAATCATACTCACCCCTTTCAAGAATTGTTTCAACAATTACAATCCAAGAGTAAAGTTAAAATTCAGATTGAGATTAATTATAAATTCAGAAAGAAATAGATTGTTAATCAAATTGATTTTCATTTGATAGTAAAAAGTGAATTTAATTTCATCAAGTTTATCATCTTTGTTTGATTAGTATAATTTTTGATTATCTGGTTTGTTTAATTAATTAGCAGTGAGTAGTAAGTGAGATGCTGAGGGTTGATTAGTAGTTTGATGTTTACCATTAGTTAATTGTTGATTATGTTTAGTGATTATGTTTGATGGGTAACTCCGAGGATGATTGATGTTAAATTCACGATCAATTGTTGGACATAAATCATTTAATCGTTGAATATAATTGAAATTAACTGGAATATTGACCGGATGTAGGACAGAGTAAAGGTCATCTATTTCCGGATTGGTAAAGTAATGAGCTATTAACTGAGGGTTAATTGTCAAGGGAATGTAAAAATTACCATTGGGATGTAAAGCAAATGCTGGTAAACTGGTGATGACCTTTTCTTTATATTTGAATACTTTACTTATATTGTGAAGGTTAATTAAACAGGGCGATGATAGACCGGGTTGATGAGGATGATTCCATCCTGATGATGATAAAGGTAACGGTTTAATTTCATCTGATTTGTGGTCGACAATGTTAGAGATCAAATTGTTTCGAGCCTCGGTAGTTGTTGTGGTTGTTGTTGAGAGTGATGTTGATTGAAATGATGAGGATCCAGGGCTATTGTTGATTTGCTGAGTATTTAAATCAACTGATGATGATAAACATGATCTTTTGAATTCTTGTTTCATATCTAATTGAAATCTCTCTTTGATTCCTTTCTTATAGAAACGATATTCCGATGAAGGTGAAACAGAATTTGATCTGATTAGATTACCTTTAGATTCAGATGATTTAACAATTAAACCAGAAATTACTGAATTGACACACTTTTTATCGTCTACTATGGATGAAGATGAAGAGGATGAGGAAGAGGACGAGGAAGAGGAGGAGGAAGAAGAAGAAGATGATGATGATGATAAAGAAGACGATGAGGAGAAAGAGGCTGATAATGGTGAGGAAATGACAGTCGGTGCTAATACTGTCACCTCAGGCTCAGATTCCCCACCAATAGTTGTCATCTCATTTTTCAAGATGTCTCTCAATCTACTTGGTTCATTCTTACCATTTACTTTGACCTCCCCACCGCTGCGGATGACACTTTCCCCGCTGGTACCTTCACTTTTACTCAGGTAACTTTGTTCATTTGTTTCGATCTCCATGTTTTCAGAGGTATTCAATTTGAGACCCATTGATGGCGATGATGAGGTTACTTTGCAAATCGGTTGTGTGAGTGCAGCTCGAGGTTTAATTTCCGATAGAATTGATGAAATCGAAGCTGATCTTTCACGATTGTCCCCTATTCGACTCCGATGGTTTGAAACAATCGTTGACACAACGGGAACTGAGGTAGATGAACATTTAGGATAAATAACCGATGTCGATGCCGATGGTAATTGTTGATGATGATGATGGTGATGGTGATGATGGTTGACCAATTTATTGGTACCAGAAATGACAGGTTCACCTGTGGTAGTAGTAGAAGCTGAATAAGATGAGGAAAAAGATGATGATGATGATGACGAAGATGAAGATGAAGAAGACGATGAAGATGAGGATAAAGAGGATGAAGGGGAAACGGAAAGAGGCATAATTTTGGTCAAATGTTCGCGAAGATGATTAACCAAACTCAGACATAAAGGGTCACTTGGAATGTGTCCATTAACCTCGACCAGAAATCGCATCACCTCCGAAATTGATTCTCGAAATCCTTGACGAAACTCTTCCCTTCTCTCTTCTTCGGCACATCGAAGGTCACATTTAGCACTTTCGACACAATTAACTTTATTATGAGCCTCCAGATACTTTATATGTTTAATGGCCATCTCGATGATCTCTGTCTTCTCGATTCGGCCTCGTCCCTAATGGGGATTGGATTAACATCGGTTAATGGATTAGGTGTCAAAATTTTGTCTCTCTCAACATCAAAAGGACAATTGAGAATACTAAGAAACTTAGTATAACTTTTTTTTAAATGTTTCGAACTTTTTTTCTTTTCTTTTGCTCGATTTTTGTACACATTCGTGTTTATAAACACATTATCACGACAAACAATTAATTTTTATTATCTCATATCACGATAATTGTGTAATCAGAGAGTTAATTGTTTGGTTTTTTATTTTGATTAGTTGATTTTTCCCCAGAGGAAACGAGAAGCAAGTTCAAACACTACGGGATAGAAAAGTAAAATAATCATTCCGAAAAAAAAGTGATGCAAACAATTTGGAAACAATTAAGAGAAGGGAAATTAAATTAGAGAGAAAAACAGAGTAATTTAATTTAATTCACTTTCAACAATCGGTTAATTTAATTGTAATCGAAAATTTTATCATAATTGTAACTAATTAACGGCTTAAAATTTACTAATATCATTGATTGTTTGATTTGTTTACTTTCTCTCTCTATGGTTTGATTGCAGTTACATTTGATTGTGAACCAAATCAATTTGACTCGAAAGTGATTAAATTAAATTAACTGCGAGGGATCAAGGGCAAGATAATAATGAGCAAATTGTAAGAACCTTTTGCTTTTTCCCAGGTAATTGATTAAATTGTAACAATTTAATTTACTCTCCTATTAGCTGATTAATCACTAATTGCCAATCAACACTTTAATTAACAGTAATTTTTGGCACAATTCATTTTTTAATCAAATTTCAGTAATAAGAGGATTGATTTTATCACTTAATTGTTTGAGAATGTTAATTTTTACTGTAAGATAATTGAAAATTGATTAATATTTGGATAAGATGACATCATAATTAAGGGAAAAAGTTAATAGCAATTTAAATTGCGAAACTGTAAGAAATGATTAGAGAAGCAAATTAAGATTTATAATTGTTGTCAGGGTTTAAGGTGATTAACAATTAACAACTAATTAATCAACATTTAGATTTAAATTCTATTCATGATTAGATTTTGTTTGCAATTTAAAAAAAAAGTTGTAACATTTAACTTAATTGTTTTGAAGAAATGGTGATTAAAGCAAAGGAATTGGAAAAACAATTTAATTGATCGATGGTCTCTGGGAATATCAATTAACAATTAAATGTGTCAATTTTTTAAAATTTGATTAAACGTTTGCAAGGTTAATGAACAATTAAACAAACGTGGAGCAATTAAAACGAGGATAGACAACAATCAACAACAATTAGATAATTTTTTGGATTAACAAGCAATTGTAAGGAATAATCAAAAATGCATTAGGGAAGCAATTAACTAATTAAACAACAAAAGGATGCAAAAAAAAATTAGGGAGATTGTGTTTATATATTTGATTGTGTTAATTAATAAAATATAATACAACTAATTGTTTACTATTAGAATTGAATTAAAATTTATTAATCAGCTCACCTTTTTGAAATAACTCGTTGGTATTAATTTACTTAAATCAGCAAGACAATTATTCATCCGATCTCGTCGCCGTTTCTCAATGATACGATGAGATTGAGGATCCTAAATGTTAATCAAGTGATTAATTAGAAAACAAAGAAAATGATTAAAAAAAATAGATTCAAACAATTAATCAAAACAATTAGTAAACAAGATAAAAGTTTTCATGAAAACTAATCAAAAACAATAGAGAGAGAGAGAGAGAGAGAGAAACTATTTATCGTGTTAATCAATCGACAAAGATTATCAACAATCAAATAAACAATTAGATTAATTTTCCACTTGAAATGATGGTGAGGTGTGTGTGAGTATCTTATTAATTGCAATTAATTACAATTCGTTCAGTTAATTAGCGATTTTCTAATTTTAGTAGATTCGCCACTCAACAGATGTCGTTCCAGTCGTTTTTCTATTTACGCCCTCAAGTTTGTTTCTACTGTAAAATGTGATTGTTGATTTTTTGTTTTTCTAGTTAATTTAATTTGTTTTTTCTTCTTCTTTTCATTTGATTATTTTTGTTTTATTTTAATTGTTTGTTAAACATTTGATTGGAAAGAGATAAATTTTTGTTGTGCCTTAGAAAAAAAACTATGAATGGTTTGAAAGAATCAACGATAAAAACAACAACAACTTCTTCCAATGGTGATTCTAGTTTACTCTCTTCATCTAAATTAAATGGATGTGATCATTTACTCATTGAATTGGAATCAAATGATTCCTCTTCCCTTAGCCTTGTTTTCAGGTAAATTGATAATTAAATTGTTTTCTCTCTCCTTTACTTTCTGCTTGGTGGGTAAATTTTATTACTTTTTCAATGTGTCTTGTGCAAAGATTTTCAAAGTAGCTTTTTGTATTAACTTGAAGCTTTCGGAATCTTTCATAAAACGTTGACATTTGAAGATGATTTTCTTTTTTTTTCTTCTCCTTCATTATTGATAATGTTGACGTTTTCTCTTTTATTAACTAGTAGTTTTAATCTAAATCCTTTTCTCTTTCTCATTATCTCATGATTATAATTACACTGAACAGTAACAGAACCGTTGGTGATCAATATGATGATTTTATGGATAAATTGGATGCTAGAATTAAAAGCCATGACAAAGACATTGAACGAATGTGTAATGCTAATTATCAAGATTTTGTTGATTGTATCCATGATCTTCTCCAGGTTCGCCCTAAAGCTGATCAATTACGACAAGAGATTATCGATATTAATCAAGATATACAAAAATCAGCTGAAAATGTTCAACGTAAAGCTGAAGAGTTAATAAGACACCGGAAGATTGTTTGTAACATAGAAACAGCCATTGAATATCTTAGTGTTTGTTTACCAGTATTGAAAACTTACACCAAATTAACTTCCCAAATGGATGCAACTCGTTACTATCCTGCTTTAAAAACTTTAGAACAATTGGAAACCAATTATTTACCTCGAGTGGCCAATTACCGTTTCGCTCAAGCCATGAGGGATAAAATACCACAGATACGAGAAGAAATCAAGGAGGCATCGATGTCCGATTTAAAAGATTTCCTGGAAAATGTGAGAAAAAATTCCTCCAAAATTGGTGAAATCGCCATGAAAAATGCTGCTCATCAACAGAATATTGAAGATTCTCTTTTCAATACTAACGATGATCCATCCAAAGTTAACACCTTGGAACTTGAAAATAGTAACAATAAGAATACTACAATTATCTCAATCAATTCATCAATGGACGAGATTGGAACCAATGTAAATAAAACTCCAGTTTCGAACAAAATTTCAACCAATTTGGGTACACCAAGGAAAAAGAAATTAGCACCTAAACCACCACCTCTATCTTCATCAATGGAAGATATTCTTGATCAAATTAACGATACCGATTCAGATTTTGATGTAAATGCAATTGCCGAAGATGAACTTAAAGGGACAGATATTATCGACTTTTCACCGGTTTACCGATGTTTACACATTTTTGGCTGTCTTGGTGCATCCGAACTTTTTGAAACATATTATCGGCAACAACGGCAACATCAGGCCAAACTTGTCCTTCAATCACCGACAAATATGCACGAAAATATTGAAGGTTACAAGAATTACTTTTGCGGAGTTGTTGGATTTTTCGTCATCGAGAATCACATTTATAATACCGCTTCTGGTTTGGTGACCAAAAGTTATCTTAACGAGGTTTGGGAAAACGCTTTACAATCAGTGATTGCCGCTCTTCGAACTTATTCCTCCTATTGTACCGATGAGGTTTTGATGCTTCAGATCAAACAGATAATCATATTATTTAGTCAAACTCTTCAAAGTTATGGTTATACTGTTAACCCACTTTTTAACCTTCTCATTGAGATTCGTGATCAATACAATGAGATTCTAATGAAACAATGGTGCTCAATTTTTCGTTCTATTTTTGATTCCGACAATTATAATCCATTACAAGTGAATAGTTCAATTCAATTAAGTGAAATTCTGGCTGATTTTCCTTACTTTGAGAGCGAAATTATTTCCATTGGACCAAAAGGAAGCGATTTTCCGAAAAAGTTTCCTTTCTCTTCATTCGTGCCTAAAGTTTTCGTCCAAGTGAAACGTTTCATTAACGCTTGTCGACAATTTTCCCAAGATTTGAATATCAGCTCAACCGAAATTGAAGATATGGTTCGAAAATCGACCAACTTATTACTAACTCGAACCCTTTCAGGTTGTCTTTCTCTTCTAATCAAAAAACCAGGTCTTGGTCTTCTACAATTAATCCAAATAGCAATCAACACTAATTATCTTGAATCATCAATGTGTCATCTTGAAGAGTACATCTCACAGCCAGTTATCAATCAGAATTCACAATCATCCTCTCAAAATTTATCATCTTCATCATCGATGGCCAATCTAAGTGAGCTAGTTGGAACCTCTCATCTTGCCAAACTACAAGGAAGTTCAATGTTCAAAGATGCTCGATCCGATGCTGAGTCACAAATCTACTTCTTATTGAATCAAAAGATAGATGAATTTTTTGATATCGCTCATTATGATTGGAGTCTAGTTGAACCATTAGGAGTGGCCTCATCCTACATAACCGATTTGCTCAAATTTTTGACCACAACTTTTCAAGCGCTAACCAATTTACCGGACAAAATTGCACAAACGGCCTGTCATTCGGCCTGTAAACACATGGCCTCATCCCTGATGAACTCTCTCCTTGACGAAGATGTTAAATCAATCTCAATGGGAGCCTTAGAACAATTTAATCTTGACCTACTGCAATGTGAATTTTTCGCCTCCTCTGAGCCCGTTAAAGGATTCGAGGACAATGTTTTACAATTATGTTTCACTGAGTTACGACAATTAGTTGACCTACTGCTTTCCTGGCAATGGTCAACTTATATTGCTGATTATGGTAAACAAGGAAGTAAATATTCACGAGTTAATCCTCAAATTGCTCTTAATTTGTTGGAAAAAATTAAAGAAACCGATGGGAATCGTAACATATTCACTTCATTCAAGAAAAATGAGAGAGACAAGAAAAAATTGGTCGACACTGTAATCAAACAACTTAAACAGATAATCGCAATTAACAATTCTAATTAAACCCCTTTTTTTATATTAACTAGAAGTCAATTAATCAACAACAAAATTCAACCTATGGACCAAATTTAACGCAACAACTTAATCAACTTCATCTACCAACAAAACAAAGTCAACAATTAACCAGATTCACAGCCTTATCATTGATAAATATTCATATATTTAAATTAACCCAGCGAACAATTCAATCAACAATTAGAAATAATTAGCTTTATATTTTTGTTTTCATCAATCAAATTATTCCAAAGTCACAAAATTAACCCTTTACAATTAAAATCCTTTAGAGAGCTGAAATCCTCGACAATCAACTAACCATCATCATCTTCATAATTTACATCTCTATTAACTGTGATATAATATTAACCACTGATGATTTACTAATCGACTTAGCAATGACCAATATTTTACATTGATGATTTAGTTAATTTCCTCCCCACCAAGATAAAATTAATTGATTGTGATTAGACCGACATCACCATCATTAATGGATCAATTTAATTGTTTGTACAGCAAAAAAAATGCATCATTTTTTTTATAATCAGAAGCTCAGAAATTAATATATTAAATTACTAATTAACAAATTACTTCACAGTCAAACATAATCGAGCTTAAATCCAATTAACTAATCAATACAATTTACGAAGAGGAAACAAAATCCATCTAATATTTAAATCAATCAAATTGTATCAATTGAAATGAGCATGATAATCATCATCTTGATTATAATCAAAAAAAAAAGTTATAATTTCCAAATCTAATTGTTTTAGTTAATCAACAATTCACTGTAATCAATTAAATGCAAACTTTTTCCCCGTTGAAACAATTTAATCATTTTATTGATTTTCACTTGACAACATCCAAATGATTCAACTAATCAAGTAACGGTGATTTAATTATAACTAAACCAGTTAACTATCAATAAGAGTAAAGTGTAAAGATTAATTGTAATCAGATTGATCTAATCACAATTTTAATAATAATTAACTTATCCCAGGGAATTATGATTAATTTAATGATGATAACAATTATCATCACACACTCATTGTGATTAAGTTAAATGAGTTTGAGTGAATCAAGGAAACAATCAATTGATTGTTTCGGTTAAATAACATTCATTTTGAGTGAAAAAAAGTGTTAATAGTCAAGGTAATTAGTTAATTACTAAGTTTGTCAACAAGAAAATTAACCAAGTTGATCCACCAAGTAATTAAATCGTTGCCAACTTATCATAATACTAATATAGCAATTAAATCTGTATTTAATTTGTCTTCTAAATGATAAACAATTAAGTATATAAACTAACAACGTCAATCAACTTTACAATTGATAAACAATCAAAAAGATATAATAATTAACTGTATTTGCAACCACCACCATTGGTGATTAATTGAAACAATTAACCTGCTTGGAATGGTAAAAACAAATGAATTAAAGATAACAATTAACGAGCCCAATACAATTGACTAAATGATTAAATCCTTCTGAAAATTAATCAACAACCACAAGCAAGATAATTAAAGGTTAATTGTTGAGGTTTGAAAATTAATTTCCAGATTCGGGTAAGTACATAGCCGATACATAATGTATTTAATTAACTGATTGTTAGATGATAATTAAATTGTTCACTTGATTACCTGTTATCTATAAATAGATCAAGTGATTGGGATTTCGTTAATTATGATTATCATCAAGTTGTGTTCACTTGAAATTAAATCAAACATTCAACCAATTAACTAACATGAAAATATTAGTAAATGAAACAGGTCAAATTTAATTAGTCTAATTGTTGGTTATTATTAAATTTAATGATCAAAATTGTGGTGGAAAATATCAACATAGGATTGACCTTGAATCTGACAATATATTGTGACAATTAACTGGAAACAATCAAATTAAATGTCCTAATGAAAGTTTTCATTGATTGTAACCCAAATGGTTTTAACAATTAACCATTAACAATATATATTACATAGTTGATCAATGTAATTGTAATAATTAATTGATTAATTGGTTGATTTATTCAAAAATTACACGAATTTGTTTAAACTGAATTAAATTTTCGTGCTCCCTATTGACTAATTAACTTGTGATAGTTAATTGTAAGTTAAGATAATCAGACAAGATCAATAGTCCAGGAATGATAATAATAATAATATATTAATCTAATCTGACAATCAATTTTGATTGTGAGTTTTATTAATAACATCGCGTGATGGTATTAATTCAGGCAAACAATTAACAAGGAGAGACGATAATTACGGTTAATTGTGATTAAACATCCAATAAGTGGCCATCAGAATCTAGAATATTCCTTAATTTTGTTGATTATAAAGATTTAATTGATTATAACCTGAGTGATTTATGATTAACTAAATTGCTCAATCATTTAATTAATAAACTTGGTATACATAATGATTACTTTGATTGTAAGTAACTTAAAACTCAATCAGTTGATTGTTAGTGTATTTCAGTTTGTGAGACATTTAATTTTCACTTAATCAGTTAATTGTTCACAAATCTTTCAAGGTCACATAAATGATAACTGTAAAAATATCAACCATATGATCAATCTGATTGTCATTAAGAACTAAATAGAAAAGTAAAATTCAAATCAAACAATTAACAGTTAATTGTCAATCTTCAATTGAGAATCTTCAATGAAAATATTGTATCAACAATCATAAAAGTGTACAATCAGAGACTAATTAACGAGAAAGACAATCAACAATTTAGATAATCATCATCTTTCAGCAATCTTGATTTTCTGCTATTTTTTGGTAAACAACAATTAGTTAATCACAATATAATAACATTATTATAAATCCGGCATTAACTGGGTTTCTAATCTTTAAAGCTTAATTGTGATCAAGAATTAATTTTCATTATTATTAATCAATTGGTTTTCCATCAATTGAATGTGACTTTTGATTCTTCCGGGCAATCAAATCTCATCATGATCAACAGCAACTTTAATCACATTTATCAAACAATCTAAATACTGATATAAACAAATTCACCTTAATTGTGATTAAAGCCTTGTGATTAAGCTTCAATTAGGAAAAGAATCAATTTAATAATCAATCGACACGTGGTCACGTTTTTAGTTTATTCCCAATTTAAGATCCACACACTGGATATCTCCATGTGTGTGGATCCATCACATTACCTCCTTAAATTGTTGACAATCAACACGCGAGTGAACAACATGAAACAACAGCAATTAGAATGACAATTTCCAATTAGAGTAATTAATTGATCCAATTGAGAAGAAGAAGAAAAAAACTAAACTTTTGCCATTTAAAATTCAATTTCAATTCCAAATTGACATCAATGCAATTTCAGATTTTCTATTCATTAAATTAAATGTGATTCCATTTTTTTTTAATTTCTTCGACTTTTGTTTTGTTTCATTTCTAATTAATATTTTCTATGGTATTTTTACTTTTCGCATTTCAGAGTATTCGAAATGTTCAAATGTTCATGATGAGAATCTTTCTCTCGGTGTATCTTATAAGTTGTCACCTTGTGATTTCTTGAGATGTAAATGTAATATATTAATAACTGGAAGTTTAAAATTGTCCTTGATTAATTGTATTCTTAGTTAATTGTTGTTGTTTATCAATTGATTAACCGGTTTCAAGGCCCATCGTCATCGTCATATTCATCATATGGTCTGAGTTTACGTTCTCAGATTCTGGTTGATTAATTGATAATATTTCTAATCAATGGGATAACTTTTGTATTGAACAATTCACTGGTTTTATTAAGAGTATGGGTTATGTTTGAAGCTCTCCAATCAAAGTACATGATGTTGGTGGTAATTGTCAACAATCAAGGAGGAAACACTCAACTAAAAAAAAAAGAAAACCTTTGTATCAACAACCTCAAGTTGATTACTAGAGAGAGAGAGAGAGAGAGAGAGAGAGAGAGAGAGAGAGAGAGAGAGAGATCAACAATTAGCTGATTAGAGATGATCATCTCGAGTTAGCAGTTGGACTAAATGATGAATTAGTGACAATTGAAACAAAAGAGGGAAAAACACCAGAATCGAGAGAGCGAGAGAGAGAAATCGATAAAATCTTCAAATACAACGAAGGAAAAATCTACTATTGAGTTACACTAAAGTGTCTCTGTGGAGAAACACGAGCACACACCCAATGCCACGTACAAACAAACCGAAAAGTCCCTAAGTCATTACAATGATAAACTCGAAATCAATTCTGTACTCGAAATTGGATTGACAATCGATTGACTAATAAGATTTCATGACCTGTTGTTAATCAACAGTTTTCTATGAGTAAAAAAATTGAAATGTTCAAATGGTCAACTTACTCGGACAGTCTTCTTAGATGCACCATCTTTACTATCTTCATTTTCATGGATCAAGTGATTTGTCCTCAGGTCATTTTGATTGTAAGGTGAATGATTCTGAATTGTTGTCGGTGAAAAGGTTTCACTTGCAGTCTGGAAAGTAAGATTCCTATGAAATAAATCCATCGACAGGTAAACAAAATGATAAAAAGAAGATTGAATTGGAAGATAGAAAAGAAGATGATGAAGATGAGTGATTGAGAGAGAAAAAGGAAGATGATTTATTTGATTAAAATTGGAAATTTTTAATTAGTCTTCTTTTCAGTTGATTGTCAACATTGTTTTTCTCTGATGGAGCAAATATTACAATTAAAAAAAGAGAGAGAAAATTGATCATTTAAAATCAGTTGAATAGGAAATCAAAACTAATTTCAATTTAAATATTAGAGAAAAAATTAACTAACAATTTAAATTGTAAATCAATACAATTAAATCCGATGTCAATTCAAGTCTATTGTATCAAACTCTTAATGAAAATTTGAGTTTTTGATTGATGTAAAAAAAGAAACTGTAACAAATAAGTTAATTGTAGTTAATTGTGTTGATTAAAAGGTAATCATCAATATAATTAATATAATAATTAAATTCAATCAAATTAACTACTCACTCAGTAGATATTTTTATTTTCATGTATTATAGTTAGACCTTGGTTATGGTGAGATTTTTGATTAAACTGAAAAAAAGTAATTAACAAACTGTTTTAGACTTAATTGTCAACAAAGTGAATTACTTTTAATCAATTGAATTTATACTGATTATTAATTAACAGACAAATTAAATTAACGTACCCATTAAGATGATGAAAATTATGAAACTCAGTTGGCCAAATATCATGCATTGTTTTTAACTATTAATATTTAAACAATTAGTTAATTGTTACACTTTAAATAAATGTAAATAAGATGATTAAAACAATTTTCTTGATGGATGAATTAAAATAAATTGATCACAATAGTTGATGGTTAAAGTTGATGTTAATTGGAAACAAATTGTTGAATGAATAATAAAAAAAACTATGAATTAAATTTTCACGTTGTTGTTAACAGTTGATTAATGAGTTAATTATCTGATGGATTTAATTAGTTCAGTTTGAAAGAGAGTGAGAGAGAGAGAGAGAATGAGTGAGTGAGTCAACTACACACACACACGTAATTATTGAGAATTGATAACAATTAACAAATTAACGGTAAAAATTAAGACTGAAAAAAAGTGAAAGTAACAATTGATGTTATTGGATTGATAATGATTACGGGTGTTGATTGTGATGGAGAAACAGTTTAGTAAAAGTTAATTGTTATGAACCAAAGTAATCAGATTAATTCGGGCTGATTAAAATTCACTGATGTTGATGTTTCCTTGAAATAAGGTTGAATACAAGGTAAGAAAATGGGTTAAGAGGATTTTCTGTTTTTTTTTGTGTCTTTTTGCTCCTCGTTTTATAAGCTCGATATACGTTTTATATGGTAGATAAGGGACAACGTGATGAACACACAGGTATTAGGGGAGGAGGAGGATGAAAATGATGATATTGAGATGATGAGACAAAGAAAGATAAGTAAGAAGAGAGAGAGAGAGAAAGAAAGAGAAAGAGAAAGAGGAAGATGATAAACTTGAAGTAGGCTGGATGAAAACAGAGACGCAAATGGATTTGGTTTAGATTATGATGAATATAATCAGAGATTTATCACGTTTTTATCATCATTTCTCTCTTTCTTTTTCTCTTTCTTTATCGTTCTTATCTTCCAATTTATCATCACTTCTTTCTTTCTCTCTTTGGATACTAGAATTTCTTTCGTTCTTTTTCAGGTTACCTGTTCCATGTTGCTGATCGAGACAACTACAGGTACTCTCAGAACCGATTCACTCGAAATTAACTTAAGTTCAGTGAACAATTAAAATGGTTTCTGCTTATTCCGATTGTACAATTTGTCTTTCTTCATTAGTTTGTCACTTTATTTTTCAAGTCATTCCAAATGATCATGATCTTGGCATTTATTTATTGCGATCACTAGTTAACTAGATATTAAATTTCGAATACAAGAATAATGAATCACCGATAAAACTAATTAGTTTTTATAATTATTTTTAATTTTAGATCGGCTTTTTTTTCACATGGAAATTATGATGAATCAAATTTGGAATTGAAACTTGGACTTTTGTATGGAGTTCGAGATAAAGAAAGGAAGTGAAAACCTTTACCCTTTAAACCAGTTCGACCGAATGGATTTCGAGGTATCCAGCGTCTAAAGAATAAACTAAATTGGTACAACCATCTTTCTTAATCCATGAAGTACGATCGATTGTTATTCCAGCAGGATTGGTTGATACACTGTTCCAGTTTAAAACGGGTAACTTTGAGGTCACTTGTTCAATATTATATTCTCGAAGGAAAAGTATATCTTCATCGACATCCGATTGAAAGTTTGCTCCAAAGTCCATTTTTTGTTTGGTATAAGCGACTGGATCATAGTCAATCCACATAACCTCCCATGGAACATATTTATCTGGAACTGGAATCCGTTGAACTCGAGTACCAGGATATGGACTTTGTCGAGATAAAATATGATGAAAAGGTTTTCCTGTTACTCCTGACGACGAGGATGTTGTTCCATAGGCTTCGGAATCAAGGTTGCCGAATTTAAGAGATGAAATATGTTTTATATTCTCAAGATAAACATGAGAAAGGGTCATCATCCGTTCCAATTCTGAGACTCGAGTGTTGATCTTTTTCATTAACCTTTTCTCATATTCAATCTCTTCAGCTAAAGATTGAACACCTTCCCATTGTTTCTTCAGAATATATTTCCATGTTTCGATTGCATTCAAAGGTCAAAAGCCATCGGGACTATACAGAGTTTAATGCTCAGTACAACAAGTCGATAAAAATCAGAATAATCATCAGTTACCAAACCTAACGAGATTAAGGTTAATAGAAAATTACATTTTCCTTTCGATTTTTGCCGATCGGCAAAATCGTTCGAACGATATTGGAGCTACCATAATATCAATATTCTAAGCGATTTCCTGGACTTATGGGCCAGTATGACCTTAGAAAGAACAATAATAACAATCCGCTGTCAACAATCTTGGCCTTATATCAAAAACCGAATCTGTACAAAGAGTCGAAAGATCGAAAATTGGGAGAATTCGAATCATAAGAACTCATTAGTTTCACCAAACGATATTCTCCAGAGATTAACTCATGAGGCTCATTTAGGAATTCATATCTTACCAAATATATTTCAGAACTTTTTTCTAGAAAATTTCAATTTAGTTCGAATGTTTTATTTAAACTTATCATGACTTTTTCTATTCAATTAATAATAGAATCAAGTTTTCTAATCAACATGTGATTCTGATTATAAATCTATGGACATTTCCAAATTAATCACAATAATAATAAGATGACAATTGTTATCAGCCTTTTAGAATTAATTTAAATTAATGTATGATATAAATTTCTAATCAATTAGATATATAATTTAAATACAATAGATTCAATTGTAATATTAGATCACCAGAAAGACGATGGCGGAAAATTTGTTAATTTAAGTTAATCAAAGTAATAATTGTTCATTATTTATTTATACATTTAATATTTGTTCATGTTTAGTTTATCAATCAATAACTAATTAGTGAATATCTCAATTGTTTCCCAGCGGATTTTAATTACTCTTTCAGTGATTATATTTTCTCAACATTTTAGCGATCGGACCATTAACGTAAGGTCCAGTCCTTTTGGACATGAAATAGTCCAAATGGTCAAAGGTTTTATCGTCAATCGTATGTTCAATGATCTCAGGCACTGTAAATATAAAGAAATCAAAGTGAATTAGATTAAATTGTTATCAGTTTACAATTAAAATCAAAAAGTGGTAAACAAAAGCGATTCAAAGTTTGATTGTTTCAAAAAGTTTCATGATCTTGATTGTTTTCAAATCTTCATAACAATTAACACCCTGATTGTTTGATTACTACTTTACTCTCATGATTAACTTCACCGATATTGAGCTAATGTTGCACTGAGCCAATGAACCTTGAACTAACCAAGTTAATCACAATCTAACAATCAATTTAGATATAACTATTAATACTAATATCAACAGTTAACAATTCTTACCAGAGGTTAGTAGGGATTTGAGAATTGCAATATCTTTCTGGTCAGCTGAATGGTCACCGATTGAGGAAACAATATACATATCATCTGATTGAACTTTACTTAGATTGTAAACTGGTGGTGAGGTGGAATTATATTTGATTAGATTGTCCAATGATCCGTAGTCAAATTTGGCGAAACTTTTGTTGACCATTACTTGTAATAGATGAAGGATATTCCAACATGATGTTCCAGAGGGAAGGTGAGAGATGATAACGTTAACCCGATCAGGATCGACCTGAGCTTTGTTCATGCTCAAGAGATCGTAGGTGATGAAATTACAGATCAATTTGAATAAATAGCTTTCGTTACATTTTTGTAGAAAAGTTTCTTGCATGAAACCAAAACATTCACCACCTCGAGATTTGATATAGCTCATTACAAGTGGAGTTTCGAGAATGATCTGATAAGACAGTCCGTGGTAATTATCAAGTCGAACTGCTGGAGCAATGCTGATGATTGGGACAACTTTCGATGAATAATTTGGTCGATCGGCTAGTAAGGCGTAAATTGTTGTTCCACCTTGTGAATAGCCGATGTATCCAATTGAAGCTGTAAATTGTTTCAGATGAAAATAGTTCAGAAATTGAGCTGAAAAGTTAAAGATTTTGATATTTTCTGGATAAACTCACGTTCACCGGTAATTTTAATCATGTAATCGATTGTGGTTGGTAAATCGTACAAAGCAATCTCATCGAAAGTGAACTCCCAATAAGATTTATCTATTAGAGATCAATAAGAAAGTTCATTTTGTTCCTGAACCAATTATTTCAGAACTTTCTTAGAAAATGGGACTTACCTGTATCCGGATCGAGAGTTGTATGATTACGAGAGTATAAGTTTCCTCTAGGATGGAACAGCCAAACATCATATCCCAAATTAGCAAGAACGAAGCCTAAATTGTTAAAATCTGAAGTGAAATCCATATAATCAACTTGATCTCGATTAGCGAGCATAGTTTCATTCAAATGTCCACCCGGTGAGTTTGTTAAAAACTCTGATCCTGAACATAAAAGTCCACACTGAATAAGAATCGGTTTCTGAGCGATTTTAAAATATTTCTTAGCCAATGGATTGATAATCCGGTGAATTCCCAAAATATATCCATCCGATGTGACCAATTGGTGAGGCTCATGGATGAAACCCCTGGAAGTAACAAGCTCAGGTATCATGCGAGATTGATCTGGATCTGGAATGGCTAAAGTGTCAACAGAATAAAATTGGAAAGTTGTGAAAATAAACAAAAGGGTAAAACAGTAGGACTTCATGATAACTCAAATTCTAGATAAATACTGATAGGTAATCGATGAAAGTTTATGATGGTGAGTGTTAATTGATCAAATTAACTCTTATTATCCACAGATTCCCATAGGAAATTGAGCTTAACTATTTTAGGTTTTATAATATATATCAACTTTTTTTACCACCTCCTTTGCACCGACAGATATCAGCAGATTAGAGACAACAATCAACAGGATCAACGCCACTCCACATTCAATTAAACACAAACAACAAATAAATTTACAGTTTCTCGATACCAAACAGCAAAGAGATGAGCGGTAATTAGTTAATGATGATCAATTTTCATCGACTTTCATCTTCCATGTTCGAGATAATCTAATATTTCCAATCCTTATCCACTTAAACTTTTTCTTCTTCTTCTCTCTTTATTGATGATCTTTTTCAATGATCACCGCTTCGGCATCGGCTTTAAAGGTAATCGATACCAGCTCAACACTTCAAGGTCTATTTACTATTACCAAATTGACGATGGTGTTTCTATCATATTGATTATCAATTAGGAGAAGAGGAAAAGGTTTGGTCTTTGGATAAAATAACTAAGCAACCGATTGGATATTCAACTCTATGATTAAAAGTATTGAACTGAAAATTGGAATTATTTTAACATATGAAATTGATTTTTAACATCGATTCGAATCTCATTTCAAAATGACCTCAACTTGACGAGTCAGTTGGACATTTGATCATCTCGATTCATTTTCATCATTTCATCTTTGATTCATTTCTTTGTAATCGTATCTTGAAATCTTGTTATTAGTTTTATTTAATTGTTTCTTTTTCTATTTTTGTATTTGGGTACAAAAGTTTAATTTGGTTGGGTTTATCAAAAGGAAACTCACCTGATGATATTTGAAATTCAATGGAAATACAATCAAAGTATTCATATCGAAATGTTCAAATGTTCAAAAGTTCATGATGAGAGTCTTTCTCTCGGTGTATCTTATAAGTTGTCACCTTGTGATTTCTTGAGATGTAAATGTAATATATTAATAACTGCATGTTTAAAATTGTCCTTGATTAATTGTATTCTTAGTTAATTGTTGTTGTTTATCAATTGATTAACCGGTTTCAAGGCTCATCATCATCACCAGTCTGACTTTATGTTCTGAGACTCTGATTGATTAATTGATAATATTTCTAATCGATGGGATAACTTTTGTATTGGACAATTGTAACTGATTTTATCTTCAATCAATTGAATTTATACTGATTATTAATTAACAGACAAATTAAATTAACGTACCCATTAAGATGATGAAAATTATGAAACTCAGTTGGCCAAATATCATGCATTGTTTTTAACTATTAATATTTAAACAATTAGTTAATTGTTACACTTTAAATAAATGTAAATAAGATGATTAAAACAATTTTCTTGATGGATGAATTAAAATAAATTGATCACAATAGTTGATGGTTAAAGTTGATGTTAATTGGAAACAAATTGTTGAATAAATAGTAAAAAAAACTATGAATTAAAGTTTCACGTTGTTGTTAACAGTTGATTAATGAGTTAATTATCTGATGGATTTAATTAGTTCAGTGTGAATGAGAGTGAGAGGGGGAGATTATCTGAGTGAGCGATTGAAATTAATGAGAAAAAAGTTATATAAGTTTTGTGTCTTAACAATTTATTGCAATATTAATGGTTAATTGACAAGAATTGGAATTAATCAACAAAATATTATGGAGGGAATTGGATGGTGATTGATTTCAAAAACAATAATAGTAATTATAATAATAATAATAGGTTATGATTGCAATTAATTTCCACAATTAACATTGATTTTCAGATGATTTGTTTTACATGGAAATGGTGGTGAATGATTTTAGTTTAAATGATCAGTTTCCAAAGAGTAATTCTTTGAATAACTAATGTTGATGATTTCAGATTCCAAGGTAATAGAGTCAACAGTCAATTCGGAAAGTTGAACAATTTACAGTTTACAATAACAATTAATTGTATTATTATGAATTATCACAGATACGAGATAATAATTAACAATATTGAGAATAAAGGCCAACTAATTTTCTTTCTCCATAAGAATAGATAACGTTAATGGTAAATAAATTAGTCAAGAATTAATCATAATCATGATAATAATAATGGTTCCGACTCATTATTTATCAAGGAAATTAAAGATTCATCGTTGTCATGTTGATTTTCTGGTGTTTTTTTGGTACTTTTTTTGATAGTTTTTTGGTGAACGAGAAGTAATTTTCAAGGTTATTGGTGAATGAATGTGATGAATAATTTAAATGATTGTTGCTTGTAATTTGTTGGTTACTGATTGTAAGATTGTTGATTGACCAGAGGGCAGTTTAAGGAAAACATCTTCTGTAATGATTCTCCAATTTAATGAAGTCGTCATCTTTTTATCCAGATCATCACTTCCAGAATAGTGAACATGAATTAGAACCAATTCTTTCCAGGCCATGTCCGTGTTGAACGGATCATCCATGTAGGTTGCATCGTTTTTGGTAAATTTCATTGCCACGATTTCCTCTGATTCGGAGCTTTTAATATTAGTATTTGGTAAAGCACAATTGGTGAAAAACGCTTCAACCGATTTATCATCTGCCCATGATTGGTCTTCAGGTACATTGAATAATCTTTGTAACTCAGAATATAAATGATCACCGGGAACAAAACGCTAAGAAAAAGGTCAAAATAAAAGTAAATTAAACAACTAATATACAAAACAATATCCATGATTCAAGAGATTTACTTACATTTGGAAGTGAAATCTGATCCCATCGAGGTAAATTTTTCTCGACGACAAATTCAAACAATTTACCAGTGGAAACAATTCTTGATGTTCGCCAACGAGTTATAACAAACATCACATAATGATTTGGACCCCAACGAGGAAGTGAACCTTTACCCTTTAAACCAGTTCGACCGAATGGATTTCGAGGTATTCCAGCGTCTAAAGAATAAACTAAATTGGTACAACCATCTTTCTTAATCCACGAGGTACGATCGATTGTTATTCCAGCAGGATTGGTTGATACACTGTTCCAGTTTAAAACGGGCAATTTTGAGGTCACTTGTTCAATATTATATTCTCGAAGGAAAAGTATATCTTCATCGACATCCGATTGAAAGTTTGCTCCAAAGTCCATTTTTTGTTTGGTATAAGCGACTGGATCATAGTCAATCCACATAACCTCCCATGGAACATATTTATCTGGAACTGGAATCCGTTGAACTCGAGTACCAGGATATGGACTTTGTCGAGATAAAATATGATGAAAAGGTTTTCCTGTTACACCTGACGACGAGGATGTTGTTCCATAGGCTTCGGAATCAAGGTTACCGAATTTAAGAGATGAAATATGTTTTATATTCTCAAGATAAACATGAGAAAGGGTCATCATCCGTTCCAATTCTGAGACTCGAGTGTTGATCTTTTTCATTAACCTTTTCTCATATTCAATCTCTTCAGCTAAAGATTGAACACCTTCCCATTGTTTCTTCAGGATATCACGTTCTTCTTGGACCTTTTCCTGCCTTGAGGCATATTGACGAGCTAAATGTCTCCAAAAGTTATAATCGTCTTCAGACAATTTCATGTTATACTTTGTTTCTGCTGCTTCACCGAAAGGACCATCAGGTTGGTTTTTACCTTCTCGAGACTTTGACCATTTAAAACAATAATAACAAGATAAAGTCCTAATTAACCATTTAAGTACAAAATAAATGTAACAAAAGATACTCAATGGTGCAGGTAAAGGTAAATGATTGGCAAAATCAATAACCAAAATGTATCGTTGATATTTCCAAATTTGTTCAGTTTTACCTTCCAATCGCGAGGCGGTGGCCGAAAACAAGGCATAAAGTAAGGTCAACATGATAAGTTTCAATAGGATAAAATATTGGATTGCGAAAATGTAAGACCAAAAGTCATCATGAGGACATGGAGTTGGACTTGCGGTGTTATTATCTATAAAATGGTAAAAAAACAGAATAACAATTAGTTGAAATAATGAACGAGAATTAAAAATTAAATGTACATTACATTTTCCAGCATAACAAACAGAGGTATCATCTCGCTGCGAGTTATAAAATGTTTTACATTGGGCATCAGCTGAAAGGTCACCCACAGGAGTTAAGAACAGTGAAAACCAGGCTCGGTGAAATGCTTGTTTACCCACTTCCAGGGAAAGATCAAGATCAGGATAAAGAAGCGCCTGCATAACCACACCACCGCTGACGATGATAACAATTGCCATTCTCATAAAATTAAGGAAATCGACTCCAATCATTAATCGTAAACGATATAAAAGCGGACCCAATGTTGGTGAGATTGGTAAGTAAATTGCAATAAGCCGATAATAAAAGTACAAAAGGGCCACACTTAAAACTACTTTACGACCGTAAGGTGATAGGGTGAGAAATTTAAGATTAAGACCAGCGGTGTAAGTGGAATATATTATGACGAAGATGATGATTAAAAAGATTTCAATACACTTCCAGACCAAAGGTATTGAAGTGTATTTACGATAAAGAACCCAAGTTCGTCTAATGTGTTCGGCAACAATTAACGAGGTCCAAATACAAACAGAATAATCAATTAACTGATTACCACAAGATGGATAGAGAACGGCGATTGAAAATAATGCTAAATACAATATGTAGAAAACTTGAAATGTATAAAATTTGGTTATCGGTGCTGTCCACATGAGTTTGATCATAGTTAATAGAGGTGGTTGTTGACGGATGAAAACTTCACGATCTCGAATCAGTGTGGCATAATCAGCACCTCGAATATTGATGACACCCGAGACAGCTTTACCAGCCGTTTTAGCGGCCATTTGTGCGAGATTATCACCACCACCACCAGAGTTAATCAGTCCACCAGTTTCATCGACTCCTTGATTATCTTGACCATCTCTTTCATCGTCTTCTGGCTCTTCGATTTCATTTCGTGTTGATCGAGGCTTAAATCGGACCCAAATAAACATTGGAAAGATGAGGAAAGCGCATACAACGATTTTGAAACCCTGAGGTAAGGTAAATATGCCCCAGCCCAATTCACGAATTCTGATCTCTCCTTGGAAAGTATCGGTTAACCATTTTTGGCAACACTGATGGGCAAGGAAAATTCTGGTCCTTGCATTTGATGCAATGTCAACAGCGGTTTTGTAATTCCAATCGGGACTTTCTTCTGATAAAACATCAATTGCACGACTTGTCGCATCTTCATAACAGTCATCTAAAACACCGGTTGCCATTTCGGCAAATATTCGCGATTGATTTTTAAGATCGGTTTTTATGTTAGTGTCAACAACGTACGACGATAAACGATCATAAACCATGGATGCAACAAGAGCCAAATGAATTGGTTGATCTGAATGTTTCCAAAGGGTTTTAGCCAGTTTATGACGAGAACTGAATATCGCCCAGAGAGTCAATATGGTGAGTGCTTTTCTTTCAGCTGATGCGGCATTGTAAACATACATGGACATTACATTGTAATAGAGATGGTCAGAATTAACGAAATTATTAAAACCAGTGCAAGTTTCGATTAACCAATTGAGATCAGTATCGATAAAATGTTTCGATGGACGGGAGAGTAGAGAATGACCAAGAACACCTTCCCAACAAACGGTGTGGAAAAAGTCTTCTTGGTAAATGTGCTTGAACAATCGACGAAGACGAGTCGGTGTGATGAATTTATGCAAACGAAAACCATTGGTTAAAAATAGATCTACAAATTCTTCTCGATCAGGACGGAGAAGTGCCGATTGGAAAAGGTCTTTTTGAAGACGAACTACATAAGTTGGATCTCGATGGAGAACTTCAGATGATGCAACATCTGGACAGTTCCAGTCCAAAGTAAGGTACAATTCTTTTAATATTTTATCATCTGAAACGGTTGATCCTTCAATAGTTGATCGTGAGTAATCATGAACTCGATTAGAGCTTCGAGGTTTAGAGGCGAAAAGAGCGCGTAACAAGTAGACGGATAAATTGTCCAATTTACATTCAGAGTAATTGTGCATATTAAGAACAGTTATGAAAGAGAGACTATTCTGCTTTGCGAGTCTAACACATTCCAAAATTCTATCACGGAACAAATTTCGAGTGAGTACATTTTCCCGAAGTTTTGGAAAATAGTGAGCAATTTTGGTGACCAGTTCGGGTTTGAGAAAATTTTCTACATATTCAGGATCCCAAGTTCCCCAAGGACCAGTTTCACGAGCTCGTTGTTCCAACTCAGAGAAAGCGAAAGCCAAAAGATCAGCTAACCCTCCCGAACCTCTTAGAACCACAACTGGATATTGACGTTTCAAACAATCAACCACCAATCGAGCGCAATCATAACCTCCTTGAACAACTATGGAAACAACGGGAATCTCCATGTTGGTCAATGAACATAAATCGGGAACATCTTTAATCTTTGTATGTAAATCGGTTTCGACATTTTCACGAATAAAATCACAACCACCAACCGTTGAAAGAAATCCCATCAAACGAAGGACAAACAAATTGATTCCTGTTTTGTTAATTGTACTATCACGAACAACGATGAAATGAGTATGATCTGGATTAAGATCATATTTACCCTCTTCGGGAATGTTACCTTGATTTTCAATATTAATATCAGTCTAAGGAATAAAACACACGAAGAGAGAGAGAGAGAGAGAGAAATCGTGATTAGTTACTTTCAATTTCAATTTCAAGCAAAGAAAAGTTCAATTTGTTTACCTTATCAGAACCTAATTGATCAGCGTACTTGACCATGTCTTCCCTGGTTATACCAATGAAGTTAAGATTCGGTGGCTTGGTGATACCACGTCCTTCGCATTTATTATGAGATGAATAAAATGATTGTCTTTCTTTACTCTCATTGGAAACTGCGTCTCCGATGATCTTGGAAGCACCTAAATTAGTTCCCGTTGTGAAAATCCACATATTTGTTGTATTGGCTGCCTGTGAATTCAACGATAAATCACAACTTTAATCATCAACATAATAACATTTCCTGTATAAACAATTTAGGATAATCTGAATTCAATATTAGATGATTAACATGATTGGAACCCTAATCATGATGAAATTTGTACCCAAAATTACATGAAAAACCAATGATGAAATGAAAGATATATTTTTTTTACCATGCAATTGATTTTGGCTTTTAAACTGTTAACTAAATTATAATTGAATCACTTTGATCATTAATCAACGGAAATAAATGACTTTTTAAAATCTATCAGATGATGATCTTGATTCGTGCCAAATATTATTAACAATTTCAGAGATTAATATATATTGTTTGTAACAAAATTAAATTATCTAATAATGTTTGATAATGTTTGATTAATAGAGTCATTGATTGGTAATATATTTTTAGCGTGACAATCAATTTACTTGTAATTAACCAGAAGTTACATTTACGATAACGTACTTTGATCAATCCTTTTTTAAAGTTATCGATTTGTCGGGGATTGGACCATTCTCTTAATGAATCGACATTCGATATTATTAAGGACACGATTCGAGGTGGTTGCATTCGCCATTGTTTATGCATAATCGATGCAATCGCTTCGCCGTCGGTATCATGAGCTGCTTTTACAAAAGGGTGACCCTGAAAAGAGAAATGAATAGATTAACAATCAAGAATTAATCAAATGTAAATTGTTTATAAAACATTTCAACAATTTTGTACTTCGATCAATGGGAAAAACCTTGAAAATTTAGCAATTAAACAAACAGTCAATAAATTAGAAACATTAAAGTTTACCTTAAGTTAACTTAATATTGTAATAATCAAATTGTTGACCTGACAATCAGGTTGATTGTTTGCTAATGGTTGGATCAATTTGATTAATCATATAAAACAATGATTGGGCTTTTTTGTTTTTACTATTGTTTTTAATTACTGTTGATAAACTTGTATCTGGATAAAGTGATATTGCTGATTCATGTCAATTGTTGTTGTTGATCATTTTTAATTTGATTGTAATCGATAGGATATAATTCAATCAATATCTATATGACTATTGATTTAAACAACTAGAAAAGAGGTAAATCTCATTGATGGTTGATTAATGTTTTTCTTTTATTAAAATGGTTGGACAGGTTAATGGACAGTTTTCAGTTAATTGTTGTGATTAGAAGAAGCAACAATTTAGTTAATTATTATGTTGTTGTTAGGGTGATTCTCTTGGACTCATAATATATTAATAACAATTTATCGATTCGCTAATGATATTTAAAATGAATCAAGAGGGAATGAGAAAGTTTAATTTCAAGGTCAACTTGTTGAAATCAAATTAAATTACACTACCAACACAATTAAAGGATAAAATCAAGTTAATTATATTGTTGCAATAGTGGACACAATACAATCATCAGATTTGATTACCCTGTAATTATTATTATATAAGATTGATACTAATGATAAAAACTAACTAATGACTTGGAATTAGTTTAACTCATTAATAGAGAAAGTGAAAAAAGTTAATCATGACAATCAAATTAAATTGCAAGTTGGTTGAAATGATGATGATAATGATGATGATGATGATGATTATCATTGATGATGCCAAACTATTTGCCAATAGATATAAATAATAATATGATTTACATTCAAACGAATGTGAAATGAAAGTTGATTTGAATTTTAAAAAAAAAAGTTATAAATATTATAACAATTAAATTAATTGTTAGAAGATGAGAAACATATAAACTTACCTCGGGCTCGTAGCCAAAATTTTTCCAAAAGTGAACTTTTCCATCGGCGATAATGTAATTACGTGTCGCTGAATTGGAATCGGTTGGACAAAGATTTAGATGTGAACCTTGACCGCCGATAATTGCTCGAGATGAGGAGGCACTAATTTGTCGCTGGTAACTATTAGCCATTGGTCGACGGAGAATTGATTCTTTCCTATTGGTACTATTACTTGATTTACGAAGTTCATTCAATGAATAACTTTCACCACCACCTCCACCTCCGCCAACGGTATCATCACCACCGCCACCAGCATTAACTTCACTCTCTGAGGTTTTCTTGGGTCGAGTAAATTTACAAGCAATACGAATACGAGCAATTAAATTCTGGAAACCATGATTAGCTGATTGTCGATCAGTTTCTGTAACCATTTTGATAATCAAAAGAAAAAAGAAATCAATTAGAAAACAAAGGTAATATTAGAATCAAATTACTTAGTTAATTGTTTAATTAATTTGAGATTTTCCTACCACAGTTAATTGACTAAAATAGAATCATTTTATTTTCTCTAAATGTGTTAATCTAAATCAACCGTTGCTATTCAAATCAAATTACAGTCATTCATAAAGATAGAGAGAGACAGAGAGACAGAGAGTGAGAGAAAGAGGAAGGGAGAAAATATCGTTTCGATAATCAGACAAAATGAGTGATAATTAACTAATTGTGTTTGACAGTGGTAACAATTTACGACTCTATGATAGGTGAAAACTGAATCTGATTCCATGATAATAAATTTCGTATCAGTTCATTATGATAGACACAGAGTAGAGACAGTGAAAGGATGTAAATGATAAGCTCTCACAAACCATAATAACAATCAAATAATCAGATGAGAAATTTCAACCGGTGGTAAACAATTAATAACACACTGAGCCAAATACAAGATAAAAAGATAAATACAAGAATATGAGATGATTTTCGTGAGAGGATTAACGATGAGATGATGAAAACACCACAGAACAAAAATGAGAAATAGAATAATTCAAATGACAACATACACAGAGAGATACAAAAAAAAAGAGAGGGAGAGAGGATATTAAATAATGAAGAGAAATTGAAATTAAATGTTTCACCGAATAGACAAAAAAAGGTGTAGACTAGAGAGAGAGATTGAAAACATGGATAGAAGGCGAAAAATTACCAGAGAAAAATCAACTGAGAGAGATTGAGAGAGTGAGATGAGAATCAAGAGAAATGTAAACGTTTGGTAAGAAGGAGATGACAAGATGATTGGTGAGTGGGTTTGGATGGAGAGAGAGAGGGTTGATCACTGGGTCAAGAATATACATGTTGATATAATAATTAAACTGTAATTAGAATTGTTGTTGCACTAAACAGATGAAAAACAGAGATGATGAAGATGACGAAGATGATGATGAGCAGAAGATGTAGTGTTTTTGATTGAAGGTGAAAGGAAAATACTGGTAACCAAGAGAGAGAGAGAGAGAGAGAGTAAATTGAAAGGAGTATAAACAATTACATTAAATTGGCAGAAGATAAAATAACACAATAAGGAAGATAATCTTGCATGATGATGATGACAATTCTTTTCTCTCTCTCTCTCTCTCTCAGATCAATAATCAAACATTAACCTTTTACCTGTTAATCTCTAGATTTACATTAGAAGAGAAAATCTTTTTCTATTTCTTTTCTATTCTAAAGCAAAAGAGAAAAGAATTTTTTTTTGTTCTTTTCTCTCTCCATGGAAACCATCATGTAAACATTGAGAGAACATGTTGAGTTAACTTTTAATTGTTCTCCAGTTAATTGATTGAAGCCTGATTATTGTAGACAGTTAATTGTTCTGCTAATTGTTAATTGATTATCTCTGGTTCTTTTTCGTTGATTAATTTAGTTTTAACCAAATCAAATCGGATCCTATGGTTAACTCATTCATTTGTTTACGTTTTGGTTTTGATTTGGTTTTCCTATTTGGTTGAATTTTCTTGGTTTCTTTTTACTTTTATTAATTAACTTGTCCATTGGTGTTAACAATTAACAATTATGATGCCAGTTAATCAACACAACAATAACCGTTAAAAGTGACCAATTAATAGCCTTTAATTGCTTGGATTATCCTGACAATTTAATGTTAATCAAATGTAAACAATTTATTCAACTTACCTTTAGGTGAGATGCTTTCAAGGCTTGAGTTGATACTTTCCAATTTGTTTGATGATGAAGGTTTAATTGTTACAATTGGCAGATCATCTTGATGATAACTTGATCCTGGTCGTTGGTCTTTGTTAAAACTCATCTCATTTACCGGATTAAAAGGATTAATTTAAAATGGAAACGGGAAAAAAATAAACAAACAAAAGGTAAACAAAAAAGTCTAATGGTCAAAATGTAATGACCATGAAACAGAAACATAAACAACAAAAATATCATAAAAAATGAACAATTAACATTATTTTGATTCGACGAACACAATTAAGTTGATTAAGTAGTGATGAAAATTAGATTAACAGACATGCTAATATGGTTAATTAACCAACATGTTTAAATCTAATGAAAGTTAATCCAAACTCAACAATAACAACAATCACTTTGAGGTAACATAATAATTTGGTATCCATTGGATTGATGATTCGGTAATAATAATTAATAACTTTTTGTGTTCATTTAATTGGTGATCATTTAAATCACATAATCAACTGATCCTTTTTGACTGTAATAATCAAATAACATTTAACAATTAAACCCAAAAGTAATTGTTAACTTGACAATGATGGTTGAACAGTTGATTACCTTGAAAACATATTTGTATCTTGTTAATTGTTGCATGTTTACTTCAGTAATTAATATCCTTAAATTGGGTTAATCAGATTGTACAATTAATCAAACACAATTAAACATATAAACAAATAAATCACCGATGAAAACAATTATCAGAGTGATTTTTTTTACTCTTCAAATGAAATGAGAAAACAACTGAAAAAAATGATTTTATTTCCTGAAATTGTATTAACTCAATTTTAATGACAATTAAAAATGTGCCTCATTTTGTTAATCAATCAATCAAATTGTTAAAACAATACTGATTAAACTAATTAACTTTTCCAATGGTATAATTGTCAATAATGTTAATCGTAAATTAATCAATTGTCACACAATAACAACGATAATTGATTGATCTTAAAACTTTGATTCTCATTTTGGATTAGTGATCAGTTTCAATTACGAACTGTTAATCACTGGATAGATTCAATTTCATCATGAAATCTCAATCAATTACCATGAGAATTAAATAATTATTACTGGAATTTAAATTCTCACAGTAACTTATCAGTTCAATTATATTCTAGTTCAGGTTCTGATCAGTTTCCGAATTTGAATTTGCATTTTTTTTTATCGAAAAGTTGATCAATTGAATTAATCGATATATTAAATTTGATTAAATCTCTTTACCGATAATTAGATAGTTTTTAACAGAATTTAACAATTTATTCATTATTAAAATCTTACAAAAAGTAATTTGTTAATTATTAATGGTGAACAATTCACTCTGACAGTTCGAGCGAATTATTTATTAGAACTTAGTCGATATCGAAAGTGATCGAAATATAAGAACTTTTTCTGAACAATTAGAACACAGAATCCTATGAAATAGCTGAAAAGAAGACTAATAAGAGGAATCGATAGATAATTGATTGAAATTCGAGCCACTGATTCACGATTGTTTCCTTTGAAATTGAGGCACTTTTGAGGTGCATCCGAAATGCCGAAGCACTGGCGAAGCAATTTGACTATTTTATTTACGTTTCGAATGTTTTTCTCGAAAACTGAATAAGTTCTTCTTTGAATAATCGAATTAACTTCCGGTGAATTGTATCGATTAACAAGATACACCGTAGTCGCACTATAAATATTTCCATCTGAACGATCGTACGGATTTCGAAGTTCATCTTCCAAATTGGTTGTACATCCATGGTACTTGTTTAAAATGTAAGTTATCATATCGGAAATGCAAACGTGTTTATATCGTATATTGGTCGGATAAAGTATCTCGGGTGCCATTGACTGAATGACATTAATTTCGGCCGAAACTCGTTTAGCGATTGATGAAATGCCGTTTTGTATTTCGTATCTACAACTACTCCCCGCGGGCGTGATCGGAACATATCTATACTTGACAACATCTTCTAGTGTCTCTAATTCAACGTAATCAACACTCGAAACGAGGCCAGTTTGTAATGAACACGATAACAATATGCCAATGATAAGAAGTGATAATGATAAAACACTGATGATTGATTTTCGAGTGATACTTGAAAAAGTATCGCAATTATGACTGATTATATATTCAAATTGACTCCAAAGTATATTGATCATTTTCACCTGTGGTGCGTTTAACTTTATGGTCAAACTCGTGATGAAGGTGAAAAAGCCGAAGAGTACAAATAATATTATCCAAAAGTACCAATCAAATGAATCGATGAAATCAAAAAACGTTGAATAGTTTACATTGAGGTTCATTTGCTTTTTATAAGTGAGGTAGCAACGATATTCCCATCCCGTTGAGAGTGTTGTTAAATTAGCGCCAAGATTTTTAAGTTTCATCACCGATTGTGGCCTGAGATAGTCACCTAAGCCCATTTGTAGATCGGCCAATTCACCAGAACACAATCCATCGTCTGAACATGAGGCATGAGAATTACCAGCGTGGACAAAAGTGACATTGAGATTAGCAAGAAACGCTACGAACGTTTCTCTCACGAACAAGGCCGCTCGGCCTCCCAAAACTGACGCACTTTCAGCATGGACAAAATCGGGCAAATTTGCAATCAAAATACGAATCGGCACCATGATCAATTTCAACGATTAAAATCAGTCCAACATGAGATATGAATTGTATGTGAGTTTTCAAATGAATTTCATCTGTACATCATGAAAATTAATTCTGGTTTAAAATTCACTCGCTACCTCGTAATGCAATTAGATTGTTAATTATTCATCAGATTCTTCAGTTAATGCCAATTATTTATCATATCGATTGTTTTATCATAACTAAAAGAACAAGAAATTATAAATTCGAAATGTTCTAATTTATTCAAGTTAATGATACAAAGAACGACAATCAGACAATCGAAGCGCGAATTTTTTTCTTTTACTTCGAAAATGTAAAATAATCGAAATTTCTAATAGAATATTAAATAATTTTCGATTTATGTTCATTGGTATTGGAACAAAAAATCGAGGGCATGGTGACAATTTCAATGTTCTAAGAAAGTTATCGATCTTTAAATGTCCATCGGTACGAAATGATTAGTAAAAAAGAGCCGATAAAATATCCAGAGATTAAAATAACAAGAGGAATCGATAGATAATGTAACGATATTGGTGCTACTGATTCTTTATTGGCACCATTGAAATCGAGGCACGACTGAGGTGCTTCGGGAACACTGTGCGATTTATGTAATATTTTGACCAAATTCTCATTCGGCATTATTTTAAACTCGAATGCTGAATAAGCTCTTCTGATAATCAGCGAATTTATCAATGGTGAATTGTGACGATTAATTAGATAGACGGTCATCGAATTATAAACAAAATTATCCGAATGAAAGTATGGACTTTGTTTCTCGCTCTCAACCTCAGTGGAACAACCAATATGTTTAACTAGGTCGAAAGTGATCTGATCGATAATTGCGACATGTTTATCCTGAATGTTGACTCGATAAAACTGTTCAGGTGAACGGAATTGAATAATGTCAATTTTAGACGCAATTTGTTTGGTGATCGGACTGAGGTCGTTGTTTATTTCGTGTCTACAGCTCGTTATGAACGTTGTGATCGGTTTGTATTTATACTTGACGATGTCTCTTAAAGTGTCCAATTTAAGGTAATCAAGGTTCGATATGAGGCCAGTTTGCAATGAACACGACAACAGAATACCAACCAAAAGAAGAGACAATGAGAAGAGGGTTAGAAGGGTTTTTCTATTGAAATCTCGAAGTGAATCTTGACCGAAAATGAACTCATACTGATTCCAGAATAGATCAGTTAATGTGATCGATGTTTGGTTGATAATATAACTCAGAATAACGGTATTTATCCCGAAGAGGGTTAACAAGATGATCCAAAATGACAGATCAAATGAATAAACGAAATCGAAAAATGTTGAATAATCTACATAAAGTTTCATCTTTTTCTTATAAGCAAGGAAACAATAATATTCCCAAGCGGGTGAAATTGTGGTTAAATTGATTCCAAGACTTTTCAGTTTGATTAACGATGGTGGCCTCAGATAATCTCCTTTATCATGTTGCAGATCAGCTAATTCACCGGAACAAGTTCCATCATCAGATGAACATGAAGACTCATCTTTGTTTGCTGAAATAAATGTAATGTTGATGTTATCGAGAAGGGATAAAATTCGAGCTCGTATAAATGGGACAGCCGAACCAACTAAACTTGTTGGACTTTTCACAAAAGCGACACCCGGTACTTCAGGAATTAAAACTCGAATTGAAGTCATGATAAGATTGATGCGTTAACAAGAACTCGAAACAATCGAGTCTTCTTATCCAATCCATGCAATATGAAAATGCTTTTGAAACAAAATAACAATTGTAGTGAAAGTTATCGTTTTTTTGGAAATTCAAGTTATAAATTATTATCAAGTTATTGATATTTCTAAATAAATCATGAAATGATTTCGATTGATCTGGAAAATAACATGTTCGCCGTTAAACTTTAGAACACAGAATATACCCTAAGTCTCATGGATCATCATGATTATCATCGAAAATAGTAAATAATAGAAACCCCTAACAATATGATTTATCATCGCCATTCCATCTCCATAAACAACTTGTTCAAAACAAACCAAACTAATTATCTAGATTCATTATCTTTACTCTTTTTCTAAGTCGCCATCTAACAAATTTTGCAAATAAAAATTCACTAGATGATGACTTGGAAAAATTCATTCATCCAACCTCGTTTCAGAGAGCTCCTTGAAAAATTAGTTTAAAGAGTACCTGAGACTCATGAAAGTCATGAATGTAATAGTAGTAGTTAAAATACACAGTTTAAAACGTTTACGTTTTTTCAATTTTCTCTTTCTTTTTCTCTTTCTTTTAATACACAGTATGAACCACGTTCAATTGAACTTTCAATTATCTATTCAATGATACCAATCTCAAGTCTATACGACTTACATAGCCATAGATACGAATGTCCAACCATGTTGGACATTCAGGTGGAGCCACTATCGATTTTGGTACTTATACATGCAACAGAACTTTCCATTACCCATTCAATGATACCAACATCATGTCTCTATGACTACCGTAGCAAAAATACAAATGTCCGACCATGTCGGACATAAAGGGTGGAGCCAATGTTGAATGGCCTTGGGATGAAATATCTTATGTCGGCTAAAAATAGATTGTCTCAACAGAGATCTATTACAAAGTGGCTCATTTTGTGTATCCAAAAGAAAGAGAATAAGAAAGAGATAAGAAAGAGAAAAGGTAAGAGAGGTGGTTCATACTGTATATTAAAAGTAAGAGAAAAAAAGACAAGAGAAAGAGAAAAGGAAGAGAAAATTGAAAAAAAGTGTGTTGAACTGTGTATTTTAACTACTACTGTAATTAATAAATGAGAAAAACCTTGAAAATTTTACAATTATACACATAGACGATCAAAAAAGGCCAAAAATTTCGGTAAGGCATAAGATACAGTCGTTCAAGTTCAATATGAACAATTTAAAGAGACACTGAAACGGCTTAAAGATCAAATGGAACGGATTAGCGACTAAAAAGATTAAGAATACGTTTCATTTGATGATTAAGCCGTTTCAGTGTCTCTTTAAATTGTTCATATTGAACTTGAACGACTGTATGTCCGTCAGCTCGATATCTTCAATTTTTAGCTGATTTTTTTCTCGGCTTGAAGTTCGGTTTGATTGTTTCAGGCCCTCTGGGCCTTTCTTTGGTCATGGCGACCCTTATTAGCGAAGACCTAACCTAACCTAATTTAAACAAACATAATTAACTGAACAATTAAGTCCATTTTCATATGTAGCTTGAACTTTAAGCCGAAAAAAAATCAGCTCAAAGTGAAGATATCGAGCTGACGGACATATCTTATGCCTTACCAAAATTTCATGTGAAAGGCAACGGGATAAGTACGCACCTTTGAATATTCATTACTTCCGTACGAAAAGTCAGGTCAAAAAGATAGTGCGCTCGGTTTGTTTGATAATTGGCCGGAAAAATTTCTCGGAAAAATGGTTGGCATCCAAATGTACCCCTTTTCCGACTTTGAGAGGCCACTGTTTGGCAATGACTCAATGGAAAAGTTCCAAATAAGAAACCAAATAAACTTTCACATTTTCTCTTTTGCATCGCGAAGAAAAAAATCTGACCTGATAAATAGCCTAGAAATAGTAAAGCGTCAAAAGTTCGGATATTTGGTTGTTACGGTCTTTATATTAATTGTAAGCTCGATCATTAAAAAAGTACCAACAATAAACAATCCCACTGATTAATGATTTAATTGTTGTACTAAAATGTCATAACGAAAACAATTCTGAATGAGTTTATTATCGGTCTTGTAAGAACTAGCAACATCTTAAATCGACGATCCTATCGTGGCCTGATATGATCACTGATCAACTACATATCCGCAGCAGGTCTCCAAGGTGAACAGCTTCTGGTCACTAGACTAATGTAGATAAGGCAAGTCGGCAAAGCGGATCCGTAACTTCGGGAAAAGGATTGGCTCTGAAAGCTGAACTGGTCGGGCTAAAGCCAGAAGCAAGTACTACATTGTACTGAGACCGGATGAAATTTCTGTTATTTATAGCATAGTTATAGATTCTGGACTTGTGTATTTGTGATCTTGTGTATGACTAAAGCTAGGATCCTTTATTTTTTGATGGCGATTTCCCATTTCACTAGAGACAGTGAGTCTAACCCAGTTATTTACTACTAATTAATGGTCAAAGTTATGAAATAAGTTCGTAAAGTTCATCTAATATTTAGTTCCGCTTTAGAATTCATAACTTCTGTTGATCAGTTCTCGTGATTGGATATTTTTTTTGTATCGAAAATAAGTTAATCAACTATTTATCTAAATAAATCGATAATATAAACTTGAGTACATTTCTGTTTCAAGTATTGACAGAATTGATTTATTATTAAAACCTTTCAAAAGTGATTAGTTAATTATTAATGGTCACCAGTTTAGTCTGATGGTTTGAGCAAATTATTAATATTATTTATCAGAGTTTCAAAGATGTTATTTACTAATAGATTCATTGATTAATTAATCGACAAAGGATTTAATATGCAACAATTATTGGATTGGTTATGATACCAAGAACTTTTTCTGAACAATTAGAACACAGAATCCTATGAAATAGCTGAAGAGAAGACTGATAAGAGGAATCGATAGATAATTGATTGAAATTCGAGCCGCTGATTCTTGATTGTCAACCTTGAAATCGAGACACGATTGAGGTGCATCGGGAATATCATAAGATGTTCGTAGTACTTTTATCATAACACTTTGCGTTATTATATTTTTCTCGAATACGGCATAAGTCCTCTTTCGTATTATCGAATTAACTTCCGGTGAATTATATCGATTAATAAGATAGACTGTGAACGAATTGTAAACTCCACTATCTGACTGACAGAATGGATTTTTCATCTCCTCGTTTCTGTTGGCTAAGCATCCTCGATATTTCATTAGAATATAAGTGATAATATCGATAACAGAAACGTGTTTATTTCGCAAATTGATTGAATAAAGTACTTCAGGTGTCATCGTTTCAACGATATCAGTTCTTTCTGCGATTCTTTTACCAATCGGTGAAATATCGTTTTCTATCTCATATCTACAACTACTCGCAAAGGGGACGAACGATTTATAATTGTATCTCAAGATGTCTTCTAATGTCTCTAATTTTAGGAAATCGACACTCGATATAAGTCCAGTTTGTAATGAGCACGATAATAATATTCCGATTATCAGAAGGGAAAATAACATGACCGAAACGACTGATCTTCTTGTGACACTCGATTTATTATCGCAGTGATAGTTAGCAGTGTATCCGATTTGGTCCCACAAAATATTGACCAATCCCAAGGAGGGCGAATGTCGTTTAATGGTCAAACTTATGATAACAATCATGATACTGAATAGTAACAACAATAAGATCCAAAAGTACCAATCAAATGAATGAACAAAATCAAAGAAAGTTGAATAATCTAAATTGACTTTCATTTGTTTCTTATAAGCAAGGAAACAATCGTATTCCCAAGCGGTCGTGGCCGTGGTCAAGTTCACCACGAGATCTTTAAGTTTGATCATTGGCTGTGCTCGAACATAGTCACCTTTGCCCTTTTGCAGGTCACCCAATTCACCGGAACAAAGTCCGTCATCTGAACAAGGAGCGGACGAATCACTAGCGGTTATAAATGTGACATTAACACCGACCAGAAATGATATGAAAGTGTCCCTTATGTACAAAGCACCACGGCCCGATAAACTGGTTGGACTTTCGACCGACACGAATCCTGGGACATTTGTAATTAGAACTCGAATCGAAGACATTATCAAAATAATTATCGAACAGGATTAACTTATATCATTCTCATTCATTTCGAATCGGTAATTGAAATTTAAATGGCAAAGTCTCTTTAATTAAATTGCTCTCATTAATTATTTACATTTGGAGTTTAAATTATTGATAAAATCGCAGATTCAATTAAAATTTTACCAATCAATTGTTGTCCAAAGAGCCATTCAACTGATCACAATTAACTTACCATCCAACGGAATAATGTTAATTAATGATTATAATGATTCAAATTGACTTCCTTATTGTTTGCATGTTTATTAATACTTTTAATCAAAGGATAATCTTGATTGTTGACTATTATTCCCAAACAATTAGGTTATGTTGTTTATGATCATTAACACTGATAATGGACAATTAATTTGCAAAATCCATTCTCTTAATCATTCTGGTATCAGTGCTCATTAAATAATAAGTTTTTCTTTGGGCGTTAATTAGAAGTTGTAATCAATTAAATCGTTGATGTTTATAATCAAATTAGTATATATTTTCAACTTAAATATTTTATATAATTGTTATTATTTATATAATTTATTCATATGTATAAGCTATTGTTTATGGATTGGTTGAGTAATCAAATATAATACTCTTATTAACCGTGATTAGTTTGTAATGATGATGATGAGAAACTTGCATTGAAAAGTGGCCTTTAAAAGTCCGTGAACAATCTTGATCATGACTCGATTTTTTTTTCGATCCAATAAAAAAGAAACTGAGCTTATCCGTTTTCCATGAAAATAAATACACTTTTTTTTTGTATCGATAGTAAAGTTTTATATCGATAGGGACACACTTTTTGTTTTATTCCAACTTCAGCTTGATTATCCTTCGTGATCATCTTCATGGGACTTCGTCTTCAATGGTGTTTTTGTTTTGTCGATTGGTTTGGGTCGGGGTTGTGTGTGTGTGTGTGTGTGTGTGTGTGTGTGTGTGATTAATAACATCAATGGTTGTGTCATTTGGACAAGGAAGCAAAAAGTTATAAGATGATTAGAGGAAGGAGGAAGCAAAGAAGGACATTGGTAATACAATTAACTAAATTGTGTTACAGGAAAAAAAATATAAATCTGATATCATTTTTTTAATCCAAGAGTGATCCCTAATTGATACTTGTTTTTTGTTTCTTTCTGTCTCTTTCCCAATTCATTTTAATTGGTGGTAATCATGATGTGATGATGATTCACTCAAATAAATCATTCACTTGGATGAAAAAGGTAAGTTTGAGTATACACCTGAATGGGGAATCTACATGGTGATCATCATCATCACAAGGAATCGGGAAGATGAGATTGATAGGAAAAGGTTTTTGCTTATTAGACATAGAGGTTTTTATGTGGTTGTTGTTGTGGTTAAGTGAATATTGTAATTATTATGAGTGTTGTTGTTGTTGTGATTAAGATGACGTGATGAATGTTAATTGTTATGATGATCGATGGTGGATAGAGATATTTTTTTCTATCTCTAGTTAATCGTTGAAATTATTGTTATGGGTTTGGGTTCAAGAGATATAATGGAGATCATGGTAAATAGGTATTCGTCGTGTATTCATGTATTTGCATTAGAAGATACAGAAGTTTGATAGGCGATTGAATTTTTCATCATGAACATCAATTTTTTTTACATTCCATTTCCTGAATCTTCATTGTCATTGAAATCTTCTGTTGGAGAAAGAGAAAAGAAAAAAATTTCATCAGCTGATTGTAGTAAACAAAAAAAGAAATGTTAACATTGAATATGCTGAGCATGAGCTGTTTCCATGTTAGAGGTTCATGGCTGAATAGTTCATGAGAAAATCTTTTTCCTCTTATCCATATACACATTCAGTCATATGCACATGTATTGATCAATAAGCTTTTGTATTGAAAGACTTGAAAGATAGGAAGAAAGAAAGAGATGGGAAAAGGGAAAAAGAAAGAGAAATAGAGAGAGAAAAGATCTAACCTTCATCAGTTTCTTCGAGATCATCATCGTCATCGTCCATGTCTCCATAATCATCATCATAGAAATCGGCTAAATCGGCCTCCATCTCGGGTGGTTTAGACTTATGTTTAATACAATATTCCTCGATTGTTGTTGGCACCACGACATTATCTTTTTCTGCTTCATTATGAGTAGTCGTCACTTGTTTTCTAATTATATTTTCATATTCTTTATCTTTGCCTTTTGAATCTTTCCATCGTCTATACATGACGGAAGCATCGACATTAGCGGGCGACGAGGTGTTTGGCTCATTCAGCAGAGAGATTACACTTAACAAAATAGTTCGAACATTTTGAGTTGGATTCCATCTTTCACATGGAAGTTCACCCGAATGTGGATCATCAACGGGAGGATGTAAAATAGATATACAAAGGTCACCATTTTCGTAAACATTTGGATGCCAAACTTTAGTAAGGAACTTAAGTGATGGTGGATTGTAAGGATAATCAATTGGAAACTTCATATTGGCCTTGAAATATCCTCCCTCATAGAGAGTATGTGGTGGACCAAATATTGCCACTTCCCATATGAATAAATTATCATCATCAGCTAATTTAACTCTAAAACCTTCAACTGGTTCTTCTTGTAGAGATTTGAACTCCATAGAAAGGGCTCTCAAAGCGGAAGCTGTTGGACCCGAAGGTTGTCCCATCTCGATGTTGGATTGTTGTTGTTGTTGTTGTTGTGATGGTGAATTTAAAAGCTACCAAAGCAATTGAAAGAGACACAAAAATACAGAAAGAGAGGATGTTGTGTTTGAGAGAGAGAGGGAAAATATCAACACCAACAAATGAATGAAATTGAATGTTACGTTGTTGAGTATGGAATAGAATAGAACCAAAATTTTCTGGGATATGAAAGAGAAGAGAAAGAAAGAGAGGAAGATAAGATGATGAATAAAGAGAGAGAGAGAGAGAAAGAAAGAGATGTTACCAACACAAAGAATAAAAAATGAAGAGAAACCAGAGTTTGTTACAGAAAAGAAAATGATGAAAAAGAGAAGAGAATAAAAAAGCTTTACCAAGATGATGATGAAGTAGAAGGAGAAGGAGAAGGAGACAGAGAGAAAGAAAGAAAGAGGATGATGAGTTGAGCAAAAGTGAGATTATGATGATTAACCATGAAGAGAAAGGAAAAAAGATAGAGCCTTTAACTGTCACAATTAGAGGATGAAAAGTTAATTGAAACAATTTAAAAGGTAAATGTTGTTGATCACCTTGACCCTGGTTGGGATTTTGATGATTCTAGACACTGAATATGATTAATGAATATGATATTGTACATAAAACACTCAATGTATCATCCAAACATTAAAACTAATCAATGAGTGTAAACACAAGGTAAGATAATCAAGGATAATGATTAACAGATTAACAATTAAGGTAATTAATGAAAATGTGGATAAAGGGAAAAGTCACTGAACAGTGATGATAATTAAATAAATTAATACGTAATTAATAAAATGTGAATGATATTAATCAGAGGGAAATATTGGTGATGACTTTGTTTTCTCAATAAGTGATTAACAATTGACTTGATTGTTTCAGTTTTATGTTGATTTGTATTGTAAATGATTTAACAATTGTTGCTATCTGGTGATTTCTCAATTAAATCAAGGTTAAATTGTAATTCTAATGGAAAAAGAAATCAAATTAAAATACAATAAAAAGATAATAATATCATTACCTATGCGCAAGTAGATTTAACCATGACCTAAATTTAACCAATTTATTGATCAATAACAATTTAGATGATTTTTAATGATGATTATTAATTTAGAGGAGATAGCGGATGTAAGGTTATTATCAGAAGAATATTGCCTGAGGGATGATTAGGATTATCGATAATGAGAGTTGAATGAATTTATCACTTTAATTGAAGTTACGGTGATTATAATGATCAGTTGATTATCATTGTAATCAACTTGGTTCATTTAGATTGATAATGATTAAATTGTCTTAAATGGTTAAGGCATTGAATAGACAGGGAAGGTGATAGTTTATTAGATTGAGAATAAGAATCAGGGAATGAAATTGTTCAGAATGTGAGATAATATTATATGAGAGAATCCATTATATAGTTTGACCTAATTTCTTTTTTTAGAATTTTTTTTTCGTTCTCTCTCTCTCTCTCTTTAGTTCCATGATAGAATATTTTCTCGACTAGTAGGCCAAGGTCAAGAGCTGAGAACAAGTAATGATCTTGATTATTTGGATGATTATTATGATCATGATCACAATTTTCATCGGTCATGGTCACAAACTAATCAATTGTTATATCATCTTCATGGGCTTCATTACCTTGACTTTAACGTGAATCTATTTATGGTATTTAATTGTGTCTATCTAACCTTGAACATAGTTCATTGATATTAATCATTAAGATGTATTCATATTTATGAATATCAATTGGTCAATGAGTCTAAGGTGTGGTCATTGTCTCATCATCTTCAATGATTGACCATGAAAATTGAACTTTTTTTCAACTGTCACCATGGACAATTTGTTAATTGTTGATTAATTAACAGATGAATAGGAAGTAATATTGATTTTTTAATCAATTGTTTGAATCATTTTCAAATTTCAAACTCTAACGATTAATTGTTGATTATTCAAGGTGGAGAAAGAGAGAGAGAGAGAAAATTGGATCACAATTTGAATTGTGATCCTTGGTATTAACGTCATTTCAATACAATTTACATGTATTTGGAAACATTAATATGACGGTTTAAATTACTATGGATTAACAATCAATTGGAACAGTTAAACTGAATTAATTGAAAGAAATTTGTTTCTTCTTCCTTCTCCCTTTATGAACGGATAAAGATTAATTGATAATCCATTAAATTTACTGCTATTCTAATGGATTAATTTAGTTTCACTACTTACATATCAGGTTCATTGACTTACGCGTTGGTGTTGTTTTCCTATTGATATTAATCAAAGTTAATTTTGACTACAATTAAAATGATGACAATCAACGATCTCTTCCCCAATCAATTGAATCTTTTTTTTCCTGGTTGGTAAAGGTTTATAACCGGAGAAAAGAAAAAGCTAAATTTTCACCAAATCATATCATTCACATGGAAATTTTCAATATAAGATAAGTGTCTTTTTTGCCAATTGTTATTGCAAGAACATCAACCAATTGTCTCTGTAAATAAAATGACAAGTATAATTAGTAACAATTGAACAACAATTAACAAGAACAATTAACACTCACCAAAAAAGTATATACTTTAATAGAAGGGATAAAATTCCAATGGTAACCAGATACATGGAACCTTTTTTCCTTTGTTGATGAAATCAATCCAACAATTTAAGTGTGAGAATTAACTGATTCCATAGACAATCAACACAAAACTACACAGGAAATTAATAATAGAAAACCATAATAATAATTAGTAAACAACAAAAATCGTTCATCAATCAATCACATAATCTAACTAAAAGAAAAGAAAAGAAAAACCAACAATTAGCTCACATTGATTCTCCAAGTAGAGTCTAAAATTACAACGAAACAACAATTAGAATTAACATCCGATGCAAATTACGACGAAAACCAAACACTAAATTGGCAGAAAAGAGAAAAGGAAACAATAATCAGCGATAATTAATTGTAATTAACAGAGAGAAACAACAAACCAAATGTAATCAAACCAAAGATAATGACCCAACATGAGTAATCAAAACACTTTTACCCGCCCAATTTAATTTAACTCTTTGTTTTCTATTCTCTTTTTGTTTCTTCACTGTTACTCTTTTTTCCCATTGTTTCAAATTGTTTTTAATTTCTGTTCTTTTTTCAAACAATTTAATTCACCTCACGATCAACTCTTTCTCTCTCTCTCTCCAGGTAATCTCATATTCATCATCTTATTGTGATTGAAAACCTTACCAACAACAATCACTCACAAGGCAATGGAAAAGGAAATGGATCAACAAACTGATTGTTTCACTTATAGGAAAACAAAAATGGTAACAATTTACTATAAGCGATTAGATTGATTCCAGTGATTATGGATTTACTGTATTTAGAACATAATCTAATTACTATTAACCAAATTTAACCGATTAATTGACTAAGGTAACTAAGCTTTTATCTTAAATTGTACATTAATATTTACAAAACTCTAATTGTGTTTACCTTTTCTCTTCATCTAATTTTTTTTTGTTTCTTCCTTTTTTGTTTCTAGTTAACATTTGAATTGGGTAAGAGAATTAAAATTTTCTTTTCTTTCATTAGATGATTATATTGATGAACAGAAAATTACAATTATCTATGGATGTGTGATCTCTGAGAGAGTGGCAGAAATTATCATGGTGGTGATTATATGACAACGAGAAAAATAGTGGATCTTTTTAATAACATTGCCAACTCCCTTTTTCCTCTTCTTTTTGTATATGGTATCTTCTTGTTAATCATATTTATCTAATTTTCTTTTTTATTTTATCATCTTCTTCTTTTTTCCCCTCTACTCATCATCTTCTTTTATTCTCTGGTCGCTTCCCATCATCATCATCATCGTCAATGGCAATTATCGGAATTCTTGGTATTATCATTCAACTCTAATTGTGATTATTTTTGTTTCTCCTAAAAAGTTACTACTTCAATACTTTTCCATCATCAAATGTAAACTGTGTCATCAACAAGAAGAAAAAAAACTACAATCATCATCATCATCATCATCATTGTTAAAACAATAGCAACAATCAATCAGTAATTACACAATTCAAGTGAAAAACATGCTTGCAACTAATTTAAGTAAAATCAATCCTATGATAATTTTAATTGTTAACTTATTCTTGTTGCTTCTCTTATCACCAAGATTATCAATCGGATTACCTGTTGATTCAAATCGTCCACCTGATTGTCCTGATCATTGTCAATGTTTGAAAACTTCGGACATTCTTGCCGATGGACCTGAGGGTTGGCAAATTGTTTGCACAGCAATTGGATTAACAGCTATTCCTGATTACAATATTATCCAATTACCTCGACCCATTTACACCCTAGATTTTGATTTTAATAGTATAACTTACCTGAGTGTCTTTGAAAATGTTTCAGAGATTCGTTACCTTGATATATCCAACAATGAAGTCGCCAAAATTGAACCTCGAGCCTTCACAAGTTTACCTAATTTAATTATTCTTAATTTAAGTTACAATCAACTTATCGAACTACCAAGTTCCATATTTGAACCTTTAGTTCACCTTAATTATCTTGATTTAAGAGGAAATCGTTTAAAATATCTACCTGTCAACGTATTTTCATCTCAATTATCTTTGGTTAGTTTAAGTATTGGAAAAAATTTCATCAATCGTCTGGAACTTGGATTATTTGATGAAAATCTTCACCTTGAAACTCTTGATCTTTCAGAGAATCAATTATCCTTCTTACCTGTTAATCTATTATCCAATAATATGATCCTTAAAACGGTTGATCTATCAGCCAATTCTTTTGATAAAATACCCTTTGAGACTCTCCAAGGGATACCAAGTCTTCAAACTCTAATCCTCGATGAGAATCCACTTCGAAAACTAAATCATCAATCATTTCCACCTCTTCCAAATCTCGCTAACCTAAGCATTCAACATATGCCCTTTTTAAGGTCAATCGACGAGGTCACCTTTTCATACCTTTGCTCTCTTGAACGGATCACAATTGCTCATAATCCAATGTTGGTTTCAATTGATCCTGATGCTTTTCTGGATATGCATAAATCTCCTAATTGTTCCAAGTTGAAAGAGATCAACTTAAGTAATAACCGATTAACTAAATTACCTCAATACGCTTTACCTTGGTGCTCATTGGATTCTGTTGATTTATCGGAAAATCCTTGGCAATGTGATTGTGATTTACGATGGTTACGAGAGTGTCACCATATCGTTTTAAACTCTAAAATTTTTGGGTAAGTTTTCAACGAAGCAAAAATATTAATCACCATGATAATAATTAGAAATATGAATAATTTAATCAGTTCCAAATAATCAAGTTAAACAAGTTGTATTTATTATTACTTTTACCTTGAGAATCAACTAATGAATTAATTTGTCTGATTTTCTTTTACATTTATCATTATTGGAAATTGTATTCTAATCATTTTCCTATTTTGCTGTTTTTGTTTTTCTACTCATTTTTATTTATTTATTTTTTCTTTCTTCTCATAACTAATTAAAGGACAATTAGATGTAATCAACCAGCGGAACTTAATCAACGTGACTTTGTTGACATTGATGTTGATCAATTTACATGTGACTCTGATTTTATCTTTGAAACGAGAGTCCAACGATTTTTAATCATGATCATTGCTTTAATTGCATTTTTCGTTGCTGGTATGGTTATCGCTTTATTCATTCAAAGGCCAATAATTATGGACTGGATTTATGGTCGGAAAAAGGGAATCGGATCAATTTATTACGTCAAGGCGCCGATTCATATGACCGAATATTAAATTTTCAAATTAAATCACTTGAAAGGGTTTACCTGAGAGCTTAAAAGTGCCTTATCATTATAATCAAAATGGTTAAACAACAATTTAAAAAAAGTTAATCGTCATCCAATTTAATGCTAAGTCAAAAAAACCAAAAACAATCAACAGTCACAATTGATTATCAAAGACAGAATTTGCGACTAATTGTCAAGTTTCCTAAGAAATCACTTCTATCAAAACAGTATCTTTGTAATATTTGTAAATATTTATAATTCTTGCTTTAATTTTTATTCTTTACTTAATTACTGTTACTTAATTGAAAATTTTGACAACAATTAATAAACTTTATCGCAGCTTAACAGATGGAGTTACTTTCATTTTCTGGTTCAATCAGAACTTATTTGTCATGGTTACTTAAGTTGTTAGTAGTTAAAAAAAGGCTTCACTGGCACAGAAAGAGAAGAAAGAGAAAAAGAAAGAGAAAATAAAAAGTAAGAGAAAAGAAAGAGAAAAAGAAAGAAACGCGAAACACGAAATAAAAAGACAATTTAAACAATTAACGGTGAAACTTTTTATTTGTTTTCCAACTCAATCAATTTGTTTTTGATGAAAACATTTTCATCGTTAGATGATTGTGAGGATGATGATGAACACATATTTTTCGAACTCTCGTCCAAAAGGACGAAGAGTTCATCAAGATCACTTTTAGAAGGCTCGAAGGTCACCAGGCTTAGAGCCTCCTCACAATAATTATCATCAAAAAGATGCACAATATCGTCATTTACGATTAATGGTGATGATGCCGGGAAATCGGTTCAACGATTATCCCCGGAGTGGGACATTTTGGAGGATCGGGAACTTGAGGAGGAACGGGAACTTGAGGCACATCATCAAGGTTTAATATGGGAAGGGAAACATAAAGTTTTTTAGTGATACCGAACGTATCTCGAAGGGCATCTTCTATTGCTTTCTCTGTCTCTCAATCTCTAACTTTAAAACTAATTCAAAATTTTTTCCGCTCTTCTTTCTTAGCTTTCATACGTCTCTTACGACCCATTTTCACAATTAATTGACCTTAGAAACTTTTTCGGGGTATTTATACTCGAAGTGAATAATAACCAGTTGACCCAACGAAATTGCAATTTACCCTTTAGCATCTATTATTGACCATTGTGCATTGTTAATTTTGACAATTATAATCAATTCAAATGATTTATGTTTGAAATATACAATTACCAATCGAACAAACGAAATTCCAATGCAGCTTCATAAATCTGTTTTTAACCATTGTTAATTGTTAATTTTGACAGTTTGCATCTAAAGAAATGATTTAAATTGCTTTTGTGCGTATAGTTAATTGTATGTTGATTTTTAACAAAACGTCAATGTGATTGATGGTTTTGTTTACGAAAAATCTTAACGAGCAGATGGTCAACTTTTTCTAAAGAATATTACCAGAATAATTGTAATCAATGTAATTAATGGTTACAAAATGTATTTAATTGATTAATTAAAATGATACATACAGTTGTATCTTGGAAAAAGTTCGGTATCACTAAAAAACTTTATGTTTCCCTTCCCCTATTAAACCTTGATGATTTGGCTCAAGTTCCCGTTCCTCCTCAAGTTCCCGATCCTCCAAAATGTCCCACTCCGGGGATAATCGTTGAACCGATTTCCCGGGCATCATCACCATTAATCGTAAATGACGATATTGAGCATCTTTTTGATGATAATTATTGTGAGGAGGCTCTAAGCCTGGTGACCTTCGATCCTTCTAAAAGTGATCTTGATGAACTTTTCGTCCTTTTGGACGAGAGTTCGAAAAATATGTGTTCATCATCATCATCACAATCATCTAACGATGATTGATTGAGTTGGAAAACTCAATTGGTTCAATGGTTCCTTTGGCAAAGAAAGAGGAGAAAGAGAAAAGAAAGGTACAGGAATACACGAAATAAAAAAGGACATATAAACAATTAATGGGCAAACTTTTTATTTATTTCGAACTAACTTTTCGACCAAGTCGAAAAATTTATCGACCGAGTTTTCCAACTCAATCAATTTGTTTTTGATGAAAACATTATCATCGTTAGATTATTGTGATGATGATGATGAACACATATTTTTCGAACTCTCGTCAAAAGAACGAAGAGTTCAGCAAGATCACTTTTCGAAGGCTCGAAGGTCACCAGGCTTCGAGCCTCCTCACAATAATTAACATTGCAAAATTGAACAATATCGCCATTGACGATTAATAGTGAGTTGGACATTTCCTAGGATTGGGAACTTGAGGATAAACTGAAGATTGAAGAGAAGGCACATCCGCAAGATTTAATAAGGGAAGGGAAACATAGCATTCTCTCTCAAATCTTAACACTAATCTAAGTTGACATTCTCTCTGCCTCCCAACCTCTAATTTCAAAACTAAGGCAAAATTTTTATTTTAGCTTTCATTCTTCTCTTTAAGCCCAATTTCACAATTAATTGACCTTAGAAACTTTTTCAGGATATTTATACACGAAGTGAATAATAACCAATTGACCCAACGAAATTGCAGTGTACCCTTTAGAATCTATTAATGACCGTTGTCATTGTTAATTTTGATAAGTCTAATCAATTGTGATTCATATTCAAAATAGCACTCATCGAAAAAAAAATTCCAGTGTAGTTGTGTGAATCTGTTTTTGACAATTGTTAACTGTTTATCTTTCCAGTTGCACTCTATAGAAAGAAAAAGATAAAATTAATTGATCGAGAGAGGTAGAGGCACTACTCAACTTAATAGAGAGTGAGAGAGAAATTGATTGATTCAGAGAGAGAGAGAAAATCCAGCAACTTACTTTTTACTTGTTTAGTTGGTAATTAAGAAGTAATTGATTTACGATGATGATGATAGTAATTACGATTTGGGACTTGTGGTTGAAAATCGCGAAAACAAAACTGACAGATTAACAGAATTAAATTCAATAAAGTTCATCGAGCTTCAACACTCAAACGAGTCAAGCGAATGAAACAGTTCGAATGATTTTTTTTGAACAAAATCATCCTTTATATACACGACCTTATCCACAATCGTTGATTTAATCAAAGTTAATAAGATTTAGATCATTTTGCTTCGAGTTATTCCCGATAAATTCGAGACAGAATACTTTGATATACCGGGCTATTCAGCTATTTTTACCGATGTTTTTGCAATTTTCTCAGCAACAAATAGTCAGAGAAACACAAGACTTGAGTGGTATGAGTTGGAGCGATACACAATTGTCATATAAAAAAGATCAAGGTCATTCAGGTCATCGGTAAAATAACAAGTTTCAAGGTCAGCTGAAGGTAATACTGTTATTCGTCACATTTTTTTACTCCGGAAAATGAGTTTAGAGATTGTTTTTGTCACAGATCTTTAGATATTACTGTTTTATTGAATAAAAGAATTTCAACTTTTATTCAATAAATTTATCTTAACGAGCATAGCAAAGCTAATAGAAACCGCAAAACTTGTCAGTAGTATCTCTGTATACTACTTTCGTTGAATTACCTTCAGATGACCTTGAAACGTGTTATTTTACCGATGACCTGAATGACATGAATGACCTTGATCTTTCGATACAGATCTTTTCTAAAGCAAAGGACATAGAAAATGTTATAATTCATTTGATTGTCAATTAGAAATGATCCAATTCAAGTAAAGCTAGTTGGTTCCATTTAGAAGTATTATAAATAGTTTATAATTAACTGACTTGAATGAATGTTCTGTTTACCTCAAAACAAAATGTCGTTTTGGGTAATACAAATTGATCCGACGTTAATTTATAATTTCCAACAGCACTGATAACGTGATAGTGATGATGATTCTAACATGAATTAAAACAAATCGTTGAGTTTTGCACTTTTTTTATGTCCAAGTTGAGCACTTTGTTTTTAATTAACCACAATTTGATTTAAAACTCACAGGTCTTATTAAAGTTTTTAATTACGTTGAAACCGTATCCGGCTCTCGACGGACCAATTTGTTGACAAATATCACTTTTTATTATAAACTTAGATTCACTTAATCTTTAATATACTTTTATTTTGTTAAGTTGTTGTTGGGATAAGATCCCCACTCTGACTGAATACAATGATAGTCTACAGGGCGTTTTTTATCCACTACGGCTAGTACACTGCATATCTTCAGAACTAAAAGTCATATGAATGTCAGACTTGACCAGAGGAAGGTAACGTTTAAAGGCCATTTTAAGGTCGTCATGTGAAAGAACACAAAAAGTTACACAGGCAGCTGAGATACAGACTTTTCTTATAAACTTGGCTCTTGAAGTGTTTTCAGATTGAAACATGCCTATTTTCTAATCCGTTCATCACAGATACTTCAAAATAAAATCTGAGATGTGATTTGATTTGCTCTTTCACATGACGACCTTAAAATGGCCTTTAAACGTTACCTTCGTTAAATGACCTTAAAAATCGTAGGGTCGAGCGCTTTAATTTTGTTCAGTCCTCTGGTCAAGTCTGACATTCATATGACTTTTAGTTCTGGAGATATGCATTGTACTAGCCGTAGTGGATAAAAAAACGCCCTGTATTTTCATCATCATCATCTTTATCTACATCTAAATTTGGATGTTGAGTTGGCAATGGTAATGTTGCCAACAGTGATAATGAATGTTATACTAAAGGAGGTGAATCTCAATCAATTAAATTTTACAAGTCTTGGCTCTACTAATTGGTTCACTAATTTCCTTCACAACTATCAAGATTATATCACTACTATCTCATTAATATTGGACGGATGGACTCTGCTTTAACCTTTTAGTGTGCTGCTTATTAAATAATTATGAACTTAAACTTTAACCGCATCAATATTCACATTAAAAGTCGAAGAAGTACCTTTACATCATCTTTATTAATTTATAATATTTTTTACAGCTCGTCATCAGCGATACAATCTACTCCATAGTCAATGCAGTATTTTAATCATTCAAATTGACGAAGATATCGAAAACTATCAACCTCGAATTAGAATGAGAGAAATGATGGAAAATGAGCAATTGAATTAAATTGGCGACAATTTGCGAAAAAAGAGGTGAAGCTTTTATCGAACAAATATCCGATAATCATGAAAGAGTTAAGGGACTATTGGTCGAATGTTCAATTTTGTTTTAATTGAGAATTTAATGACCTTAATGCTTGGCGATATTTTCGCTTGGAAAATGTATTGGACGTTATTCGGCAAGAGTTTCGAGATCCTGTTGGGACTTATAAAGAAAATATTCCTCCCAATTAATTCCCGCATATTCTGTGCTATTTAATCAAAGATGTAATCCTTATTAATTTTAGTTTATTTTATTTCAATTAATTTGTGAAAATTGCATCGTCATTAGTTTGAGAAGATACGTCGTTCGTCAAATAAGAAATCAACCTCCTTATACAGGGCTATTCAGCTATTTTCGCCGATGTTCTTTGAGATTTTCTCAGCAAACAAGAGTCAAAGAGACTCGAGACTTGAGTGGTATGAGCTTGAGGGATACTCAATCGTCATATTAAAAGATCAAGATCATTCAGGTCACTGCTAAAGTAACGCGTTTCAAGGTTATTTGATGTTCATTTTATGTTATTTTATGATGTTCATGATGTTTTGTACTTCGTTCGCATGGTTCGAAATGAAACCCGTTGGTCTGGTCTTTTCTGCGAGAGGAACGTGTTATCTGATATTTATTATCTGGTATCAGATAATAATATATATCTAATAATTTATTATATATATATTATTATTATATATTTATTATATTATTGATCAATATGTGCAATTGAATTTTAAGATTTTAACTAATTTCGATTTTCTTGTGAATTTTTTCGTGAATATCATAGTCCAATGACCAAGGAACTCGTAGATTAAAATATTCTAGCCGATCAACCACGGTAACAATTACAATTAATAATAATAATTCTCCGGTAAGTTACCCTTCGTTTTTCTGTAGAAAAGCTAATTTTTAGCTTGCAGCAAATTTTAATTCGTTTTGTGTTTTCTTTTATTTATTATAGTATGTGAATTTTCTAATTGATTCGCGGGATACTACCAACCCAATAAGTAGATTGGTAAGTTTTATTTTTGTCAATAATTTGCAACACCTAATTACTAAATCCATTTAATAATTTTAAACCCCCATATTTTTCAGACTCATCTTTCATCTAGAACCCTTAGCTTAGTTGAAGGTCCAGCTGATTCCTCTCCGCCTGTTGATCTTATGCAATCATTGGATGCGGTGTTAGGGCCACCGGCTAGAGACCAACAACAAATAGTTGAGGATTCAATGGACCTTTCAACCAGGAGCTCCTAATAATGTTTGCTCAGCCGATTGTATTGATAACTGCCCTGGTAATACACTGTATAAAAAAGCATCTGGAAAACAACGAGGACGAAAACGAGGGGGAAAATAATCTTGCAGTCTTTTCAATAAAATTTTCTTTATTTTCATAAAAATTAATACATCAATTGAAAAAATAATTTGCTCAAAAGTGCCATTAAGGACTCAACTGTGTTGATGATTAGTGCGTCTTCCATTCATTCCGACAATTCCACCGGATACAACGCGGACAGCGAAAGTGATGAAGAGACCTCAAGTGAAGCTCGGAGGAGGAAGAGGAGGAAAAATCTAACAAAAGAAAATCCGAGGAGGAAGAAGAGGAGTCGGATTGCTCATCCGAATCGAGTGACGATTATTGATTCAATACACGGAACATCTTCTGTATTTCGTCCGTTTTCGTCCATCTCATTCAATTCAATTCAATTTGACAATAATTTTACAAAAACCACATCTCCAAAGGGGTGAACTCGTGATTTTGGTCTTTAATTTTGTTGTCTCTTCAAGGGCAGACGAATACGTCTGATATTCAGTGTTATCCCATTTTATAATGGGAATCTTTCCAAGGTCTCCGGTGACCACATTTTATGACCCTAATTAATTTTTTTTCATTTTTGTGTGTACAGTAAACTCTCGGTTAACTCATAACTCGATAAACGCAAATAATTGTGGGTTCAGCTAATTCCTACTAGATGGCGTGAGAATAGATGAAGGATGCCCAGTGTCAGAAAAATGTCAAATGCTTAGGACTGATGAAAGGGGGCGGACACGATTGTGTAGGGAAACAGGTCAACACAGGTGTACAAGAAGTCGCTCTAGGGACTTGAATTTTAATAATCCTACACCTGAATGCTATAATTCACTTCAATTTCAATCTCCAGAAACTGACTCCAAGAATTATTTTCAAAGCTAATGTAGCCAACTATGGTAGCTAACCTTAAATCGGCCATCGATCCTGAGTTTCGCACCACTATAAGAGGTATCTCGATTGATTACATTATTTTGGGCAAATCTTTAAAAGAAGTGTAAGCTAATCACAATCATTTGGCTTTTTTCTTTTTAGGTTCATGAGCCAATTAACCAAATCGCTTCAAATGAAGTCCAGAAAAGTGGATTAATTATCGATGAAGCCGATGTATCTTTTCTGATCAAACTACTCTAAACGATTAAGCTCAAATTTCTGATAATGATTCAGCAACTGAAGCAAGTTCATCTCTCACTGCTCAAATCGGAAATTTGAATGTTCGAGATATTCAAACTGATGTAACTCAACAGGCCAATGATTCAGCTATGAACAACAATGAAGAGTCTCCAACCGCGAGAGCTGGTGATGAATCAGCTACTGAAGAGGTAATTAAATTTTCCCATGCTTCCCCATGTTTCATTTTTTAAACTTTTTTCTCTTTCAGGGACCAATCTTTAATCAGAAAGATACGATCTCAAAGATCGAAAGATCAGTTCCTAAAGAAAGTCAAGGTAATTTTATATTTATTAGTTCTTTTATTTGCATCTAATCATTTTTCCATTCTCTTCCTTTCTTTCATTTTCAATTCGACTAAATGGACAATTCTTTGTTGTAACATTTTTCAAGAGCTAATATTAATGACATTAACGACAATGGATATCAAAGTCATTTATTTACCACCTGAAAGTCAACATTAGAGAAAAAAGCTATTTATCCGAATTCAAAATTTCGGTAATTAACATCGTCACTGGTTTGACCGCAAAATCTTCCAGAGGGGAATTACAGAATTTTTCAAGTGTACCATATTAAGTGATTAATTATCACTCAAACAGTCACACCTAATAATTATACTTTTGAGGTCATTTTACAAAAATATGAACTTAAGATTCGATTTATCATTTATTTCGTATTTTGGCCTTAAAAATGTCTCAATAGGAAAAAATCAACAAAAAACTAATGCATGATCTTGAACAGTTAGGGGAATATTCAAAAAAATTGACCCTTTCACCAAAAAGTAGACCCAAAAAGCCGTTTGTCCTTAAACTTTTGACGAGTTGATCGCTATGCAATGTTAATAATTAATTAAATAATTAATTAATAGAAATTGTGTAGAAAAAATTTCTCTTCATTTTCAGAACTGCTATCAATTACTATTATATTTCTGAAAAAATATAAATTTATCTCAACTAAAACTCGAGCTATAATCAATTGATTGTTGTCTTTAAACTTTTGCCGAGGACTGTATTTGTATAATACATTGAAATTACGATTGCAGCTTAACAGATGGAGTTACTTTCATTTTCTGGTTCAACCAGAGCTCAGTTGTCGTGGTTACTTAAGTTGTTTACTTTTCCATAACAATTTGATTTCGTTAATTGTTACTTTCAATTTGAATCATTTTCGTTCTAATCCTTTTAGTTTAATCCATTTATTTTATTGGATTATCATTTTGGGGTAAAATTTAATCAACTAGTCTTATTTAAGAGTAATCGAAGAAGAATATATAAGTAGAACTTGATTTTCTATTCTAATTGTGATTTTTTTGGGTTTTTCTCTCATTTTCCCTCTTAATGTATTCTCATTATCACCATTTTGTTTTTATGTTTTTCTTTTTATTATAGTGATGTCCTTTTTTTATTCAATTCTAGAGAGAAAGGAAGAGATGAAAGAAAAAGAATCTCATGGATCAATAGTTGTTACTTTATCTGTTATTCTTTATTTACTTTTCATTGGTTTTCTCTCTTCCAAAAGGTTAGTAGATGTATCCATTAAAACGAAAGGTAAATGTTACTTTTTTTTATTTTTTCTTCTATCAGTATAATGTGTTTAGATATTTTTTCTTTATCTGATTGTCATACTGAATTTGATTCTTTGATTATCTCAGGTAATACCCTAAGGTTATTCACTGTTAGGTGAACCTTTTCTTGGAGATTTTTATTCACAATCTTTTTTTTCCCTAAAAAGCCAAACAACAACATCTCAAATGTAAGTAAAGATTAGACATGTAATGATATTAACACAGGAAAATGTATCTTGTGCTTTTTATATATTCATGTTGGAATTTTATATTAATAATTCAAATGAATTCATATGTTCATTCAAATGTTGATCATGATGTTAGTTCTCTACATAGATGTTATTTTATCTGTCAAAGATGGAAAAATAATAATAAGAGAAGATGAACAATCTTTATCAAAAATTCATTCCTTTACCTCTCACGAGAAATTGAATCTCATAAATATTATCATGTTTTCTCTATGACAACACTAACAATTAAGTTTCTTTCTCTTCTTTAATATGTAGGTAATCCAGATGATCCAAATTGATTGGTTACTAATCGTCACTAAATCGGATTAACATATTTTTTTGTTCCTCTCTCTCTCTCTATTATCCTAATCATCACCAAGTTATTCAAATATTTGTCAAGCTAAATCTCAATAGACAATAACAAGTGGAAGATTGGAAAACCTTTTCATCCATTTTAATGATATTACATATTAATGATACTTCATTTAATGTAAAGTGATCCAAATGATGGTAATTTAAATTGCTGATATTTCAAGTCTTCTGGGAATCCAATCAACAATTACCGGAGCAGTTTGAATTTTTCAACAACAAATCAACAACAGCAATGAAACTATTGTATACATGGTAATTATTTAACATCGACACAATTAACAAGGTAAATTATCACAATATATTACAATTAAGTAATTACAATGGATACAATTGTAACTTGTTATCAACGTTTACTATTATAATACTAGTATAATAGTTGATTATAATTGTTTGAATTTATATGGATAACAAGTTACTTGGATCTTTATTGTTAAACTAATTGTCCAGAAATAATATAAATTGTTACATATAATAATTGACCATAAAAAAAGACTTGAGGTATGTAACAATCATATAATATATTATAATCATATTATGATGATGATTAAATAAATTGTTCTGATTGTTACTTGTTCAAATGAAAATGTCTAATATAATCAATATGATTTACTATTTATTTTTATCGTAGTTAATTCAATATTTAACTATTCATCAGTTAAACATAATGATGACAATTTATCATTGAATGTGTCAATATAATAATATAAGATATATAAATTGTGATCAGTAAATTACAGCTACTTTACTAGGATTCCAATTGATTTGATTTAATTTAATCATCATACTATTCACAAGCTACAAAATACTACAATTACAACATCTAATTGTTTCATTGTAAATTGTTTACAATTTAAATTATCCTAAATGAATGAAAATTGAAGTGATTGCTAATCAAAATTTTTCAACAATTAGGGTAAATATTTACTCTAATCAATTGCAATTGAAAAGTGATGAAAATTAAATTGCAAGAAATTATATTAAAACTTTAATCTAATTTAAATTATATCTTTCAGGTTTCAATTGGATGGAAACAATTACAATCAAATTACCAGGTAATAGTTAAACGATTAGCTGGTTAACAATTATCATTACCTGGAAATAAATTCATTGTTAAATGAACAAGAAAATACAAGAATTTTATTATTATTCTTTGTATTCTGAAAACCTTTTCCAAGTACCTGACATCCTTTTCATCCTCATCCTCATCTTCATCTTCTTCATCCTATTTTATCATCATTCTCATTATAAGACTAAGATTTGAACTCACACAAAGGTAAATGGAGTTTGTTGAAAAAAAAGGTAAACTCTTTTATCTAACATTTCAGTTGAGAGTATTAAGAACTCAAGATGAAATAATCTATCTCCTAAGAACATATTCTTTCATCATCTTATCATCATGATGCCAATAAGATGACAGGAGAGAGAGAGAGAGAGAATGAAGAAAAAAAACTCTTGATGAAGATGAAGATAACCTAAGGGAGGGTAACAACTTGTTCTGACTTTTCAGAATTCATCATACCCACTCTTCCACCTTGGAACAACCTTTCAACCACCTCAGGTCTTGTGTCTTGATGATCATCATTCCCTGTTTTTTATCAACCATTTCCATCCTCATCTTTTACCTGATTTCCTTTCCTCTTGATTTGCATCAACTTTTGAACTATGGTGAACTTTTTTCCTCCATCTAAACATCAAACAGATGATCTTCAGTTAATCATCTTATTCATGTTTCTTTGTTTACTTTTCTATCCCTAGTTGATGATGATCATGAATTTAATTCAATTGTAAACCAAGGTTTTCATTTCTCTTTCAGTTCAAAAACAGAATCAAGTTCATTCAGTTAATGAGATTTAATTTTGATTATGATGAAAAATAAACAAAAGAAAATATTGATTCCAATTAATATATTGAACATGAGAGTAACTTTCATACATGACTGATTATCATGTATTACAATCAGATTAGTTGAGTTATTGTTGTTCCTATAACAATCACCACCATGAATGAACTAACAATTAACCATCTTAAACATTAATCATTTACCTCATTATCTTTCATGATATTATCAGAATTAACTATTGAATGGGAGTTAAGTTTATCGATTTACTTTTAAGATTCAGGATAATATTTAGGATGATGATCACTATTGATTACTCAATGAGTGGAAAATGTTTTCATGGAATAAAAAATTTCCATTGACATGGTGATGACGAGGATTAACCTAAATAATTATCAGGGGATTTCATGAATATAGAATCTGAATCATGTATTTACATTCTCAGAAATTTCCTTTTCAGAGATTAATCTTATTCGTAATTTTTTGTCTTCTCATTTTCGATGAAAAAAAATTCGAATCCAAAGATGATTAAGTGATTTCGATTGAATTTTTTTCCTCTTCATGAATCAGCTGAATATTGTGATTCCATTGCAAAAGGATTTCATGATATTAAATTATTTCATCTGATGAAATCTATATATTGACTTTGTAAGAGAAGAGGATGATGAATAGGATTGAGAATTGTTCCTGAAAGAAGACAAAAATTGTGAGTTGACAATTGAACATGGAAATCATCATGAAAATGGTGAAAAAACTGTTAACATATGAACAAGAAGAGGATAAATTGTCAACAATCTGTTAACTTGATCAATCAACGAACGATAATCAAATTCTGAATTCCAACAAACTAACCAATTAACATGATAAACTTTTCCAAAGAGAGAAATTCTCATCTTATAAATAAAGTTCCATGTCATCTTCAGATGATAATGATCATGATTCTGTTTCCATGATATAAAAAAACTCTTATGATGAAATTCTAAGAGTAGATTTTGTTGAAAGAATTTTTTTTATTCCTATCAACTTATTTTCCACTTTCATCTTAACTCTAGTTAAAAAGTAACACAACTTACTATTAGTTAATCATGTAGATTATTATCTAGGAAAAAGTTAATGGTTAACTATTAACAATTTACTTAATATGTTCACCATTTCATGATTATTATTATGATTCAATAGGATTCAGTTTTCATGAGACCATGATAATGTCATGGTCAGTGTTCACTACTCAGGGTTTCTTATACAACCATTTTCCTTGCTGTTATTATTATTGATTGTGATGAAAGTTAACCAATTGTTACTATTAATGATAATCTATTGATTATGGTTGTTAGGTGGATGGTTATGTTACATACATACAGCATTTAATTGTGATTAAATTGTTGATTATCATAAGAAAAGAGTAGAGAAACTTTCATTTTCTGTCCAATCCTTAATATTGATTTATTGATTGGCTTTTCATGATAATTTCTTGATTGTCAACATTGATCATTGTTAATCTATTTTTTTGGGTAAACTTAATCAGCTTGTCAATCAGTTTATGATTAACAATTGAAATGGATTAATCAGCTCGTATCAGTAATTGAAGTTGTTTAATTGTTGATGATCAGCTTTGATTATTAACAGCATCCTGATAATATGATCAGGATGAAAAGTATTTAATTGTATCAACCCCACACTCTGGGATATTAAATTTTCAAGAGGTTAATCAAAGCTTTGATTTACCTAAGATACACATAATGGTCATTCCGTTTGACCAGAAAAAAGTCGGAAAAGGTATTGATATACAAATACCGATAATTAATCTGTTGGAAATGAGTCCAGTTTACATGAGATACCCAAAAGAAATGGTTAAATCTTTAAAGCTCTTGTTGAATTATCGGTTCATGGAAATATCAGTTCTGTTCATCAGTTCACCAAACATTGTTCATCTATTAATATTGGTCAACTAGCATTTTAGCTCCCACTATAATAATGCCCCTACTGACCATCGGTGACATCCAACAATTGACCATAGACCCGAGAGATACACTACATGTATGATCTTAAATGTTATTAATAATAGTGATAAACTTGGACCTATTGAAAAGTGGCTTTTGTACAATTTATCGCTTTCATAATTCTGTTTATTTTCAAATGAGAATCTCTTGCAGACAGAATTTCAAGCCAACAGTAATGCAGCTTTCTGATAGTGGCCTTGTTGACTTTTACCCATTGAAAGTCCTCATGTAAATACTTTCGGCATTCAGGTTTCGTCTCGCAAAAGCAAACAGCCCATTCTCATATCATCCTCATCAATATTATATCGTCAGTTCTGAAATTGAAACTTATTATTACGGAGTTTCGGCGTTTACTAAGCTATTCGTTACCACGGCTTTACGAGACTTTATACAGGAATTATGATAAGGCTGTAATTTCCTTGGATTATATTAATCAACTCTCATTGAATTCGTCGATGAAAGCAATTTTCAAGCTAACACCAGTACCATTTGATCAACATGAATCGACACCAAGTGACATGAGTTTTACCTACAAGTACATATATTGAATATCTAATCTACATAAGTAGTACCTTAGGCATTTGGTTTGGCATCTCAGTTTATGGTCAACTCACTGACCGCTCAAGTCAATCCTTAAAAGCTTTCAAGAAACTTATTTCCTGTTCATTGGGGCCCATGAATCTGATTAAAGTAAAACTATGAGTACTAAAATATCAAAAAAATGGAAAATTTTAAGAAAAAAGCTTCGAACTCAGATATTTTCATTCTTATTCTGTCAAACTACATATACGTTGACAAAACTTATTCTTTGTTCACCAGAACAAATAATCAATCCCAAAACTAATGAGAATGAAACTGAGTAAATTTGAATTATTATATTATATATTATCGTTCAAAGATTAATTCCATGTTATCGATATTTCAAATATCAAAATTGATCATTGAATCAATTGTCATGGTAGCCGATTGTTGATTCAATCATGAGTAATCATCAAAAGTGTGATTAGACAAAAGACTTTGGATCTAATTAAGGTTTCATGTTGGAAAATTGATCGAAAGTCATAAATTCAAAGTTGATTTCGATTGATCATCAATATTAATTAAGAAATAGCAATGATTAATTACCCTAATTATTTGATATTCAAATTAATTAAGCAAAAATTTGTTTCTAATCAATGATTTTCAACTGATTATTAGATTAATTAACTGTTGGTAATTAATTTCTCCTATTAAAAATAGCTTGAAATGGCAATGATAATGAGAAAAACTGATTAATATTAATAAATCACTGATTAAATGAACAATTATCATTTGGAAAGGAAAAGCTAATAAAAGTTGAGACATGTTGAGAATTGTTTACACTATTTGTTGATTAATTAAAATAAATAACAATTAACAAGCATAAACGAAGCTGATGAAAATGAAAAGATAATTAATTGATTGCCAAGAGAATCAAAGTAATCACAATTAAAGTCGACTAATTTAATCGATACTGAAGATGTTATGAGAAAAGAGATAAAAATTTCTCCATGAACTTTGTTTTTCATCATTTCTCTGAATTATCTCACCATCACGAACTTTACTTTTCATGAACTTCTTTGCTTCTTCTTGTATTATTTTAACTCGATCTTGATGATAATCATGTTCATCTTCATCGTTATCCTTTTTTTCATCATCTTTGCAAACTAATAACATGAAAATCTTTCCTTTACCACAGTGTAAATCATAATCCATTCCGCATCTTTTTCTTACACCATCTTCATCCTCATCTTTATCTTCATCTCCTTCATCTCCTTCATCCTTATCATCCTCATCATTTTCATCATCCATGACAATCAATTCTCTGGAGGGTAAAAGCATTTCATCTTCTTTTCTTTTTCCATTCATCATTTTTCCTCCCTGAAAATCGCGAACAACAAACTAATGATTCTGATTCAATTCCGATGAAATTGAAACTTATTCATTTCCGTTCCATTGGTAATAACATCATTAATATCATATGATATACATGGGTAACATTTGAAATAATAAACATTATCAACTTCATCATGATTAAGCTCAATCATGTTGCTCATGATTATCAGTTGAAAAACTTAATGGTTTCATCATGATACTTGAAAAATTAATCATCTTTCAATTATTATCATGTTTTAATAATCATTTTACCGAATCATGGTTAGGTTAAGATGGATAATCATTATACTAATTAACAATTTAATAGTTCGGAAGAAAAAGCAATTTAAACAGATTAGATTATAAACAATTTACTTATTATTTTATTGTATTCTTGCAATTAGTTGTTTATCTTTCCTTTTTCATTAATTGTTACAATCAAGGAAAAATAGAACAAGATGAAATTGTAGTCAAAGAGCAATTAGATTAACCAGAATAACCCAAATAAAATCATTAACCAGATTAACTGATTGATTATTAGTTAATCAAGTTAATTGTGAGCTATTTATTACCAAGGCGAATGGTGAAAATCAAGAAATTATGTTAACATAACAACAAATTGTGTTTATAATTAGTTAATTAAATTAATTTTAAGCTCTTTCTGTTAATCATTCACCTTATTGACAATCAATTACTTCAACCCTGTTTTATTATTGTTATTTTAGCCTTAAAAAAACATTGATTACAATCAAATGTTGAATAAATAGTATTGATAATTGATTATTTTCCTTCAAATTAATAATATGATTATTGAGTATCCATTGGATTAAGGTGAATCTTTGCTTGACCATAACTTGAAATTGACCACAACAAAAATCACTCCAAGTGTCTGATGAGATGAATATTGCATTCTCATTGAAATATTCAGTTGATTATCGTGTTGGCTCTCGATGTATCAACTAATTAAGTTTAAACGATCAAGTTTATCACACTTTCGATTAAATCTTAGAACTGTTCATTTATTCAGTTGGTTCGAGTTTCTTTTCCTACTAATTTCAACCAATTTAACTTTTTTACTTAAAATATCAAGTGTTTATTTTGAATGTATAAAATTTGTGATAATTGAAACTGTTTTAGCTTTTTAATTAAGTTTGATGGAGTTTGATGTTTAATAAATTGCTCCAGATTAAATTGATTCAATCATCTGAATCGTCGTCATCACGAACAAAGATTTCATACTTTTCCAATAGGGTGGCTCCTAATTTAGCCATAAAAGCACCAAAATTAACACCAGCAAACATGGTGATTAAAACCTTAATCACTGTTAACCAAGTTCTAGTTGGCTTTTTTTCACGAAAATCAATTAATTCATCAACATATCTCATTAGAATCTTATCCGGTTGTAATAAAGTAAAATCCGATTCACTATTGATACTTGATTTCTGTTGTTGTCTTTGTTGAATGTGTCTATTATCAGTTGAATAAAACCTTAGATTGATCAACTGATTTTGCGACAATAGTAGATGACAATTAAGATAATTGTTAATGTTGTTGTTAGGATTATAATTGGTTGGTAATGTTTTACACGAAAGACTTGATTTCATTAATTGTGATGGATGGCAAATGGGTTTGATTGCTAGTGTTGTTGTTGTTGCAGATAATGTTGATTGTGTTGATTTTGATGATAAACATTTGATATTGTTGATGACAGTTAGATGTTTAATTACAAACCTATGGAAAGTTGAAGTGACCATTGTAATAATAATGACAAGGGAATGAGAGAAAGAGAGAGAGAGAGATGTGATCAATAAACAAAGCGATGACCAATGGTTGGAGTTGAAGGTTGACACTCACAAAGCTAAAGGTTGAATGATGATTAGTGTAGCATGAAGTGGACAATGGTCAGTAAAATTGGAAGAAGAACAATGAAAAGTTTCAATTATCGAAGTGGTTAGAATGATGTTGACATTTTCGATTAGAAATCTTGACAATCGAGAAAGAGGAAAACAATTAAAGTGAAATTTGGACTTTGTTGATTTAGAAGAAGATTTTAAGATGATAACATGAAAGTTAAAATGTTCCGAGTTAATTATGTAGATGATTCAACTGAGAATGTGGTTATTTAAGTTGAAATAAGCAGAACATGGTGTTGGTAAGAGTAAAAGAATAAGAAAAATATTCGATGAGAAAGAAAAAGAAAAAGAATCAGAATTTTTGTCTTTTTACAAACTTCCAAGTCTTTTCTTTTAATAGGTGTCTCACTTTTGGATAGAATTGAGTTCAGGGAAGTTCAGTGTTAAAGGATAGAAACATGAGTTGGATAGGAAACAAAAATACTGAGGAAAAAATTGAGTCAAGGAAAAGTGAGATTCTGGTTCACGATTATCAACATGAGCCAGGAGATTGCTCATGATTCGTGAAGAAAAATTGACTTGCTCTCTTTCTGTTCATCTGAACAATTCATTCATTCTGTTCAATGTTCAGGCGTATCATGGATATATCATCATGATCGAATTTGTTTCTGTTTCTATTCTTTTTCTTTTCTCTGTTTCCTAGTTCTTTCCTCTTGGTTCGTTGTAGCTCGATCGATAAGTCTACAAGTTTATCTTCATCTCTCTTGGAAAGAACAAAAAAGTTTTTTTCTTTTCTAACAATGTTGCTCTAGTTTCTATTCCTAAGCTTATGGAAAATGCATGATGAACATTATCTTCACGGTGGAGAATTCAGAAAATTCTTGGTCTACCTGGTACATGGATTTAAAATATAATCTTTACAGAAATCTAATAAATTCAATTCAATTTAAAGTGAAAACTCAATCATGAGAAATAATCGCTTGTTGGTTAATTTACAATGAGAAATAAATTGAATTTACCATGTTACTGGAGATTTTGATCCATAAATGATTAAGAAGTTAACGAATAATCTTGATTCTATTTATTTCTAATGTGAATTCGTTATTCCAATGATAATTCGTGACAAATTTTCTCGAATTCTCATGATAAACAATCGTCAATATAAACTTTAAGATACTTTTTGTTTCGAGTTGAGAATAACGAATCACCGAAATTCAATCGGAATTATGATGTTAATCATTTTCGATAGAAAAAAAATCAATTTAATGAACAAAAATGAAACAAGAGCAAAAAGTTTGACATTAGAAACAATTATCTTTGATTCAGATAAAAAAGAAATTATAAAATTTGGTTAAACAGTTAATTAGTTAATCGATTAACAATGAAAATGATCAAGATGATTAAGTTGATTATGAGCAGGATGATTGATGACAATGGCTTCGTTAGTTATGATTAATAAGATTAGTATCTATTGGCAATGTAAACAGATATTTGATTTTTCCCCATCGATTGGGAATTTAAATCTTAATTGATCCGTTGTTGATTGTTGGTCGTTTTGATTGTGAACTTGATGGAACCTTATTGTTTCCTGTTCCTAAATTGCTGGTTAAATCTTCAGCGATCCACCAATTAGTTTGTTTCCTTGATTTAGTTCGTGGTTTAGATGAGACATTAAACTCAATGGCGGAATTTTGATCATTCGGTAACTTTTTACTCTCTGATTTGATTCGTTGGCCTTGGGGTAAATTGTTACTCTCTGATTTAGACATTAGATTTGATTGTTGCTGTTGATGATGATGATTAGATTGATTTCTATCAATATAATTTGATAATTTTCCATCTGAATCTGGTTCATTTGCTTTTAAAGGGTAAACAAAGTCATTCTCATTTTCACCGGAATCAGGATTATTATCGGTTCGAGGTCTGATTTCATAGGATGAATCAAATTCCCCATGAATTTTGTTATAATTATCATGAAGATCATAATTGGCATCATTGTCACGTTCAATATAATCAACTGACGATCCAGGTCGAGAGTAAGGGGCTGATGGTGGACCTTCAGGGGATAATGAAGATAATCGGGCTGATTTTTTCCGTTGATTGTTAACAGCGTTGTTAACACCCGGTTGAATGTAAAGAAGTGAATTAAGTGAGTAAAAGTTTCGTGACGAACTGCAATCAACGTTATAATACCAATCGCAGATGAAGTACTTTTGATTGAAAAGTGTTCCGTTTGGACATAGGAAGGCATCTTCCCGACCATCGGGTTGACAGATATAAAAGGCCTGAAAGAAAAGAGTAATATTTTTGAGGATTAGGATTATCAATGATTCAATCGTTGTTATTAAATTAAATTAAAGTCAATACCTGACAATAAGCTTCTGGGTCAGCATAATAACCTGGATATCGTTGAGATGAACATCTAAAGTTGGTCAATGGAGGTGATGAGAAAGCGGGAAAGTCGATACCTGGTTGACCGTAAGGATTAAAATCCTCATATGAATTAACATGATAATCTGTGTATGATTTAATGACTGGTTTAAGTTGATTAATTGGCCGATTACCACCAGAAATTGAATTAGTATCACCACCACGATTAATTGATTCAAATGAATTATTTTCACCGGATAAACTTTTCTCTTCATTATTATTATTATTATTTCGGTTGGAAAATGAATCAAAACGATTCAAATTGTTACCTTTATTTCTTGTCCTAATTATACCATCAACTTTAATTATCTCTCGATCAGCTGATTGTGGGGAGGGTAATGATGACGATGATAAAGATGATGGGGTGATGATCTATTTCCAATATTCGAGGCTGGTGATTTACCTCTTGATTGTTGTTGTTGTTGTTGGTCAGGTTGTTTTCGAGCTCTAATTATCCGTCTTGGTGATCGAGTTGTAGCCGATGCAATTGGCACCGGTGGAAGTGGAGTTACATCATCAAATTTAATTGCTTCATTGGTGTGATTAGTGTGATCGTAATTGTTGTTATCTCGTTGATTGTTGTAATTATTGTTATTGTTATTCAGCCAAAGGGGTGACACCGTAGGCGGTGATGGAATAACTGTAACTGGACCTTGGTCGATATCTTTGATCTTATTGCCAACAGCGTCTTTGGATACATCGTCTTGATTGTTACCATTAATTAAATTTGCTGATTTGGGATAATTTGAATTGTTCACTGATTCAATTACTGGTCCATTGGAATCATCGTCTTCATGGTCAAATCCAATATCAGCATCATCTTTAATCAAATGATTAGTTGATGATGAACCAACTACAAGTAAATCATTTGGATCATTGTAAACAACTTTAGGTAATTTATTTTCTCCCTTTGAATCAACAATTAATGAGTAATCATTAATTAATTGGCTTGATGAGGTCATAACTGGTTCGATTCGATGATTATCTTTAATTGTTTTCAAAATTCGAGGTTCAACTCCTCGATTGTTCAATGAGGTCCAAACGGTATTCTCAATTGGAGTAACTGTTAATTGTTGCAAGAAATTAAATTACAGATCGATTATTAAAAAGCTAAATTGTCACAATTAAAGATCTTTTTGTTGTTGTTGGTAAATTGTTACAATTGTAAAACTTTTCCCCATTCATTTGAATACATTGATTTACTTTTTCTTGGTAATTTATTTTTTTGCTTCTTCTTTTATTTGCCTTAATTGTTGTGATCACAATTAACAATTAAATGTCTTGAAAGGGTCAAAATTAATCAAGTTAATTAGATGGTTTATTGTTTTGAAGATAATTAAGAAAGTAAATCAAAGAGAAATTAGAAACAATTGATTTAATTTAAATGACCAACAAACCGCCATTTAAATAACAATTAAAATGATTCAGTTAATTAGTAGGATTAAAGTTGGTTGATTTAAATTAACTATTCGATCAATTGTTTAACAATTAAAATGATTTATAATTTCATGGTCAAAGTTAAATTGTTAATTCATCCAATTGTCAACAATTAGCATAACAACAACACCCAAACACCCTTGCCAATTAGTTGATTGTTGTGAAATTGATTGAAGTTATAAAGACAAAAAGTTAGTTAGTTAATTGTGTTACTTTTACTTTTGTCATAATTAAATGATTAAAGATAATGAAGATTATGATTATAATCAACAACAAGTTTTTCAATGAATTTATTAATTTAATAAGATTAACTTATAATTAACTGTTCACTTGCAACAATTAACGATAACGCCTTGATTATCATTATTAACTTTGTTACAATTAACTTTTACTTTCATTAACTTAATCATATTTGTATATCTTGAGGTCATCTTAAGATGTTAATTGTGATGGACTAACAACAATTTAATTTAATTACTAACAAAATATTTGCAACTTTGAATAGTTTTTGTTTAATTACAATGAAAATCAAAATGATGAAAAGCAATCAACTAATCACAATTAACCTGTCGAGTTAAATCAATTTTCAAATGAATCAATTAACCTTCAAGATGATAATCAAATCTCATTTAAATTGTAAATTAAATCTAATTGTTTATAAATAATCTCGTTCATTTGATTGCCAACAAATTCAAAACAATCAGATTAACATTTGATTTGGAAATAACTAAAATACAATTAACTTAATTGTGACAATTTATCTCGATAAAATCAATTAATATTGACAATGAGACACACAAATTTTTGTTAATTAATTAATTAAGTTAATTGGTTGTCCAGTCATTGAAAAATTAACTCACTCACAATTAACTTTCAGTTAAACCTCTTCATTTCCTGATTTAAATTGTTAACTAAATTGTTTAATAACAATAATCATCTGCCTTTTGTGTTAATTGTGTTAAGGAAGTTAACTAACAATTTAAATGTTGATTAAATTTGCTCATCAACACCAGAAAATTATGTGAGTGTGTTTTGATTGTTAACAATCAAAACAAAATTAAATCTAAATAATTAACTTCAAATCCTTGATAACTAATTGCTCATGGTCACAATTAACAAAAAAAAGTAACCATGATAATCAGTGTAATTTAATTATGTTACAATTAAAATTTTCACATCAAATTGTTGTTAATGATTAACTTTAACAGTTGAGTAAATAATTGATTAACTAATCATAATTTGTAATAATTAAATTTTCTACTAATTAAAGTGAAGTTTATTCAACTTGATTTCTTAATTCACTTTCACCAACTTCCAATAACAATCAAAATTAATCATAAATCATTAATTTAAACTGAATACAAATTGAATTTTCTAAATTTAATCATTAACTCAAATGATCATCATTAACAATTAATTAATATACTATTTGAATTTCATTTCATTTTCTTGATTAACTTGTGTTACTTAATTTAGTTTTTCTTAATCAATAAATTAGTTAATGATGATTGAAAACTTTGCTTCCTAACAATCAAGGAAACTTTTTGAAAATTAATCAATTATGATTAATAAAATTAGCAACACTCAATAATCAAATTGTTACAATAACTTTAATCAATAATGATGATGATGTTGGTGTTGGTGTTGGTAATTAAATTGATTGTAATGAGAAAAAAAAATTCTGGTCAATCACAATTTACTTGATTGTTGTTGGTTAGTTGATGATAAAAATGTGATGACAATTTAATGTTGACATAAATTGTTACACTTTTGATATTAGTTAAAAGTATGCTAACAATTTAGTCAACCTAATTGATTGTTGTGATCGACAATCAATTGACATTTAAATTGATTGTTTATGAAAGGGGCTAAATGTCTGTGTGAATTACAATCAATGATTTTCAATCATCAAACAATTAACTAACTATGATTACTTACTGATGATGATGAGAAAAAATTTCTTTTGATTGTTGAGATTTAGTTTAATTTGCTTCATTTAATAACAACAATCAAAAGAAATGTTAGTTAGTGAGTGTGTTCAATTGCAATTAGTTGATCATCAACAATTTAACACAATTTCAGAGTTTGTAAAATGGTTGATTAAACAGTTAAATAGGTAAACAATTTAAAAACAATCAACTAATTTTGATTTTTTTGTTACTTCGTTGAAATTATCAATAATCAATTTTTACTATTAATTTAACACAATTTAAGTTAATTAAATGAACATCCTGGAATTGATTATCATTTCTGTTTACCTGTTAATCACTAGCAATTGACACTTAATTATCTGGTAATTGTTGTTACACAATTAAAGTTAATTTTAATTTTTCTCTCACCAACTAAATTAGATTACATTTAGATTGGTCAATTGGTTTGATAATCATTGATAACAATCAAGACTGATTGTTAATCATAATCATTTACTTTCAATTTCAACAATAACTGGACAATATGATGATACAATTTAACATGATTAAAGTTAATTGTTGTAGTAAACGTTTCAATAAAGTTAATTATTTTTTTTCAGCTTCTTAATCATATTAACTAATCCAATAAGAATCTAAAAATCATTTAATCATTGTAAGTTAATTGTGATCATTATGAGTCTCTTATTGTTGTGATAAACTTATTTTAAGATGATGATTATAATAAATATCACTTCTAGTTAATTGTAAACAATTTAATTAGTCTAAAAGTTTGTTAAATTGTAGTTTGCTACAACAACAAAATCAACTGATTGAGACTTTAATTTTCTGATTCTGATACTTGATATAAATCATTTAACTTGACGATTAGTTAATTGTTACCGTTTAATGATTAAAAGTAAAGAAGAAGATGAAAAAACTTAATCAACTTATTTATTTGTTTAATGATCATTAACAATCAATTGATTAAAAGTTGATGAGATCTGAAGGATTGTGAGAAAATTAAAATTTTCACTGATTGAGAAAAAAATTATAATTAATTGAACTGAATTAAAAATATCATATTAATATAATGATAATATTGATCATGCTGAATGACCTAATAAGTATTTTTTTATATATTATCATTAATCAATTGTTAATAAATCATTTATTGTCCATGTTGATTGCTGGTAACAATTTAATTCCGGTCAGTTAAATGTTTTTTTTAATCAATCTCTTTGGGCTTCTTATTCAATTGTAATTACATTTGTGAGTCTATTGTTTACAATTAAGTCATGCTGGTGATGATAATATTACTAATGATGATGATTATCATCCTCATCTTAATGATTAAGATCAATATGATTATTGTTATCATTAGATTTTCAATTAGTTTCAGTTAATCATATCACTTGACCAACATTCAGTGTTAATTGTTTAGCTAATTGAGTTGTAATTGTAATGGTTTTTAATTGTAATCGATAGGGAAATTTATCTTTTACCTTTTTCGTTTGTGTTTAATTAATTATTTTCAGTGTTAATTTAATCATTGGATTGTTGATTAAATATTAATATCAATGGTTTGGTTCAAAGGGTTGGATTGGTTTTAATTGTTAAATTGTTTACTTACTTTGCCATGATGAAATTAAAATGATCACAATTATTGACAACATGATTATTGATTAACAAAGGTTGATGATTAACGATAATTTTAACGAGACAATTTAAATTGTTACGGTGATGGTTTTTGTTGGTTACAATTTACAATTGACAAGGTGACATTAGTTGACACAATGGTTGATTACGATTAAGATGATTGTTACTGTTTTGATCTAATCACTTGGTACAGATCATAACTCGTTTTCTTTGACTAAATTAAAAAGTAAAAGTGACAACAATTTGAAACAATTAACGAAATCAACTGATCAAGTCAATAGTTTTTGCTCCAAGTGAAAAGTGACCTCCGAACGATCGCTTTTTGTTATTAATCTAATCGACTCACTTGTCGACTTTTTTGTCCTAATGTAAATAAGAATGGGGGAGGAGTTGATGTAAGATATTAATCACAATTATCAAATTAACAAAAAGAAAAGGGTGGAGGTTAAGGAGGAGGAAGATGAAGAAGATGAAGATGATCATCGAGAAGAAAAAAAAATGAAAACTTTTCTTTAGTTCTTTTTTCAGTCAACAGATGTCACTTAAATTCTTTAATTTTCGACCAAAAACCGTAAGCGAAAGCGGATTATTCGAAAACCGTAATTACCGAATTCTTTTCGGTCCGATTATGTTTTTTTTTCTCAATTCATTTAATTGAAATTTTCATTTTAATTCTTTTTGGTTAATTGATTTCTTTCATTGACTGGGAAGTTTAATTTATTAATCAGTTGTCTTCCTTCAATTTGTGTTGCCATATTTACCTAGATAAATTTACTCTTTGCTCAATTAAAACCGTTTAATATTCATTCAAAATGGGTTTCACATTTGCGGCCTTTTCTTATGTATTTGCCTTAATTTTGGACGCTTTCCTTATATTTTTTGCCGTTTTCCATGTAAGTAAATTAAATTGTCTCACAATTTAGATCTTATGCTTAATTGTGATGTTAATTGTCTACCTATTTACTTTACTAATTGCCACTTTTGTTCTGTTTTCTTATTTTATTCTTTTTCTATTCTTAGGTAATAGCCTTTGATGAACTGAAAACCGACTTTAAGAATCCAATTGATCAATGTAATACTCTAAACCCCTTGGTGTTACCAGAATATATAATTCACATAACATTCAATGTGCTTTTCTTATTCGCTGGTGAATGGTTTACAGTTTTACTTAACATACCTTTAATATCCTACCATGTTTACAGGTAAGCAAATTAAAGAGACTAAATTTAATCAGCTGTCTATTTGTGTTCCTACACAATTAAGACTTTGTTTTATCATCACTTTCTCTCTCCTGTTATCCTATGCTACTTTTTTTTGTACAAATAGATTGAAATGCTCTTCCTTTTTCTATTTTTAATTTATATTCTATTCTATTTATCTTCTCTTTCAGATACATACATAGACCAGCAGGTATGAGTGGCCCTGGTCTTTATGATCCAACCACCATCATGAATGCTGATCAAATGAGCCGAGCAACGAAAGAGGGATGGTTTAAATTAGCTTATTACCTTTTATCCTTCTTCTATTACCTTTATGGAATGATTTCATCGTTGATTGCTGTTTGATCGAGATGTTTTCCTAAATTCCACATGATCGAAATCAATTTTTTTCACCTCTCCACAATTAAAACCAAAAATCCTAAATCACAACAAAAATGGCTGATAATCAACAACCAGCAATTTATATATAAATATAAAAGGATGATTTAATTAACTCTTCTCGCTCCTCCCTCTGTGTGTGTTTGTGTCAATTTTTCGGGAATTCTCAATGTGTCACCATTTTTCAAATTATCGAAGACAAATTTCCAGCAAAGGACAATCAATTTACACAGATCTCAAATCTATCAACATCAATTTTTTTTGTATACACAATCAACAGTGTTTAACATTTTACACTTTCAAAGATGATAATCAATTTCTGAGTCATTCAGGGTTCAGAATAATCAATTAATATTTAAAATTCTTGTATTGCTTATCTAACCAACATCATTCACACTCTACTGTTCATTTGAATTCTGAGCATTTTGAGAAATGAGATAAAAAAGATGATAGAATATCAATCGGCCGTATCCATTTGATCATCAATTTTTATTCTCCTTTATAAATTTTCTCAATTAATTCGAGAAAAATATTAATAAACTTGATTATATTTCGGGGGTTGATTGTTCTGTTTTCATTGCCTCGGTTTCTTCAAGGAATTGGATTATTTTTGATTGTTCACAATTGATTCAAGCTTTTCATTCAGTTCTTTGTGACTATTAGTGTTTCTTAAATTGTTACCAATTTTTTCAACTCGAGCTAAAAGTTGTTCATCTTCAAGAATCGAGTCAATTGCCGATAAAAGTTGTTCTTGGGTAACAGAATGTGGACTGAACGATGCACCGACTTTAAGGTCAACCACCCGACGGCCATTGTCAAATTGGTCACCGAGAATCGGTAATATTATACAGGGTTTACCGAAGTAAAATGTCTCAATGAATGTGCTGTTTCCACCATGATGAATAACCAAATCAACTTTGGGCATGATTTTCATTTGATTCAAATATTTTCCACCAATCATGTTATCAGGTAATTCAATTGATTCATGGTGAATACCTTTGGAAACGATGAATCTATGAGGTGAATGAGCAAGAATACCAATCAAACGATTCATGATATCGATTAAAGCAGTGGCCATTGATCCAAGAGAAAAGAGGATCAACTTTTTACCGTCATTCTGGTCAGTCCGATTTAGCCAAGAATCGTCAGGTAATCCTAATGGACTTTCGTCATCAGATCCTCGAACCATATGTTCAAGTCGAAACCATTTTTCTGGAACTGGTCCATATTCAGAGTAATCTAAATCTCTCGGGTAAAGGTAAATATTTAGATGTGGCGATTGTCCAAGAAGCGAGAAGTCAAGACGATCTTCCAATTCGAGGTTAATTCCAACACTCTCCAGGTACTCGTCGAATTGTTTTCTAATTGGTTCAAGACTTTTGGAAAATCTTTCTCGAGTTTGTTTGATTAACTCGAGATCATCACCTTTACCTAATCCACTGGAAAATGGAGGTGCATCAGATTTCCAGTAAATCATCGGTGGACTACAAGAAAATAAGGCCACGTAAGGAATTCCCGATTGAACAAAAGCAGGTACAGTTGTCCAAAAATCGAAGATAATTAAATCGGGTTTCACTCTCTTTATGGTTTCGGCATACGAACCATTGTCCTTCATAATTGAATCGCAACATTGTTTGAATCCATGAGCACCGACCAAGGGAAACTGTTGAAGAGCAGGTAAACTGAAAACTGCCGCTTGTGAACTGATTAGATTTGAGCTCGAAGATCTAACATCGTCACTCGGGGCCACTGTAGTATCTTCAAACGTTTCGACCTGGAAACCAGAGTCTTTTAAGGTCGCAGTCCAAACGGCAGGTAATATGAAGACACATTCGTGGTTAAAAGTGGCCAAAGTTCGAGCTAAAGCTGTACATATATTAATACGACCAGAACTGTACAGATGATAAAGAAAATGAAAAGAATTGAATTAAACAATCAAACAATAAGTTACATTAATTTGAGACAATTACGATTACCTGGCCATTGGAATCAGAGCGATTTTCATATTTATACGGATGCAAGTTCAATTCAATACTTTGTAAATAAGATTCACAATCAACAGTATAACTGAAATTAATCATAACTTGGATTTCCTTTTTAATTTAATTACAATTAGCACTTATCAATTAGATTAACATAGATTTTAGCAAATGGTGTGCAAAAAGTTAACATTGGATAAATACTAATTACTGGCGATAATAAACTTACAATACAATTCAGATTAGATAACTGGATCAGTGCAATTTATTAATAGCATGAAAAGTATTGAAATGTTTTCAGAAACAATTAATGTATGAAAACAATATAAACTTCACTTTCAAAGTGTAATATTTGTACAATTATCATTGGTATCAGTTGATTAACTTCATATGATGAGCCACCAACAGCATTCACACTAAATTGTTCAGTTTAATTCTGAGAAATGAGATTAAAAAGATAATATAACAATAATATCAATCGATTTAATCATAAATTTTCCTCTTTATTAATCACTAAATAGTTAATAACTAATCCGAACTAATAACTAGCAACTCGATAAACCATTTTTTAGACTTGGAAAAGTAGATTAATTTTTTTCATATGAAGCTAATAAACTTCATTGTTTTTAATTTAACAAAGTAAAATAAACATTACAATATAATTACAATTATTAATTGTAAAGAGAGACAAATAATTAAGATCCAATATTTTTATCAGAATCTGGTTGTGTCTCTGGTCGTTGTTGATGCTGTGATTGGTGATGAAGATGAGGATGAGGATGAGGATGAATTTGTTGCAATTGTTGAAGTTGCTGAAAGTGTTGTAATTGTTGTTGATGAAGCTCGTGGTGAAATTGCTGCTGATGATGATGGTGATAGTGTTGTTGCAAGTGAGGGTGAAGTGTTTGATATTGAGATGAAAGTTGAGGTTGGGATTGTGGTGGTAATTGAAGGGTTGAAGATGAGTGCAATTGAGGAGCATGTGAAAGAGGTGGTGGTATTATTGGAGTTGGAAGTTGTTGTTGTTGTTGTGGTTGTGGTTGTGGTTGTGGTTGTGGTTGAGGATTAGACTCAGTGGTAAGACTGGGTGACGATGATTGTTGTTGTTGATGGTCAGTATAAAGATGGACCTGTAAAAATTTAGCACTTTTAAATACTTGTTTACAATAATTACAAGTATTGGAACGTATTGAAGTTATATTTGTTGTTGATGAAGTTGTGGTTGGTGTGGAGGTTGACAATGATAATGAGTGAGAAGATGAAATTGTTGAAGGTGTTGATTGTGGTGCTTGTTGTTGTTGTGCTGAGGGTGGTGTAGATATGGTGTTTTGTGAGCTGTTTATTGTAACCATATTGCTCATTTGTCCACCATGATTATGGTAAGCATAATGATTATTATTGGTATCGTTTGTAATATCATTATTATTATCACCGATATTATTATCAACCATAATTGTATTATTATTGCAATTTGTATCATCGGCTTGATTTATATCTACTTCCATTGATTTGGTATTGCAATTTGTCAGATTTGTATTGTGATAGTAAATATTGTTGTTGTTCACATTGGTGATGGTACCGGTTGGTGTGCTTTGGATGGATGGAGTTGTGGTGGTGCTGGTGGTTGTGTTTTGTGTGGATTCTTGGACCGGAATTGTCACTGTAGCGGTGGTTGTAATGGTTCTCACTGTTGTCGCATTCGTAGTAATCGTTGTAACAGTATTCGAAGTGCCATTGATTGGAGGATTAGTACTTGTTGTTGTAGTTGAGGGTATTGTTTGTCGTAACCATGTTACATTAATTTCTCCGTTTTTGTAATATAATTGCTCAGCTAATCTTTGTAGTGATAGCAAACTGCTCTCGCAATCAGCTGTTTCAATTACGTTTAAATTGATTCCAAATCGTTCCATATCAGCGTATATCCCGCACGGCAATTTACCGGCGCATTCTAGTTTCATTATGTGATTTTTGGATCGTAAATGTTTGGCTAAATGACCATGGATACGAAAAGCGATCACACAATCGTCACATTTAAATGGCCTTGGATTGTCTGTTGTTGCCGTTCCAAAGGCGAGATTAATTTTTACTTTATCTGAATGGGTTACAGATTTTTCGTGCTTCTGAAGGTGACCTTTGGTTCTAAATGAGACTCCACAAGAATCGCAGCGAAATGGCCTTTCAAAGTAGTGAACATTAACATGTAGACGAAGTTGCGACAACTTGGGAAAACTTTTATTACATTTAAGGCAAACTGATTTACCATCTTCTCGAGTACCAATACCGAAAGACGCTGCTGCTGATCCGTTAATTGCTGCAGCTAATTCAGCTCGTGAAAGATGGCGTAAGGGATGTGAAGATGGCGTGGACAAAGTATTTCGCCTTCCAGGTTGAGGTTGGTCATATCGTGATGGTCCAGCAACGGGATTATCAAAATCTTCATTAGGACGACGACTCAAGTCAATTGGACCATCATAATTAAAGTAAATTGGTTCAACTCGATCTTGAATAACGGACATTGAATATCGACGTTGAAAGTGATCTTCAACCTCGCTATCATTTGAATCATCGGTCATAATATGTTCAAACATTTGACCACCAGTCGTATTTTCATTGTTATTATTAACCATATCGCCATTGATATGACCATTAATAACATGATTATTATCGTGATTATCATTAGTTCCTAAATTACAGTTACTTAAATCAAGAGTTCTAGTTTGTTGTTGTTGTTGTTGTTTTCAAATCGTCTTAAATTATCATCTAAATTGTTATGAATCATTATTGAATTTCGTCTTATCAATCCATCGTTAAAAGAAAATGACCTTTGACGGGAAAACTGTGAATTGTGAATATTGGATGACCAATGGTTAACAAAATGAGCTCCATTTACATGGGGTGGCATTGCTCCTGTTGATGAGTGAGAAGAGGCAGAGGATAAGGATGATGTAGATGTTGATGGTAATGATAATCTATCATCAAGTAATGATTTGTTCAGTGTAAGTGATGATGAAGATGAGGTTGATATCTTTCTCAAATCACTTGGAGCATCAGTGATGTGTTGATAATGATGTTGTACTTGTTGCTGTTTACTTGGACTAGAGACTAGCCGATTATCACAATTATAATTTAGCTCCAGGCAATTGGGAGCCACTTGTACTCCAGATGCAGAGGCCATTGCAGCGGCCACAGCAGCAGCAGTGGGGTTTCCTCCTCCTTGGACTGACCATTCACCCGAACCTGAAAGAACAAGTAAACTACGGGCAACTTCTTGTTCGTCCATCTCATTGGCCACAATTATTGACTTTCTATGTTCTTTTCTCTCCTCAGATCCAATTAGTCCAACACCTCCCATTCCTCCCAAAGATACTCCCCCAACGGCTCCTAATTCATCGATGTCCATCTTATCCTGATCGATGAAAATACCTAATGATGATTGAGCAAAAAATACGAAAATGATGAAACATCGAAATTTTTTTCTTCGACAAAAAAAATCAATCGAAATGATCAAAATATCAACTCAAGATGATCGATAAATTTCTTACCTGAAGATATTATCGGAATTGGGACTCCCTCGTCATCTGATCCATCTTCATCTTCCTCTTCACAACCATCTTCATCATCGGGATCATTGTCATCATCATCTGAGGCCAAATGTCCACCGGAATAGCTCCGTTCGAGAGCTTCTTGTTTCGCTAAGGCTTCACAATCAATTTGTGATTCATCGATTGTTATTGGTACTGGAATTATGCCCAATTCAACGCACTTTTTATGATGAGCTTTAGATTTCATGTGTTTGGTTAAATTTCCTTTCGTTTTAAAGGCAAAGGCACAATGTCGACAAGAATATGGCCTTAGGTCAGTATGAGTTCGAATATGTTTCTTTAACATGGAAGGTTTTTTACAACGAATACCACACTCTTCACAAACGTACTTTCCTCGACCGCGACCTCGAACATAAGTATAATCCTCATTAGACTTAAATCCACCTTCAAATATTTTCACTCTTTTAGGTTGATTGGGATCATTAGAATCAGAATCAAATCCTGACATAGTACTAAGTCGATCCTCGCTTGTCTTTCGACTCCCACCGCCACCGCCACCAGTAAGATAAACACTTCTGTTACTGTGGTTATTGTTATTGTCCATTATGTTGTCCGTTAAATCCTGGTAGCAAACATAAGGAACATGAGGAAGATTAATAACAAATACTTGATGATGAACAAATAATTGAAAATGACCATTATAATCATTAGGGTCACTCTGCTGATACAACGATAATGGTGTTCAAGGCAAACCATGGTGACAAAACAACAATCAATTGATCACAATGAGTGAAATAAGTGGTCAGTGTGAGAGATTGAGTAGGAAATAAAAGTATGAAAGTGGACACAAAGATAATTTTTACTATTTCAAATTCAACGCAAGTTTTTCAGTCAACAATCAACAACGGGGTTCGAGTGACCGAAAGTAGACAGTAAGTAATCTCGAATGGTGTCTATCGTTTACACTGGACATTCAGTCTCTTTCTTTATCTCTCTTTCTCTCTCCATTTTTCTCACTCTCTCAACTTTTTATCTTCTTTCTTTCTTTATCTTCATTTTTAGTATATTTTACTCTTTTGTTTATCTTCTTCTATTTACCCTTAGAACTGTGTATCTTTTTCTTTGCTCACTCCTTCATCATCATCCTCATCTTCTTTAGTTTCTCAAATCAGGACGGAAAAGCCATAGTCCTTTTCTTTTGCTTCTTTTTTCCTCTAAATTTCCAAACTTTTCAACCTAATTTACCCTCAGGCTTTTAAAGGAATTGCTCTTAAAACAAACTTATTTCTTGCGTCTCTTTCTTTCTTTCTATTCTTTTAAGGGACTTTTCTTCCAGGAGAGAGAGAGAGAGAGAGAGAGAGAGAGAGAGAGAGAGAGAGATGCCAATTCTTAACAATGAAAGAAAAGAAGGAAAAAAGAAAAAGAAAAAGAAAAAGAAAAAGGAATAAATCTTTTTCGCGAATTTTTTGTCCAAAGAAAAGTGAATTTAACCGAAAGATGACGAGAGAAAGAGCAAAAGAGAGAGAGGGGATAAGATAACCAATAGTGGGCCAATTAGAGGCTCACTTTAAAGTAAATACTATGATCTTGACCTAGAAGAAAAGGACGATGGGGGGAGAGAGAGTTGTATGCCTGTGAGATGAGAAAGAGCGTGGTTTAAGTGTGTCCGAGTACATGGACACAATAAGTTTACTGGAGAAAGAGAGAGAGAGAGAGAGAGAGAGAGAGTAAAGGCAAAGTAATTCATAATCACAATTTATAAAGAAAAAGGACAATTAATTACCTGATTGTAACTCATTCTAGTTGTAATTGATTTAGAGTGTTCCCACAATTTCTTACTCACGATTCTACTTGTATGGTTTTCATGGTTATGGAAATTGTTCACTCGAATTAAATTGTAATTATCATCGGTTTTAAGGGTCACAAAACAATTAGATCGATTAATACAACGCCAATATAGATGATCACAGCTTCGATTTTGATAATTGAACAAGAAATTATTGAAAACAATTAACTTTCCACCTCTTTGAGATGTTAATACTTCCATTTTACAATTAACTTTATCGAATCGAATCATTTGTTTTTCCTTTTCTATCAATTCGATTCCATAGAAAATCGAGAGAGACAATTTCTTAGAACTGATTAACTCTCCAGCTCAACAAATTCTTAACAAGATTATCCCAAACGGATTAAGATCCTCTATCTAGTCGATTATAATCTCTATCAACTAATTGTTCAGTTTAACAATTTACCAGAAAGGATATGAAAATTTAATTAGAAATTATTTGATCAGGAAACCCTTTGATGATATTGGATATTTTTCATATCAAAATATTGATAATTTAGCTTAATTAGTCAAAGGATGTGTAATTAAATTAACTTAATTTTGCTTCATGATTAAAATTAAGTTTACCTGTAAACGTAACAATTTACTAATACATGTATTAGCTAATTGTGATATTGATTGTTATCGTTGATGATTATTATTCACATGATAATGGGTTAATTAATCATTTGAATGACTTTGTCTCAACAATCAGATATTGATTGTCATTGATTAACATCATGATTTAGTTGCAATCATAATATATCACATAATCATTGTGAGTGTAATGTGATTGATTAAGATCAGAGGTAAATCAAATTATCAACGTAATTTAGTTAAAATCTGTAATTTCCCGTTAATCAAGAACGATAATAGCTCATTAATAATGATAATCTAATTGCTTGTTAATCAGTCTTAATTATGAGTGTTGATTAATAACAATAACAACATTAAATCAAATTATATATTTACCTTAATTACTAGATTGTTATTTATTAATACTTATCATTATTGTTAATTGAAGTTGCTAATAGTTGAAATCACAAAATAATATAATAAAAATTGATAATTTATATTCAGTCAACAATCAATAATTTTTCAATTAAACAGCAATCAATTAATCAATGGCCAAATTAATTAACTTTTTTGACAGTAGAAACAATCAAGACTACATTTAATTGTTTAGGGAAGAGACAAAATTGATAGCAATTGATTGTTTTTTTGATTAGTTGGATCTGTAAAAACAACAATTAAGTTATTGGGTGAAAATCAATTGATGTATATAAATCACCAAGAAAATAGATACACTTGCAATTAATTTAATTATAAATTGATCAACATTAAATGTTACGATCTGATAAACTTTTAACTATTAATTGTGAGTATTTAATATAATTAAACTTAAATTGTGATCATATTGTTGTAGTTAAATTGTAAAAGGATTTCCAATTGGAAAGTCCTTTTACATAAAAGGACCAACATCTAAATCAAAATGATTAAATGGTTTGGATTGGTTTCAATTATCTCTTGTTTAACAATTAATCTAATCACTGGACAATTCCCGTTTAGTAATCAAAATGATTATCCAACAAACGTTGAGATTCAACAACAATCAACAATCAAAAGTGGACATGATCAACAAATCGACCTGAAAACAATAAAAAATGACAACGAAAAGACAAAACAAGTAAGCAATTAACTTAATTATCTACAAAAACAACAACAACAACAATTAATTTGATAAAATTTGATATCATTTTCACAGGTAAATGATATCACGCAGACAACGATCGGCCCATTACCATTAAATCAACAACAATTAATTAATCCAGTGATTCGATCATCAACTTCAAATAGTGATTCAAATAAGAAGGAAACTTCAATTGAACAACAATCAACAGCAATTAAATCAAAAGATGACGGTGAATTTAAAACATTGGATGAGATTCTGAGTTTAGCTGGACTTGCGGATGTTGAATCAATGGTACCATCGAGTGAACCAAGATCTTTCATGATTAAGACTCGATTTAAGACCAAGGAGACAAGTGAGAAGGATGAAGATGATGAAAAAGAGGAAAAAGAGGAAAAGGTAAGAAGATATTCCATGGGGAAGACAAATAATCCAAGTTAATCTGTTAATCTCTATCCTTTTTCTTTCAAAAGGAGGTAAAGAAAACAAAGAAAAAATCGACCAAGAAGAAATCGAAGAAAAAATCATCGAAAAAGTCTTCCAAAAAATCAAAGAAAAAATCAAAGAAGAAAAAATCGAAAAAGAAGAAGAAAAAGAAGAAAAAATCATGTGGTTGTTGCTGTTGCTGTTGTAAATGATCAACAATTAGTGTTAATTGTTCATTAAGACAAAAAGGGAAATATGTAAATCATATAATCATGTGATTCTAATGACAATAAAGTGTTTATTTAATCATGAACATGATTGTTTCTGTCTATTCTTCATTCAATTAAATCTATTCAGTGTTCTGATTGAAATGGCATTGCAAGTATAAACTCGTTCATGATGATCAGGATGATGAAAAGGTCTCATGATGAAAAATCGTAAGTAAAATCAAGAGAGAGAGAGAGAGAGAATGAGATAGAGAGTAGAAAGGGTATGGAATAAAAAGCGTGGTGGTTACATGGTGAGAGAAAACAAGAACGATGACGAAGACAATGATGATGTCAATTCTCATTTGGCAAGGTTTTTCCATTGAGGAACTTCCCACCAGGAGAAATGAGATTTCCTTTCCCTGAATTACCCTGAAGATTGTGAGTCAACTGAATCATTATCAACTTCTAATACATGTTAAGAAATTTTTCTTCTTCTACTCAAGAAAAACAATTTTTCTTTCTCATCCTCCCTTTCTTTTCCTTTCTCTCTCTCTCTCTCTCTCTCTCTCTCTTTGCTCACAAATCGATTAATCGATTATCTCCCAAAACTTTCCATATTTTTAGAACATAACGACTTCCACGATAATAATATTAATAGAACCTGAAATGATAACAATATCATCATCGTTGGAATAATAATGTTCCTGGTAATAGTTATTCTATCAATTCTTTAGGGCGAAAGAGAAAAATGAAAGAGAGAAATTGATGGAAACAATTTTCAAGATCATGGCCTCAGTTACTATTTGGTTACCATGGTTTCGTTTCCAGTTAACTGAAAGGCAACAGTCTCAAGACATGGAACAGATAAAAAGGGAGCATAAAGAAAACAAATATAATCTTGACGAAGGACAAATTCGAGGACAAGGATATTCTGAGTCAGAGAGCCTTTGGAATTATCTTCATGAGAAAAGTGAAAACAAAAACTCAGAGCATGTTCACATGGTGTTCATGATGAACACCATTCAGAATAAACTTTCCTTCTGGTGTATTGTAAACAAAGTTATTAATAATAATCAACATGATAAACATATCAGATAGTAGATGATAAGAAAATCCAGAAAACATCAATGACATTTGCGTAAAGGTTATTGATTAACTTTTAATTGATTAATCAAATTGTCGATCTTTGATTTAATCTAATTGTCCAATCATTTTGTAATTATTATTGTTTCATTACAATTATCATTGTCGAAATGATTAACAAACAATTGAATGTTAATTGTTTACAAGTCTAATATCACATTTGATTTACTACTATACTTTAATAATGATCAATGTAACTTTTAAATTGTACAATTAATGTTCTCAGTTAATTGTTGATTCATATTGGTTTTAATTGTCATACATTCATGATAACAATTAAACACAAAAATAACAATCATTAATCTGGGGTATACCTGATGATCAAGGTTGAAGAAACAAATTAAAGTCTAATCATCACAATCAAGCGATGGTTAATTGTATGACAATTAATAGTTAATTTGATGATGAAAAACAAATTCTATTTTTCAATTAACTGAACTGGTTAATTGGTTTCACTTTAGAACCAAAAAAAAAAAAATATTATCAAGATACATTTAGGAAATGATTTACTAATTAAGTTAGATTAACTTTTTCGTTGATATGAATTAATCTAATTATATATCATGACGATGATGAATTGTCATGAAAATATTTTGACCTGAAAACTAATTAACACTGAAAATGTCACATGAACAAAAAAGTCGAACTGTCCAAAAGTGAGTAACTAAAATTCATTCATGAAAATAACTCTCAGAGTTTCAACTGAGTAATTCAGGAAAAGATATTTTTAGATTTCGACTAAATTATTTTCCAACATGAGGACTAGACTTTAATTAATTGTTCAATATTCGAGAATGGGAAACAATTAGTTAATTGAGTATTGTACTAATCACAAAAAGCAAGTGCGAGAGTTGATTGAAATTAACCATAGGTCAAGCGATTATTTGATTACTTGACCTTAAAAAACTGTATTTATTGTGATGAAAATAAACCAATTTGAATGACAATTAAAAGGTAACAATCAACAGTCTTGCCTGTTAAAGAGACAGGTAACAATTTAGATTGTAATTGTTAATCTAATAGTAACAATTTAACTTTAATGAGAAGAAAAAAAAACAAGGAAAAGTTCAGTAATCAGCTGAAAGATTAGCTTGTTAACCGTGAGTTAGTTTAATCCTTTGCAAACTTTAATCACCTTGAACTTTCAATGTCATGATAATGATCATGATAATAATAACAACAACATCAATATCAACAGAAATAATCAGTTAATTGTCAGAATTAGTTTTCAGTAAAACTAACCTCTCGATATAAATCACAAAGTGTATTAATAAAGATCAAGGTTATTAAGTTGACTGATTAAACTTTTTTTTTGTTTTCTTACAAAAATTCATGATAATTATCATCATGATTAACTAATTGTGTTGAAATTATTGCTTGTCTATTAGATGTGAGCTTGTAATCAAATATTATCTGAGTAATCATGTTAATTAACGGGTTAATTGTGAATCAAATTAATGGTGTTTAATTCAATTGTTAAGGGTGGATTTTAGTTATTATACCTGAATGATAATTGAAATTAACTTAATTGTTACTAATAACTAAAGATGGAGATTGAGTTGAAATTTGATTCAATTGATTGTCTATCAAGTGAAGAGTTGAAAATTTCATAAAATACATTTAATCAAGACGATTAACTAATCAGTTTATTTAACTTTTACTAATTTATTAATCATCAATTATTAATCACAACTAAAATTAATGACAAATGAAAATTTCCTAATCAAATATTAAAAGTTATCATAATTAATGTTCACCAATCTCATTTCAGTTTTTTACCATCACGTTGATAACAGACAATTAAAACAATCAACATAACACACATACACACATATTCAGCTAAATACAAGACAATTAGTTAATTACATAACCTTAATTTGACCTTTAGCTGAATTAATTTCAATCACAGTTACGTAGTTATAAAAGCAACTGAATTAACAACATTGAGCAACTTTTGTTTGCAGATTTTACTTTCATGCTTTCAAGGATTTCATTTGATTTAGTTGTGAATTAATCATAATCACTGAGACAATCAGGATAATCCTTCAACAATCAATCTAGTGATTCAAATTGTTACCAAATTTATTCATAAATCAAAGTATAAAAATCGATAGTAATCTAATAATAATCACTAATGATAAAATGATCATAAAAATCATAAAACACTAAAAAAAATTGTTACAATTAGAACTGATTATCATGATTAGTTAATTGTTGGAGTTAATTGTTAACATTGAAACAAGAAAGTTAATTGTAGACGATGATACAATCAAATTTCCCACTCAAATCCTACCAAATTCAATATGTTGGCAAGAAAAAGTTAATTAATTTAATTAACAGCTAAACAGAATTAAAATAATTAAAAGAGATGAATTCAGATTAACAATTTGCCCTGGGTGGCCATTCATTAAGTTAATCAGGTCATAATCAAGGTTAATTAGGCGTTTTCAAAGTTAATCCGATTCATTAAAAAAAAAGGAAAATGAAGAAATGATTATCATTAGATTCCTTTCATCAACAATTTTAATCATCAACAATCAGCAAATACTATTAATATAAATATGAGATAATTGATCAAAGGTTGAAGTTCATGATATGTTGTCATCATCATGATGGAACTTGAATAAAAAAAATTAAGCTCAAATATCATTGAGTATTTGGTTTATTTTTAGATGAAAGGTAAACCACAAAATCATCCGTTGATCATGAGAGAGAGAGATGATGATAATCATCATCATTATCATAAGAAGATGAATTGAATAATAGTCAGCAATAAAATAGATGATTAAAGTGATGATCAGAATCAAGTTAATTATCAATATATAATTAATATCACTCATGGAGAGTTCAAAGGTTTCCTATGGAGGAAAGAAAACAAATGATAATTCAATTGGAAATTAATATTGATTATTGTCTATTGATTTGGAATTAAATCAAGAAAATGATTAATCGTTGTAATCATGATAATTATCATCGAGATGATCATCATCATCACCGAGCAATCAGTTTAATTGAGAAGGGTAAATACAGACTAATCTAATCAAAAGGGGAACCAGAAAAATTAGTTAATTAGTATAAACAATAACAATTTATCAATGATAAATTTTATCTTACTAATTGTAACATTAATTAACTAATCAATAATTTATATAAATATATTAGCAAGAGATAAATAATCATCATGATAACTCTGATTGTTGTGAGAAAAAAAAGTTCCTAATCAAATCGTAAAGTTTTTTCATTAACCAAAAACAATCAGTGAACAATTTACTCAATCAGATGAAAATTAATTTACTAATAATTAGAATTGAGTTTCATCAATACAAATAAATTGATGACGATCATCATCTTGATGATGATCTCACAATGATAACAATTAATGTAAAACCTTTTTTAATTGTAGGTCATCAACGTTTATTAGATCACAATTAACAATTACAATGTTATTATGATTATTAATTGTTGAAGGTTCGGAATAAGGTAACAATATGTTGACTCTATGAATTAGGGCAACAGTTATTTGAAAAAAAGGGAATCATTTTGTTATCAATGTAATTTGTCATTCATATTAATTGAATAACAATCAATGTAACAATATAATTATCTTTTGATAATAAATTATGAGAAGAGACAAAAACAAATTATTACAATAATTAATGGCCCATAAAACAATCTCAATGATAGAAAGTTACAATTTCAATTTAATCCATAGGGAATCGGACAATAAACTGACCCTTTCCATGAATGAAATGATTAATTTTTAAACCAAATCAATTTGATATTATGACAATTAACGGAATTACTTAGTTTCTAAGCTAAATTTTCGCGTTAATTGTGATTTAATTAAAGTTAATTAAAGGGAAATTTACATTTAGTGTGGATTTTTTTTCTGTATCAAACAAAAAATGATGTAAACATAATCATACATGATGATTATATGTTGAGTATAAATGATCAACCTTGAGAGTAGGGAAAATAGTGTCACTCGGTATTATGATAACATTTATAATGAATGAGTGAGAATGATAAGTGAGAGAGAGAGAGAGAGAGTAAAGAGTAAGTTAGAGGGAGAGTTATAATAATTGATCGAAAGTGAAATTCGAAAGAGAAATTGTCATTGAATAGATTATATAGTGAACGGGACTTTCTTTTTTTCTTCTTCTTTTTCTCCAAGGGTCAAGTAAGGTTTTTGTCCTACTTTTCTTGTTGTTGTTGTTGTTGTTTTTCTGTAATCATTCAATGTTACTTCAGAATCATGAAGGAAAAAGAAACAAATGATCAACTAGAAATGAACAATCAAAAAAGTCCAGTTCGATCTAATGGTATTTTCCATGGTCTCATATCATATTTCAAATGATATTCTCAATAAAAAAAAAGATAAATGAATGACCATTGAAAAGATCACAATGTTTCATATCAGATAAATAATCGAGTCGAAATGTGTTCATTTAGATTCTGACAGTTTAGTGAGAATCAGAGTTTCAGATTGTTATATATTCTTGCTGGAGTTATTGAAAGAGAGAAAGAGAATCTTGTTTTCTTTTTTTTTCTATCGGTTTGATCCTCATGATTTCACCATCAAAGTGTCTTGTTGAGTGAATGAAGATGAAGAAAGAAAAACAAAATAATCAGAATCAAAGGGAATGATTATATGAGAGGGAAATCTCGCCGTCAAGGTCGCAAATCCCGGTCAACAGGCTGGAAAAACTGGTTTGTTATTATGAGTTTGTTGTTGCTTGTTATTACTTGTAACTGCTTCTGTGTAATCAACAACAATCAAGCAACAATTTAAATCAACACACAGACTCAAAAATTGTATCATCATGTCTTATGAAATCTAATGGAGAAAAAAAATTCATGTTTTCACCTTCAAATTATATAACTAATTGTTATGAATCATCTTGTAGGTTAAAGGTTACAATGAATGATAATGAATGAGACCAGAATCATTTGTGTTCTTATGATAATAATAATAGTAATTTTTTTTCTCTATCTTTTCTTACAACTTGATTAACTTGATTGTTATGAGTTTATCTTGATTGCCAGAGGGGATTTAATTGTAATTTAGTTGAATTGTTTGAAGTAAGAGCAAAGAAAGAAAGTCCAACAATTTAGATTAACATACATATCGAATAAATATTCTGGATGAATTAAAGGAATCTCGTGATTACCCTCAGGCATGAATATCGTTGTTATATATTAATCATCAAAAAACTTTTCGTCAATTTTAAACAATATATTTAAATCAATGAATTGACCAAAGAGACGTGGACAATTAAACCAACAACAATAATAATAATTTCAAGAGAAAAAACCACCAGAGTTAATTGTACAATTAAGTTGATGGTAAATCAATGGATTTCTAATCACTATGAAGTTATGTCACTAAAATCATTTTAAACTCTAACCTTGACAGATCAAGAGTACGAGCACCTTAATTAAAATCAATAGATTCGATTGTGATTAACTTGTACGATCATTACCTTGACTTGTCCGTAAAAATCAATTTCGAATTTTGTTTTTTCGAATCTCTCTCTCTCTCTCTCTTTCTTCATCATTTACTAATTGTAATCATAATCGTATAATGATAATAACTTTTTTTCTTTACGTATTCAATCGGTGGCGGTTCAAGGAAAAATTTTGTTTACTAAATGACCTTCAACAATCAAAATATCGCTGCCGTTCATTCACAATCAACAATTTATAAATACATTTATGAATATATTAGGTCAAGGCCGGTTTCGTTCAGTGAATCTCAATTTGGTATGAACCAGAAAATGAGTGCTTATAAATCACAATGAAAAGAAAGAGAAAAAGAGAGAGAGAAAAAATATATTCGATTTGAAAAAAAAAGTTCTAACAGACAATAGATTGTAACTGTTATGTGGCGAAAGTGAAAAGGTTCAAAATTAAGGTTCGATTTTTATTAGAACTTTTTTTTTGCTTCAACTTATATTCGTTCACTATTAATAAATGATATTCAATTGCTCAGGTTGAAGTCTGAAGGTTCTGTTTTTATTATCATTTAATAGCGACAACATTTCATTAAAATCATCATTATAATTGAATCTAAATTGCTGCTGATTATTAAGTAATCAAAAATGTTACTTTTGTTACTATCAAACAATTTAATATGATTAACACAATTAAATGATTGGGTGACATGTACATTGGATTTATAATGAAACTGATCAATTAAATCAGTGTTTCAGATTAATTGATTGTATTTTGTTAATCATCATTGATTAATTTAACTACTTTACATTATTATCTATTAATTAATCGACAATTTATCATATAAATTAATGTAATTTCCTAATTTTAAGTCATCAGTTTATTTTTCCACTCAGTTTTTAATACCTTTTTCAGATTTGTTATTGTTTTAATGTTGATTATGATTAAGGTTTAATTATGATTATCATTATATCTTGATTGTTCATAATATTACTTTCAAGAGTCAATACTAAGCTTATTTGGGTTGAGAGAGTTGCAAAAAAAGTTGGTGAATGATGAATGGACAATTTATGTTGATACTAATTGTTGATAAAACATATTAATTGCTGTTGCATATCAATAATGATTAATCTTAATCAGAAAGGCGTTGTTAATTGTTGATGAAGAAAAAAAAAGAAAACAACAAAATTTGATTGTTAACATTTAAATTGTTGATTAACCTTTTGATCATTTGAAACAGTTTACCATAATCAACAATAGGATTTTTCTTACTAGTCGGTTAATCAGTTAATCAATCTGATTACGATGAGAGAGATATTCAGGTTTAAAGAGAAATCGAAAGAAAATAATTTGAACATTTAAGATGAACACGAAAAGGCGGCAATTTTCAGGCTACTTTTTTAAAATTATATTACGAACGCTAATTAGGTTAACATCAATTACGAAATTAACTAAATTAAGAGGATGAATAAGGTGGTAGTGGAGGTGGTGGATGGTGGTAGAGAGGAGGAGAGATAGAGAGAGAGAGAGTGGATTACAACCATGACCTACAAAATTAAAATTCTATGAGTTAACTTGATTACAGAGAAGCTAATTGTTAATGGCTAATTAACAGTTAATTTACTTGTTGTTGCTTATTGATTGGTAAAAAGTCAATAGCCTCATATAAACTTAACGGTTAACCCAATATTGATTAAATCAACATTAACAACAACAAAGTAAATGATAATAATTTGATATTAACAGCAAAAAAAATTATCCAGCAATTAATGTTTCAATTTAGATGAAGGAAACTTTTTGTTGAAAATTTTTTGTTACTAATGTTGATTTAAAGAGAGTTAATTGTTCACAATTTAATTTTCAATCATCAAGGTATACGAAATACAGTTAGTACAATTAATGACTAGACTAATTGTTGTTGTATTTATCAGCATTGATAAGTTAATAGAAATTTAAATTGTTAGCAATCAAAGTCGATAAAAAATATTCAATTTTCTTTAAATTTATCAATTAGTTTAACAATCTAATCCAAAATAAATAATCAAGAGATTATCTAATGTGGATTATCATGCAATGAGTAAACTACTAATTAATTGAGCTAAAATTAAACATTAAAATGGTTGATTAATGTTCATAGAAATTGATACAAGATTAAAACTCAAGCCAATCAATAACAACAACAATTTACAAATTGTATAATAACAAAACAATCAATAATTTACTACCAATGTTAAAATGAATAGGAAAAAGAAAGTGAAATAATCAACAACATTAAAAATGAAAAAATGATTGGGAAACATGATTTATCTGTAATTAACTTGAAAATGGAAACAGAACAACAATCAACAGTTAAACACCTTGGACTCATTTGATTTCAATCACCTTTGGTAACCAACAATCAACTGATTAATAGTAATCAACATAAACAATTACCTTGCTCTTGATGATAATGATGATTATGATTATACCCACAGCAAAAAAAAAGGTAAAAATCAACGAGCAAAAATAAAAACAAATCAGTTAATTGTAATAATTAACGTTCTAGAAATAAGTTACCTCATTAACATATAGATGATTAAAACATGTGTATCATAAGTAGTAATAAATCAGCAGAATAACACCAATCAATGATTTATTTTTCGATCAACGATTTAGATGATCTCGAATAATATTAGTTAATTGTGATTAACTTACCTCAATTCCTTTTCTTTTCAATTCCATTAATTCCCGTTTAATTGCTGCCTTCTCTTCGGGCTGTCTCTTAATTGTCCAATACGAAGAAGGTGTTAAAATGTTTGTATCGGCGAGGGATTTTTTTGATTCCAATGAGGGTGCGAAGGTGATTGTCACACCGTTCGCCTTGAAACACCATTGCCTCGTATCGTAGGCATGTAACAATTCAGAGGGAGACATTAATTTAAATATATCGTGGTGGGGTGGATTTATCTTCCAATTGGAGTACATTGATAGTTTAGATGAAGCCTCTTGTGGGACATACATGGGCTGAGGTCGATAAATGCAACAGTATGTTGATCGGGTTGACATTTTAAGGCCTAAATAGGTATAAGTTTGACCTTTAATATAAAGCTGCATACATTTACGTTTGGGTCGAGGTGAATCAGGACTGACCAGTGTTGATCCGATTAACTTATTTTCCATTCCAATCATTAAATTATCTCCTTGATTAGGTGGTGGTGATGATGATGTTGTATTGGATGATGGATATTTTTTTCTCAATGTTAATGTTGTCGGCCGATTATTTGTTAATCCATTTGTAATAATATTACTGTTATTGGTTATATTATTCAATTTAGAATCACAATTGTCACTATTCAACAATTTATCATCTTGAGTTAATTGCTTTCTATTAACATTATGATTATCCAAATCATTGAATTCACCTTTAACTACATTTAAATGACCATTAACTTTATAATCTTGACCTTCCTGATTAGTTGATAATTGTGGCTCGTCGTCATCATGAGCTACTTTATTATCAGGTAAGATATTTAAATTATCATCATTATCACACTTGATCGGTTCACCATCATCCTGTTCAATCTTAAATTTCATTTTATCATCATCTTTATCTTCATCCACTTTCTCTTCCACCATTGAATCTTCATCAAATTCAGGGATTGATGGAATCTGTTTATAGACCAGGTAATTATTGTTATTTATAGTATCGTTATTAGCATGACCAGAAGGATTGATTGTTGATGAAGATGAAGATGAAGATGAGGATGAGATTAATGTAGAGTGAGATTGAATTGCTTCTGGGGAAGCTTGAAATTCAATGTTTTCTTTGTTTTCTGTTAAAATTTTTCGTAAAACTGGAAAAACAATTGGACCTGAAAGGGTTACCTTTGTCTTGGGACACTTTATATGAGGATAATAATCAGGTAAAATGTCAAGAGTTAATTTTTGATTGGCTGACGATGATGATGATGGTGATGGAGATGCAGATGATGATAATCTGTCAAGACTAGATTGATTTAAAAAGCTATGTGAATGATTAGAGAAAGCAATTGATTGGGTGGCAATTGTATTGGTTGATGAAAAGGTTATTGGTTCACTTGTCACTGAGATTACGATATTATCATTAATCATTGTAGACGATGATGATGATGATGAGGATGAGGACGATGAAGATGATGATGAAAGGCTACTATTTAAACAATCAGATTCAATTAAAGTTTCCTTGCCAGTTGATTTGCTTTTGTTAATTAATAATTTACTCGAGGGACTTTGAACAACTGAGGTTTTACGGACATTATGGGAATTGATTATATCTCCATGTGATTGACTTGAATGATGATGATTTAATAGATGATGAGGATGACTAAAACGATGAAGATGAGATTTGGTGAAAAGTGGTTCGGATGTTTTCCGCTTTTTCAATGGTGGTCCTGCCGATGGTGCTAATAGTTGCTGTTTTAATATATTACCAACTATGGGTTGTTGTTGTTGTTGTTGTGTTGGTTGATTAAGATGGGATGAGGATGAGGATGATGACTGATAAAGTTGCTGCTGTTTCAAATGTTGTTGTTGATTAATATTAACAAGTTGAGGTTGGGTGAAGATGTTACCTGATTTTGGATTAGACGTTGATGACTGAACAGGTTTAGTTAATTGTTGTTGTAAGAAATTTGATTCCATTACTGACATTTTACGTTGAACGTGATCATTTAATAATTGTAACTGATTGGGTGACCTTTCGTTCATTGGTGATTGGGTTTCGTTGGCTTTACAATAGTGTAATTGGTGAGCTTCGAGTGTCTCCTTGTTTCGAAAACAAATTGTACAAAGTGTACAAACATAGACAAGCATTGAGAGCTCTTCTTGAATTGGTGGTGGTATCGATGGCAATTGATTAACTCGACTATTTCGTCGTTCATTTGAACTTTCACCCGAATCACGAGCTTTTAATAATAAATCTTTTATTATACTTCCTTCTGGATTATCTGGATTAACGTTTGTTGTATTATCCATAATTGTGGTGGTTGATGAAGATGATGACGATGATGATGATGTAGGCACTGGGATAACTTTAATTGTTGGACTTTTAGCTGAGCTGAGTAGATTACGAACCAAACTTGGTCTTAATCCAGTTTGTTCATTAATACCCATTGAGCCTACTGTTTTATTTATCATTGAATTAACTTCTTGCTGTTGTTTCATGTTAATTATAACAGAAGGATAAATTGGTTCACTGAATTTTTTAACTGGACCATTTGGATTCACAGGTAAACGATGTTGTTGTTGTTGTTGTTGTTGGAGATGATGAGTGAGATGAGGCACATTTGATGGAGATACAATTGTTGTTCCTGGTGTAGATGAACATGTTGTTAATACTCTGCCTAATAGAGCTGATTGTAGTTTTGAACCAGAGGCATGATTTGGATCGACAACAATTTCACTGTAACGACGAGAAGGTAAATTATTGGTGGTTACTGTTGATCTAGTTAAAGTGGCCGGAAAAGAAGATGAGGATGAGGATGACCCAGAGGGTAGTGATGAAACTGAATGTCTAGAAAGATACCTTTTAGACCATAAAGGGTCCAAAGTTTCAACGATAGCAGCATTTTCGGAGATTATTTTACTTATATGTTGCTCGATTTCTTGAGCATTTGCTTTGGGTGCAAGACTTGTTGAATTTTTCCTTATAAAATTGGAACTGTTATTACAATTAACATTATTAGCATTAGAATTTGTTTCTTCGTTGATTCCAATTGATGAAGGGGAAGAAGATGTTGTTGTTGTTGTTGAGATGATGAGTGAGATGAGGCACATTTGATGGAGATACAATTGTTGTTCCTGGTGTAGATGAACATGTTGTTAATACTCTGCCTAATAGAGCTGATTGTAGTTTTGAACCAGAGGCATGATTTGGATCGACAACAATTTCACTGTAACGACGAGAAGGTAAATTATTGGTGGTTACTGTTGATCTAGTTAAAGTGGCCGGAAAAGAAGATGAGGATGAGGATGACCCAGAGGGTAGTGATGAAACTGAATGTCTAGAAAGATACCTTTTAGACCATAAAGGGTCCAAAGTTTCAACGATAGCAGCATTTTCGGAGATTATTTTACTTATATGTTGCTCGATTTCTTGAGCATTTGCTTTGGGTGCAAGACTTGTTGAATTTTTCCTTATAAAATTGGAACTGTTATTACAATTAACATTATTAGCATTAGAATTTGTTTCTTCGTTGATTCCAATTGATGAAGGGGAAGAAGATGTTGTTGTTGTTGTTGTTGTTGTTGTTATTGTTGATGAAGAAGATGATGATAAGGAAGAGGGTGAATTGAAAGGTAATGTAGATGGTATTGGTGCCTGAGAAGATGCAAATGTTGTTGATAGAGTTGATTTAGTTAATCCGGAAGAATCAATATTATGGTTAACTGGAATTTGTTGGGATGATGGTGAAGATTGTGGTTGTTGATGATGATGTTGGGGATTGTTTCTGTTTTTATGGATAATCCAATTTAATCCTGCAGGGGCAACAAAAACTGATTGCTTACGGTAAGGTATTGATGGGCTTGATGGTGATGAACGATTATTATAATTGCTACTGTTGTTGTTGTTGTTGTTCATGTTGATTGCAAGTTCATTTGGTACCTTGAAAGTAGTACCATTAGCCGATGATGATATATGTCTATCGTTAATATTATTAAATGTTGTATTACCAGCGCCATTGCAATTGGTATCATTTTTACAGTTCTCATTGTAATCATGATTAGTTCTAAGATCACTTTTATTTAATTGCTGAATTGACTTAAGTGAAAGCTCATTGTTTCCATGAACTGTAACACTTTCCGATATTGATTTAATCCGATCATTATCAAGGCTTTTATATGCATCAAATGATAATTTGGTGTTGGTGTTGATTGAAGTGTTATCACGATTAATATTACTATTATTATTATTGCACATTTCTTCATCATCCATTTTAATTATCATCGGTGAAGATGCTATAGAATTACGATTATCGTAATTCTGTTGAAAATGATTAACATGCTTAAAATGATTTTCACTCATTTTAGTTGGCATATCGTCCTGACGTTGGTGTTGTTGTACTACAGTTATTGGTTTATCTCCAACTTCAATTGTGGTTGATGTTTTATCAATTACGTTTGAGATGACAATTCCACCGGTATTAATTGAATCATTTAATCGACTTTTGGCACCAATTTCGTAATTTGAATCATCCTTAAGGTCACAAGTTGACGATTCATCATCAAGATGATTTGGAGTTTTCCGTTTGTCATCTAAACCAATGTGATGATTTTCATTGCGACATAAAGATGATCACATGAAGAGAAGAAGCAAAAAAGAGTTGAGATTAATAATCATGATGGATTGTAAATTGAACATTTAATAATAAATTGTTGATATACACGCATACTCTCATTAACTATTATTCAAAACATGGTGAGCAATTAATCAAGTCCACTGATGGTTTTGTAATCACCATCAGAACTAATCAAGAGGGAGAGATAAATAATCAACTCAATTCTTCCTGTTTTTTAATCATCATTTTACAGAAGTGACAAAGAATCAAACTAAACATATAAAATGTGATTAAAAGTGATTCATTTATGTTACTATTAAACCTGGATCACACTCATGATTGGTATAATCATTGTAACAATCATAAAAAGATAATTAAGGAAAATTCTAATAAGATAATTCTAATTGTGATTCTAAGAGGGGAAGATGAGAAGAGGTAAATTCTGATGGATTGAGTAACTTACCACCATTAGAGGAAACAAGATGCTTGGCAATTATCAGTTTATGGTCAAATGTGAGCTTTGGAAATGGAGAAGAACGAGCAGGAGTGGCAATCTCCATGTAATTAATTAACTAATCCAACTAGATAATCAGCAATTAACATATCACTAAGATGAACAATTTACATTAAAATCAAAGTAAAGTAACAATGTGTCTTTAGTTGCAACAGAGAAACACAAAAACAAACAGCAAAGAAATGGAAACGTAAAGGGAAAAATGTAAATGTAAATTGTTTTGTTTTGTATAACAAGAATAGAATAGAATTAACAATTGTAACAATTAACTGATTATGTTGATTTCTTTAAATGTATCATCGGTGTGCTCCTGTTGATGATTGTAGTTGTCTTGTGGTTATGAAGAAGCATGGAGAAGATAAGTGAGAGAGATGGAGAGGGAATAGAGAAGAGGAAAAAAAAGAATAACAATCAAGGAAAACGTAGGAAAAACATGAGAGAATCACCAAAAGGAAGATAATGAAGATGATGAAGACAAAGATGTGGGAGAATAATCAATGTAATTAAAATTGGTTATAATTGAGACACAGAATAAAAAAACACCGTTAATTTGATGTGATTGTAATAATCAACATCACCACAAAATCTTATGATCACCAACTAACATTAAATGAGAGAGAGAAAGAGAAAGAGAGAGAGAGAAATGATTCGACAGACTCACTTGAATCTGTTTCTGGAAATGTTGTTGATGTTTTGAAGAAAAATTAGAAAGAGAAAGAAAAGTAGACAGACTATTTAGACAGTGGAAAAGGGAAGAAAGAGAAGATTGGAATTAGAATGAGTGAGCAAAGGTGACGCTTCTCTCTCTTGATGATGATAGAACAACAAACAACATTCACCGAGAAAAATATTCTCAGTCTGGAGAAAACCTTCAGAAAATTGTTCTCTTCTCTTTCTTATCATCTTCATGCTTCTCACTCGGGCTTTTTCTTTATTCTCTCTCTCTCTCTTGATTCTCTCTTTTTCTTCTTATTCTTTTCTCTGTCTGTGTCTCTGTCTCTTTTTCTCTCTGTTTTTGTGACGATTTTTTTTATTCCTTTTCTGCTTGTTTACTCGTTCTTTTTGCTTCTTCCCTCAAGCTACGAGCATCATCATCACCATACAACAACAACATGATGGTGATGATGGAAAAGGCTGAGGCTGAGATGAAGGAAGCAAATGAACAAAATATTATTATGAAAGAGAGAAGATAAAGAAGAGAGAGAGAGAGAAGAGAAATGAGGAAAGTGTAGAATTTTTGTTTTATTCTTTTTTGTTATGTTGACCATTATTACCAAATTAAAGTGTAAAGGTTAACATTAATTTCTCATCTTTTCTCTAATCAATTAATTCAGTTGAAAGATTAGTTTCCAATTGTGATTTTCTGGATTTAATCGTTTACTCTGAATGATTTTAAAAGATAACAGATTAAAGGAAAATCAGTTACTATTATTTTCCAGTTTTTTTCATTCTTTTTAACCTTTGATCTTCCCTCTCTTTTGGTGTCGCCATGTTTGATTTACTGTTTTTCGCTTTTGTTTTTATCAATTGTTGGTTCTCATCTTTGGTGTTTTCATATATTATCATTAATTGATTAACCTTAATTAGTAACAGGTCGATGGATAGAAAAAGAAAAAGTAAGATGGCTGATATGGAAATTGGAGAATAGATAAAAAAATGTTCTTTTCTCTTTGTATCTCTGTTTTTCTTTTTTTCTTCAAGTTCTTTTCTCTCTTTTTTTTCTCCATCTCCACAGATTTTTATCATCACTTCATACTTTCTGCATGATTATCATTGGATCACCGTCATCATCATGTTCCTCGTCATCATAATTATTCTTGTGATTTGCTATTCAAACCCTGGTTTCTAACTAAATGAGTTGCTGGTATATCCCATTGACTGTTGATATTTATATTTTCTGTTGTGTTGATTTTCATGAGATTTATTTGCTCTCTCTCTAAATGGTAATTGTGCCAAAAACAGAGAAAGAAAAAGAAAATGGTTGAGAACATTATGAGAACATTGACATAACAACTAATAGAAAATTATGTTAATCTTTCATCATGTCATATGTTTAATAATTATTCAACTGGAATCAATCATGTTGGTGGTGTAACACTGAATGTGTGTATAGTTGATACGTGGAGAGGGTAAGAGAGTCAACCTTTCATAGCGATTATTATGTATCAATAACAACGATCAACAAACAATGAGAACTATGGATTTTCTCTATCATCGTCATTCTAAATATTAATCATATTCTTCTCACTCTTATCTCGCTCTCTGGTATAATATTGAAAGGGGGAAAAAACGAAAAGGAAGAGAAAGAATCTAATTAAGTGGTTAATCAAATGACATTACTAATGATTGAACAAAATGATGATGGTGCTGGAGAAATGGTGGTGGTGGTATTGGTAATTCACGATGATAAAGTCGATTAGAAACTCCAGGAGGAGGAGAAAATTGAAGAGGGAAACCAGTGATTAAGAGAGAGAGAGAGAGAGAGATTTGCAGAAAGAGAATATGAAAAAAGGGAAAAGTTGTTGATTATTGTTGATGTTTCTCGATGAAATGAAAAAAGCTTATTACATGATCATCAATCTAAACCATCAAACGAGATTTCTGTCAATATCTGGCCTTTAGATTGACGTCCTTGAGAGAGAGAGAGAGAGAGTGAGAGTTGTGACGATCTACATTGAATACTGTTAATGTTACTATTTAATGGAAATGATTAGTTAAACAATTTCGGTTTCCATACCTGATTCCGAGTAAAATCAAATTAAATTGTGAGCCAATTCACATTGAGGTCAACGAGTAACCTTGAATTGGTAAGAGTACTTTTCATGATAATAACGATCGTAATAATTAATAATAATCATCATCAAGAAAATAAAAAGGGGAGATGATGATGATGAGAGGAGAGGGAGAGATGGGTTGAAGGTGGATTCCCTTTCCCACCATAACTATTATCATGGTAACTGATTATCTCCTCATGGTTGTTTCAACGATCAACAATCAATGGTAATTATAACAATCAGTTGATTATCAAGCAAAATCTTTTTGGTTAACATATTGGAGACGTTTTAATTACGTAGTTAAAACTAATCAACTAATCAGCTTGTTGATCAACAAATCGTCAATATTATTATTACAATTTGTTAATCATCATCATTTAATATCCTTGACAATTGGAAAAGTCAAAAAGTTTATCAATCTCAATAATCCAAATTTCTATTGATACACAAATTAATTAATCAACAAATTTGAAACTCTCTTGGGCTATTACATAATATTATTAATTGTCTAGCAAATTGTAAAACAATTAAATTAATTTCCAACAACAATCAAATAAGTAAATTGTTATCCGATGTTCAATTCAACCTTTTCCTTCATATTCCTCATTCCAACCTTGTCATTTAATTGTTGTTGTTGTTTAGTTTGTATTCCTTTTATTGTAACCGAATTAACTTAATTACCAAAAAATAGTTATTATTAATAGCTCTTGATCCGATCACTTGATTATCTGATTAAAAATCAACTTCGACCAACGAGTTTTCAAGGATTCCAATTCTAGGTCTGTATGGAAAAAAAAGTTTCGAAGAAGCAAAAAAAAGAAAAGGTAACAACCAATTAGCAAAATTAAGTTAATTTAGTTTAATAGAAAATTAAATTTAGCAAGAATTACCTGTCACACGTTTGGTACCAAGATTAAGAGAGAAAAAATAGAGAAATTAGTGTTTAATTTAATTCTGATTCGCAATTAAAGTAAACAGGTATTTAAACTTTTTCCAGATCAATGTCACTACTTTTTACATTATCATTCAATTTTTTTTCCTTCTATTTTTCCAATTTGTTGATTAAATTGTTCAATTGTCTGTTAATTATCATGATTATTATCATTATTTTCGTTATGTTGTAACTATGTTGTAATAATAATCGTTTTTCTTTCACTTAATTATTGTTTCTTACTGTTTTGGATTGTTAATCAATTATGATTAGGTCAACCAACTGATGATCAACTATTATTATGCAGTTGATTAATTGATTTAGTTTAATGATTTGGTTAATTGTTGTCAAGTTTTATAAACATTTAATAAAGATGAGAGATCTAAATACCTTTAAATTGACTTTTCTTTTGTTTTTCTTTACAACAATCAACAGGTTGATTAGTTTGATTACTTGATGTTTGTTCAGTTTTCTATTGTATCTCTCTGGTAGATTTTAATTACGTTTTAGATTAATCAATAAATTAGATTAATTTAGAAAAGGTTGTTGGTCTTTTTTCATCATTCTAATATAATATATTGAGAAAATTTATCTTCCACTGAGAAACAAGTTTTTTCGCCTCAATTTGGAATCTTAATTGTTGGTAATTGGCATCTTGGAATATGTTGAGGAAAAGTTTTCCAATATTCCAATTATAAACTGATTTAATTGTTACACATTGACAGTTAATTTGTCAACCTCTTTTGGGAGATAATGTTTATATACCTGGAGTTGATTCTGTCTAAAAATGTATGTGTATAAATCATTAATCACGAGTACAGTTAATTGATGATTGTATTTTCCACCGGTGGAAGTTAACAAATTGTTCAAGATGATTAAGTTGAAATGTTTTTTTCTCTTTCATTGACCAATAACAAAGTATTTCCATATTCAGTTAATTATGTGAATGAGGAACTTTTTTATCAACGTAAAGAACAATTAAAAATAATTCTATCGAATTCATTTTGTCTTCTTTTTACTTGATTTTGTCGTTCTAGGGGTTAAATTCATGTTCCAAGTTGTTAGACCAAGAAAACGTGAAATTTTCCTAATAGATGAAAAGATAATTAGTTCAATTACTATAAGCGTCAATGATGGTGATTTTTAATTACTTACCAAGTAACAATTTTGTCAAAGAAATGAGCAAGGAAATCATAAGTTAATCGGAACCATAAATAAGCAAATAAAGATCCAATTATTGCACCAACGACACATTGTGATGTGTAATGATAAAGAAGATAAACTCTGTTGATAGAACAAGAAAATAAAAAGATACAATTAGTTGCAATTAAATATCTGTCATGTTGATAGTTATGAAATGGAGAAAAGGTAAAAGGTTAAATTGTTGTTTACCTTGAGTAAAGAATAATCAAGAAATTGGAAATTAATATTATCGTCAATGTTAGTCTAGTAAACAGCGTTTTGTGATTCGCTTGATGCATTAGATACAGAAAACAATAGGCTGTGAAAAAGGCCATCGATTGACAATGTTGGGAAGGCATTCCATATTTGTTGGCACTTCCGACAAGATGGTGAGGATTTTCTGGTCTTGGGTGTTTAAGGGTCCGTTTTGCAACAATATTGATCCCTTCATTGATCAGTTGTCCAGTGAAAAGACATATCTAATTGAATGGAATAGAGAAAAAAGAATAGAATTTGAAAAAAAGAAATCAAATTAGCAACTATGGAGAGTTTAAAAGTCACAACGAAATTACCGTTGGCAGGTCCCGATTGTTTAAAACAAGAGCAACGTAAGAAACAAGAACTGCCAGTGGAATTAAACTGGCATAAGCTAAAAAATATCCGATTCCATCACCTAAATGAACAATAAAAAGAAAAGAATAATTAAGAAGACCGAATCCAACCAAAATTGTAATTAGAAGAAATTTTTATTCTTTGAGAAGAGAAAACAAAAACAAAACAAAACAAAACTACAATTTACCTTGAGGATATTCAACACATGTTAAACTTATACTAGTCCACGTTAAATTGTCCATAATTTAAAAGTTTAAACTGTTCGGTGATAAAGTTAATTCATAATTAAACAAATTAAATTGTTTATGTGTCAGAGTTTCATTTATTTAAACAACAAAACTACAATTTGTTGTCCCGGTGTTGCCATGGAAACACAACAGAACCGCAAAATTTAAAGTGAAAAAATTGGAAAATTAACTCAAAAGCTGAACAATTAAATAGAATTTCAATTAGAAATAGTTATCTAGGTTAAAGAATTGGCTTTACAAGAACAATTAAAACAATTAGAAAATTAGTTGTTTGATTTATAAAAAAAGAGAGAAAAGAAGCAAAATTTATCCAGTAAAGAGAAACACATGTAAATCATATGATTGGGAGAGGAAAGAATTTGTTTTTCTAGTGGAATTGTTTTCTTTTTGATGTGAACAATTAAATGTTAATTGCGAGTGTTAAACGTTTATATTTACCTATAAAAGAATTTAGAATCAATGAGGTGAAACGATTTATCTCTGGAAATGTCATTTCAAAGTCAAATGTTGGAAAATTTGATGAAAATATTACCAAGATTCGGAACATTGGTTTTATCGCTCATATTGATGCAGGTAAAACAACAACAACCGAACGGGTTTTATATTATTCTGGCCTTAGTTCATCCATGGGTGAGGTTCATCAAGGAGATACGATCACTGATTACATGGAACAGGAAAGAGAACGAGGTATAACCATTACATCAGCATCAACAACATTCTCATGGAAAGGAAACAAAATCAATCTACTTGACACTCCAGGTCATGTTGATTTTATCATCGAGGTTGAAAGATGTTTAAATGTTTTAGATTCAGCAATTGGTAAGTAAATTATTCTAATTTACTGATTGTTCTGTTCTCATATTTTCTGTATACACCTTTCTCTTTTAGTGATTCTTGACTCGTCTCATGGTGTTGAAGCTCAAACAACAACCGTTTGGAATCAAGCAAATCGTTACAATTTACCGAGATTAATTTATGCCAATAAAATGGATAAGCCAAATTCAAATATGAATCTATGTTTAGATTCACTGATTAAGTTAGGTGCTAATCCATTACTTGTCCATTTACCTGTTTATGAGAGTAAACGATTCTCAGGATTAATTGATTTACCAACTTTAAAGTTAATTGTTTGGAAATCATCTGGATCTTATGATGATGGAACTAATTTTATCGTTGAATCATTAACAAGTAATCATTCACATTGGAATCAAGCTTTACAGGCTCGAGAAAAATTGATTGGAATTTTATCTGATTGTGATGGTGACAATGATCAACTCAATGAATCTGTAATCAACTCAAATGATTTAAGTGAAATATCATCTTCAGTCCTAATTAACTCAATACGACGATCGGTTATCCGGAACAAAGTTAATCCAGTTCTTGTGGGCAGTTCATATAAAAAGATTGGTGTTCAACCTTTATTAGATTCAATTGTAAAATATTTACCTTCACCAATTGAGAAATCAAATCCTGCGTTGAAATATTATCAAGACAATTTCTGTGCCTCAGCTTTTAAAGTTATTCATCATCAATTGTTAGGACCACTCACCTTTATCCGAATCTATTCTGGTGATTTAACTTCACCGGCAAAGATTTACAATATCAATCGAAACATCGTCGAGAAGATAAACAAAATTTACATACCATTTGCCGATCAATTTAAAGAAATTACTTCAACCAGGTTTGGTGATATTGTCGCAGTTTCAGGTTTAATTAAAACAATTACCGGTGATACCTTAACCATCTCAGAGACTGTCGCTCAACAGGTAAGTCTTGATGAACTTTTTCACGATGGAAAAAATTACTAATCGATATTTTCTTTAGGCTAGAAAAAGTTTTTCTCAAGCAAATTCATTGCCAATCGACGAGTGTCAATCTGTTCTTGTCGGAATTAAAATTCCCGATCCAGTGTTTTTCTGTACCATTGAAGCTCCCTCATTGTCGAAGCAAAAAGATTTGGACAAAGCTTTGATCAATCTAACTCGAGAAGATCCTTCGCTAATTGTTACCCATGATTCTAATTCTGGTCAAACGATTCTCAGTGGAATGGGTGAACTTCACCTTGAGATTATTAAAGATCGGATCCTTCGGGAGTACAAAGTTAACGCTGAATTGGGTCCACTACGAATATCATATCGGGAGACACCTTCATCTTCAGTAGAAGAGTTTAGATCGATAAATAAACCATTTGGAGGAGTAAATAATTTTGTCACAATTAGGATCAGAATCCATCCAACGGAAAAATTTGACTCAAAGTTAAATTTAAAAGTTGTTGTTACTAAAGAAAATGATTTAGGTAAATTACGTAACGATCGACTTAAAGCCATTGAAAATGGCCTGGAAATGGGCCTATCCTTTGGGCCGTTAGCTAGTTTCCCAGTTGTCGGTGTCAATGTTGACCTACTTGAATTCCGTTGCTCTGGGCCAACTTTACACTCGTTCATCAGTTCAACTGCATCGGAGGTTATTCTTCAAGCGCTATCGAAATCATCAATTTCTTTATTAGAACCAATCATGCGTCTTGAAATAACGGTACCTGATGCCTATTATGGAAAAGTAATATCAGATATTACCAATAGACGAGGTCAATTACTCAACGAGATCACAAGGACATCTAATTATCGGACAGTTGAAATGCTTGCACCTCTATCAGAATTATATTCATATTCAACTTGCCTGCGATCATTAACTTCCGGAACAGCGATACTTTCAATGCAATTAGATTCTTATCAAAAGATGAGTTCTAATCAACAACAAAAGGTTATTGAAAAGTTAAAAGATTTTTATTAATCACAATACAATTAATGTAAATATTAATACACCACAAAACAATAACTTCTAGTCTTTTAGAGGTATAGATTTTTATAAAATACAATTTACACACAATTTTGCCAATAATTTATAAATGATTTTTGTTAAGATAATTGTGAATATTTGAATATTATAATTCAACTATTGTTTTGAAATATAATCACACAGAATGTTATGAATAAGAACAGATGAAAATCCAGATAAAGTGATGCCCACAGCATCGGCAATAGATGCTGCCCCCAGGCAGAAACCACGAACTCTGTCTTCGTACTAAGAAAGAAAAAGAAAACGAAGAAAATAAATACTCGATCATATGGAATTCGAATCGATAGGGATAACAATTAACTTACTTTACGATAGATTTGATCGAATGTATTTACATAAGCAGCTCCACCGAGAAGACCTTCATAGAAGACAATTAACAACATGATCCAAATATTGGGTAGATAATTTTTCAATACTTGGTGAAAATTAGAACCAAATTAAAAGTTTGTAGAATTGGTAAAAGCCAAAGTGCTTTAATTTTGATCCATTTAACTGATGATCGAGAAATTAAAACTCCTAATTGATAATCAACTTGGTACCAACGATACTGTTCCTTGTGGGTTAACCAGATATCAGGGAAATAAACCAATTCAAACTGAATAATTGGAAAATTAGATGATTAATTTGAGCAATTTAAATTTAATCTACTTCAATTCTTACCAATGCTTGATTAATCAAATACTCTGAGTAATAGACTAAGGCCAATGGAATCATAAATCGTAATAAACCCTGAAGAGAATGTGAAAAAATTAATTAGAAAGGTTGATTGTTTTCTAATTGTCAATTTGATTACCTTCATTAAAATTGATTTCTCTTTAAAGGTGAGAGCCATTTCTGGCTCTCTAACTGTTTCATATGAAACTATCTCATCACCAGTCGGTGTGGGCTCATTAGGCTCCATGAGCGGAGTAATTGTGGCCACGTCGATTTTAGGTGGAACCAAACCGAGCCAGAAAGTAATCGCCATAATCACAGGGACAATTAACATAATTAAAAGAGTAACTCGAGGAGATAAACCCGCTTGAACTAGTCCAGCATACGAAATAGATCCGATGAGTCCAGCACCGCCCGTTCCCGATGACCAGTATGAGACAGTGTCACCGTCACCGAAACGAGAGCTGTAAGAGAGGAAAGTTGCCTCACCCAGACCACTTGAAGCCGATGCACAGATTACTCCTGTTATAATTTGGAATGAGACAATTTAAAATTAACCAAAATATTGACAACAATTAAAACAACAACAAACACCAACCAAGAAATGAGACCCAACGAGCAAACGAAAGCGCCGTCATAATGTAACTCAACGCTGAAAGGCCAACAACAAGAGCCACTCGAACACTGGATTTAATACCGACAATTAAAGGAAAAAGAAAATTAAATGGTTAATCTTAATCAAGATAATTTAAATCATGAAAAATTTGATGACTAACTTTGATCCCAATGGTAGGACAGGCGATGCGAACTTTATAATTAGTGATGGAATGATGTCAGCAATTAAAATTGCTCCAGTTGACATTGGATTACAAATCGCTTCGTCATTTGATTCTGATTTTTTATCCTCATTATCCTAGATTAAGGAAAGACAATTAGCAATTAATCATAACAATTGAAGTTTAATCAAAGACAATTGGAAATGGTAAATTTCCTATTCCATTTACATTGAAATTCTTGCTAAGTATATCAAGAGCAGCGGATAACATGATCACATAACCATAATTGTTACATAGTCCAAGGATCCTGAAGTGATTAGATGAAATTTTCAATTAGTGTTTAATTGTTTCAGATTAATTATAATTCACTCACCAAAATCCAATATTGTTTCTTAATGAATTCATATTGTTTTTGATTGATTCTGATTCTTCTTGATCTCCGGAGGTTTGATTAGTAACTGGTGGACATCCAATATAACCTTGAACTAATTGTTTTCCAGAGATTTGAAATACTTGTGATTTGATTTGATCATCTCTGCAACAATTAAAAAACAATTAAGACAAAAATCAACACAAAGAAAAACTGTAAACACTTTTCACTATCAAAAGAAAATCCAATCTGTCCAATCAAATGAATCTAAATATAAAATACAATTGACTGAATACAGAAAAATCAATAAAAATCCAGAATAATCAAGGAAAATTAAATTACCAGATGAAGTTAATCAAAATAATAATTAAATTCTTATGATGAAAACACAGAAAATGGTTAAAGATGTTGAAAGGAAAAAACCTTTAACCCAAATTAAGTGGATTAGTAAAGTAAAACACTGAGTTAAATGTTAATCTAGAAGTGTTATATGACTTAATTACCGTAAAAAATATTGAAATTGGACAATTAATCACAACCAAAGGAATTAAATTAAATTGTCAAAATGAAAAACACAAATTAGAAAACAGAAACCATATGTTTATGTTTACTCAATCACCATGGTTACTATTGGATGAGATTTGAAAAGAAAAATTTTTTTCTTCAATTTGATTGTTATGATTTGTTATTAAAGTGAAACAATTTGTTAATTACTGTATTAATCTTGTTAATCTAAGTAATTTGATGTTTAATCTTAAGTGTTGTTACTCTAGATTAAGGATAATCTCAAGTGGACAATTAAAAGGTATGTGAATTTGGGTAAATAAATATCAACTTTTTGTTTCATTTCAATTCGTTACCTGATCTTTTTTCATTAAATCAATTAAATTGTGACAATTTACAGGACATATTGTTGAGATTAGTAGCAATCTATTTATAGTAGATTGTAAATTTTAGATTTCAAAGGTTCTTTTTGTCTAATTTTTTCAATATTTACCTTGATTTGTCCTCAGATTGGTGACCATTGGATTCCATGTTGATGTTGTTAATCCAACGATCGAGAAACAATCAAATTAAACAAATTTAAGAAAGAAATTACAACAATTAACTTGGATGGTTTCACTTACCAATCATCATTAACTTTAACGATTGGTGAATTATGTTACAATATCTTAATCAACCTTTTAAATGACTGAGGTGTTTCATTTAAATTGTTAACATGTTTAACTATCTGATTGTTTATTTATCTGATTTTCCGTTTCTCTTTTTTTCTAGTATCATCAACAGTTAACTACATTATTGTATTAATTTACCATAACTGTAATTGTAATCTGATCTAATTAACGAGTAGCTGAAGGTGTGGTTTCTAATTGTGAAGAGTCTTCCAAATTACGGAAAAAAAGTCAAGGATAAATTAAGTTAACTATTAACAATTAAAGACATTCAAATCATGTTTACCTTTAATCTAATACAACAATCAAACAATCATGATTGTCACCGAGCAATAATTGCAATTATTTTTGGAACCAATGAAAATAACATTACCTTTGTGATCTCCTTTCCACTAATTGGTTAAAAGTTAATTTCTCTAAATCATCAGAGACAAAATGATCAAAAACCAGTTTAAATTGCCTGCGGTCAGAATCAAGAATCAAGTCAATGTAAGAATCATATGTTTACATTAACTTTGCTTCCATTTTTTTTTCTTACTCTCATTTTGATTTATTCTTAATTCCAACCATGAATTTAACAGTTATTCTTATTTTATTGATTATCAGTTCCAATGGATTATCTGATTCCTCAACTAATGGGATATTTGATTTATCTTATCCTGTTAACAATTTAACTCTTGATTGGGCCGGTGATCAATTCACAATGAACATTTCAAGTGAACAAGTTAACAAGGGAAACATTTCATATTGGTGAGTATATGAATCGTTGTTCTTGTTTTTTACAATTAAATTAAATTGCTCACTTTAGGTATCAAGCTGATACAATTTGGACACCAACTCACCTTGGAACTCACCTTGATGCCCCATGTCACTTTGCTCGTAACACTTGGTGTGTCTCCGATATTCCCATTGAGAGATTGTACCTTCGACCGGGTTATGTTATTGATATTTCTCATAAAATTGATTCTTCATCTAATCCTAATTATGTTTTAACCTCCGATGATGTTAAAAATTGGATTAAATCAATTGGAACCGTTAAATCGGGTGCCGTTATCTTAATACGAACCAATTGGTCTAAACATTGGCCTGATAGGGAAAAATATTTCGGTCTAAAAAGTTCAAATTCAGATTCATTCAATTTCCCTGGAATATCAGTTGATGCAGTTAATTCATTAATTGCCCTTGGTGTTGATCTTTATGGCATCGGAATTGAAGGTCCATCGGTCGATAATGGTCCAAGTGAAGATTTTGCTACTCACTCGCTTCTCGCACTTCACAATATTTACAATTTAGAAAATGTTGGCCCGTTAATTGGAAAATTGCCCAAGGATAATTTCTTAATCACTTCTCTTCCCATGAGAATTGATTCTGCAAGTGGATCTCCGGTGAGAATCGTAGCTCAATTAACCAGCAATTCAAGTGATCAAATTCAATCTTGTTTCGTTTTGATTTCTCTCGTTATCATCGCGATCACTTATCATCGTAATTTCTGAATTTCTTTCATGGTGAAAAAAAAACACAAATCGATTGATCCAAGTGACGAATCTGAATGTTCAATTATCCAAGGTAATCAATTTGATCATTTGTATTGATTTTTTTTAATCCAATCAATTGTTTTATAACAACTTTGACTTTGTGAACTTGAATGAAATATTGTAACAATTTAGCCCAATTAAGTTAACAATTTTTATTCATTTCAAGAAGAAAGTTATTCTTTTTTGCTTGTTTGTCAAGAATCAATTAGTTTGATTGGGTCAAAGGTTAAAATTATGGTTAAATTGGGTGGAAGATTATATTCAAACAATTCAGAGTTTTCCATAAGTATTTATCTTGTCATGGTTACAATTTTGGCTCAACAATTAAGGTTTATGAGTAGAAAATTTTGATTACAGACCATAAATAAACTAATCATTCATTTCGTTAATTCAGTTAATTCAGTTGATACAATTTTACTTCTTTTCGATTTGTTTTTGTTTGCACGCTCTAATCATTTTCGTAACCATATATTAAAATCAAGTTTTTCATCATATTCGAGGCCAAACTTTTCTTTCATGGTTTGAGATAATTTTTTAATCTCTTCCTTTTTATTGTCACTCATTGTCGATTCTGTTGTTGATGTTGTTGTTGTTGTTGTTGCTGCTGTTGCTACGGTTGATCCAATGGTGATTAAACTTTGAGAGTAATTTGAATTTGATGGTTCGGGAAGAGTAACAGGATTGAAATGTAATTCTTCAATCTCATCAGCCAAATCTTCTGGAAGAGATGAAATTATGGAAGATGATTCAGATGTACGTGTCCATTGTGCGATTGGCCAACAAGCCTTTTCATTTGAAGGACTATTAACAATTGAATTGTTTATATTTTGGCTAACCTGTCCTGGTATATTACTAATAGCATCTCGAATTGATTTGAATCCTTGTTGAACCAATTGATTAGTTTGCTCCAATTTTTGATTCAATAGTTGATTATTTGTTTTTAATTCTTCATTACTTTTCCTTAATTCACGAACAATTTCAACAAGTTGCTTGGAATCAGGTGATGGTTCCCGTGTCCTATTATCCCTCTGTAATCACAAATAGAAACAAAAGAAACAAATAAGAATCAAATTAAATATTGATCGTTTTAAATTGCATCGTAAATGAGACTTTAAGGTAAGCCTTGAATCTAAAAACAGGTAGAATAAAACAAAACAGGTTCAGTAACCGAAGCAGAAAGTATGACCTTATTTTAAGAGGACAATTCTAACATGATGTAAGTGATGAACAAAATAAAACAGAATTTAATAAAGTTCCAAACAGTTAGTTGAGTCTCATATTCAATGAAACCATGAGAGCAATGAACTGAATAATTAATGTCAACAGAGATAATATGATGATGATAAATAATAACACCAAATGGTAATGATGATAATAATATCCGAGTATATTGAAAGATTTAATGAGAGATTTTCACTGAGAGATTTAGTTAAACACCAAAAGTAACCAGAGGAAGTGCTAATTATTGACTTACCTCATTGCCTGGATCCTCGACCATTAGAACACCAGATTGTGACCCTGCTCGATTACCGAAGGGACGAAAATGAGAGCTTTGAGTGTATCCATAGGAATGTTCTGACCAAATACTGTGAATAATGAGAGAGATTAATGATAATAATTAGTAAACTAGTGGTCAACAATCTAGAGATTTACTAACTGGGCAATGCCAATCATAAGTGAGATAAACATTTGACACTAAGGGAAAATTGTAACATCAAGAAAATGACTTAACCTTCAACTGATTACATAGTAATTAATTTTAGAATGGAAAATGTAACAATAACTAAAATTGAAAAACATCAACAATTGATGGTGATTACAGAAAAACCAACAATTAGAGACCAATAATCAATCAATCAAACAATCAGCTGCATCTTAACATTGTAAATAGGAAATCAAGTTAATATGAATGATGTAACAATGAGGTGACCAGAATAAAATTAAAAATTAGTTAATTACTTACTCTGATTCGGGCCAATCATTGTGTTTGGATGTATTTGTCTAAATTGGGATGGAAAAACCAGAAAATAATTAATCAATTGGTGAAACAATTAAATGAAAATAAGTAAACATTGACATTTGAAAGGGTCACACATAAGGGATAACATAACACAGAAAAAGAAATGGATTAAAAGAAAACAATTAGAAATCAATTCTTACCTCGGGATTGGTGGTGGTGGGGAAATTCATTGTTCTATTGGTGACAGACAACAGGGAGAATAATTTAAGTTAATTGTTAGAATTAGAATTAAATTAGAAAAACACTGAAATGATTTTCCAAGAAGGTGATTGAATGATAGCGAAAAAAAAACAAGAGATAGAAAGAGAAAAAAGAAAGAGAAGAGAAAACAGTCAGAACTATAAACTCCTCCTCAAACCTTCCAAAATCACGTTCACCGTTTTAATGAACAATTGATCTCTTGAAATTGATTAGAGATGATTAATTAATTGCTGAACAACAAACAAAAGGTGAGTTGATTGGATTAACGATTAAAAATATATTCTGGTTAATGACAACTGATCACCAAGTTGATCTGTTTCTTTGTAGGCCTTAAGAGTTATTGGTGATTCGGTTTATGGATTAAATGGATTTGGTAAAAACTTCAACAAACTAATAGATTGTTTCTTTAATTGTAACCTAATCTAATATTGAAACATTACAATGGATTAACTGTTGTTTCATTGATTCATGGGATTAAGTGATTTGTGTTAGGGGATCAAATTGATTTAACACATTAATTAGAAATGTTGGGAAACTGTAACAAGTGAATTAATATTCACATAGAGAATATTAAAATTGGCTCTTGATTAAAAGCGAATAGAGATTTTAAAAAACTTCGCAATATAATCAACCATTTGGGTGATAAATTATACCACCGATTAATCCAGTTAGCGAGTAATCATCACACAATCACACAATTATTACGATTCACGTTTTTTTGGTGCAAACATTGAGAAAGAACCTGATGTGCTACAGAGACACCGAAACCCTCATTCGAAAGCTTTTAAATTGCACCAACAAAAAATAGAATCATTGTTGTGAAGGTCGAGGGTCAAAAGTTATAATTTTTTCAAATTTTCTCTTTCTTTTGACTTTTTCTTCTTTTCGTATCCTTCAAATATTAGTATTGTTTAACAGTTACATTGTTGTTAAAAAGGATTTTAATAGAGAGAGAGAGAGACATACATATAAGCTTAGCGATCATGTTGATCGCTCGCCCCTTTGTATCACTTAATTCGTGGATCGAGCGTTAAATGACACGTTCTGGTCAACGAAAGCGCCGAATAAGTTTCACAATGAGTTTCAATCAATTATAGAGAAAATTCAGTTAATCAGTGAAGACTTTAATTGTTGTTTAATTTATTTTTTATGATAACGTTTGGCATCTTCCGAATCAGTAGAGGATCAAAAGTTTAATTTACTGAATCATTTGAAAAGAAAATCAATTAATATTTGATCACTGGAATGGAATCGTCACTTAAATAATATGTTAATAATTTGTTGATTGAGTGAGTTTAAAGTGATAAAATGGTTAAGAAAAGAAAATCGAAGATGAAAATAATGAATATTCTATCAAATAATTAAGTATATTGTTTCTTTCTTTCTCAGAATCTACTGATCAGCTGATGGAAGATTAGACAATAGATTCAGATGAACGTTCACTATTTTCCTCTTCTCCATCTTCTTCCCTTTCGTCATCCGAAGTGATAACATCATCACCATCGATTTCATCCTCATCCCCTGGTAAATCATTTTCTTGATCCATTGAGACCAAAGATGAACTGTACTGTCCATTGAATTGACCATCGCCATAATGTTCAACCTCATCTCCATTGACGATCACATTAAGAGCCTTTTTATATTCAGAGATCGATTGTTTCAGAGCATTTAATTGGGACAAAAGCGACATGTCCAATTGTCGTAAACCAACCTGATTATTGTCGATAAAACATAAAGGCTAAAATAGTATATAAATTAGTTAAATCAACCACAATTAGAGAGAAAATAATCACAAGAGAATCAAGAAAACAACAAACTTACCATTTCTCTTCTTAATTTCATCAATTCTTCATCAAGTTTATTGTTACATCCATAGGTAAATGATCCTCTTCCTTTTCCTTGAGTTGATTTATTATCGTTTTCATTTAAATTCTGATCATAGGAAGTTAATGATTTAGGTGGTGGTGGAATTTTATCCATAATCAATTTAAATCTAAAATATTGAAAGAATCAAATTAGAGTAACAATAACAACAACAAAGTGACTCATCTCTCATTCAGAGATTCAGTTTAAAGGTCCAAAGGTTTTCTGTATTAGTTTAGTTCTACTACTCTAGATGTCGCTTTCTATTGTTTACATTTTGTTCATTTTTTGATTCTCAAGCTTTTCAATTTGGCTTTTAATTGCTCTACAATTAATCCACTTCTATAATCAATTTAGTTGATATAATTTTGCCTCTCTTGCAAAAATAGATTATCCGTCATCTAGTAATCGATCATTGTTGTTAAATCTGTTGGTTTTATTATCTGTTTACTCTTCTAAATCAATTTTCTCACTAATCTGAAAATCTATTTATAAATCTTATTGTTTTTTTTTATTGCTAATTAACAATTAATTTCTCATTGTTTTTAATAAGCTATTTAGTTCTCAGGATTATCTTCTCTTGTTTCATCTCTTCTTACCATAGTGCAATTATCTTGAATCATCAAAATGGTCGCGTAAGTAATTTAAAAACAAGTATAAATGTAAAAAGTGTTTTAACAATTCATCAGTTGTGTTCATTATTTTAGACTTGAAACATTGTCGTTTTTATTGATTATCGAGTGAAATCATCGATTGTTTTTAAAATTATTCTTTCATCTGACAGTAATCGAGGTAACAAAAGACGCAAAATGGAAAAGTGGTTACGTTTCAGTAGGTATGGAGATCCAATTCCAAACAGTCCGTTTGTGGCCTTTAAAGTTCCGATTGAGAGTTCGGTATGGCCTTTACAAGTTGGAGATCGATTCATGTTTGATGATCTATTCAGAATCTATCCAGACATTGGCCTTGTCATTGATCTAACGGCAACAACAAAATATTACGATCCTGTGATTGTGCTTCGTTATGGTTCATCTTATCGAAAGATTTCAATACAAGGACATGGAACTCTTCCTAATTATCAAGCTATTTCGACATTCAACCAAGTTGTCGATCATTTCTTAAGATTCAATCGTAATAAATTGATTGGTGTCCATTGTACCCACGGTGTTAACAGAACTGGTTATCTCATCTGTCAATATATGATGACCAGATACAGAATGTCCGCTCGAACAGCAATCAACACATTCCGAGTTGGAAGACATCATCAAATTGAAAGACAAAATTACGTCAATGCCTTATACAAATTGGAAGATGATTTAAGACGGTAATTTATAACCTTTTCTCTCTCTCATCACTTAATTTAATCACATCATAAGTGCATCTTTAATTATCGTCATCATCTTTACTCTAATAGACCAACCATTCGACGGACTGACCATCGACATCGCCATGAATTAACATCGAGAAGATAATCAGTTACAATTATAATCGTCTACTGATAACCAATTAACACAATTCGTCTGTGTTAAACTAAATTAAGTTTAATTGTTACTCCTACTGGAAAACAAATGATGCCCCCAACGACCAACAAAATTCATCATAAACATCAACAATTTTGATGATGAAACTAATTAATTCAACCCAATATGAATGACAATTTGATTCTAATCAATTCAATATTATCTATATTCAACTATTCAAGCATTTTGATTGTTTTCACCAGAATCATCAACTTGATCAACTAATTATCCTTTTCCAAGAAGTCACTATCATGCAAATGTAACTTACTGTGATTTAATTAAATTGTTAAAAAAAACAAATAACAATTAACAAGGAAAAAAGTAAAATAAAATAAATGATTATTTTTAAATTTTCACAAATGATTGGGTTCAAATTGATTCGCGTCAATCGTATTTGATTAATACAATTAAATTAGCAATTAACAAGCCAATGGGAAACTCAATTATCAAATCACTGAGGTGAAACAATTAACAGTGAATAATGAAAATAATTATCTAGAAAACTGAGTGAGATTCATAATCAACTTTTAATTTGACTTTAAATTCCCATTGACAATCAAAACAATTTAAGTCTTCCAGTGATTAACAACAAACAACAATCAACTATGAGTCTTTTCAATTTACTATTGGTGTTAATTTTTTCAACAATAATCACTGGTGAGTTTAATTTTTCCTAAATTAGTAATCAAATGACAACAATTTACTCTGAATAATCAATTTGTTTTCAGGTAATCCGATTGCAGATAATGATGGTCACCAATCAGCTGAAGGTGATGTTAGCCAATGGTCATCTGTACCTGAAGTCGATGAATCTTCAATGATGCAAATGTTAAATTCAATAATGGAGATGATTAGATCACAATTAAGTGGTTGGATGTATGGGTCAAGATCAAATGATGATGTGGAGGTTGATTCGAGTAATCGAGGATTCATGTCAATGATTCACGGACTTTTTTCGCGATTAAGTAACATGGCGATGGACATGATGGGTCAGATGAGGAGAATGAGAGATAAATCAACTAAGGATCGATTACAAGAATCATCATCGAGTGAAAGTGATTCGACCACTGGTACAACTAATTCGTCGACTTTGGCAACTCGACTTCGAAATCAAATGGAGAATACAAAAGATCGTATCAAAGATGCTTGGAACAATTTGATGAAAAAATATAACAGTACAATCGGTTCATCATCTTCATCTTCATCTTCATCTTCGTCTTCGTCTTCATCGGCAATGACCATGGAATCAAATCTAAATGGCGACGATTATCACTTGATTGACGATGAATCGAAGGCCAATCGTAATTTAAGATCAGATAATCGACGGGTTATCCGTTCTGTGGAAAATGATAACGATGACCAGGTCGAAGTGTCGAAATTGGATTATATCAACTCAGTTGAACCAAAAGTTTTCGATAAGTTAATTTCATCTGTGGATCAAGTTTCGAGTAAAAGTTATCATCAAGGTAAATCAAAACAATTTGATTCTTTAATTGCGCCACAATCAGATGAGGATTCAGGCCAATCTAGGAATCTATTTGATCGTATGAGAGGAGCGATGGACAATGCAAGGTCAAAATTTTTCGGTGCAATAAATAAATTCATGAACGGAACCGCAATGAATGATTCGGACGATGATTCAACTAATCTAACAGAAAATGATCCCAAGAATTGGTGGCAAATGTTCAAACCAAAGCCCGTTAATCCAACAAGAGTACCTGAACGTGAACCTTTAACACCTCGAAGTGCATACCCAACCAAATCTAATTATCCACCAACACCAATGATTCCCAAAGAGATTCCAACAATTAAGCACAATCATCCTGATTATCTACCTTCACATAAGCCTCCCGTTGACTGGACAATCAAATCGCGCCCGAAAACAATACCAACCGAGTCAAAGGTTGATCTGGACAATGGTGATACCGATGAACCTTCAAGAACGACAATTGAGTTCATGGATCGATTCAAAGATGAAATCGAAAGGGTTAAATCATCAATGGATCAATCAAAAAACGATAACCTCGAAATGGCCATGGCCAAAATGGCCAATTGGGGATTATTCATACGAAGCATTTCCGAGAGTAAAAATCTCGATGATTTTTGGGGTAAAATAACCCAACAAGTTAATTAGCTGATTGTTGATAAAAATACTAATTGTAAATACGATTAACTTTTACTTAAACTCCATTAGCTAATCTAAATGTAATTGTCATCAACTTTGATTGTGAATCGAGCACCTCATCTTAGTCCAAATGATTAAGATGCTATAAGATGATCAATAAATTCTGGTTCTTTTATCATTCATAACAATTGAATCTAAATCATATTCTAATTGTTTTCGATTAGTTGTTTTCACTATAATTTGGGTTTTCAGTTGATCGATACAATTGATTTTCTTTACAACAATCAATGGAAATGGTTTTTCTCCTCTCCTTTTGAAAGGAAACTCGTTCCTTCACAAGGTAAAAGACCGAATCAAACCAACAATGACCGGTAACAGCTACTGACCAATGGTCAGTGAAGGAAAAACAACCAACAACTGTAAAGGTTTGCATCTCCTTAGAGTATTAAAGGATTACGATTACTGTTTCTAGGTAAATCTTTTTCTCTTTTTCTCTTTTTCTATTTTTCTTCTTTTCATCGTCATCTTTTTCTTCAAGAACAAGAAGATGAAGATCTTATCATCAACATCCACTTCCTCTTTCTTCTTCCCTTAACTTTCTCATCTTCAGCAACTTCTTCATTCCCAAACTGTTGGACAACCATTAGGTTCACTTTTGGTCTTCTTCTTTACTTTCGCTGATTTTTGTGATCATTTCAATTCTCAATTGATTCAATTATCATCTTAACTAATCACCAACAAGTTGTTCAAATTGTGCTAATCATTAGCTAATAGTAACTTGTAATCAAACAATTATCATTACTTTTGTTATCTTCATCAATTGGCTCTCATATTAGTGACTCTCGCTCTCGCTCTCTCTCATTTGTCATCTTTTAATCAGCTCATTTTTACCTCAATTGGCTCATTAATCATCTTAACCCCAATAAGTTAATATTAATTTCATTTTAATTGTTAACCTTAACATCAAACAATAATCAAAAAATGTCCGCAGAATTTGTTGGCGATTACAACCTTGTAACCAGTGAAGGTTTTGAGGATTTCCTTAAAGCTTTAGGTGAGTAAATCGTATTGGTAAACAATTAAACCTCTTCATCAACAATTAGCTAATTTAATTTTCTTTATCAACATGATTAAGGTGTTGGAATAATGCTCAGGAAAACTGCTGGAGCTCTCAAGCCCTCATTCCAAGTATCTAAATCCGACGACGGAACCTTCACATTCAAATCAGTTTCCACTTTCAAAACTTCTGAATTTCAATTCAAATTGGGTGAAGAATTTGAAGAGAAACGATTAGACGGAATTATTTGTAAGGTAAGGCCAACAATTAAATAATTGTTCATCTCATTGAACCAAATTCAATTCGATAAACAATATCAATTTAATGATCGTTTGTCTTGGTAACTAAGGATAACTTGTTGTTTTTTTTATTTTTCCCTTTTTGGTTAATTGCCGTTAATTTGGGGGAAATTTCTTTTCCTTAATTGTAATTTAATTGTATTAATGACAATTTAATTGTTCCAATTTAGTCTGTAATCACTCAAGATGGCAACAAATTAATCCAAGAGCAAAAAAGTGACCCACCAGCCACAATTGTCCGTGAATTTAACGGAGATGACTTGAAGATCGTGAGTATTTTAAATAATCATTAATTAACTAATTCCAAAGGTTAAATTGTTGCTTAATTATCGCACGAATTAAATAATTTAATAATGATAAAATTAGATAATCAATAATTTCGAGTCTAACAATTAACTTTAAAACAATACGCCCAATGATTGTCTGGTTAAAGGTTACAATAGGAGTTAATCAGTTAATTGTTCATGATCATGTTATCACACTAATTTCATAATTGAACAATTAACTGATCAAATTTTTGCTGATTATTGTATTAATTCAATTTTTTTGTTAATGTCTTAATTGTAACACTTAATTTGTACAATATATCACCTAATTAAGTTGATTGTTAGTATTAATTCAACTTTTCAACCAATCTTAACTTTCATCCTCAAGGTGACAATCAATTAATGGTAGATAGTGAAGTTAATTAATCAGTTAATCAACCACTTAATTAATTTTTGATTCTCGGATGAAAATGAAAAAAAAATATCTCAAGTATTGTTGAGATATTAATACTTAATCAATGATTAATTGTGATTTTTTTTTGTTCATGACTAATTAATTATTATCATAATCGTTTCCAACTAATTCTTAATCATAATTGTAATCATTTAAATCACTAAACTAATAATTAATTGTATTTTTTTGTCTTCTATTAGGTTTGTACATGCAAAGACGCTGTTGCCACCCGACTTTACAAAAAGGTGACCAAGTAATTAACTAATTGTTTGAAATTAACTGATTTTCAAGTTAATCGACACGTTGATTAATAAACGATTTTTAATCAACTTAAAACTGTGTTAGTTAATTATGAAATTTTAATCAATTGAAACTAAAGTTAATCTTTTGATTTGAAGAAAATAAAAATGAAACTTTTTAATTATAATCAAATTGTGTCTGTTGTTATTTCAATAACTTAATTGTGATAATTATTTGGATTGGTCTAAATCACTTGAGTCATTAATAAGTGATTAATTGTTATAATTAATCAGATCAAATTTCTGATTGTTAGATTGTAACTTAATCTAATAGTGTAAATCCAGTTAATCTGTACCAAGTTTTACTAGACTAATTGTTAGTAATCAGATTGATTTAAGAGCAATTAACTCTTTCCTTTTCCGTTTAAATAATTAGTAAGATTGACTAACAGTAATTAATAATAATTAACAATAATCTAACCAGGAAAAATAAGAGGGTGTAATTAAATTGGATCTCTAATTGTTGATGATAATTATTTGACTAATTGTGCTAAGACTCATAATTAAATCAGATTGTAAACCTAATTGATTTCTCGCGATTAATTGTGAATTTAATCTAAAAAATTTAATTATCTAAGGCAATTAACTAAATGAGAGTTAGAAATGTTTTAATTGTCATTCTAATTTTAGAAAATTTAAAAACAATTGACTAATTATGAGTAATTAATTATCATAGACAATCTGATTGCATGGAAATTCAATGTTATATAATTTTCTTCTTCGAATTGATATAACTTTCCTAGGAAATTCTCGAAATTATCTAAATTGCACAATTAATTACTCTAATTTTTGCTCTACAATTTGATTCTATTTTGGTCACTTTCGGTCAACTCGAAGGTCCAAAAATTAATATCGAAAAGTATTCAGACCAATGATAAACTTTTCGACTCTCAAGATAAAAACAATTCCCTTTCCATGTGTACGGTAGTTAGATTTGATTTTGTGATTCGATTGATGATTAATTATTAATAATACCTCGGATTTTTCCCTTTAGTGATTTAATTTAATTGTATTAGAATGATTTAGTTGTGATAATTAAATGAAAACCAGAAACAATTGATTATCAACTCAAATTGTGTGTCAGTTGACAAGATTAGCTACCGAATTAGATCAAAGTGAAAACGAAGAGTATAAAAACAGAAACTTAACAATTAAAGATCATCAATTCATCAATTAAACAATTGGAATTAATTTGATTTGCAATTTAAGTTAATCAATTAAAAAGAAAAATGTTCTCAACTCTTTTTGTCTTCGCTCTCATTGGATCAGCTTTTTGTGCTTCATGTCCAAAGCCACCAACTGTTGGTGACGATTTCGATATTACCAAGGTAAGTTAATTGTCGTCTGTAGATTTAATTTAGTTGCTTAATTGTCACCTAATTGTTGGATAGTTTGGTGGTCGATGGTTTGAAGTCGTTCGAACCACTGGTTTCACCGAAGATGGATTAACCTGTGTAACCGCTGATTTTGACTTACGACCTGATGGTGATTTCAACACTACCAACAGCGCTTTCCGAAAGAAGTGAGTTAATTGTTGATTTGATTGTTACAATTTACGATTGATTAATTTGCTAATCACTCAATTTCCTTGTAGTGGTCAACGAGCTACCGAATATGGTACAGCTAAACGAGTCAAAGGAGGACAAAAAAATGAATTAGCAATGGTCTCAAGTGGTGAGTTTACCACAATTAATCTTGTACGAATTTCGATCAACAATTAACTAATTATTTTCTATCCACAATTGTTTAGCTATCCCAATACCAATTAATTTCTACATCATTGAAACTGATTACGATAATTACGCTGCTGCCTACACTTGTATTGGAGTTCCTCCTCTCTTCTCCTATGGTAAGTCAACTTTTCCATCATTTAAATTGTTTCTTAATTGTTAATCTTAATTGTTCCCTAATTATCTAGAAACCGCATGGATTTTTTCACGAACCAACACTTTGGATGCCGATACAACTCAACGACTTCAAAACCGATTGACCAATGAATTTGGTATCTACCCTTCAACCATTGAGGTCACTAATCAAACCGATTGTACTTATTTACCTCGAGGTACTTACCAATAATCTGTTACCCAACAATTAACATCTAATTTATTAATTATGTCTCAGTGTCTTAATTAAAATATTTATTATTCATAAAACAAGAAAAATAAATAATCTTTATTTTCAATCAACTCTCACAATTTGATTCCAATGATTAAAGGTAAACGATGTTACTATTTCATCTTGATTATTCACTAAACAATTAAATCTGATTCAAACAATTGAGTAGATTAGTTGTTTAATACAAACAATTAACAACATTCAAGTAATTCAATCAATAGATTAATCAATTTATATACAAATGATTACGATATTTAATCAACCATTTATGGTGAATACATAGATTGATTAACTATTAATGATTCTAGAAATAGATAATAACAATTAGCCACAATTAAAGTAAACATTTTCAACTTGATTGTTGTAAACTCAATCAATCAAAGTTAACCAAAAACAGAGGTTAACAGGTAATAATAATTAAGATGCAATTAAATTCTGTTGACTAAATCAGATTAAATTGTATCACGTTGCGTTGGTTGCAATTATGAAGAGCAAGTTAATTGTAATTAAGATGAAAACAAAGCAAATCAATCAAGAGGTTGAAGAGACAAAATTGTCAATGGGAAACAAGACAAGAATCAAAGATACATTGTAACTGTAAATTGTTCGTTAACTGATTGCAATTGTAAGTTGATTACCAACTAGTCAGTGATTCTCTTAACTGTGTAATTAATTAATTTTCGAAAAATGTCAGCCAATATCAATCGTATTCCAGCGGCAGTAAAAGATTTAACAGATAATTTGAAGATAAAAGCTCCGATCGTTTCGATTCTCGTTTCGATTAAAAATAAATGGGATGACCACGTTTCCATTGATAGTTACATATTCAGCCTTCATTCAACGGTTACAGTCGCCATGTTGATTTTTTTCACCAGTTTTCTCACCATGAAACAGTATTTCGGTGATGTAATTGAATGTTTGGACATCCCTTCAGCAGCGCAAAGTTTATCGTCCAAACAAATGACCAATTACTGTTGGATGGAAGGTGCATTTACTATTGTAAACCGTTATATCCAATCGGCTGATGAGATACGACGAAACAATTATGAAGTTCCAGGTCATGATGTCGCTTATCCAGGAATTAAAGCTTATAAACCCCATCAGGGTGACCTTAAAATGCCACATAAATATTACCAATGGATTTACTATATTTTAGTGATTCAGGTAATCGTTGTGATCTAATTGATGATTTGGACTAACCTTTCATTTCGTTTCTTCAGAGTTGCCTTTTCTTTGTACCCAAAATGATCTGGAGATTAAGGGAAAGAGGTCGATTAACTCAATTGATTAAACAATTGAGGATAAAAGATATATTCAGCTACTAATCAGTAACGATAACTATCATTTTCCTTGACTGACCACACCAGTGTACCATCGGGTCAACCACCACGTCCAGGTTTCAAAGAACTCCCGGAACATAATGCCAATGAAATACTTCAAGATTTAGCCGATACAATATTAATCTCTGACCAATACTATGGTGGAATGGTCAAGGCTGAGATTCTTTACTTTGTTCACTTGATTTGTGAAATTATCTTCATTCATTTGTTTCTTGGCCGTAAATTTATCTGCCTTGGTTCACAGTGGTTATACTATACAAGCCGTTCAGATGATATAACCTTTGACCCATTGATTAGAATATTCCCCGCTTGACCAAGTGTAGCTTTCACAAATTTGGAGCTTCAGGGTCACTCGAAACCTATGATACTCTTTGTTTCATGCCAATGAACATCGTCAATGAGAAAATATTTGTAATCCTTTGGTTCTGGTTCGTCATTTTATTTGTTTGTACATCAATTCAGCTCGTTTGGAATCGTTTATTTGCCAGATTATCAGCAGAACGCCGATTAAAGAGACTAGAAAAACAGGCTCCATGTGCTAAATCAACAAATTCAGCGAAAGATGAGACCGATTTCCTCAAGACTATGTCTCAATCGCCTTCTCGATCGTTCGTCCTCCAATTGATTGCCAAAAATTTGAAACCAAATTATTTTCGTTATTATATTAACCAAGTATCAAAACACTTCGAAAAGGTCGATAAAAAACTCAACTACTCAAGTAAACTACCATTAGGTTTTATTAATTTACCAACTGCCCCACTTATAAATCCAGGGGATGGTCAAAGTTAGTTAAAGATGCAAATATCGATAATAAAAAAAAATTTTCGTAAAACTATTAAGTTAATTTCGCTCTCACTAGATGGCGACACTTTTGATTCTTTCTTGAACTTGTTGATTTTCTGGTCACTCGATGTGACTCATTGGTTTTTCTGGTTAATTGATTAATTGTCACAGGAAATTGACTTTTCGTTTATGACCTTTAATTATTTTAATTGTTTAATTTAAATTCGTCGATTGTTAATGTCTCGTTTTCTCTACTCTTATGGTTGTTTATTGTTTCTTCAGTGGCTTCTCTTGGACGGATAAAAGAGAGACAATTAATTGTGATGGGTTAACATTTTTCCCTCCATTTGTGAACAAGACATTGGCCTCTAAAAGAATTATAATCAAAGAGAATCTTTTTTTGTTCTTTTCTCTTTTCGTCTTGATTGTATTTTAATATTTTTAAGTTAAATTTCCAACTTAATTTAGATTGTGTATCTAAATTGAGGGGGAGTATTTAAGATGGTTGACTAAATGGTTTGTGACTGTAATTAATTGTTCTCTATGGATGGTTGCTACACATCCTTCTCTCTTTCTCTCTCACAATTGAATCTATTTTTGGATACAATTTTTATTCTCTCTCACAATCTAATGGAATCATCTGTCTGTTCCTATAAATGTAATCACTACATCGTGTCTAGTTGTCTAATTAGACTCTTTTTTTTTCTCTCCTCTCGTTTCCTCTGTGTAACGATTTTATCAATTGTTCTTTAATTTGTTCTCTTTTTTTTTACTTTTTTTCTACTTTGGATGGTGTTTCTATCCTCTCGGTGTTTTATGGACTTTAACTAATTATATCAAGGACCCAAGGACAATCAACCAGTTCTCAGCGACTAGTTAACTCTTAACAATAACCGTGAACTAATTGATTTGGGAAAAGACTATTTCTATATTGATGACTGATTCTTGGTGGAACCAATATTGTTTCCGAAAAGAACACCAATCGTTTTTAACCAATAACAATCACTGGTATTCACCCAAAAATCACATCAGACCAATATCAATTTTCCGTTTTTCCTCAACTTAATTGTTCGTTCGACTAAATTTACCAGCCTCATGAACCATAATTTAATTGCTGGTTTGATTTATTCATATTGAATAAACTCGTTCACAAGGAGAACTGTTTATTTTTTGCTGGTGATAATTAACTATTACAATTAGGATGCTACTTACAACTCTAACCTTATGTTATCAATTACTCGTAACCATATTCACTAACAATAATTATCACTACAATATAAGATTGTAATCAACCAGTTAAACAATTTACATTCATCGTTTCATATGAATAATCAACAATCAGATGATGATGATGATGATAGTCTTCAATTCTTGGTAAACAAACAAAACCCTAAAAAATAAGTTGATTAACCTGCTGATTATTATCATTTAATTTTGAATCATCTCCTTTAAATGGACAATCAACTAGAATTGGAATCAAACAACAAAAATCTGGATCTAAATCAAGAATCAACGAGTTGTCCTTTTAATCAATTCAACTTTTCTAATTGGTTATAAAACAATTAGTAAATAATATCCTTCGATAAATGCTCTCAATCGTATCGTTACTAATGAATCTGATATTAATTGTCAATCGATCAAAGTGATTAAGAAACAATATGATACAGCTAATTTTTGATTCATTAATTTAATTTAGTAACATTAATAATCAAGCAAACTTGATCATTATCAAGGTTAATTAACTTTTTGACTTTGATAACTTTTGGTTAATAATCAAGTGCAAAAAAGAAACATTAACTAACAATTAACTAACTAACTAACTAATTACTAGTAACATAAATGATATAATACCCAAAGAAGATAAACAATTTATTAATTTTTCCACTAACAATTAGGTTAATCAAAAGCAAGAAAACAAAAATTGACGAAAATCGGACAAGAAACTTTTTGATTAATATAATCAACTTTCTGATATTAATCAAGAATATTTAATCAAATGGAATCAAAATATATAAATGATTATGATTAAAACGATGATTAAGGTTGAAAGGTAAAATTTAATTTTCTAATTGTGATTAAACTTTTAACTTTAACCAAACAATCATAATGAAGATAATAAACTATTCGAAACTAATTGAAATTAACCAAGACAAATTAACTAACATCTTATAGACTATAACACAATTAACCTTCAATTTTCGGAGAAAACAACGAAAAAATGTTTTATCCCAACAATTAACTAAATTGTGAAAGTAAAAATTAATTATCAAAATGTTGATTTATTAACAAAACTAAAAAGTACAAAAAGACTGAAAAGAAAAATTAAAAAGTCGTTTAAAAAATTGATTAAAATCAATCATCAACCATGTAGAATAATAATTTTAATCAATTTTTCTCTTTTTCTAATTAATTGGAAACGAAAAAATTAATTACAATTAACAATTAAAAAGAAAAAAGAATTCATGAATAAATCGAATAAGAGATGGAGCCACTTTCGAGAAAAATGTTCTCTTTCTTTTTCTTTCTTTCTGATGCTTTGTATGTATTTACTTCTGCTCATTCATAGTTCTTGATGTTAGTTTGTGACAAGATTTTACTTCATGAAAATAAATTCATGTTCAGTTGAAATTACGACAATTTAATCATCTTTTTTTTTAATTTGTATAAAAATCTAAATCATCTGGTCCTAACGATTCACCATTTAACCTAATTTTTAATTTTGTTCCAATTATGATTAATAATAAAAAGGTAAGAGATAATGTGAAGAGATGAAAACAGAAAAGAAGATGAATTCTATTCTCTTTTTGTTTCCTATTTATTTTCTATTCTATCTTATGTATCTAATCTCTATGGATGTTTACTCGTCTCTCTGTCTCTTTGTATTATATGGATATTTTTGTTATTTATTTTCTTCTTCTCTCTTCTTTTCCTCTTTCTTCCCTTTTTCTGGTGAAAATTCTCTTCTAACATCTTATTCTTTCATTTCTTTGTATTCTCTTGATCTTCTTCTTTTTTGACCTTTTCGATGGTTCCATGGAAAAAAATTTCATTTCTTTACTAATATTTGCATTTTTTTTTTCTTCTTTAGATTAATTTGAGATTGATTCTAGTCTCTGGGAAAACCAAAGATTTTCAATTCAGTCCAAATGATTCAGCCTCTGATATCGCCCAATATGTATTTGAACATTGGCCTCCAGGTTTGTTATCATTTTCTTTTCTAATCAATTTTTTCTCTTTACTTAATCTAAATTTCTTTCTCTTCATTCAGAATGGGCAGATGAATCCGTTAGTAGAGCTGAAATATTAAGACTCATATATCAAGGAAGGTTTCTACATGGAAATGTTATTTTAGGAGGTTAGTGTAACTCTCAGTGGTTACATTTTTGCTCTTTCTTTTCTCTTCTTTCAGAGTGATTGTGATTTCTGTGTTCATGTGTTATTTTCTGTTACTACGGTGCTTTGTGTCATCTTTTTCTTGGCTTTATCCCCATCAACCAACACTAACCCATCACAACCATTATCTTATGGATTAACATCTTCATCTACAGTGAAAAAAAAGCACCACCCATGGATCTGTATAATTACCATGCAACGATTTCTCTTGACAAGTGTGTGACCATTGATTAATCAGTAAAACAAATGCTCCAATCAATTTACTTCGCATTTTCCCCGACAACAGTTAAAGGCAATTTTAAAGCCTTGAAGTAATACATTGGAGGTTAATCTTATTCTTTTCTTTTTTTGGCTGTTTGTTGTTAACGGTTACAGGCAAACGGAAAAAGAAAGATCCTTGATTGTGAATATACTCAATATTCATCAGATCCCCATGAAAGCGTTTTCTCTTCTCCTCTGTCTTGGAATATTGTCCAATAATAATTATATCCTTTTCTATTTACTTTTTTTTTCATGTTGAGGCAACAAATTAACTAACCATTTACAAGGTTCACTTTCTCTCCCTTCTTCCTTTTTTTGGTTAAATCAATTATTTTCGTTACACTTCTACTGTAATTTCCTCTTCTCTCTGTTTTTGGTTATATTCTATTATTATTATTACTACATCATGATTCTTAATCATTTTGTGAAACCTTATCTTTCATTTTCTTCACATTCGATTCACTCTTCAAACCTGATTAACCATGCTTGGCTATTGCATGTTCAATTTCACACAGTTTACCAATTAGTTAATTAGACAGTTATATGGATGATCTAGTTATAACCTTAAAAGTTGTTGAGCCTCTTTTACCTTCTCTCTCTCACTACTCCCTAAAACTGGTGAAACCCGGACATGTTTCAAGGTTTGGACACCCTGGTAACCCATAATTTGTCTGATTCTGTCAACAACCCCCAAGTCATTGAGATGATCGTAGTTAATGTTACCTTTTTCTTTTGATTGTCAATATAATCCATTCATCTTTAATTAAGTCCATTTAAAGATGATGATGATGTAATATTGCGCAATTTTGATCATCATTAGAAGTTTAAATTGAGTTGTTGTTTTTTTGTTCCTTCTACTATTACCTCATCTAATACAAAAGGCCTAAACTTTTGATTGAAAGCTAAAAAGAGACGAGTTAATTAATTAATCGAACAATCAAACAACAAACTTTTCTAAAACTGTACATTCACACTTAATTTCTATTGATCTCTCTATCACTCATTTGTCTTTCCATTATATTTGAATGATACTGTACTTTAATAACATCAACAAGGTCAACGACTTTGATGCTTGAGACGCACACACACACACACACACACACATACGCTTTGCAGACACACCCTTACATAAACCGTACTTGGGCTTGGAGTGAAGTGTTAACAACATTTAATGTAAACATTATCAATACAATGATGATCGTCATCATCATCAGCATCGTTTAAACAAAATATCATCATCATCGCTATGAGGAAACTGATATCGTCAACATTTTTCACACCGATGTTCATGGTATCCATGATATGACAGAAAAAATGTCTCATGGAAAATAGCAGAGTAATACAGAACTCATGTAATATTAAATCTAACATCATGTGGAAAATTCAGTGAATTTCATGATTTTTCTTCATCTCACCAACACAACAGCAACAAAAAAAAACAACAAATCATCATCTCTTTATCATCCGTCATCTTGAGCTTACATTGTCATTTTTTTTTTGCTTGGTGATGTTTTCATTCACCCTTTTTTATTTACGTTTTCTCAGGTCAATGCTGTTTAAGTGAGAAACCCCGATGATTAAATAGAAGAAAAGTGTAAAATTAATTCCTAATTACTATGAAATTCCCTTTCAGTAGAAATACTCAGAGAGAGGGAGAGAAAGAGAAAAGAGCGAAAGAGTAAATTGAAACGAGCATGTTTCATATCATGATGATCATCGATTGATGATCATAAATCAATTATGATAAATTACCAAATGTTATAAATATTTGTAAACAAACATTAATGGTCATCTTTTTGTGTCTTTTCAGCTCTTCAATTACCGCTTGGTCGGACCAGTGTGATGCATCTCGTTCCAAGGGAAAACTTACCCGAGCCCAATTCTCAAGGTGAGTGATTATCATCATCATCAAACACTTACCTTGCAGGTTTAATAATAATGGATAATAATTTAAATTACTTATCATTTAACATGATACATGAATATATAAACATACATATGTATGAAAAAAAAGGTATGAGCTCAATAGTAACCTTGATTCTGATGAAATGAGGAGAACTCAGGATAACAGAATTATTTTCGTCCTCTTTCATTTCCATGAAGAAAAAAGCACCGAGAATGAAATCTAAGAGGAAAAGGAAGAACTTGTTTCTTTCATTTAGATAATTTTAATAGTCCATCATCATTATTTTCTGAAGGATGTTTAACAATCTAAAGTCAATTAAAACTTGATTACAATCTGAACAATTGCAATGAAAGTTAAATTTTTCTTATATAATCTGAACGGACTTTTATCATCCTCTCATCTCCATCCTCATCTTTTTTTTTATGTTCTTACCTAATAATTGATTCATTGCATGTTTTTGCTTTTATAACACATTCAATTCCTCTTCATATTGACAAACTATTAAATGTTTAAGATCATGAGACCATATCTTCATGTCTAAATCATCAATAAGATGATCAGATGAAAATGATGAGGATGAAACAATGAGAAAAAAAAAGATGTGTAGCCTTTCACTCAACCATCACTCCTTGATTTTCATCAAAATAATCTTAATCTCTCAGCTGATGTTGTTTCATCTTCATCATCATTCTGTCAGTTATATAAAATAATACAAATGATAATATGAAAAACTATCATCATCATCATTATTTGTATTTATCTATCAATCTTTCATCATCATCATGAAAAACAAAATAAAAATGATAACTTTAGTAATGATTTAGTTTCAACTAATTGGTTGAATTAACCACAACCATATTAATCTATCAATTAAACTCTCACTATCTTCAGGCTGATCGCATTCAGATAAATCTATTTATTGTGAATTGAGAATCGCAATTTAATTTATATGAATGAAAAGATCAGTAAAAAAAAAGGTTAACCGAAAAGAAAAAAAGTTCTAAATATTCGAGATATTGAGAAGACTATTCGAGTTTGAAAGTGACCTTTTGAATGACGATTGGAGGTCAATTATTATTAATAATGTTGAGTATCAAGGTGAGGTGATACTTGTTGATGTTAATTCAACAATAAAACTACATCATATTTACCCTTGACGATTTACAATTAAATGTTGTTTTACATTAAATTGTTTGTCATTGAAACTTTCTCACTAATCATAATTAACTTATGAGGGAATACCATCCAGTAAAAACTTGATTATCTGATTTAATACTAATGAAAAGATTCACGAATTTAACTAATTGTTGTTATTTCACTTTTACTATCACAGTTTAATGATATTAATCAATGATATTAAATATCTCAAGTTAATCAACTCTTAAATGTCACTACATAACAACAATTAACTTATTTGTCAATATTATTATTATTATTATGTCAACCTGGTAATAATATTTGACTTTTTGACAATATTACATTACAATTTAGTTGATTATGATTAACATTATCTCAATAATTTATCCTTGGTTCCAATGTTAATAGTAATACTTACATTGGTTAATTTGATTAGCCTTCAACCAATTTGATTACCTGATGATGATGATGATGGTTATATACCTTGAAATATTATATATCACGAAATATCCTCTCCCTTTAATTATAATATTGATTATTTATTTTATTTAATCAATGTATTTATATGAGTTTCAACTAATCACTTGAATTAATGATTATCGGAAATAAAAAGTCAATCAAACTTGATTTTCAACTGATAAATAATTAAGTTTCATCATTTGCGGTTTATTGTTTGGTAAATTGGATTAATGATTGAAAAAAAGCAAAATCAAATATCATTTCCTTTTCATTGATGATTCAACTGATTTAAAAAATCAATTGACCATCATGATGATCATGTTCATCTTGTAAGGTAAAAAGGTCATACACTGAATATTGGACATTGAACAAATTGTGGTCAACACTTACTCGCAATTAGAAGTAATCAAATGATGAAGATAAGGAAAAAGAGTTGGAAATAGTTGATTTGAAGAGAAATGAATTATCTTCTTGAAAATTATTATGACGATCAATTTAAATACTCACTTATTATTATGAGAATAACTAATACCATGGTTACCATGATGATAATAATGATGAAGAAATTGCCACAACGATAAATGAAAATAAGGATGAGTAAGAAAAATGTTTTCCAACGATAATAGTAAAGGTCATTGAATGAAATCCTTCAAACTCCCAAGTCAAATTATTCTGAATCATGCGGAATTTATTTCCGCTTGACCTCCCTTCCCCGCCACCATCATCATCATTATCATCATCATCATCTCTTTCTTTTCTTTCTTTTCTTTTGTGTTTACCTTTTTTTGTTTATCTTCTTCACTATTTCTCAATGAAAGCACAGCAAAAAAATTGAGAATCTAGGTGACAGGGTTAATACATTTCCTGCCATACAAATGATTCCTTAGAGCGGAAACATGTAACTCTTTCCCTCTCCAACTCCCATTTCCCACCTTCCACCTTACCTACATTCTCATCCTCCACCCACTTTGTCTCTCACTCTCCCTAATACTAAATTTCACCCTCTCTTCATCTTCATCTTCATCTTCTTCTGCTCACCTTTGGCTTCATAGACACTCAATCAAACATATAATCATTTAACTCTTAACTTACCTATTCTTTTATACCTTCATCATCATCATCCTGATCATCATTATTTACAGTTAAGCTTCATTGATCATCTCGATTTTTTTTTCCTTTTCAAGATCAATAAATTACTAACCATAAATGATAAAACTCTATGTTAATCAATTGATCAATCTGATTGTAATTAGTTTCTTTATCTCTCTGTGTGTATAATGACTAGTCTTTGAATCAAATTGAAAGAATACATTTAATTCAATGGATTGATATTTTCTTCATGATGATGATATGTTATTATTATTATCATGTTTATCTCAGAGATTATTTCATAAACCTTACCTATGGGAAAACTAAGTTACTCCTTGATTTTAGTTTTCTTTATAAATTCAGCCTTGAATTTTGTTTCTCTCTCTTATAATAATTTTAACTTGTTATATGTTGATTGAAATTTCAGATTATCGTTTCAGAGCAAAATGATAATAATGATTAGAAGTTTTTTCTTTTAAATTGTTGTTATGAAACCTTGAGGATATTTCTTATTATCATGATGTTTCAATGATTAACAGATTATGTGAATAATAATAAATATTACAATCTATAGAAAAACAATTGAAGTTATAAGAAGAAAATTTCTAATCCTTGTTTACATAATTACTTTTGGAATACTTGATTGTTACTTAGTATTATTATTATGGATTATTTCATAATTACAGTCATTCTCATGGTCTAATCATTGGAAAATATATTTACTAATTTATCCTTTATTTGATTAATTAAAAGGTTATTTTACCAAATGATCAAAACGTGTGTTAATTTCCACTTGGTGACTTTTTTTTACTTCTTCTCATTATCCTGACAATTAACAATTGATTTACATTCGAAACTATTGTTTTTCTAAATTTAGCAATTAACTTTGTCTGAATGGGAATACAATTAACATATATTACAGGTTATTTTAAATTGATTACCCAATTGATTAACTATGAGAATGGAATGTAATTTGGTTACAATTATCATTTATTTGTAATTGACAATTGACTCGTAACCTTGGCCTGTAATCAGTGAACCAACAATTTCCGTCACAGATCAGTCTCAGTCGTGCATGATAATGATGAAAATGAATTAATTCCTAACCATATTGACATCAGAATGGCTATTTATCATCCTCATCATCATCGTCATCCTCTTAATCATCTTTATTACAGAATCTTTGGTATTATATCAATTTAATTCTCGACTCGATCATCTCTTGGGTCTTTCCCCATGATGTTTATACTATCAACTGATTATCAAGGATTGTCCTTCTCATCCTCATCCTCATCCTCATCTAATTTCAATTCATTCATCTGATCTCTATCTCTATCATCATCATCATCATCTCTCTCTCTCTCTCTCTCTCTCTCTCTCTCTTCCTCTTGCCATGTTCTCATCATCCATCTTGAATAGACAAAAACTAATATAATCAAATTTATAATGCTTACCGTGTTTATATTTAGATTACTTTGCTTCCGCAATTGTATTTAAATGTGAATATTGCTGATTCTGATGATTCCAATTCCAAATCCAAATCTAATTCAGTTAATGATGATGAGGATGATGTCCTAATAATGTGAATCGATCTGGTGAAAGGGGTGAGAATACTCATAGTACCGTTAATCTTGATCCTTTTTTATCATCATCAACTAATTTAGATAAAGCACATTTTCACAATCAACCAACCCTGGTACCAACACACCAGCAATAGAAAAAAAAATCATCATCAACAATCAACATTAACAAATAACTACATCTCTTCATCAATGTAGAGTCGTTAAGCCAACAATTTTTTTTCTTATTCTTTTCTTAAATTAACCTAATTTCTTTTCTTTCATCAACTATTACCGGCACAATTTAGTTAAATTTCTTCTTCTTAATTTCTAACAATTCCCTCTCTTCCTCTCTTCCTTATTTCCAACATTTTGTTTAGATTTTAATTATCAATATTTCCATAGGTTGTTGTTACAATTTAAAACCTTAATCATCTCCAATTACTCCATCATCAGCCTGATTAATTTCTTAGTGAGAATTTCCATCATTTCCAATAATTATCCTGACTCATTATAAAGTTAATTGTAAACAATCAACTTGATAATGATTGTAAGGACAACATTGACAATAGATCGAATCAGTTTTGAAATGTAGATTTTAATAAACGAAAGGTAATTATTTCAAAAGGTACACAAAAGCTTAATGATTATTGGATAGGATTAGAGGTTAGTAAAGGTTGAATCAAAAGTAATTAAGGTGATTAGTGAAACATAATTGAAGTACAAAGGGTAATTGTA